TACAACCAACGATAAACAAAAATCGACTTATCTTGGAATCACATTCATTCATTCATTCATTACAATTGTAGGGTATCTAGTAATAATCTTGATAATTATTACTCCAAGTTGTCTCCAGGTGATTGTAATCAAATCAATGTTGTTGATGATGAAGATAATGATGTATCAAGATTAGATCTTGTTAAGATTCATAAATATAGTTTTTTTTCTCACTTTTTCATTTCGTTATCTCAAATTATTGATAAATCTGTGTTTGGAAATAAAAAAAAAATAAAATCAAAAGATAAAATTACCGATAACGAGGTATATATAATATATTAGAAAATTATTCATGATCATGGTCATGGTTCATTCGTATTCCATACTTAGCCGTACCGTCATCGTCATCGATAATTTTTTCATTATTCTCTGAATAATGAAAATTGATTCTTCTGAAACAAATCATCATCATCATCAATTTTTTTTCAGGTGTAAACAATCAATGTGTGTGGGTGTGTGTGGGTGTTAAATATCTAATCAAAAATGTGAGAAAAATGACAAATTTTATAAGATTAAAAAAAAAAAAAAAAAAAAATAATCAACAATCAATAAATATTTGGCTACAAAGTTTATTTGAGTCTTTCTTCCTTTTTTTGTTTGTTCTGTGTGTGTGTGTATGTTAAACATTATCATTCATAATGATGATTAATGAATCCAATCCAATCCAATCAAATCAATCAATAATTATATCAGAATTTTATTGATTAAAAAGTGAAAAATTTTCTGATTTCCTTTCCATTATCGTCCATAAACATATATACTAATAAGCACAAATTGTTGTCGTTTCATTTGGTCGGTTTTCTCTCTCTCTTTATTTATTCACTGATTGTAAAAAATAATTATTATCTATCAGTGAACAAGAACAAGAAAAAAGTCCAAGATAAGTTGGACCATATTAGTAAAATAAAAAAAAAATTATTAGATATTGGATGACGATAATTATTATATATTGATTTGATTTGATATCCAATCATCAATCCAAAATAATAATAGTGTGTGATTGATTTTTTTTTATTACTTTTTAATATTTGGATTCGAATCGATTGAATCAATCAATGGTTTTTTTTCAATCAACTCTCACAACAATTGATTGATGATGTTTTCAACAAAAAAGAAAAAAAAATTCTCAATTGTCTTCTTGTCTTCAATTTCACTATTTTTACCATCAACAAGCTTGTGTGTGTGTGTTTTTTGTGAATGGAACCAAAAATTATTCTTCAGAAAATCAGAATTTTATTCATCATCATCATCATCATCATCATGGTTCATATAGAGAGAATTTGAAAGCCATAAAATGAAATATTCTGTAAATACTTGATAACAACAAAAAAAAAAAAAAATATCTAGATGGATTCTGTTGTTGGTTGGTTGGTTGATTGTAACACTCTCATCGATAATCGTCAACGACGACGATGACGATGACGACGACGGTGATAATATACCTTGTCATTGAAAATCTCAATATCATCAAAAGTGAATTTTTATTTTTCGTTCTAGTTTCATTTGAATTTTCACCATCATCACCACCACCATCATCATTTAGATTATCATCGATGTGTGTGAAAACAGGAAATTAAAAAAATTCGTTTATTATTTTATCCTTTTTTTTGTTCTTTTATAAATATGATGATGAAATTTCACTCAGTGATTTGAATGAAAATGAGTTTTGATTCAAAGTTCACAACATCATCATCATCATCATCATCATGGCAATTATTATTTGGTTCAATTCCATTATCCATCAAATCAATCAATCGATCGAATGATGATCAAATGGAAAATTTTTTTTTTTTGGCCATTGACAAACAACAACAAAAACATTGACGACAATGATGAATGAATGAAGAAATCTTAATGTTTTTTTTTTGCCATAAATGTGACATTTTTTTTCTTGGTGGCAAATCAAATATATTTAGTGTGTGTGTGTGTGTGTGTGTGTATTGCCATTAGACTTTGGTTCGATTATGAACTTTGTTCAATGCACACACAAAAAATTTTATTTGTCAAATGTATTTGTTGTTGTTGTTGTTGTTATTTTTTCCTATAAGTTTCATATCTATAGATACGTTGAACAGAAAAAAAAACTTTTTATTCATCGTTGCAATCAACCAAAAAGTTTGAGACTTTGAATTGGGTGTGTTTGTTTAAATTCATCATTCATACACACACACACTCACACATACATTCAATAACCGTCGTCGTCAATCAACCAAACAAATAATAAGAAAAAAAAAATTTCGCCGCCAAAATCAAGCCCAGCGGCATCATCATGATGATGATGGTGATGAAAAAAAACTTCGAATCAAAAAATGAATGAAGAAAAAAAAATCCATCATTTCAATTTCATTCACTTTTCATTGATTGATTGATTTGATGAAATGAAACGAGAAAAAAAAATCATTTGCTGCCAACATCATCAGTGGATGATAAATAATAACATTTGCCCAGCCTTTTTTCCAATTGCAATCGGCTATAATGCATATATGTTATCATTGTTGTTGTTGTTGTTGTTGGCACCAAAAAAAATATTATTGTGGCTCCAATTTACCCGCAAAAAAAAGTTTATAGTGTCAAAAAAATGATTTCTTCTTGTGTGTGTGTGTATGTATAAGTGATGTATACTTGCATACATGTGCTATATATATGTGAATTGATCATTACCGGTGGCGTTATACATAAAAAATACATTTTCATTGGATTGCTCTCGTTTCTCTTTTACATTTTGGATCACATAGAAAAACACACATAGAAAAAAATTGGCGACGTCGGTTAGGCTAGGTCGCGCGTTTTTTTTCAATCATTATATATACCATCAGCAGTTTCTCTGTCGTTTTTTTCTTTATTTTTTACTTTCGATGGCAGTGATGATGATATTGATCAAATTGACATTCTTGCTTATCATCGTCGGTCGGTTGATCGTTCTCGTTGAATAGGAAAAAAAACATTTGCTTGGTTTTTTTTCTATTAAAAAAGCTGGTGTTTGAAATGGTTTATTTTTCACTAATAATTTTTTTTCTTTGAAAACCACTAAGAAAAAAAAACTAGATCTCATTATGTGTTCAGGGCAAACACATCTCAATATCATCATCATCATCATCAATAATAATAATAATTTCTTAATGAATTAGAATCGAAAGATCATGATGATGGTGATGGTTAAGTTTTGTGATCCTTGAATGGTAAAAAAAAACAGAAAAGAAAAATAAATGAATGGCGCCATAATGTCGCCATATAAATAATAATAATAATATATGCCGTATACAATCATCATCATCATCATCATTATTATTATAATCATAATTGACAATGATGTAGCCATATAATACCACCACCACAATAATAATAATGACAACAAATTCAAACAAAACAAAAAATATACCCGATCAACCAAGAAAGAATTGAATCCAAAAAAAAGAAACAGAAAGTAATATAGATTTATGATGATCTATATACACATTCAGTAATTTCCTAACCATACAACAAACTTAGACTATTGGGGCACTTATTGCAAGTAAACAAATTCAAATCAATAAAACAAAACAGAAACGAAAAAAAAAAAAACAAAGCTGTATTGCATGTGTGTAAACTTTGTAAAAAAAAAGAATCTAAATGAATGAATTTTTGTGAGTAAAGTAAAGAAAAAAAAACAACAAAAAACAATGACAATCTGTCATTTATAAATGCTGTTGCATGGGCTAAGAGGTGTTTGGCATTATTATTATTATTATATGGTGGTGATAGATGAAAAGTTTTGTTTCAAAAATTTTTTTGATTTCAATCAATTTTCTTTCACAGGATTGAAATTTACACAGATACACACATTAGTGGTAGTAGTGAGAAGACATACCGTTACTATTAATCTCATCATCATGAAATCGGCATGAAAGTATGAAAGACTAGAGAGATAGAGAGATGAGAAAAAATGAACAGAAAAAAAATTTGTTGCCGAAATGCCGAAACAATTTATTGCCTGGATGAATATTTGACAAAAAAAACCGGGACTATGACTATCTTAATGTTTTTAGCAATTTTTGTCTTGTTTTCTTTCATTTTTTTCATTTAGAACGAGAGATCAAGCGCATCAAATAAAAAAAGTGCCAGAACTAATGTGACAAATTTTTTTTTTTAGTTTTAATGGACAAACGCCAGATGCCTTTTCATTTTACCATCATAGTCATCAGCATCATCACCATTAAAGATGTCGTAATCAATTTTTTTGTCACATTGATGATTGTCACAAACGCACACGCACACAGAGAGCAAATGACAATGACATGACACGACCACCAAACCATTCAAAATGATAAAAACTATTGCAAAATATTTGATTATCAGAAAAAGTCTTACTTACCCTGTAGTGAATCAATGATGATTGTATCAAAAAAGAAAAAAAAATTGATCATTGAAACCGGCCATCCAGTCAGTCAGTCAAGTCAATTAGCCAGACATTTTTACAAAAGGAACCAGCCAATGGCCGTTAGTGTGGATTGAGTGTTGATTATCATCTACAATAATCTGTCAATTTTTTTTTCTTCTAATTGTCATCATTATCATTTGTTGCCGCTGCTGCTGCTGCTGATGATGATGATGATGATGATGATGAAACTAATGAAAACATTCGATTTGTCGAAAATGCATTCTGACACATTTTTTTCGAATGAGAATTGACAATTGACAAAAGATGTCTGGCTGGCTTTGAGAATGATGATCATGATGATGATAAAGATTCAAGCCGATTGTAATATGAAACTCTCAAAATTTTAGTCGAAAAATTCCATTTAGTTTTGAAAATATTCACGATGATGATGATGATGATGATGATGACAAAATAAACAGACATCAAAAAGGTCATAGGTTAAATGACCATCGTCATTTTAGATATTTTCTAATTGCAACTAATTGAATTTTCTTACCAAATGATACTAATATATGAATGGATATGATGAACGAATGTCATTGAATTTTCTTACCAAATGATACTAATATATGAATGGATATGATGAACGAATATCAAGATTTGATGCCGGCGTCCGAATCATTGTTTTCGTCGATACAAATTTCGAATGTTATCGAATTCTTTGATTTTGGATGCCCGAAACAAAAAAAAATTCGAATACATTGTCTGTCTATTTTGATCAGACTAGGTTCAAATCAATCGCTGTCATTATATGATTGACAAAAAAAACAACAAATGGCGACATCTATTGATGAAAATTTTTATTAAAAATTTTTTAAAAAGTTTACATTTCATTTTTTTTTCATTCTGTTTAATTCTCAAATGGATAACTCTCGTTCGATCACAATGAATTATGAATTTAAAGAAATTTTATGTCTCTCTTGAAAACAACATTATAACAATAAATGAGCTTATTATTATGGCCTCAAATCATTTTTGTTTGATTTTGAATCCACGATTTTTTCAGGTGTGTGTGTGTGTGGTGTGGGTATGGAATTATTATTTGCCAATTCCTTTTCCACCTTTTTTGCCACCTTTTTTGAATGCACCTTTAGCACCAGCTGCAGCACCTTTTTTACCTATTAATTTTGAAATAGAAAAGAATAATTAGCCATGATCATTGTATGAAACTTAATAAACTTACCAGCAACTTTACCAGCAGCGAAACCTTTTTTACCACCTTTAGCAAAACCAGCAGCTCCTGCTTTTTTGACACCTTTTTTACCACCTTTTTTGCCAGCAGCAACACCACCAGCGGCAAATTTACCACCTTTTTTACCGGCAGCACCTGCAGCTTTACCAGCAGCGAATGCTCCACCAGCTTTACCGAATTTGAAACCTTGAGCCATACCAAAGGTTTTTATAGCGCCAAATTTCTTGTTAAAACCAGCGCCACCCACTTTACCGAATTTACCAGCTTTGCCAAATTTTCCGCCCTTGGCAAACGCAGCACCGGCAGCACCAGCTTTACCACCTTTTTTCACGCCAGCAGCACCACCTGCGGCACCGGCAGCAAACGCTCCTTTTTTACCACCTTTAGCACCACCAGCTGCTCCACCTTTGGCGCCAGCTTTAAATCCAGCGGCACCAGCTTTAGCACCTTTAGCTCCAGCACCGGCTGCACCACCAGCAACGGCACCAGCTCCTGCTGTTTCAGCAACAGCTAGATCCATTTCGGATGCATCAGCAATCATATTATCTTGCATTTCCTGGCTCATAACATCACAGGCAATAAGGGAAACACACAAAACGATCTATATGAGGAAAAAAACACCCACACACATATATATAAAAAAAATCGAGAACAAATTAAAAAAACATAAAAACCAAAACACAAATTATACCAATTGGAATTTCATTTTTTCGTTTGTTTGTTTTTGTTTGATTGTTCAATTTCGTTGATTGATTTTAATTTGGTTGAAACGAGAACTAAAAAAAACACACAAACAACAGAACAGAGACACACAATGATCAAGATTTCGAGATCTTAAATGGATAAAAATTTTTTTTGGGGTTTTTATATACTCAGATAACTCTTTTTTTTTCTCTCGACAACAACAAGGATTTCTGCTGCTGCTGTTGTTGTTGATCAATCATAAATGTTCAATGTTGAAAAAAATGATATGCTAATCCGGTGTTCCAGAAAACACACATACACCTGTAAATATTGAACAGGTAAAAATTTGTTGCTGTTTCATTGTTGTGTCATGCATTGATGGACATTGTTCAATTTAAAATTTTGAACAAAAAAAAATTCATATTTCAACATCTACATGAATCCAAAAATTATCAACTCTTTCATCTCTTGTTTCTTCAAATGTGGATTTGTAAATATCTCACTACTAGGAAGTGATGAGAATAAAAGATTTTTTTCTAAGAAAAAAAGCAAAATCAAAACCGGAAAAGGCTACTTTTTTTTCCTTTTGCCGGATGACGATGAAGGATTTCAATCAACCGTTTTATGAATAATTTGAAGAAAAGAAAAGAAAAAAAAAAATTTTTTTTCCAATTCGATTGGTCAATCGGTAAGACCACAATTTGATTCATATTTCATTTTCCCAGTGAAATTTTTGCATAGAAAAATATCGAATTTTGAAAGTGGCAATAATTTCGATCGATAATTGGATTAATTTTTTTTTTTTGGTCTAAAAATCCAGATTTATTCGAATTGGAATTCAGAATATTTTGTCCCAAAGCAAGTAGGATATTTATTCAATGCCAAATTCATCATACTTGTTGTTGATAATGATGAAAATTTTTCTATTGTTCCACATTATCATCGTCGTCGTTGTAGGAAAAACTTCATCGTTACAGCATGGTAATCATTACATTTGTAATGATAATAAATTAATACAAATTATCGAATGGGAAAGTCTACCGAATGGTACAATACGTCTATTTGAATTGGACGCTTATTATGAGATTAATGATGTGATAGATAAAATTGTATCTGGTCCATTTCGGCCATTACCATATGAATTGAATCAAATGAATCCGAAAACTTTTGTCCTTTATTCAACAATTTTAAATGATGTAATCAAATGTAATCGAACCATATGTTCAACAACATCGACATCGATGATGATTAAATCGATTGATTTTGAAATCAATGGTCTAACACAATTAACACGTATCGATCAACAACATTATCCAATGGCCATTGGATTAGTATTTGATTCTGATCACAATGTTTATCTTATTGTTCATCATACAAATACTACGAATCAAAGTGATGATGGTCAGCTAGAATTTCGATCATTAAATCGTACATTTTCTGGTGGCCGTAATCAACTGAATCAATTGATTACGTTGCCAAACAAATATTTAAGTTTTAATCGAAAAAATCAAATCTGTATGATTGATTCAATTGGTGTTAGTAAATTTGATCTTTGTATGAATGATGTACACGATGGTGATATACTTGGTTGTCGATCATTGACCACCAATGTACAACAACAACAACAACAACAGCGATCTACATTCAATTTGAACATGTCCATAACGATTAAATCGAGTTCCGATGACAATATTTCATCATATTATCTGATACCATATGCAATTGGTATATTCATCATAACAATGTTGATCGTCGGTTATGTTGTATTGAATTGTGATAAAAATTTTTGTCGTCATTGTAATTTCTTCACCAATGGCAGTAGTAATAATGGTGGTGGTGGCAGTAAAGATACAACATTGAAAACGGAAGATAATCGAACACAACAACAACAACCAGCAGCAGCACAACCAGAAATTATGAATGATCATGTAGAGTAGTAGTAGGTAGTCACGAATGATCATCGAATTCAAAGAATTAATTATTCTGCATGAAAAAATTTAACAATTTTATTCCAGAAATTATTTAAATTACAAAAAATTTTTTTTTTAAATCAATGATCTATCTATATTTGAATTTGAATTTTTTTTGAACACTTCTTTTTTTTTCTTCCTTGGTGTGTAAATAAATGATCGATGCGTGTGTGTGTGTGTGTGTGTGAAGTGTTATTGAATACAGAATATGAGCGAAAAGAAATGGCTCAAAAAATGTTAAAATAATTATTTGCCAATTCCTTTGCCACCTTTGGCAAAACCTTTTTTGAATGCACCTTTGGCACCAGCTGCACCAGCTTTGGCACCTGAAATAAATGAGAGAGTGAAAAAGAATTTTTTTTTTAAATTTTTTCCATTTCCGTTATTATTCTTTAGAAAAAAAAATACTTACCAGCAACTTTGCCAGCAACACCACCTTTTTTGCCACCTTTGGCAAAACCGGCAGCAGCAGCACCTTTGGCTCCTTTTTTGCCACCTTTTTTACCAGCAACAACACCACCAGCAGCAAATTTACCACCTTTTTTACCAGCAGCTCCAGCAGCACCACCAGCAGCGAATGCTCCACCAGCTTTACCGAATTTGAATCCTTGAGCCATACCAAAGGTTTTGATGGCACCGAATTTCTTGTTGAAACCAGCGCCACCCACTTTACCGAATTTACCGGCTTTGCCAAATTTGGCTCCTTTGGCAAAAGCAGCACCGGCAGCACCAGCTTTACCGCCTTTTTTCACACCAGCAGCACCACCTGCGGCACCGGCGGCAAACGCTCCTTTTTTACCACCTTTAGCTCCAGCAGCAGCACCGGCCTTAGCACCTGCTTTGAAACCAGCGGCACCAGCTTTAGCACCTTTAGCTCCGGCACCGGCTGCACCACCAGCGACGGCGCCAGCGCCTGCTGATTCAGCAACAGCTAGATCCATTTCCGATGCATCAGCAATCAGATTATCTTCCATTTCCTGAGCCATTACAGCACAAGCGAAAAGGGCAACACCCAAAACAATCTGAAATGGACCATTTAAAAAAATCATCATGAAAAAAAAACAAAAAACAAAATCATATCATACCAATTGAAGTTTCATTTTTTTTTATTTGCCGTTGTCAATTTTTAACACAGAAACACATTTAAAAATTTACTGAAACACTGAAACATACACAAACATACAAACACACGATTTATATTCAATGGTTGTTGTCGTTGTCGTATGAATGATCTGATTGACAAATAATCGTAATGGATTTTGCTTTTTATACCAAGATAGAAAACACAGGTGAATAAATTGCGTTGACGGTATCCGAGAATGGCCAAGATCCTGTTCGAATTGTAGTGGTCGTCGTCGTTGTTGTTGCCATTAACAAAAAACAGGTAAACATTTCATGCATGATGTATTCCTGAAACGTTGATCATTGGTAATGTCAATTTCAAAGCAGTAGCATAATACCAGTAGTTGCAGCTTCCTGTCCAATAAAAAAAACCAAATGGTAGTGGCCACGTGTGTGTGATTGAAACGTTTTTTCCTGTGTTTTTATTTCGTCTTGACCTTGGTTGGTTTTGGTACATTGGAAAATTGAATCCGATTGTTGTCGTTGTTGTTGTTGTTGATGATGATGATGATGTTTTTCCTTTTATGAAATTTTCGTTTGTTAGTAGTCGCTTTAGTTTCTTAAAAAATCGTTTCCGTCACAATAAAAAAAAGATCGAGTAAATTGAAATACATATTTCATTCATAAGAAACACACAAAAAAAAGACGACGGACAAAGGAAATCCATGATTATAATTAACACACACACACACAGGTGCGAAGAAATTACAATCCAAATTCAAGGTTTTCTTTTCTCTCTGTAATATGAATCAATATCACATGTTCACTTGTGTTTATTAATATTGAAAAAAAAATGAAAAAAGTTCAATAAAAATCAATCAATTGAATTATGTGATGTTACATTACATAAAAAAATTTTTCATTTCATCAATTGATAACGAAAATAATCATCATGACGATTACCTAATGATAATTAGATAGAACAATTGTAATAAGTAATATGATTCGAATGAAAATCGAACCTTTCGATGATGGTATTGATGATGATGATCCATGATTTACATCAACAGGAAATTTATATATTTCTTCATATGATGATTTTCCATTCTGACCAGTATATTCAACATAATCATTATAATTATAAATTAAATGTTGACTTTCATCCAATTTATCCTTAAAACGTCCACAACTACGACGTGCTTCATTAACGAAAAAATTACCAAAATATTGGGCAACAATAATAGCCCAACGATCATGATTAATATTTCCAACATGTTCATTGATGACAAATTCAAATTGATTCTTTTCTGGATGCCACATTGATCCATATATAGGATATTTTCGATGTTCATACATTGAAACAAATGTATAATTCTTATATTTATTATGGCTGATAAGTTGAAAATTTTTCGTCAATTCTTCATGTTTTTCCCATTCATTTAATGCCATACAGATACGATGATAATTGGCAGTAACATTCTTTTGTTGTAAAATCTATGTAATAAATCAAATGATTTGAAAATTGTTTGAAAATAAATGAAAAAATCAATCAAACTTACATGGAAAAGATTCGGGCATCATTGAATCCATATCACGAAACATACGTGTCGATTTTGGATCATTAATAACCGAATCTTCTAGTTCTAAATTTAATGATAAATTCTGTACATGACATTGTGATTCCCATTTTAAACTTCCATTTAGAAAATGGACAATAATTTTCTCAAACGATAAACAAGTGCCCCAAATTGGAAAATATTTTCCATTGTCATAGAATTTTTTACTTGATTCAATTATTATATCCACAGTTTCGGCATAAGGTCCTTCATCTAATGGGCTACCACCACCAGGTAATAATACACCATTCAATTTTGGTAATAATGTTTCATAATAATCAGATGTACGGCCACAGAATATTGGTGCCTTGATTTTTGATGATTCAAAAAGTTAATTTTTTTCACATTAATAATAAAAAATAGTCAACAATCTTACCACACGTGCACCGGAACTTTCCAGAAATTTTACATAACTAGCAGCAATATATTGATGTTCATCTTTATATGGATATTGTGCCAGTACACCAATGACAACACGATCATTAATTATTGGAAATTTCTCATCAATATCGGCATCATAACCGTGAACAATGACGGCGATGATGGTGACCACGATGTTAATCAAAATCGTTTTATCAATTATCATTGTAAGATCAAATTATATTAACCAATTCTAAAACAGAGAAAAAAATGGAAACAAAAAAAAAAAAAACAAAACAAAAACTTAGAATGAATGGACATATATACATGATGAGTGAAAATTAATGATGATGACGATGATGGATATATGAAAACCAAACCCAATAAAATCAAATGAAAATGGTAATTATACGATGATAATAACAACCAACAACGACAATAACAACGGATGATGACGACCGTTATTTTTGAGGATTTTTTTTTTAAAATTATTTCGTTGCTAATCAACCAGCTATCTAGACGAAAAAAAAGAAAAAAAAATTAGATCCCGTAAATCATCATAAAATCCAAATAGAAAATAAAAATCGCAATACCAACCAAACAACAACCATCATCAACAACCATAATCATTTGACGATAAACAAAAACGAAAAAAAAATTGACAAAATTTTTTTTCCATGTAGTCGTTTGATTATCATATTTTTTTCTATTGATAATTTTGATATATCATAAACCCACAACAAAAACAGAAAAAAGATTCGTTTTTAAATTATCATCTCTTTAATTATATATTCAACTATAATAATAATTAGATTATATAGAGGGAGACACATATTTCTAGACATGTCGGTGTGTTCACAAAAACATTGTTTTTTTTCTTCTCAATCATCATCACCAATCAATCAATAAATCAATCATTAATCAATGAAATAAAAATAAACAAATTATATGAATGATGATAATGATGATGAATATTAGCAGCCATTACGACGAGAAATAAGGTATTACAAAATTACAATAGAATTCGAATAGAATGTGTGTGTGTGTATATGAGCATCATTTCAAATGTTTTGGGTGTGTTGTGTATGAGTATGACTCGAATGTGATCGATCGATCGATAAACACATAATCAAGGAAGTAGTGTTACAATAGTCAATCATATAGCACGTACATAAATGTTGTGATATTTCGAATTTTTTTTTTGTCTACAACTTTTTATTCTCTGACTTTACAGTAATAGAAAAAAAAATCTATCAACATTTTTTATCTTAATTCAAAATTATTGATTGATTGATGATGATGATGATGATTTATCAAATTTATTTATTATTATTCATTCAGCTTCAACATCATCAACTTCAAGTAAAACAAATTTACTAGCTGTCGATATGATATCACCGGAATCATCATCATCATCGACATCGGCTTCAACACTTGATGCATGACTATCAACATAACCTTGTCCATGTGTACCACGATTTAGATTTTTATTATATTGTTCTTCTACAACAAATTTTAGATTTTGTATGGCTTCAATTTTTTCTTTATCTTGATGTAATGACCAATAATCTTTTCCATGTTCTTGATAGATGGCCGGTTGAAATGCCAGACAAATTGTACGGCCATCTAATGCAATACGAAGTAGACTATTAGCGGCACGATATATATCAGGTCGATTGGTTCGGGCAGTACGGAAACCACGTTTTTCGGCCCAACCTTCACATATATCATATAGCGGACCAAATATTTTCAGTATCACCATCTGGATGTTGTAGCCGTAATAAACGTACAAGATTAATACGTTGAGCCATATAACCGACAGCTGTATATGGTTCACGTAATTGAGAAATTGGATAACAACCCATCAAAACTTGTAGTTCTTTTGGTGCACGTGATGGAAAAACTAAACCGGGACAATCACAGAGTCGTACTTTATCGGTGAGAAATATCGTTTGAAAATGTTTCGTATGACCCGGTGTTCGCGAAACGCTGACAACTTTTTTACCATACAATGCATTCATCAACGATGATTTTCCTACATTCGGATGACCAACACAACCAATAGTGACGATACCATCTTTGAATCGTTGATCTTGACGATAATATGAACTATCCGCTTTTTCCATTACGATGGTTCCAGCCAATTTTTCCACTCCAGCTTTTTTAGCACCTTGATTCTTTTTACCATAATGTTTACCATCGTCATCATCGTCTTCAGATTCATAATATGAAGAATCATCATCCAATGAAACATTCTCACATTCATGTAGTTCGGATTCGATTTTTCGGCGCCAAGAATTTAGATCGGCTTGATCACCAACGATTTTGGCTACCATTTCTTGTAATGCTAATGCACCACGAACAGCCATTCGAAGTTTTCCCACTCGTTTACCAGATGATGCACGTACTTTCATGCCAGCATATGAAGCAAATTCTAAAATATTTAGCCTTGGAAAACGATTTTTCAGATATTCATGCCACGCAAGCACCAATTCGGCATCAACTAAATCAATTTTGTTCAATACGAGTATCATATCTTTACCAAGTTCATCGACAACATAATGATATAATGATGGTGGAAAATGAAATATTGGATGACGAATATCGGCCACCAATAGAATTATATCAGACATTTCAATCACACGCCATAGCTGACGCCATGTTTCCAGATTCATATCAAAATAGCTTATTGGTTTATCCAATGTACGACTTTTGGAAAATATTTCCGTTAAATATGATAAGAAATATTCATTTTCTTTACGATATAATTCATCGACTGTCATTGTTGATGACCATGGTGGCCGTTTAGGCATATCAAGATCCGTAACAGGAATATCATTTGATAATGATGATTGTTCACCAAACATGTCCTCTACCGAACAGACCAATGCTTTCGATTCATCCAATGGTGGTAAGGGTCGTTGTGCACGTTCTTTACGTTCACGTATTTCCTGATCAGTTTCATTGAAAAATTGTAATGCATAACGATTGACATCACTGGTCGTACTTAAATGTCGTTGTGTATTTATCGCATTTATTCGATTCAATAAAAATTTCGGATCAGTCATATTATCGTTCGATGTTGATGTATTGGATTCAACATTATTATTATTATTGTTGTTGTTGTTGTTACTTGTACCTGATGATTGATTTGGACTAAAATGGTCATTTACATCTATAGTACCACCAAAAGTTTCATCATCCAATTCATCTTCAATATCACCATCATCACTAACGAATGGACGTCTTAATTGTGTTGTCGTTAATTGACGATTCTTTTTCTCACGTTTTGCTTGAAGTTGTGCTTTTTTCTGTTTATTTGAAAATGGTACTTTACGTCTTCCTTGTGGCATGTTTTTTTCATGAATCAAATTTTATTTTGATTGAAAACGAAAAAAAAAATTTTTTTCACTGACACAAATAGATCGGCAATCGATATTGTCGGGTATAATTAAATCGAACAAATAGGACAAAAACCAAAGACAAAAATGTCGTCGTAGTTATCGATATCAGGATTTTTTTTTATTTTAACCGAGCTACCTGATCAACATAATCACAAAATCAAACATCAACAAACAAACACGAACGAACAGAGAGGGAGAGAACAAAAAAAAAAGGGGAATCCAGAACTCTGTTCATAAATATCGTTCCAGAATTATTATGCATGCATGCCGTGTGTGTGGATAATACATACATACATCATTCCACGAGAGCAAGTAAAAGAACAGTGATGAGCTCACACACACACACACATACACGATGCTTGATACTGTCGTCGCATGCTGCCTGTTGTTTCTGATGATCCGCATGTTTGTGATTTTTTTTTCTCATTTCCTGATAATTTTAATTTGAATTTGCAAAATTTTGCCAAATTGTTTTAAATTTTAATTATAATTTAATATATTAAAATCGCGTTTCAATATGACTAACAACACTGGACAGATTGATATTGTTGATGGTGGTGATGATTATTTGACTATGCAACAATGTCCAATGTCAATATCACCATGTGGCCGTTATTTTGCATTGGCATCATTGGCTGGACAATTAAATGTTTGGGATACAATAACATCGGATATTGTGGCACAATATATACCATCAAAACATTTGTCAGCAAATTGTACGAAAATTTCATGGCCACCAGATTATTATCCAATGATTAATAATCAAATTAATGTATGTTTATTTATTCTATTAGAATTGTCGAATGAATTTTGCAAGTGCTGATCATTTTTTTTTTCATTCTGAAAAAAAAATTTAGGGAACACCGACAAAAAATGATAATGTTGCTGTGAATGAATTGAAAAAATTGTCATTATTAGCAATGGGCACTGAAAATGGTACAATATTTTTATTTAGTGTTCATAAGAATGAAATACATTCGATACTAAGCAATGATGATCATAAAAAATCTATTGATGTTGGCCATACTGAACGTATAAATGATTTATGTTGGCCATCATCATCATCATCATCGTCGACATTGATGGATTCATTGTTTTCATGTTCACAAGATAAATTCATAATTGAATGGTCAATAATTGAATCGAAAATTAAATGGTATATATTGTTGTATAACTATTGACAATTTGATTTTGATAATTTTTGGTTTTTTTTTTCATTAGTAAAACAATGCTTGATCCTAATTCAATGACAACATCAATCTGTGTTTTGGACAATGAAAATATAATAACTGGATCGAATCAATTGAAATGGTGGAATTGGCCAAAAAAACAATTGCTCAAAACATTTAGTGGACATTCGAATGAGATACGATTTTTGCGGCCAATTTTGTTCCCGACGATTAATTCATCATCATCATCATCATCATCAACGATAGATGTCTATCTATTGTCATCGGCAGTGTCTGATCGTTATATAAACCTTTGGTATGTGTGTTTCTCAATCATTTTCCAATTAAAATCCTAATTCATTGTTTAAAAATAGGAAATTAGATCAACCAGAACCAGTTTCTTCCCAAAAGAATAAAGCATCAAATTCATTAGCCAGTTTTTTACTTGATGATGAACCGATTTCACTTGAAATTGCCAAAACTGTTGTTGATAATGTAAGCTAAATTTTGATGAAATAATTTTTTAATAATTAATAATCGTTTCCATGATTGATATTTAGTCTCTGTATATTTTATCGGTATCTAAAAGTGGTCATTTTCATATGTTTGAAGAAACAATCAGATTGGCATCAAACACCAAAGGTCCAATTGCACCGAAATATCGATTAAACATTCAAACACGTTTTGATTCAAAGAAAAATAATAGCCCAACAAAAAATCAGAATAAACGTTCAAGAATTGAACGTCAAATTCCTTATATGTATGCTTATCTTGATTCTAATCAATTAAAGGGAAAATCATCAAAAATAACGAATGGCAATACAAATGATAATCATCAATCACCACAGTTGAAAGATAATTCCAGAATCCATATTCAAACCATATATGGTACCACAAATCGTCCCATATTTGAATGTATTAGTATTTATGAATGTGAAAAATTATGTCAAGAACAACAACAACAACAAAAATCATCATCATTACCATTGGCTTCTAATAATAATCAAGCAACAATCATCAAAGATCCATCCATATTGAAATCGATTGATCTGTTACCACGGCCATTATTAGAGAATGTTTCAATCATAAAATCTGAAAATAATATAAAAATCAAAAGTGCAAAACATTCAGAACATGGTACAACAGTGATAGGACCAGCTGGTATGGTAGCTCATCAACCATTATTCAATGGTGTTATCACTGAAAATGGTGATGATTCTCAAAATAACAATGATGATGAAATGATGCTTAGCGAAGATGAACAAAAACATTCTTCCACCGATAATAAACAAGACATTAATAATAATAATAAATTGAAAAAATCAAATTCAAACAGTGATGTTGGATGCAACAAAAAATCTGAATTAACACTTGATGAACAACTTAAATTAATGGAAACAAATAATGATGATGATAATGAACGGCAACATTATATACCGAAACGGAAAAAACGAAATAGACGTTCAAAATCGAATAAACAACAACAACAACAACAAATTGGTACCGAAAGTTTAGTCAATGTATTAGTACAGGGATTACAATCGAATGATGGAAAAATGTTATCAACCGTTCTGCAGACTGATCATACGGATATAATCATCATGAATACGGTGAAAAAATTGCCCATTCAACATGTACCAAAATTATTGAATCAATTACAAAAAGGATTGATTTCTGGCCAACAGAGCCAAAGAGAAAGTGGATCAAATAGTGGTGTTGGTCAACAATATTCAATCTATTTGAAATGGATTACATTTTTATTAAGGAATCGATTTTCATATCTAATGACGGTAAATATTTTTTACATTTCATTGATTTTTTCATTCATTCATTCATTTATTGTGAAATATATAGATGCCAAACAGTGCTGAAAAATTTCTTCCATTGAAACAATTAATTCAAGCCAAAACTGCCTCATTGGAAAAATGTTATCAATTAAAAGGTCGTCTTGATCTGATTTTGTCACAGGTAATGATTTTGGTTTTTGGTACAAAAAAAAAATTGAAATTTTATTTTTTTTTTTTTTCAGGCAAAACTTGATGATACTCAAGGATACGAGAAAATTATCATTTACAAAACCGAAATTGACATATGAATCGGAAAGTTCGGATGATGATGAATTATCAGATATGGATGATGATGATGATGAAGACGATGGCGATAATATTGGTGATCAAATGTCAATCAATGATAAAGATCTTATGGAAGAAATCGATGATGATGATGATGATGATGATTGAACTTGAACAAAAAATAGACGAACTATCCAATGATGATGATGATGATGACGACGAATCGAATGATGAAGATGAATTGACGAATGAAATTGAAGATTCTGACAACGACGACGACGATGATGACGATGATGATGAGCAAAAATCATCGATGAAAAGGAAAAGAAAAATTTCAGACTATGAAATGGATGAAAACAATCATGAAGAAGATGATGATTAAAGTTTTTATTTTTAATTTCGAGTTCAATTGTTTATTATTTAAAAAGCAAATTGTACAATTTTATTTTCTAAAAAACAAAGCTAAATTTGAAAATGTAAAATTTTTTGGCGAGGAAAAATTTGAATAAAATAGAAAATTTTGTTTGTTTCTAAGAGGATTTTTTCGCAAAAAAATTTGTAATTTTGTTCGTTTTAGTTTCACTATTTTCATTGGCTTTTGAACGTTTCTTTTTGACGACATTGGCAACAGTTGAAGCAGCTTTTTTCATCCACTTTGAACGTTGTTTATCGGATAATTTACTAAATTGTTGTTTTGCTATTTCAATTAAATCTTGTTCATTGAGTATTTCTTCACCACTATGTTTTTCAAATATTTCAAAACGTTTTTCATTATAATAACAGTGGAAAGCTTTGTCTGTGTCTGGATTGTTTACAGATTCTAGATCTTCGTTATCATCATTGTTGATTATAATTTGATCCTCATCATTGTCACCACTGTGGACGTGATCATCATCGGATTCTTCAATCTGTTTACGTTTTCCTTGATTCGATGAATTGTTTTTCTGATGATTTCGAACTTTGAATGGATTTTTTTCATTTGCCGAAATTGTTAACTTTTTTGGTCGTAATATATCGTCTTCATCTTGATCATTATCATCATCGTCATCGGAAATGATCGTAATCGGTCCGTTAGTACGTTGTTCTGGTTCCGTGGTGGATTTTCTCAATGATTTAGGTTTCACTGATGTATAATGGTTTGATAAATTGTTTGATTGATCAATTTTTGCCAATGATATCAGACTGGCTGAATCTTGTCGTGCATCACAATTGTCTTTCAATAATTTTCGTAATCGATCAGCATTCTTTTTCGTCATAAGCTCTTGTAATTCGACATCAGAATTTTGATCATCATCATCATCATTATTTCCATTATCATCACCTTCTTGTATCATTTCGACTAATTTCATTGCTAAACTTCTATGCCGTTGTCGTTCAGCATAACGTACAGCACCTTCCAATGCTTGGCTATTTGGCAATAATCTAGCCACTTCCAATGCCAGTGATTCACGTTCAGCACCCAATGCTAATGCAAATAATTTAATCAATGAATTGATCACTTGTTTTTCTGATTGATCCAATGAATCTTCAACATCATAATTATCCAATGATAATCGTTTCAACAATGAACCAAGCCATCGATTACGAATACATTCTTCTTCATATTTAGATTTCGTAGAACCACCATTGAGATCATCGGCAAGTTCACATAATGGAATTTGTAATGATAAAATGGTAAGTGTAGGTTTTGGAACCGTATCCGGATAACGACAAGCTTTACAATAGATACAACGAATTTGTGATTGAATTTCGCTCAGACCAATGATGAAAAAATTGTCTGATTTTCCATTAGCCTAAAAAGAGAAAAAAAATGATGAAAAATATTTTCGAATGAAAAAAAAATCAAACCTGTTGTTTCGTAGCACAAATCGGAAACCATCCAGAACCGAAATGATTTTTATAAACACGAATAATGCCATCAGAATCAACGACACAAGGTGTACCTTCATCGGTGAAACCAGCCCAATATACGGTGGATTTTGGTGATAAAGCAACCGGAACCGGCTGTGGAATCATATGAGCACGAGTACGACCACGATGATCAACTTTCAATACAATGCAATTGATTGATTGACCATCTTGGGGATGTTGTGATGCCTGATGATATAGAAGCATAAGATAATTATCAAATGAAGATAGATTGATTGATGGACCATCAACACAGCGAATCATTGTCTGTATACCACCAATAGTCCAAACACGAAGATATCGAAGATTAGTGACGGCAGCAACAAACGTCTGTCCAGCAGTAATACAATCAAATTGTTCTTCCTGTGGCAGTGTAACTTGCCATTCTTTCATTTCGTCCCATGTATTGAATAACATACAATACATTCGTGCTTTTTGCTGATCCAAAGGATCGGCCGCATCTTCTTGATCATCACCATTACTAGCCAACAATAAACATGTGGTTGATAAATCAGCTATCGTATAGTTCAACATATTGGTCATATGTATTGAATGATGAAATGTAAGATCATGAAATTCCACATCAATTGAACGTTCTTCATCGGAATTATATGCATAAACGATTCCAACTGAATTCCAAACCATAAAACGATTTTGAAAATGTAGCGGTGTTGAACCAGATTGAAATGGCGCCTGTCGAATTGGTGCCTGATATGAACGGGCAGTTCGAGATAATTGAATCAGATCTGATCCGGTAATTCGATAACCATCGATAATCAAATCTGAATTGGCGTTCAATTTTCCTGCCGTTAACTGATGAGATTCTGTATTATTTTTAAGTTTTACAGTATCACCATCATCACCAAAAATTATCGGCTCATATTTAGATTTGATGGCACTGATGTCGAATTCATCAGGCTCATCCATATCATCAGCTGGAGTAGCGGGGGCATTTCGATCCATTGGAAAATCGATATTCAATTCTGGAACATCATCATCCAAATCACCAAAAGGAACAGAACTTGCGACCTTTGAAAGGTTAGGCTTGGATTTCTCTGTTAAATCAATCATATCATCATCCAAATCTATATCGGCCAATATATCATCTATCGTTGTTTGTCCGATCTCTTGTGTTTGTGGTTTCGATGATGGAACTTGTTTGCTGCTTACAACTGCTGATGATGATGATGATGACGATTGAAATTTATTGTTGGTTTTCGAATCTTGAATTTTCAATATCAACAATGATCCTTTATCATCCGTACAACATAATTGATTCCGATCATTTGGATTAAATTTCACACAAGTTATTCGATTATCACCATTTTTCATTGTTGCAATCGGATTCATTGTAACGGTTTGGGATTGTTGAAATGACTGATCAAATTTCCATATAGCCATTGTCGATCCAAACGATAAAGCCAATAATTGAGAATCCATAGAAATGGTTACGATGGAAACCAGATCAGTAAGTAAAGAATGTTTCAGCACCGTACTTGGAACATCCCATTGTCCACGTCGATATATTTGAACTGAATATTCACAAGGAATGGCCATAAATTGACCAATTTGTGGTTCCCAACATATTCTGCACAATGTTTTTGAATTATTAAAATCATTTGATTTAGGCAACAATGCAGGCCATTTGTGTTCAATTTTTTTCGTTTCAATATTCCAAAGAAAACACAACCATCACATGATGAAGAGACCAAATATTTACGTAATGGATCAATAGATACACTAAGAATTGGTCCTTCATGACCTTCCAGAATTCGTGTTGATTGATTGACAAGATTAACTAGCTTAATGGAAAAATCCCTATAAAAACATGAGAAAGGAGAATTTTGAAAAAAAATCCAGTGAAATTCAAAAAACAAACTCACCCAGCACCAGCAGCTAAAAGTTCACGATCCAAATGAAATGAAAGACAAGTGGCATTCGATGTAAAACGACAGACCATTTGTTCATCTTCGCCGGCCAATTCATCCAATTGAAATGATTTAACCGCATTACTTTCTAATGCAACAAATGCTCGATCATTCTAAAAATGATTAGTGTTTTTTTTTTGCTTTAGAATCAGTTACAAATTTTTTTAAAAAAATCCAACATACAGTAGCCAAAACAGCGTATGGAAAATCTTCAATTGGAAACGATGATTGTACACCATAATCATCGGGATTTAATGACCAAAGTCGTACATCACAATCACGACCAATGGTTATTATTGCACTATCGAATATGAATTTGGTAACAAAAAAAATATCCTATTGAAATTTCAAAGATTCAATTCTTACTTTTTATCTGGAACAAAATCCAATTCAGTATGGCCATCGATATGAGCAAAACGAAGATCCAATTCTAAATTCTGCTTTTCAATTGCTTGAGTCATGATTATGTGTACGTTTGGTTTTTTTATTGTTTGATGATCAATCACAATATAAAACCAAAATTAGTCGATGATGATGATATTTTCTTGACACTGAAAGCAATTCATTTGGGCGCCAAAATCATCAATATATTGATACAGCACAGTGTGAATGAAAAAAAAATAATTTTCCATGGAACTTTTTTTCGTCCACTTGAATTTCGACAAACTTTATCCGAAAAATTTTCCCGCACATCAGATGGCGTGTTCGAATAATGTTTTTTTCGCCAGACCATGTTGTTTGAATTATGATTCTTTCAATGTAAATTTTTTTGATCAATTTATATTTAAAATAATTCATTAATGTTCGTCATGTTTCATTATAGACAACAGAAACATGTATGGAAAATTCTTATCACATCATTGATCAAACAAAATTGTCGACAACGATGGCAAAATTTTTCGTCTTCGAATCGAGGCCATGAAGTTCGATTCCAATTCAGTAATAGGCAAATTATCAAATGAAAAATTTCAAAATTTTATTCATTTTAATCATTTGTTTTTTTTCAAATTTTATAGTCGATTATTGAAAATTTCTACCGGTAAATTGGCCAAACTAGCTGATGGTTCAGCTGTTTGTACGATCGGTGATACGAATGTTATGGTTACAGCGGTGGGAATATCACCAACCAAAGTTGGTGGATCCGCTGGTTTCGTTCCATTGACAGTGGATTTTCGACAAAAAGCCGCTGCAGCTGGTCGAATTCCGATGCATCATTTAAGACGTGAAACTGGCATCAGTGAAAAAGAAATACTAACATCACGAATTATTGACCGATCGATTAGGCCATTGTTTCCACGTGGATTAGTTGGTGAAACTCAAATTATTTGTAATATTTTATCATTAGATGGTCAAAATGATCCAGATATTTTGGCCATCAATGCTGCATCAGCTGCATTGGCCATTTCAGATATTCCATGGAATGGTCCGATAGGAGCTGTACGTGTTGCTTTGGATCAAAATTATGATGTCATAACAAATCCAACTAGAAAAGAAATGAATGATGCACGTATGAATCTTGTATTGGCTGTCACTGAAACTGGAAATGTTCTTATGATGGAAGCATTTGCCAATGAACCTGTATTGGAACAACATTTAATCAAATCGATTTCAAAAGCAATACGAGAATCAAAAATTATCATACAAAATATTCGTCAACTACAAAAAGAAATAGGAAAACCAAAACGCTGTGTGGAAGAGATTCCAATGCCTAATGAGCAACATTTCCAAGCTATAAGAATGTTGGCCGAACAACGAATATTGGATGTGTTTTCCAATCATTCACATGATAAATTTTCACGTGATCAAGCATTAAAAGAAATTTCAGGACAAGTTATGACAACATTAAATGAAGAATTCGCCGATGATACGTCACAATTATTGCAGGATGCTTTTACTACTGTGATCAAACAGATATATGCTCAAATGGTTCAAAAAACCGGCATCCGTTGTGATGGACGTACGGTGGATGAACTTCGACCTATTCATTGTGAAGTTGATCTTTTTCGACCAGTTCATGGATCGGCATTGTTTCAACGTGGACAAACCCAAGTACTTTGTACGACTACAATAGATTCACAAGATTCTACATGGCGTGCTGATAACATCTCGGCATTAATTAATGGAATCAAAGAAAAAAATTTTATGCTTCATTATGAATTTCCAAAATATGCTACCAACGAAATAGGTCGATCCGGTATAGTTGGAAGACGTGAAATTGGTCATGGAGCATTAGCTGAACGTGCATTACGGCCAATCATTCCCAATGATTCACCAACAACACGTGATTTTACCATTCGATTACTTTGTGAAGTACTCGAATCAAATGGTTCTAGTTCAATGGCAAGTGTATGTGCCGGTAGTTTAGCATTACTTGATGCTGGTATTGAAATTTCTGCACCTGCATCAGGTGTAGCCATTGGCCTTCTGAAATCACCGAAAATTGGAAACGATGAAAATCAAGAACAAGAACATATTATTCTTACGGATATCAGCGGATTAGAAGATTTTTTTGGTGAAATGGATTTCAAAATTGCCGGCACAAGAAAAGCATTCACGGCATTACAAATGGATTGTAAACTAGAAGAAGGTATATCATTCAAAATACTTTATGAAGCTATACAAAAATCTAATCAAGCACGAAGTCATATATTGAACATAATGAATAATGTCATAATGGAACCGAGAAAAAAACCCAAAGAAACAATGCCAATGGTTGAACGGATACAGGTACCGATTAATTTACGTTCCAAATTTCTTGGTGTCGGTTGGTCACAAGCGAAAAAATTAATGGCCGAAACTGGTGTCAGTATCAGTCAAGATTTAGAAGATATTGATAAATTCAATATTTTTTCGCCAAATGAATCGGCAATGAATGAGGCAAAAGAATTGATTGAAAAAATTCTTCATGAACCTAATGTACCGGAATTGGAATTCGGTGCCATCTATCAATGTAAAGTTGTCGAGATCAATGATAATGGTATTATGGTACAATTACATCCGGCAATGAAACCAGTGTTTCTACATTTATCACAATTAGACCTTCGAAAAGTTGATCATCCATCCGCATTAGATATTGATGTTGGTAGCCAGATTTCTGTTAAATATTTTGGTCGTGATCCAGTATCTGGCCAGATACGAATATCAAGAAAAGTGTTACAAGCACTTGAATCACAAGTGAAGAATTTTATTAAATAAAATAATAAAATTTTTTTTTTTTGATGATAAATAATTAACCAAGGTTTCACTGTTTATTTTAAAATGCGAGTAAATACTGTAAATACTGAGCACAGAATTGGTAGTGGTTCATCATATGGATATCAAAAATTCAATTCGGTTTTTTCATTCAATTCCAAATGCTTCTGCCAATGGATGGACTGGACAACTCTTAAGGAGATTGAGGAAGCGCGCTTGACAGTTGAACTTTTTTTTATCCATCCAAAAAAACGTTTTGTGTGTGTGTGTGTGGTGGGGGAGGCATCTATTTCATCATTATTTTTTTTTTGTTATGTTAAGGATCATTGAATCAAAAGATTCAATTTCTAAAAATCATTGATGATTAATGATGGACAATGAAATTCAATGTAATTCTGGATCGAATCAATCGAGGTTTTTTTTTTACTTTCTCTTCATGTGTAATGGTTGAATTGCCTTCTAAACAATGAATCTAATGAACAACAACAACAAAACAAATCTTTGAAGATGATGAAGACAGTAATAAGGCAACGATCCTGTTGATGATGACGATATGAACAAAAACTTGATTTTCTTCATCGACATCGACAACACTCACTATAGAAGAAAAGAACAGAAAAACATCACCTAAAGCTGTCCATTTTTTTCGTTGTTGTTGTTGTTGTTGTCTTGATCATCTCTTTTTCGTGGCAATTATTGCAATTCAATCATCATCATCATCAACATCATCATTCGAAAATTTGACTGCAACTCACAAGTATCTTTTTCTCTTTTCTTAAAGTGTGTCTGTATGTGTGTGTGTGTGTTTCAATCCTTCTTCTGCATAATAATAGGATTCATCATCTGAATCTAATGTTTTTACGTTTCGTTTCGATTCGATTGAATCAATCAATTCGGTTGCCGTTCGAAATGAAAACTATGATGATGATGATGATGATTATAATCATTTAAACGTTGATTGCATTTGTTTTTTTTGTTGTTGCCAAAAACTGATTATTGGTCGTTGATAGATCTGTGTGTGTGTGTGTGTTTATGCTCGAATCTGCATCATCATTCTATCTGTATTTGAATCTGCATTAAACAACAGATATAAATTATCGTATATATGATAAAGGTAAAAAATCTTCAAAGAAGAATAAAATACCAATTCTGAATGTCATTGAATTTGATTTGGGTAAGTTTTTGTTCCGAATGTTTCCAAATTATTAATTATATAAATACAATTTTTTTTCTTTTCTCTTCTCTTTTCATTGTTATATTGGTAATTGAAATGTCACCATATATACAGTTTCAATAAATGATTGATTGATTCGATTTCAATTTCGTTTACGATTTCATGGATCAACATTTTATCCAAACACAAAGAATAATCATCATGTGATGAAAAATATTTGTCAACAACGTCATCAATCGAATCACTGGAATGAAATGATAAAAAATTGAAGAAATTCATTTTGTCATTCTGCACCCAACGGTTGTGAAACACAGAAGATTGTGTTTTATATTTTTTTAACTTCTCAATCAAATCCATTTTTTTCGGTTGTGCATTTTTGAAAATTACGTCAATCTTTTTTTCCAGCTAGAAAGAAATTCAATTTTCTATCCCGAATCTTTTTTTTTCACCAGAAATAAAATCACTTGGCTGTGATCTATCTATATATAGATTTTATTTTAATCTCATGAATTGTGGAAACATAACATTGTTCCATTCTCATCAATCAATTAGATCAAGAATTGAAATGATATGAAACAACCAAAAGGCTTCATGCGAATTTGGTGCCTTTTTCGTATATATGAATTATATATGGATTGATTGAAATTTGCAGAACCAAAAAAAACGTCTATCTCTCTAAGCCACCAAAGATATCAAAAAAAAAAAAAATAATCATCATTCCATTTCTTCAACCTTTCAATAATATTGATTTTGCATTGTGAAAATTTTTTTTTTCATTTGGTTCGAATACATTGATCCATGTGGCATCCACATCATCATTATCAATAGTAAAATAATATTATGGAAGAAACATTTGATGGTAAGTGAATTCACATATCATTCATTCCAGTTGTCCAATTTGTGGTTGCAAATTTTTCCATTTCCAATTTATTCAACTTTTGCTTGTTTGTCTATTTATTATCCACTTTTTTTTAATGTTTAACATATCTTTCTTTTTTATAATAAACACTATACTAGTAGAAGATTATCATTTCCGTATGTAAATTCAGTTGATGATTTGGTTTCCTTGTTGTTTTTTTTTGTTTAGTTTTCGTGGCCAACATATGGCATCGAATACCGAAAATTTTTTTTTCTATCTATCTATCTGTGTGTGTGTGTGTGTGTGTGTGTGTTATGCATCTGGTAACTTGGCGAAAAAAAAAAAATTTGAATATATAGAGAAAAAAAAATATCAAGGTTGCAATGTTTGCTGACTGGTTGGTTGGCTGGCTGATGGAATGTGTGTTTACCTATCTATCTAATGACGACATTTACGTTTTTTTTTTTATTTTTTCATTCCATTTTGCCATTAATCGCACGTTAAAAATTTTTTTTTAGTTGTGATGTGTGTTATACACACACACACATTTGTTGAATATTTTGTTAAATAATGAAAAAAAAAAAAACGTAAATTGTCTCCTTTTTGTGCTGTGTGTCTGTTCCAACCCGATTTTTTTTTTTGAATGCCAACTTTCTTTTGTCTGCCCACACGCACACAAACACTAAGTTGACATTTCGGTTTATCATGATGATGATGATGGTCATTTAAAAAAAAATTTACTACATAAGGCTATATGGTTATGTAATGTGAACAGAAAAAAAAATTAAATTTCCTATGTTTGGGCGTTGTATCTTTTCACTTATATATATACAAAGAAATTAGTGGGTGCCATCACTTTTTTTTGAGAAAAAAAATTGAAAAAAAGGTCAAGATAATGATGATGATGATGATGAAATCATGTAAATTAATTTTTTTTCCTTCTACTACTGCTACTACTACTACTACTACTGTACATCTTTTAATTGGTAATCCAATTTAATCCTTTGCTTTGCTTTTGTTTTTGTTTTTCTCCATTAATTTTTTTTTTTTTTTTTTTTTTTTTTTTAGTTTTCCCGTTTGTTTCAACATTGATTTTTGTTTGCCATCAATCCCAGAACCAAAAATAGATAATTGGAATTCGTTTTTTTGTTTTGTTTTGTTTTGTTGATTGATTGTGTGTGTGTGTCTGTGCATCGATGATAACTTTGATGAAGAAACAAAAAAAAAGATGAAGATTCCCTTTTTGTTTTGTAATTTTAATCATCTAAAATTAACATTTCATATATACATCGTGTCTACTCAATGAAAAAAAACCTCCTGTTGTTATGAAGATGATGATTTGAAGATTCAAAACACAGGCTCCAATGAATAAATTGATCATCATCAATCGTGTCTACTTCCTCAATGTTGGATTCTAATGTCTAATTTTAGAGTTTCTGGATGATTATTTTTTAAAAAAATTACAACAACTGTGTGAAGTAATAAATTTCTTAATCCTGAAAAAAAACAACATCTTCATACAAACTACTACCTGGTTTGCTGTTGTTGGATGATCAAACGTATGGTGTGATTTCTATTGATTTAGTGCAATCATCGCTTTTCATTCCATTTTTTTTTGTTGAAAAAATTCATTACGACGATTGATTTGAAAAAACAGAGATTGGCGTTTTTTTTTGCAGCTGTTCTTGTTGCTGTCATTACTATTTTACTTTCATTTTTTTATTGGTTACAACAACAACAACAACAACGAAAAAATTCATCATCATCCAACATGGGTCATAAAAATTCAACATTACATAGTCAATTTAGAAATCAATCAGATGGGCCAAACTGTGATTTGGTTGGCATGACCAATAGTGGTTATGGTGGTAATAATCATCCAGATACATTTGTCAGCATAAAACATGGACCATTTAAACGTAAATTATCGATGCGTAACATATCAATACGACGATCATTTCATATGGGCGGTAAACATAATAATCGTCAAAAGAATAATAAATATCATCATCAACAACAACCATTAAATGATTATTCAACAACGCCAACAAATATTACAACGAATTCTAGAATTGGAATATCGGCTACAACCGATCATTTACCATCAACATCATCAAATCTAATCAATAATAGCAGCAATACACAATCATCAAATGGTATTATTAGCATTAGTGGTCCATCAACATCAAATCATCATCATCATCATCATCATAATAATAATCATAATAACCACAATACGCATCCAAATCATCAAACACCAGTATTACCAAGATCAAATAATACTGGTAAACGTTCGTCGAATCATCGGGAAAAATTTGGTAAGAAAAATGAGGATTTTTGTTTTCCATGAATGTGTAACACACACACACAAACACACGACCATTTTTGGAATACACACACACACACACAAAATCTTTTTGTATGCGTCAGATTTATTTTTTTTTGTTGTTGTGTGTGTATGGAGTATTTACCTTTCTCATCATCATCATTGTGTGATATATCCATGTGATAATATGCCGATCTAATCTTGGCCTCTTGACATCCAGATGATGATAGTATGGAAAAAAAATGAGAAATTAGAAAGAGAGAGAGATGTAATGAAATAGGCCAAGCAAGCAAACATGAATGATGCAGAAATAATCCATGTTTTTTTGTTGTTGTTGTTGATTTCTAAATCTACTTATGACTCGTCGTCATCGTCGTTTTTATCTAGAAAAATTAAATGTAAAAGAATCCTTTTCATTTTCTCAGCATCTAGATTTATTATCGAATGATCCACCTGGCTTTTTGTGTGTGTGTGTGAATTTTTTTCTCATCGTGCATTTTTGTTGTTGTTGTTGTTTTTTCCCTCTGAATCATAATTATCTTGTTTGGTGAATTTATACGCATAGACATACACAGAGAGATTGTATTAATCGATCGGAAATTAATTTCCATTCATTTAAATTAACTTTTACTTTTCAGAAAAAAAAAATTTACTTTGTAAGCTCTACCTTTAGACTAATTCTAGGTTAATTTATCATACTCCTGCAACATTTTTGCATTATTATAAGATTGATTGATAATGATTATCGATTCGTGATTCGACCCATTCATGATGAAAACATTTTCATTAATAGCCTGTGTAGATGAAAAAAAAAAATTCAATGAATCATCAACCTATGTGTGTGTGTACGGAATATTTTGGTATTTTGCAATGTGACAATAATAATGACGGATGCTCATAGTCTGTATATATGTTGTCTATCTATCTATGACATTTTCTTCTTTTTTTGCACCAGGCTTAAAGAGAATACCAAAAAAATTTTTTTTTTCATCATCATCATCATTATTTCATTATTATTATTACAAGGAAAACTATGAAGAACAGCAGCAGCAGTAGCGGTAGCAGCAGGATCTCAAAAATCTCGATTGACAACAACAACAACAACAAACGGGGAAAAAATCACATTATGTAGTTGTGTTTTTTGGTTAGTTCCTTCATTTTTTTTTTAGAAAATTGTCATTGTCATCATCATTATAATCATGATAATTCTATTTAGTGTGTAATCATCATAATACTGCTGCTGTTGTTGTTGTTGTTGACAGAATTGAATTAATTTTTATTTGTTTCATTTCCATTATTGTCTTGTGTGTGTATGTGTTCTATATGATCATCATCGTCATCATCATCATGTGGTGGTGGTGGTGGTAGAATTATAAGAATTAAAACGGTTCTGATGTGTTTTTTTTATTTCTCATTCTCATGGGTTAGATTTAAATTTAGATTTTCCGTTTTCTGTTTTTTTTTTTAATAACGGTAAACAGATGATGACATTGTTTATCCGTATACGGACGGAATTCATATATTTTGGTTTTTTTTTATTGTTATTGTTGTTGTTGTTGTCGATTTTGATAGTAATTTTTGCATCTTTTTTTTCATTCAAAAGATTACTATCAAACGTACTCATTAACCAACCACCACACACACACACACATAAACTTTAAATTGATCATTTCCGCTACAATTGAGACTTTAAACCCGTTCTTGTTCATCATCATCATCTATTGCTATTGCAAATATCTCTATCTCTATCTTGAATAATTTTGAACAAAGAAAATAGAAAAAAAGTCTATTTTCTTATTTGATTTTTGTTGTTGTTGTTGTTGTTGTCATAGTCCTTGAAAAAAAGGCAAACGACAATCATCATCATCAATGCCTCCATTCAAAGGTAGGAGATTGTCTATGTGTATCGGTGTGTTTGTGTGTGTGTGTTTCGGTGCGATTATTGTGGCTAAATTTTTTTTTCTATTTATTACCTATGGAGTACATTCGATTTTTGTGTGTGTCTGTTTGTCTACGAATGATTATCTGAATTGGATGTGTGTGTATGTGAGTAACGATAGATCCATTCATCTGTGTCGTTTGGAGGTTTTTTTTCTTTTATTTTCAGTATAATAATGTTCCAGTAGTGAGTTTTTATTATTTCAGTTGATTTTGTTTTCATTCTTTCTCATATACAACTCTTTGTCAACAGATTTTCAAACGATATTCATCTAGATTCGTAGATTATTTTTATTAATAAAATTGGATTTTTTTTGTCATTTTGGTTAGTAATGGATCGACTTCGGAAATCGTTCCGAAATTCATTTCGTAAGAAAAAACCCGATATTATAACCGAATCACAGAAACCACATCAATGGCAATCAGATGAACAATCCGTACGTTCGGGTAATTGTGTATTTTCAGTAAAATATCTTGGCTGTGTTGAAGTATATGAATCACGTGGTATGCAAATATGTGAAGATGCATTACGCAGATTAAGGGTAAGGGGATTAATTTTTTAACGAAAAAAAAAATTTGAAATCATTTTTTTTATTCCACTACAGAATTCAAGAAGACGTGCCGTCAAAGGTCAATTATATGTTACCGGCGATGGTATACGTGTTGTCGATGATGATACCAAGGTATGATTTGCATTTTTTTAATGGAATTTTTTTTTCTAATTTTTCAATCCTTTCTTTTAATAATAGGGTTTGATTGTTGATCAAACCATTGAGAAGGTATCATTCTGTGCACCGGATCGAAGCCATGAACGTGGATTCTCCTACATTTGTCGTGATGGTACTACACGACGATGGATGTGTCATGGTTTTCATGCAACCAAAGATTCTGGTGAACGTCTTAGTCATGCCGTTGGTTGTGCGTTCAATATTTGTTTGGAACGTAAACAAAAACGGGATAAAGAATCTGTATCGGCAATTTTAGATGCAAATAATTTCACCCGTACTGGATCATTTCGACAATCATCAATTACGGAACGTTTACAGGATCCACAAGTTGCAAAACCATCTGGTTTGTTCCTCTAAATGATATTTCTGAATATATAAATTTAACAATTTGGTTTTTTGTTTTCATTGCAATAGAACCTGTTCCAGTGAAACAACCAGTACATAATCCATATGCAGTGGCTAGACCACATGCAACGGCAAACCTACTTCAACGACAAGGTTCATTACGTGGTGGCCCTTTAAACCATGCATCACCGTTTAAACGACAGCTTTCATTACGATTAAATTCATTGACCGATTCGTCTATAAATGATCCATTAAAATCATCATCATCATTAACATCGTCGCCTATTAATTCTCACACCAAATCCAATGGTAGCACTATTGATCCATTGGATACAAATGTAAACAACAACATTCCAATTCGTAATCGTGCTCATTCATTAGATTTAGCAACATTTGAAGAGCCAGTAATGGAAACAAAACGACCGGATTTTTTGCACAAACTTTCATTAACACCATCTGGTAGGTTATAAAAATTGAATGAAAAATATCTGATTCGAGTTTGTTTTTTTTTCGTTTATAAAGTGGCGCCAATCCAAGAAGTATCACCATCGATAATTGATAAATCGATAGTGTCAGAAACAAAGGCTGAAGATTCAGGCTCAGCAATCATAGCAGCCATGTGTCAACAATTATCACAAGGTTTAAGTTTGTTAAGTGCTAAAAATGATGATGATGTTGATGATGATGATCAAACAACATGGCCATTGACTTCACAAATTGGTCTAAGCGGTGATGGCAAATCTCATTTCTCACCACCAGCTACACTACAATCATCCATTGCGCAAAACATTAACAAATCAAATGGTACCGGTCTAAATCATCTGGTCAAAGATGCTAATTCATTGTTTTCATTTTCAAATATCGGTTTGTTTGTTTTTGAATTTCTCGATCATTTCAATCTAATAATTCATTGTAATTAATAATTTATAGATCAATGGATTTTGAACAAACCATCCACATCCTCATCGACGACGACGACAACGATGGTTCAACAAAATATGGATCAAAAATCAGATAATTTAAGTCATCAATTAAATACTGGTAGTCTGGATTCAGGAATAGCTGCTTGTTCTGGATCATCATTGAATGGTTCAATAAAAACTTCTATGACAACAACAACAACAACGACGACGACCTTGCCATTGATTCCACCTGCAGTTGTGGATCAAATGCCCCAAGTTTGTGCGCCACCACCGCCACCATCATCATCATCGCCTTTATTTACGTCATTATCGGCCTTTTGTTCATCTTCATTATCATCATCAACAGAATCGCCTGCAACAATAATTCTACAGCAACATCCAACAACGACGACGACAACAACAACAGTGCCAATATCAACAAATTTTAGCATATCATCATCATCGAAGACAATTAATAACAATAAAATCAATGGTGCCAACCATACAAAGAATCCATTTCTAGAAACAGCAACAATTTCAGATGATTGGAACATAACATCGGCAACAACAGTAATACCAACGACAACTAATAAAACAACAACGGCAGCTGAAACAACAACCACAAAAATATTCAAAAGTACGAATCCATTTCTTGATCTAAGTCAATCACAATTTGGAAATAATGATGTTAACATTACCAATAACAATAATACAAACAAAACAAAGTCTTTCGATCCAATGAATTCAACAATGTTAGAAACTGCCGAAACAACAGATGTATCATCGTCATCATCAACTTTTATAACAGCTACAACAACAACAACAACGACGACAACTACCACCAGCACCAGCACAAATCGACAGATGATTAAAGCTTTTGAAGTATCAATGTAATTTTCAAATTAATGAATCATACGAATTGTACGAATTTCTAGATATTGTTCTCAAAGTTAAAAAATCTTTATTATCACCATTATCAAATCGTAATCATTAGATGATTCATTCATTCATTCATCATCATCAAAATCATTCAAATTGAAACTAATGGTTGTGGATTTTTTTTCTCTTTTTACTCAAAAATATTTTCACATTTTTTTCGCCACTTTTTCTCCTTCCACTTCTTTTGGAAAATTCATTTATTCAGCGATCCAAATATGTATCGAACACACACACATACACAAACAAATATACAGGTGATAAATTATTACGTGCATGTGTCTCATTCTCTCTGTTTCAATATTGTTCGCCACTTCCCTATATTTTTTTTTTTTTTTGTCAAAAGAAATTTTTTTTTCTTTCAAAATCAAGTTGGATAAAAAACAAAAATTCATTCCAGTATTGTAGCCAGCCTCTGAACCTGTTGAAAATTATTCCTGTCCGTCCTTACTATAATACTATACTTTCTGATTTATTCATATATTATATATATATTCGTTGATGATGTGGGAATAATTTTTTTTTTCATTTTTCGAGATAGTAAATTTTCATTTTCAATCCACAATATATGTTTGCATGAAGATTCTTTTTTTTTGTTTATCTTTAGAATTATGATGTTCATTGATCCACAAGATGATTATGATTATGATTATTATTTATAAATATATTTGTAGATTGATAATTATTAATTGAATTGAAATGATGATGATAATAATTATAATTAAAAAAAAACGTTGAATTATTTTAGTGGCTTCTGTTTATATTTATTTATTTTTTTTCTCAAAAAATTTTCCGGTAAATTGATTTTTTTTTGAAATATTTTCATCAATCAATATAAAACAAAAAGTTTCCATTCAATTTGATTATCGTATTTGTTTGCGAAATATTTTCAACAGTGGACACACGCTATAGTTTGTGTAAAAGTGTGAGACAGAGAAAAGGTGATAATGTTTCCATATTTGGTTGAATACATGGAAACAAAAAAAAATTTTCCGTTAATGTTTTGTTTTTTTTTTTTTTGCACATTCGTTTAATGAAATTTTGTTTATTATGAATGATGATTAATCACACACTCACACACTCGTATAATAATTTCATTTCAATCAATTATCATTGAATAATTTCATTTACAATAACGGCGGCAAACACTTCACTCGTTTTTCCTTCATGGAGAGAATGTCCATATATTTATTGTATGGTAAGGTAAATATATTTTCAATGAAACAATTGGCTCATTTCATTATTGTTTGCATCTGATCGATGCAACAACAAAAAAAAAAACTATTGCAATATAATCATTCATTTCTATAGTCATAATGTCTATAAAAATATTGCTATGCAAAATCATCTGTTGTTCAACAATCAATTTTTTTTTTTACTTTACTAAATACTAATAACGCCCCACCTGTTGCTTTTTATGTATGGATGTAATGCACCTGTTAATATATATATATACACACAGATACATTGTAGTTGTTGACACATTTTTGTTGCAATTGTTGTAGTGTTAGGCTACACAAATACAAAATCTTACATAATTGAATAATAATGTAATGTAGAGGTAAAAAAAAAAAAATTTTTATTGATGAGATTATCTCATCATGATGATTATCGTTGTCATAGAGTGTCTAAACACAAACACACACACAAGTATAGAAATGTACCGGCCAATAATAGAAATAGGTTTTTTATATATTTGTTTTTGACATTTTGGAGTAGATGGATAGAGAAAGAAAAAAAAAAAATTTGGCGCGACATTCATTCATATAACGGATGGAAATTTTCCAAAATCCAATCTTGAATTTACTTTTAGATTTCATCAACAATTTTCATTGATAATGACGGTTACATTTGATGGATGAAACCGTCATTTTTTTTTGTCTTTCTACTTTTATATTTCTGAATACCCGTATATTGTTGGCTTATTGTTTATCATCATCATCATCATCATCATCGACAAACGTAAAGAATTGCTATTGAATTGTCAATCAAAAGCAATCATTCATTTACAATCAATCAATCAAAATAATTTCTATTTATCGAATAAAATTGGCTAAAAATAAAAAAAAAAAAAAAAAAAACGATAAACAAAAATAAAACTAAAAACACCCACCAACCATCATGTTTATCCACTTTAAACGGAAATGGAATGTCGTTGTTCAGTGGAAAAAATCCATCAACAACATCGCATGGTGTGTGGCTTGTGAATAAATAAATAAATAAATAAAATGATGATGATGATGATGATTTCGAGCAATCAAAAAAAAAAAAAAAAAAATGAAAATTCCATTAACATGAATCGATCGATCAAAAAATTTTTGAATAAATTCCTATCTCGAGGATTTTGAGTAAAAAAAATAAACAGAAAGAAATAATTCTCCATTTCCGATTGACCTCTGATTGGTTTTTGTAATCTTGAATGTAGGCTATGTGTGTGTGTGTGTGTGTGATCAATCCTTAAATTTTAATTTTTCTCTCTTTTTTTTTGTCCATTTCATTTCCATTCATCATTCCATTCAATCAATTAGACATGAATCAAACAAAATACAAAATACCACCACCCCAGCAAAAAAAAAAAAATAATCAGACAGAATAGATTAAATTCATAATCTTCACATACTGTTCATACGTTTATCATGTTGTTGTTGGTGTTGATGTTTGCTGTTGAAGATGGAAAAAAAACATCAATCAAAAAAAAAAAAAAAAATAGCCTAATGATGATCAGTATGATAATCATCATCATCATCAACTTTGTCGGTCTTTGGCTTGTGTTTTTTTTTCTCGTTTCTGTTGACCGATACCGAAATCGAATAAAAATCAGAAAAAAAATCGAATGTCTGGCTTGGTTGTCTGCTTGCCTGCTCTGTTGTCTATCTGCCTGTTTGTCTGTCAGTTATTCAATGATTTCGATTGAATTTTTTTTTTTTTTTTGATTAACCCGATTGTAATTCAATCAATTTAGATCATCATTGAAAAGAAATTTTTTTTTGTTTCATTTTTTTTCAAAACAAAACTAAGTTTATGTATAATTAGCTGGGAGAAAAAAAATTGCCAAACCTACAAACAACAGCAACAACAAAAACACGAGTGAAAAAATCTGAAATCTGATCCATAATTAAAGATCATTAGATTTGGCCGACAAATAACAGTAGAGAAAAAAAAGACGATTCAAAAACGATAATCAATTGTCGGCGACAAATTGTTCAACATTGATTATACATGGGAAACAGCAGAAAAAGAAGAAAAAAAAATATCAAAAAAAAAAAGCAAAGAACCAGAGCGGAACTTATTTGTGTCTACTACACAATCATTGAAATGAAATGAAATAAAAAAAAAATCAAACCGCGGATCGTGAAGATGATGATGATGATGATGACCTAACGGACGACGAACCAAGAAGCAAAAAAAAAACCGTTAAAATATTTCGAAAATAAAATTCCTCGAAAATTTCTCAAAAAAAAAAATTTAATTTACTATTTATTGTTCCACATTATTAATTGGGCTACAAAAATCAAACCAAAACGAGTTCTCTCGCACTCACACACACACACTTTGCAGTCTTTTCTTTTTTTTGGCCCACCATCTCGTTTGATTGATTTATTATTTTTATTCCCAAAAATAATCTGAATCCATAATATCACACACACATACCTGTGTGTGTGTTTGATAATCCGATGTCGAAATCAATAAATTCTTCCGAAGCTTTCAAAATGGCCATCGTTTAAAAAAAAAATTTCTCATTGGCGATGGAATGGATGGAAAAAACCAGCATTTTTTTCTCAACCAAAAAATTTCTTTTCAGTTGTGTTTTGTAGATGAATGAACAAACTGACTGACTGACTGACAACGATGATTTTTGGAACAATCTAGAAAATCCATTATATGATCTCACGATAAAATTGAAATTTTCCGATAAAAAAAACAGTACAACCAACAACGACGACGACGACGACGACAACAAACAAATAAAAAAAAATCGAACCAGAATCAAAGGATTGAATAGCCCTAATTTTTTTTCCACCACTATATTTATCGTATCGGTTGTTGATAATCTTTAATTTGTTTTTTTGTCATTTATTATCATTTCATCAAACAAAAAAAAAAAATCAGAGATCCTGATTATTTTGTTCTTTTATTTTATTGTGTTCGACATCAATTCAAAAATCGATTTCCACATAACCGTCTCATGTACTGTCGTTTTTTTTCTCTCATATTTTTTTTCTATCTGATTACACAAACACATACGCAGAGAGATATATAGATTATATTACCGGTAAATCAAATCATGATAAACAAATGGCGTCACCGCCACCGTCACCGGCGTCGACGACGACGACGACGACAACGCCCGACAAATGGAAAATTCGAGACCAACAAACAAACAAAGAATAATGAGAGAGAAAGAGTGAGAAAAAAAATTATCATTTTATCAAATCAACGATCAATGGAATATTGTTGCTGCGATAAACAATTTTTTTTATATAGAAAAAAAGTTGCAACCAAATTCATTCATTCAATTTTGGATTGTTTCATTTATTACACACACACACACAAAAAAAAATTGACATTCGAGAGAGAAAGAGCATCCAAGCAACAACGGAAGAATACTATAATGATGACTAATCACACACACAATGATGATAATCAAACATTATCATTGTCGTTGTCGCCGACATCACCATGGTGGCGTGGCATGACTTATATTTGTATATTGTAGATCATCATCATCTTCATCATAGTGATTGTCGGCGTCGGCAGCCGACCGGATCGACATCAATCGACAACAAACGATGATAGTAGTCATGGTGGCAAATGTGTGTGTGTGTGTGTGTATGTTTTCCATCATCATCATATCGCAAAATCATTCATAAAAGAGTGTGCCATGTACATGTACATGATATATACTATGAAAGAATGAATGAAAAAGAGACAATGGAAAAATCGGTCGTCCGAAAAAAAAAGTATAAAAGGAGTGAACCACTTGTTGAACATCATCATCTCGATTTTCGCCAACCAACTTAATCAACAAGTCATTCAAACATCAACGAAAATTTACGTTTAGTTTGTTGTTCTATTATTCTTTAACAATCACCACCAAATTATTTTCAATTTGTCATCATCATGTCGTCCACTGAACAAGTTCCAGCCGCCAATCCAGCTGTTGAAGAAACTAAACCAGCAGCAACAGCAGCAGCAGATCAGCCAGATGGTAAATGTGCTTGTCCAGCTAAACCTGAAAACCAAAAAGATGGTTGCTGTCAAGGCAAAACATCATGTCCATCATCTAAACAACCGGAACAAGCAGCACCAGCGGAAGCTGAAGCTCCAAAAGCTTGAAAATAATTGAATAATTTTTTTCACTCTTTTTTTATCTCTCTTCATTCGAAATTGATTGATCTTTGATTTTTTAAACCAATTATTCACAGTAAATTTTCTTGTCTTTTTTTTCGCAAAAAAAATTCTTATTTTATCTGTCTCAATCATATAACTGCTTCTTCAGAATTTACAAAACAAAAAATCCAAGTCCGATTTAGTCAGTAAAAAAAAAACATCACTTAACATCGAATAAATCATGTGTAATCCAACAATAACGAGCAAATCATGACATTCGAAATCAAACAATGACGATGATGAATTTTTGTAAGTGATGAAAATATTTTCAAATTGAAATTTGATTGAATTTTAAAAATTCCATCAATCAATCAATGAAAATATGATGATTTCAGCATACAAATTTTTCATCGTTTTTCATCGTTTGATTCTGATTTAAAATGTTTGTTTGTTTTGTTGAAAACGAAAATCTGTATAACACACACAGAATGGACAGAATTTTTTTTTTACAAATTATTTATGTTTGAAAAAATATCAATAAAATAAATCTGTTTTAGAAGCGATAAAAAACAACAAGTCAGAAACATTGATTTGAATTTTTCTGTTTATGCGTGGGTTTCATTTTACGGATGATCATGATGATGATGATGAAGTTGAATCATGGAGCCGGCACATTAGGCGTGCCGTGTTGTTGTTGTTGTTTTGTGTATTCCAAATTTGATTCGAATCATCATCATCATCATCACAGATGAACAAACACATTTGGATCTTTTTCCATCATCATCATCATCATCATTCATTTTTTGCTGTTGTTTGTTGTGTTATCTGTCGGCTATTTCAATGAATGAATGAAAAAAAAATTGGAAAATTTTTATTCAGGTCATTCTCTTCTTCATCATGTTCTTTTAATTTACCAAAAATCCACACAATTTTCAAGCAGCCATTCAAGCGAAATTCATTTCGTTCTGTTCTCAATTCTCAGTCTCATTCCAAACACGCACACACACACATGGGATGATAGGATTTGAAAAAATTTTTTTTTATCCAAAAGTCATGATATTATTTTCTTTTACCGCTTTAATAACCGCAATCATGATATAAAATTTTTTTTCTCCAATGATCATTCATTCACTCATTCAGTTAAACATTATGGTATTTAACCGAATGGCACGATCGTTGTCGTCGTCCATTTGAACCTTTCGTTGTTGTTGATAACATATACGTATATATGTCCGTTCATTATGTTTCGACGAAAAAAAAAAAAAACAATGGCGCCTGAATCTTGATGTGATATTTAGATGAATTATAAATTCGAAGATTGTCGAAACGAACGAAAAAAAAAAAAAAAGAGAAGAAGACGAGACTTGTTTTTTTTTTATATTCAACATTTCTCCTCAACAAATTCAATAAAGAAAAAAAAAGAAGAATACCCGAATGGAAAATTTTTTTTTTTTTCATTTCGTTCGTTGAGAAGAAAAAATCTTTTGTGTCACCCCTGTTGATACACACACACACACACACATGGATGGATAGATGCATTCAGCCATCCATTCAAAATCATTATTATCTGCTATTTGGTTTGGTTTTTTTTCTTTCTTTCTCATTTTTCGTTTTCTTCATCTATCATATATTTGGTCATAATATATTGTATTGTATTGTATTTTCATTGGTGTAAATGAGGTTAATGTTCTCTTTTGTATGGCCAGTATGCAATGAGAGAGCTTCAGTGTCTTTTTTTTTTTTTTTGCTACTGTCAATATACACGTAAATGTGTGTGTATGTGTGTTATATTGATGGTACAGAAAAAAAGGACAATTCAAAAATGATGATGATGATGATGATAACGAATTAAATTAAATTAAATGTTGATTGTTATATATATTAAATATACGATTGTTATTCTAGTTGGTTGTTTGTTGTTTTGAATTGTTTGTAATAATAATAATAAAATTATGGTGTGCATTTCATCTTCATACTATATAGAAAATAAAACAAAAAATTAGAATTTCTTTTCATAAAATCAATGGAGAATTTACTTACCATCATTCAAATCATGGTTACCAAATCTTTTATTTTCTAATTTTTGTTGTTGTTGTTGTTGTTGGATTCAATGAAAAACAAACAAATAAAAAAAATGATCATTATTTGGGCTCCCAATCATTATTCAACCATTTAGCGAGAATTCACATTATTTTTTTTTTAATCCTGGTGTTGTAATCAATTTGTAATTGATGATTTAATGGATATAATCTAACCAATGAGATTTGTAATTCATTAATGATGTTGATGATAATGATGATTGTGCTTAAAAAAACCAGTCACCAGTTACAAAATGTTTTTTTTTGTTTTTGTTTTTGGATAAAGGCGTTGTATCATCATCATCAACATTTCAACTATTTTTAGTTTGGTTTCATTTCATTTGATTTCAAACACACAAAAACAAAATAAAAAAAATGTCTGTCTGACAAGAAAAAAATAAATTCCATTCGGTCTACATGTGTTGGTGTACAAATAGCCAAACGCACACACACACATTACATTAATTAAAAATGGCATTTTGATTCAAGTTGAAAAAAAATTCGTTTGTAACCACAATGATGTTGATTACATTTTTTTTTTGTTGTTGTTTCGAGCAAATGGACAGATTGAAAGAGACTATGATCTGATGGATTTTTGATATAAATAAAAATGAATTGAATGAACAGAAGAAAAAAAAGTCGACCAGGCCAAAATAAGAATACCACCCTAAAATCATTCATTCATCAGTCGACCGAAAAAAATGTAATCAAAAAAAAAAAAAAAAAGAAAACAATGCGACGGTTATGACCTAGATCTTGAATCCAGTGTGATGGAGCCATATTCATTCATTTATTCGTATGATATGAAAAACGTATTATACATACGTATTATTCCAATTATTTTGTTACTTTGTGACCAAATATTCGAAAAACTCTATCATTATCCTCCACATGTTTCATCATCATTATTCATCCATATGGTTTCTATTGTTTTTTTTTCATTTCTTATTCAGAACAATTGGATCATAACTATTCTAGAGAAAAAATCACCATGTTACTAACATATCATCATTATCGTTAATCCGTGACATACACAGCAAAAATGTTCCGATGGATCCACCACACACACACACCACTTTTTGCATTCAAAGACGATTGAATAAGTTTCTTTTTCAGTTCCGGTTGGTGTGTGTGTGTGTGTGTGTTCATTCACACATATCAAAATAAAAAAATGATCATCATCATTATAATTATTGACAGCAATTATATTGTGTGTGTGTCACATGAATGAACATTAAAAAAAAATCCGAAAAATCTGATTTTTTTTTCTTTTTCTACTTTTGACAAGTTTTTTTTTTTTTGAACATCTCAATCAATCATGAATATGGAGAGAGAGAGAGAGAGAGAGAGAGAGAGAGAGAGAGAGAGAGAGAGAGAGAGAGAGAGAGAGAGAGAAAGGATGGTTACGTCCGTTATATGTAATAAACAACATTATTATTTCAACAACCATTCATTCATATATCAAATTAATGTTTTTCATTTTTTTTTCTCTTTCTCTCTCTTTCTCGAATATCACATCACATGGTTTCCGTTTCATATAGATAACCAGTGCAAGTATTTACAAATTATGTATGTATGTACATTTCCCTTTATTTGATTATCATTTGATTTCTAATTCATTTTTTCTCTGTTTTAGATTCCTCCATGTTTATTTGTTTATTTATTTTTATATTTATCTTGAACGCCAAAATAAAATAATATCAATTTTTTTTTGCCTACTCATCATCATCATTTTTATTTCGCGTGATCATCATGGCCATCATATATCAACATCAACAATTTATCATAGAGAATCATATGATCTTGATCTGAACATATAATTTTTTTTTCACTCATCACACAATCATCGTGTATTGTCAACTATATGGATAAATCAAATCAATGAATCAATAAACATTATTTGTCTATGAAAAGTTAAAAATAAAAAACAAAAAACCACCACCACCAATGGTATAGAGAAAAAGACAGTTATTCAATTTGTGATATTTTTATTCAATAAAAATTTTTTTCTTTTCAAATATTCAGCAAAAAAAAGAATCTCTATATTGACTTTGATGATTTTTGCTTATTGAATCTGTTTTTTTTCAGTTTTAGCTCAAATTTCATCTCGATTCGATTTGCAATTTGTGTTTGATTAAAATAGAATGATAATAATGGGAAAATGGACAGCCAAAAAAAAAATGTAAAGAATACAAAATGTGGCAGCATGAAATTGAAAATTGATGAAATGTAATGTGTAAACAACAACACACAGCCGATATTTTCAATTTAAATTTTTTCAAAGAGAATGGTGTCTTTTTTTTCTCTCTCTCTCTTTCAACTTGATTTATTTACATCCATTCGATTATTTTGTTGTTTGGTTCATGGTTGATTTATTTCATTCGATGATGATTCATGTTGTTGATAATGTTGTGATTTTTGTCGACCATGTTCTGCAATATAACATGAACGGCAACAGAATTTATGGAAATGTGGATTACGACAATAATTATTTTGTACGATCATGGCACAATTAGCAAATACTGGACTATCTTGACAATCGGCCGGTATATGAATGTCTAAGTAATGAAAGAGATCAAAGAGTTTTTTTATTCTGGATAAAAATCAAATTACAAATACAAAAAAAACTTACTTTCCACTTGTAAATGAACGGATGAATATGAATCACTTTTAGGTCCAGTACTGGCACGGCATCGATATTCACCAGAATCACCACGTGTCAGATGATAAACCAACAATGAATTATTGGCCATCAACATATAATGATGATGATTTGTTTGATCAACCAATAACGGTATGTCACTATTGACATACCATACAACATTGGCCGATGGTATTATCTGATTGGTTCTTTGATTTCGAACAATACAATCTAGATGTAATAATGATCCAACACGATAATCTTTTGGCCAGAAATCAATTTCCGTTGTGATTGGATCTATAAATAAATAAAATAATGAAATAAAAAAATGGGTCAACCAAACAGTGAATCTAACCTTCATGAATAGCAACTGTATTGCTTATAATTGTATTGCCATTGGCATTTGCTAAATCTATTTCATTCGTGTTTTGTGCATTTGATTGTTGATCACCAATAATATGTTGATCTTTATTATTTTGATGATGAAATAAGCTTGGATCATATGGAACAATTTCCAATTCATCACGTTTATTTGAAGCAATATCAAGCAATAGTTCAATATCTTTTCGTTCACCTTCTTCTGGTTCTATGCCGTTAGTAGCCTGCAGAAAAAAAATCAATTGACAATTATCTGTCAAAGCAAAAATCATTCACATACATGACAAGTATAATAACCACTATCTTTCTCTTCAACTCTTTGTATGATCAATGTATGATTTGGCCATTGTTGATATTTTCGATCATTAATTGGAAGCATTTGATCGCCACGCCACCTTTTGAATTGAAATTTAAAAAAAAAATTTAAAGCCAAATAAAAAAAAATCAAATCAAATTGTGCGAATGTGTACAAACCATGTAACTTTAGGTTCCGGAGAACCGATTGCATGACAATGTAAATAGATAGGCATGCCAACCTGTGCAATTACACGTTTAGGTCCTTCAGGCAAGATTTTTGCAGGTTCTTTGCAGAAAAAAAAATTCCAGCCAATTTAAGCAACAGATCGATAAGCATAATGATAATAAGCAGTTTAAAACTTACCATTCACTTCTAATGGTACCATTTGATAACCAGTTTTTGGATTTGCCAGACAATAATATATACCACGATCATTTGGTTCAATGTTTAATATTCTTAATGAACCATTCGATAATAGATCATAACGATCTAATGATTGATCAATCTGCTGTCCATCTTTTATCCATATTACCGACGATGTTGATTGATTGTTTGTTTCTAAATTCATCGAATCTTTTGATGATGGACAATCTAGAATCGCCTCTTCTTGGCCAGATCGAACAACAATAGATCCAGGATAATGTTGTGAATCTTGCGGTGGTGATTGTCCATTACCAGAATGTTGTTGACGATCTGGATAATTACCATTATTGTCAACATTTTGGCGTTGATTATATTGATACTGTTGTTCTTGTTGTCGTTGATCCGGATGTGAATATGGATAATTATAAGAATAGATAGATTGCTGATCTTGATTTGGATCTATTGGTTGTTTTGTTGTTGTTGGCCAGGTTGTAGTTGATTTTGATCATAAGGATAACTTGGCTGTTGTTGTTGTGTTGATTGATTTTGTCCACCATTATCATCATTATGATTTCCATTAGTTGTATGATAAACATGTTGTTCACCTGTATGTACTACTTGATCAGGATGGCCATTACTTTGAGTGACTATTCCACCATCACGGCTACCATTCTGATCATGTCCATATTCTTGACGATGTTCATTATACGTAGATCCTTCAGCATATGGTGGTTGTCTATGATGGTCACTATTTGTTTGTTGTTGTTGTTGTTGTTGTTGATTAACAACTGAATAATTATAATAGCTTGATTGTTGTTGTTGTTGTGAAACATCATGCGTTGGTGAATAATAATAAGTAGATTGATTATATTGATGTTCCGATGATGATGAGGAAGATAGTGGCATTTTAGATGATTCTTGATATGTATAATAACCTTCGATTGCAACACAAATATCGGCACAGCCATTATTACAACATTTATCGGATGCACGACAATCAGCATCTGATCTACATTGATCATAACATTCGATTGATTGTTCACGTTCAGATTCCGGTACAATATGAATGTTTCGTGGACATTCACCCGGTTTCACTCGTAATCGACATTCAGCATTTGCACGAATTTTACCAGTAATTTCATCACGGAATAATTCAACAGCACAACTCATTTCTTCTGGACAACGAATATCATTACATGGATTAACACAACGACAGACTGGACAACCACGTTGATCGTGATAATAATCGATTCCTAGTATACAATTATCTTCCTGACATTCCATTGGTTCACAGCCAGGATGAACAGCAGATTGTTCATGAGTTGATGGTAATGGTCTAGACGTATGAGGTACATATGGATAAGATTGTTGTTGTTCTGGTATAGTTGGCGATGCAGGAGATGTGTATATAAATTGATGGGAAGGATATTGTGATTGCTGTTGTTGACGTTGTGATACACCCGAACAGAATCGAATACAGCTATCAAAATTTTCAAATCGATTCTTATTACCTCTACAGCCACTATAAACAAATGGGAAACATGTGTGACTATTTGGATCATACCACCATCTAGCTCTGGTTTCATGACATGATCCTGGTTCCATTTTTAAGAAACATATCACTTCTGGTTGATCAATACCTTCACGTGGTTCTTCTTCATCTTCACGTACGCTATCAGGAGTTCTCTTACAGGCTTTTTCACAATCTTCTTCACGATCAAAACGATTTTCATTGCCATCACAACCACCATAGATAAACATTTGACAACGATTTTCTTCAGCAGAATAATAATATCGTGGAAAATATGCACGACATGGACCTTTAACCATTGGTTGATGACATCGATCCAAATGTGTTTTATTCGGACTGGTCGATACATCAGGAATCTGTTGTTGTTGTTGTTGTTGTGATCGATGTTGATCAACTGGTGTTGATTGAGATATTTGTTGCTGTGAAACACCAGAGGGTATTGGATGTTCATTTCTACATTGTTGTTCACAGGTTTCTTTCGAATTAAATCGATTAGCATTACCATAACAACCACTAAATTGAAATTCATAACATTCATTATTTTGATGATCATAATAATATTGTGTAAAATTTCCAGTACATGAACCACGTATCTGCGATAATTTACAGATATCTTGTGAATTCCAACATTTTGTCTGGCATTCTTGTTGAGAATGGAAACGATTCTCATTACCTTCACAGCCACCATAGATGAATTCTTTACAAACACCATCACGACTATCATAATGCCATTGTATATGATTCTTTTCACATGGACCAGAATCAAATTGTTTGAAACAATTTTCTGGATGAAATTCTTCAATCGATGTTATACCATGCATTTCTGCATCCGAATGTGTTGGTGGTAATCGTTGTCCATCATATCTAATCACCTGTTGTTGTTGTTGTTGTTGGCTACCACGTTCTCTTGGTATTACACATCGGGCTGTACATTCTTCTTCGGTTTCGAAATTATTGCGATTACCGCCACAACCATAATAATAGAAACGATGACAACGTCGATCTTCAACATCATAATGCCAACGATGACGATAATCTTGGCATTGAATATCACCAATATCTTTTGGTTCTAAACATGGATCATGTTGCATCATCGGTGTAATCTGTGATGCATATGCCAAACATTTTTGTTCACATTGTATTTGATCATTGAAACGATTATCATTACCACCGCAGCCACTATAATAGAATCGTTGACAACGACGTGTATTAACATCAAAATACCACTGTATGATTGCATCTCGACAATTTCCTTGTGCATATGGTAAAGCACAAACACTTTCGTATGAAGATGGTGGAACAACTGGAACGATTTCATTATCGCGTTCGGAATATGGATACGATGGTTGTTGATCATAAGATTGTCGTTGATGAGTAGTTGGATAGAAATAGTCGGGTACAGTTTGATTGCAGAGTTGTTCACAAGAAATACGATCGATGAAACGATTTTTATTGCCACCACAACCCGAATAAGTAAATTCCTGACATTGACCAGTACGATAATCGAAAAACCAACGTGGAAATAATCCTAAACATGAACCTTCAGCTTTACCAAGCATACAGATTTCGAATGCTGTACGTGAAGCACAAGCACTTTGACATTCATCTTCAGTTTGAAAATTATTTAGATTACCATGACAACCACCGTAGCTAAAATCACGACATCGACCTTCTTCACGACGATAATACCATCGTTTATAGCTACCACGACATGGTCCAGGTTGTGGTGGTTGATCACACTGATCTAGCGCCGTTTCCTGATAGATACAAGTCTGTACGCATTGTTCCATTGTTTCAAAACGGTTCGTATTGCCCAAACATCCTCCATACAAAAATCGTTCACAACGTTTTGTTTCCTCATCATAATAATAGGCTTCCGATGATGAATTACATGGGCCAGGAATTTTCGGTAACAAACATCTTTCAGAACCTTCGGGTTTGACACATGAACGTTCACATTGTTCCTGTGAACTAAAACGATTTCCATTTCCTTGACAGCCACCATACCAGAATCGATTACAACGGCCACTTTCATTATCGAAAAACCATTGAACTGAAAAATTCGAACATGGTCCCGATTCTTTAGGTAGTTTACAGACTTCAGAATTCAATTTCATATCCAATGGCAATCCACTTGGACAACCTTCGAATTTTCGACCATATGCAACGGTAATACCATCAGCACAGCAACCAAATGGTGTATCGGCACAACTACAGCCAGCAAAATCTGGTCCACGTGCTGGAATCTGGCTACCTGGACAACATCCATACGTTAGAGTATCACATGGACAGCCTTGATAGTTTGGTCCTTGTGCAAATGTAAACATATCTGAACAGCATCCATATGGTGATGATGTACAATCGCAACCTTGACGATCGGGACCTTTAGCCGGTGTATTGCCATCGGCACAGCAACCATATAACATTCGTTCGCAAAGACAACCTTCATGATTTTCACCAGAAGCCGGAGTATATCCATCTTGACAACATCCAAATGGATAATCATGACACGTACATCCATAGTATCGTATGCCAGTAGCTTTCTTTTTTCCATTCGGACAGCATCCAAATTCTGTGAGACTACAATCAATATCTTCTTCTGTAACTGGAACTTCGGTAGTAATGAATATATTCATAACTGTATTGATTGTACTGGCCAAAAATGTACTGATATCTCCACTTCCTTCTTCACATCCTTCACCATTTGGTCCTTGAGCTTCATTCCATCCATCTGGACAACAACCAAATTTAGATCGTGAACAATCGGTTACTAGATTAGCTGATGTTGTGGAAATCGCACACATTGATGGATCATCTCCATCAGAACAATTACCGAATGATAAACCAGCGATTGGAATTGTATCGGTTGATAATGTTGTCTGTTCGATTTCTGCATTAATAGTTGTCATCATTGTTGTTGTCGGTTCCATTGTCGTAGTCATCATCATTGTTGTCGTTTCTTCCAATGACCGTGGACATTCTGAATGATCACTTGAATTTGCTATTGTTATCATATCTGGACAGCAACCGAATTGTGTATTCGAACAATGAATTGGACAACCAAGTCCATATGGTCCTAAAGCTAGAGTTAAATTTCTATTTCCATTTTCAAATTCTATTTCATCATTTTCAGCATTTCCCATAGGACAGCATCCATATTCAGATTGCGAACAACGTTCGATAGATTCGATTATAGTCATAGGGCAATTACGTAAATCTTCATCAGCTGGTGTAGAACCATCGGTTGGACAGCAACCATATTCTGTATCTTTACAATCGACCATCGTTGCCAATCGATCAGGATCACATGTTTCAATATTACATTGTTCAGATTCGGACATTAAATTCGTTGTTGATTCATCATCATTGCAACTTTCACTTGGATTAATTTCAATTGATTGACCATTTTTCACGGTTTTCAAACAAAAACGTTTACGAATTCGTTTTCCACCACCACAAGGAACATTACATGGACCGGATGGACCACTAAACCATTGGCCTTTAGAACAATGATCATCGTCGTTGTTTGGTTCCAATTCACAAACAGTAGCTTTCATTGGTTTCATTTCCATTTGACATTTATTTTCATCATCTTTGACCACCATTCCTTTATCATCAATATGGCCACAAAATACATGACGAGTTTGCATACCATCACCGATATAAGTACCCGTACATTTACTCCATTCAGATGTGAACCACAATGAATGTGAACAAACAGATCCATCGGGGCAATCTTGGCGATCAGCTGGTCGTTCACCACGAAGTTCAATACATGTTTCATCGGGAAATACTTGTCCATCACTAGAAATGCAAGCAACTTGTCTAGTTTGTACATGTGCTGCACAATCTATATCGCATGATGACCATGATGATGTAACCCATTCTACCGAACCTAAATCTTCACAAGGTTGTAATGAACAGGATTGGTGTTCCGGTGGTTTATTGGTTAAATCGCAAAAATATTCTTCCACATATTCTAAATCATCATCGTCATCATTAGAATCTTCAGATGTTTCACGTTTTGCTGGTTGCAATTCTTGATCACTATGATTCTCAGCTGTAGTTGTAGTTGGATCTGTTGATGCAATAGTTGTTACCACAGCTTCAGATGATTCAGAATCATGCATGATCGTGGATGCTTCATTCGGTGGCGCCAAAGTTGTTGCCGCCGAATCTAGTTGAGGACCTATAGTATCGGCTAATAATTCACTTGCCGTTAAAATGGTGGTTGTAGTTTCTGGAACCAAAGCTACAGATTCAACAGGTGGTATTTGGGGTTTACGGCCACAACGAACTTTACGAGTTTGTTTACCCACACCACAATGTTTATCACACTATTTAAGGGTGAAAAAAATAATTTCATTATTTTTTCTTTCAATTACATAAAATTATATAACAAACCTTTGTCCATTCACCTGTAATCCAGTCTGGACAATGATTCAAATCTGGTTGACATTTCTGTACACTTTCAGGTCGTGTTTGATTGTTCATGGCACAATGAAAATCTGGTAGAATATCAGTAGATCCTTTTGCAGCAGGACAAATATCCGAATCGCCAGAAGAACAATAAACATTACGATAACGTACACCATGAACACATGAACATTCACTCCAATCATTATATTGCCATTGTGCTGTACATTTTTTTTCATTATGACATGGACGTATATCCGGTGGTCGTTTTGATGAATCACAAAGCGAATCGGCTGCACGTTCTTGCTGACCGGTTCGTGTATTCATTGAGGCACAATAAACATTTCTTCGTTGAACACCTGTACCACAGGATTTTGAACATTCCGAATAATCGCCAAAAATCCAAACATATCTTGGATATCCACCTCCTCTTCGACTACCATTCGAAGAAGAACTGGCAATAACATCGGGAACTGGTATTTCACCACCATATTGATCTTCATTTGTCAATGGAACGGAATATTCATATGAAACACCATGATTCGGTTCTTGATATAATAATTGAATGAATAATGGTTCTTTAGTTGGTCCAAGGGCACGAAGTTTTTCCGGAAAATTATCATATCGACGTGTACCATGTGGACGTTGATAATGAAATTTTGTACCTGCGATTTCATAAGTAGCCGGTGGCTGTATACGCCATTTTCCATTTAAATAAGATCGACCTTTTTGATTACGAATGGCCAAATAATTATTGGTGGGCATAACTTCCTGTATAGTGATGTTAGTTGATCCGGCCGGTATATACAACATATCATTATAACCGGTACGTAAACCTTGATTCTGTTGATACACTCCAGATACAGGACGACATGTAGAACCATCACCACCACATACACGACAATTATCTTCTTTAACATTCGATCCAAGGGCACGATCACAACCCAATTCAACGCACACACCATCCAAACAGATGTTGTTCGAGTCATCATCATAACAACGTGTACCATCGATTACTTTTTTCGAATGACGATAATAGAAACGTTCATTTTCTGGTTTACAATTCAATTCACAAGGATTTCCATCGGCTATATATAAATGTTAGATTCATCATTTAGAAATGAATTTTAATTGTGAAACAAAATCATCACTTTAACATACCTTTATAATGTGGTAACCAATTATAATATCGTCCATCAAATGGAATCGGATTGAATCGTGCACATTGATTTGCACGAAAATCTTCGGTGTCTTCCGGACATTCCTAGCAAAAAAAAAAACGAATTTTTTTAAAAACATTTCCGGGTAATTGTAAACAAAACAAACACATACGCACACACACACACACACTATGCTTTGCAGTTAAAGAAATGATAAATTAAGAAAATAGATTAAGGTCAATGAAGAAATGGATATATGGACCATTGGAACAAATAAATCTTTTTCTTTTTTTGTAAGGAAAAACGACTGAAAAAAAAGAAAAATCTATTTTGAAACTTAGAAAATGAAACCAAGTCATTGCCTAATAATGTCCATCATCATCATTGGTGTGTGTGTGTGTGTGTGTGTGTGTGTGTGTGTGGATCGGTTTCATTTTTATTTTTATTTTTGTAAATCCAAATACAACAAATTGTAACTGGCGACCACGTTTTTTTAAATTTGACCTACATTCATACACAGGTTGACCTGGCCATATAAACAAGGTCGACAACTTTAGTAACGAGGGACCTAAATTTCTCTTTCAATGGCCTTCCAATTGGTATTTATTGTCCTCCTAACCTATATATTTTCATTTCATTTCATTTTTAGCAGAAAAAAATGCGCCTTTCATTTTCATTCCATTATTAGAATTGTCTATGTGTGTGGTGGTGGTGGGACACTTTCTATTTTTATTTTTTTTTCAAATAAAGAAAACAACAAACATAGGCTATCATTATTCGATGTAAATGTGTGTGTGTGTTGCTATATTTGTATCGCTGACCTAATAATAATCATTGTGATGATAATAATAGAAAACGAGAGAGAGAGAGAGAGAGAACAAGGACGACAGGTATTTTTGAGGAAAAAAAGTAGATCAAGTTCAAGTTCATTTAGCTACAATAATCCATTAATTAATATAGGAATGAGCAACAAGTGTTTTTTTTTGTTTTTGTCTGGCTTACCTGAAGATTACAACTAAGATATCGTTTCGTTGGTCCGTTACAGGTTCTGTTTTGTTTTTGTTTTCAATTAAAAAAAAATGAAAATAGAGATTGGAAAAAAGCATCACTATACTAACCTCAATGGATCTAAACAAACACGTGTCTGATAATAAACACCACTGCCACATGTTCTTGTACATTCACTTAGATCACTCCATGGACCCCATGGTCCTTGATCAAGTTGTTGTTGATATGGTGAACCAAAACCTAAAACAATTTCCGGTGATAATTGTAATGGTTGTGAAATCTGACGTTTCCATTGTCTTCGATTTTCATTTGTTGTGGTATGATTAATATATTCAACAATTTCATTAGCAATTTGAATGTTCGGAATAAAATCATGATGTTTTTGATTATTTAAAATTTTTGTATCATTCTGTGAAAGAATATTCTATATATAAGAAAAAATAAGAAAAACCAATTTAAACAATGTTATATAAATCTTGTTGTGGCATGTCAAATTTATTTATAGAGTTTAAGACCTAAATTCTGGTTTTGTTGGGTGGTGGTGGCATGTTTATAAATTCTACAATTTACTTTATATACACAAAAAGATCAATTGATAGCTTACATTTTTATTATGGTTTAAAAACCGAAAATTCATCGATGCGGAAATGGGTGAACATGATAATAATAATAATAATATGGTGGTGGTGAATATGATTAATTTAACGATAGATGATTCAAATGGACGATATGATGATTGATGATAACGATAGAATGATAGAGAAAATTGCACAAATTTTTTTCCAATTCTATTCCAAGATTTTGTTGATGATGGTGATGATTTATCATCAATTATGGTGGATTGATGTCGTTGTCGTTGTTGTTGTTGTTGTTGATTCTCATCCAACGACAACAATCGACATGGACTTTTGTGATCATCTTGATGGAATCGTTGCATAATGATGATCAACCAACAATCAATCCGAATCAACTCGTTGATTTGAATATAACAATCAAATTCAAACAAGTTATATTATGGAGAATAATTCAATAATTTTTTTTCTAGCCAATAACCAACATAAACGTGTCGAATCCAATCCAATGAATGAATGAATGAAATGTCTTTTGGATTTGATTGTCTTAAGAATTGAACTGATGATGATGATGGTGGTGGTGGAAACGAATGAACCAAAAAATAAAAAAAAACGAAAACAAAACAACAGGAAGTAAAAACGGGAAAAGGATGTTGTAGTTGGCCAACAAAATAATGATATAATAATTATAAAACATACACACTGATGAAAATCGAATCGAATCTATCGAATTCGATCAATCGATTTTGATAGATTCGATCAACAACAATCCAATATAATTGATTTGAGATCTTCGGATGTTGATGATTTCGATGAGAAAAAGAAGAAGAAAAGCTTACAAACTTTTTTTCTTTTTTCCGTTCAATTCAACATTCTTTTTTTGTTCGTTCCGTTTTTCTTTCCTTGATGAACGATGACGATGATGACGACGACGACGATGAATAAACCTTGCGCATACACACACACACACACACACACACAGGTTGGGTCAGAACATTGAGAATTCAGAATGTTTTTGCTGAAAAAAAAATTTGGCCCAACTAAAACAGCTTACTTGTTCTTATTCTTCCTTTAAACGATATTGAATGACTTCATAATGGCAACATTTTTTTTGTTGGGTGGGTGGGTGTTATTTATATGTGTTTTTGGTGTGTGTGTGTCGGTTTAATATCTGGCACACAATTTACAGAAACAAAAACAAAAAAAAATTGACATGATTCAAAATCCTGTGTAAAAACATGGTTGTTGGCTGAATCACAGGCACCGCCACCACCACCATTGAATTGGATTTACAGCTTTTACCATGATGATGATGATGATGATGATTAAACACAATGTATCAAAAAAAAAAAAAAGCCAAATCAAGCCAAGATATTGACAGACATTTTTTCGAATGTTTATATAAAAATGAAATGAATGTTCGGTTTTTTTTCGTTTCCATTTGATGATCATCATCATGTCTTGTAAATTAAAAATATTCCAGACACACACAGAAAAATCAAGGCACCGACAAAAAAAAAGAAAACATTCGAAAGAAGATTCGAAGAAAAAAACCAGACAATGAATAAGAGAGAGAGTCATTCAATGAGTATGTAACATTGTTTGAATTTGTTGATTCAGCATTCTTTATGGAAAAAAAAATTTGAATCAAAAAAAAAAAAAAAAAAAAAAAAAGAATCCGGTATTTTTGTTGTCGTGTTTGATGATCATCGTTCTGATTGGCAGTGATGATAAAAAAAAAATTTCTCCGAATGAATCATACCAGGATTTCCTTTCATCAAGTGTGTGAATTTGATGAACGAATTTTTTCTTTTCTTGTTATTACTCAATTATTAATTGGCTTTCACACAATCCAATCGGAATTCTAGATTTTTTTGGCCATAAAAATCCTGAATCCGTGTGTGTTCAATCAAGTATTACTCTAATTAGCGAAAAATAAAATCATTCGATATTGAAATTTTTTTATTGATTTTTGCACAATAACAGATTATATTCTCAATGCAAAGGATTATTATGAAAAAAAAAATGAAAATGAAAATGTCAAACAAGATTATTTACTATTTACTATTTTTGGTTTTTGGTTGTTGTCGAGTTACATTAATTGACTTTTGGTAAAGATTAGCTGTTGTTTTTGTGTTTGTAAAATTGTTTTTTTTTTTTGGTTGACCAAGAATTTTTTCTGTTGTCGTCGTCGTTGTTGTTGTTGTTGTAGCATGTGCTTTTTTCAAGATTTATCTTGACATTTTTTATTTTCTTTAAACTTGACTGTTTACAATCGGCAACTGGACGTGTTTTCGTTTGAAAATGTTTTTCTTTCGTATGTAATCTTAAACGATTTTATTATTTTTGGTTGAAATGTCAAATGGCGATGAATGGATGGATGGTGGATGGATGGATGGCTTTGTTTGTCGATTATCTATCATGTCATCGTGGCTTTTAGTAACCTTGAAAACATTTGGACATTTTTTTTCCGCCGTTGACAATTCATTCAATTCAATTCGATTCGAACACACACACACACACACACCCAATGACTATGGTGACAGCAATGGTGATGATGATGGTTGTGTGTTGTTGGTGGCGGTTGTTATTGTTGTTGTTGTTGTTGATGAAATTCGATCCACAATTCCAATCTCAAGCAAAGCAATATCTTCATGTTCATTATTGTCATCATTATCATCGAATGATCGTTCAAAGATAATCTGTTTTGTTCTTGCCTTACCAAATTGTTCTATCAAACAATTTACGGTGATAAAAATGTCTAAATCCAGATGTTTTTTTTGAAATTTTCTTTTCAATGTTTCATCGTCATCATCATCATCATCATCATTGATTAATTTCGTTATAATTATTGATCGACGATATTGTTTGATTAGAATGATTAAAATTTTTTGAATAAATGTCATTACAATTGATAAAATGATCGAAAAATATAGAAACCAAATCAATGCAAATGTTATACGATTACAATAATTATAACGAAGTTGACATAGACCATCATAATGGATTTCCATACCGCTTGTGCCAAATGTTCGTATCGAACATTTAGTGAATATTGGAAACATCTATCATCAAACACACATAACATCAAATTCGAAAATCAATAGAGAGATGAAAACAAAACAAAAAAAAACAAAGAAAATTCTTACCAATTCAAATATATTAATGGGATATTTCGATGAAATGGTGAAAATGTAATATTGAAATATTCGTAAACCATACCAGAGAATTTCATTGCCAAAAGTTACATTCAAAATGGCCATCTGTACAAATAATCCCAACAGAATGATAAATTCTGTATCGAAAAATAGCAATAAACAATGATGAAATTTTAACGCTATAAATCGACGATGAATTTGATGTTGATTTAGATTCTTTGGATTTTTTCGTTTCCGTATTTTATGTTTAAAATAGCCATTATTGAATAATAATTTCGAATGTATAGAATTCAGTTTTTTTCGCAAGAAATTTGCCATAAAATTTATCGAAAACTATATATTGGAAAAAACAAAACAAAGAATTAAATTGAAATGACATACACACACTAGGAATACTAAGAATACCAGAATGGCAAATATGGCAATCAAATGTGGATAATAATCATGAAAATGGACAAAATAATCTGATTGATTTGAAACATCCAATGATGATGATGATGATGATGAATAAATATTTTCGAACCATGTTTGTCCATTATCATCATGTTGATGATGATTATGATTAATCATCACATAGGTCATATTGAATAAACAATAATGATCAATGAATATATTATCATATAATGAATTGTGTTGACAACGAATCATTGGATATATGGCCAAAGTGGATAAATAAATGATCAATATGTTTGAATGAAAATAAAAACAAATACAATGATATAACCATTGTAATAATGATGATTGTTGTAATTGGTTATATGAAACCGGATTAAAAATTTTATCCAAATCGAATCCAGTTAATTTTGAAATGATTTTTTCCATAATAATGGAGATTTCAATTTGAAAATTTTCGAATTATAATAATAAAACAAAAAAAAAAATCAATTAAACAATGACAAAAATTGAATTAAATTGGACAAATAATTTTGTGTGTGTGTTTGAAAAGAAAAACCATACACGCACACATTGTCAATATTGGAGATTACCGGTGCCGGTAAATAATTTCAAATTTCATTCACACATCATAATAATATATTTGTGTGTATACGAAAATAATGGGCCTTTCATTGAGTATCGAACGTTTTTTTGATGATAATGATTTTGGAATCATCAAAATTATTTCGCCGAATCAGCTGATATTGATATTTACCATTGTTTCGTTAATCCTTTGGTACATTGTAAGTAATTATTATTGCAAGTGATTTTTGTTTGTTTGTTTGTTTGAAATAATAATAAAAAAACTGCCATCCTAATCAATTTTTTCCTTTTTCGAATTTCTCTTTTTTCCATGATAAAAATAATTAACAAAGCTTAAAGTTTTTATCAAACTCGCTTGCATTTTAATTGGTAAGTTTTTAAATTTGATATTTTACATTTACTTGATTGCACTATACAAATAATCATCATAAATCTATGGAATCATCATCAAATCTATAAAAAGAAAATGTCAAAGCTTCATAAACGCCATATAAATCATCATCATCATTCGAATGAAATCGAACTACAATCATGTATTTCTATTTCTAACAACAATGGTCATGAAATACAAAATCAATCAATCAACATCACCATGAATAAACGATTTCTTCTGGTCGTCATTTGTGAGTTTTGAAACAAAATAATTAATCCCTTTCATCTGATGATGGTGATGATGATCCAAAATGATTCGACAAATATATGTCGCGGCCATATATACTGTTGTGGAAACGTTTCAAAAAATTCCTGTTTGGTTTAGAAAAGAAAAATTTCCAATGATGATCAAATTTTCCATAAATCTCAATGACTTTTTTTTATTATTTAGTTTCTAAGCAGCAATTATATATGTGGTTTTTATATAAAATCACTTGAAAGATAAGATTTATTTTCACTTTTCTTTTTGTTTTTCTCTCAAACAGCCGTTATATTGGGATTGGCATTATTTCCTTTTATTTATTTCATCTATATCAATCATCCAAATAATACCGACGAATTAACATCACTAAAAATGACTAGCCAGGATTCTAACCAATTTGTCAATCTACCACAGTCGATTGCTAAACTACAAGAAGAATTGAAAAATAATCCATTGGATCCTAATTCGTTTGCACGTGCTGATCAAGCTAAAGTTGAACATTTACAGCTGGATTTGACCATCGATTTTGAAAATCATATTATCGATGGTAATGTGGTTTTTTCTGCTCGAAAAATTGCATCAAAAGCTCAGTATCTTCAATTGGATACGATCGATTTGACCATTTTTGGTGTATATCAATTAATCAATGGTTCTAAAGAAACAATTCCATTTAAACTTTATCCACCTGTGCCTCAATTCGGTTCAAAACTTGAAATCGATATCCATGCTATTGATTCGGAAAAATTTCAAATTCAAATCGATTATCGAACCAATTCTACATCACGAGCTTTAATGTGGATGAAACCCGAACAAACGAAAGGCAAACGACATCCTTTCATGTATTCACAATGTCAAGCGATCAATGCACGATCATTATTGCCTTGCCAGGATACACCGTCAGTGAAAGCAACTTATTCTGCAGAGATTCGGGCACCAAAAGAGCTTCAAGTTTTAATGAGTGCTCAGATTACCGAGGATCCTAAAACAATTGATGATAATTTTCGGAAACATTTTTTCAATCAAAAAGTTCCCATTGCTTCATATTTGATTGCCATCGCTGCTGGTGATCTTGTATCGAAAAAAATTGGACGAATTTCTCATGTTTGGGCTGAACCGGGAACAATTGAATCGGCTGCTTGGGAATTTGCCGAAATCGATAAACTACTGGATGCAGCTGAACATTTTGCTGGTGAATATGTTTGGGGCGTATATGATGTTCTTGTATTGCCGCCATCGTTTCCATATGGAGGAATGGAAAATCCATGTCTAACATTTGCTACACCCACATTATTGGCAGGTGATCGATCATTAGTATATGTGATTGCACACGAAATTTCACATAGCTGGACAGGAAATCTTGTAACTAATGCTAATTATGAACATTTCTGGTTAAACGAAGGTTTCACTAGATTTTTGGAAAACAAAATTGGTAATTTGATTTCATTTCAAAAAAAAGATTTATAATTTAATTCAAATGTTTTTTTTTGCTGTATATATGTTCATCAACAGGTGGCCGGCTGGATAAACACGGTGAACAATTTCGTCAATTCACCGCATTGGAAGGTTTGGAAGATTTAAAATCTGCCATACAATATTATGGAGAATCAAGCCCATATACAAAACTATTGATCGATATTCATGGCATTAATCCAGATGATGTTTTCAGTAGTGTTCCATATGAAAAAGGTCATACATTACTGTTTTATTTGGAACAAAAACTAGGTGGTCCTCAAGTGTTTGAACCATTCTTAAAGGCCTATATCGATAAATTTAAATACCAATCAATTGTTACCGATGATTTTCGCCAATTTCTTTACGATTATTTCAAATCGGATTCGAAAAAAATTGAAACACTTGAATCAATCGACTGGAATCGTTGGTTTCATTCACCTGGTATGCCGCCTATTATTCCTGATTATGATAAAACACTTTTGATGGCCTGTGTAAATTTGGCAACTAAATGGCTAAAAGCCGATTTGAACGAAATTGATGCCAATCACTTTCCATTGGCTGAATTTCAGCACCTACATTCGATACAGCAGAAATTATTTTTCGTTCAAATTCAAAACCGTTTGAATGAATCAACAACAACAACAACAATGTCGGAAAAATTGTCCAAAATGTCAGAATTGTATGAATTAGCCACGATGAACAATTGTGAAGTCAAACATAAATGGATCATGTGTAGTATAAAAGCACGATACGATGATATCATTATAGAAGCCATTGATTTCGTTACAAAATATGGCCGTATGAAATATATTGTTCCATTATATCGATCATTATATCAATGGGAAAAAACACGACAGCTAGCATTGGATACATTCCAAAAGAATCGTCCAAATCTAATGCGTGTAGCAATCGATGCTATTGAAAAAGATCTTTATCCATCTATGAAAAAATCAAATCAGCTCTAATGAAAAAATAACCAAAAAAAACAAACAAATGTTACAAATGTGTTTTCTTAAAATCAATAAAAACTTTTTTTTATTATTTTCATTCTTCCACAAATCACACAAATAATGAATGAATGATAATATAAATGGATTAAAACAAAGAGAGCAAGAGTGGTGTTTGGGAGAGTGAATTGGTTTCATAGAAAATTTTAAAAAAAAAATTGGTTCTATATAATAGATATATTCAGAAACAAGAAAAGAAAAACAAAGAATTAAAAATTAAAAAAAAAATAATAATAAAAACATAAAAATTCATCATTGATAGCTCATTGATTGTGAAAGAGCCAAGGATCAATTTTGATCAATCAATCAATATTTACCAGAATGAAACAAAACAAGAAAAAAATCTCCATATCTTTTGTAGTTGTTGAATGATTGTATATATGATGTTTTTTGTGTATTTTCAATGTATTTATACTGTGTGTGTGTATGTTGTGGGTATACCGTAGATTGATTCATGTATGAAGAAAATCAAGTAAAAAATAAAGAGAGAAAAAAAAGTGGAAAATAGACAAATAGATAAGAATTATAACAAAATTTTTCTTTTTTTTTAAAAAAAAAAGTTGATAAAAACAAAATACAATCTGAATCCAAAAAAGAAAAAAAGAATGAAAGAAAACGCAATAGGCAGAAAGAAGTGATGATGGTGACCAACTGAAAAAAAAGACATACAAAAAAAAGAATGTGAAGAAGAATTGAGAATTGAATTTTTTTTCTCTCACATGTTTCAATGGCGAATGAATGAACTTTGACAAGGCGGTTTTCTTTGTATGTGTTAATGGATCAATAATTTTTCTTGCTTATTCGTGTGTTTGGTAGAATAACGAAAATCTCACTCTGAATATGTGTATGTGTGTGTGTTTGAAAGAGACGATTATCAGAATGGCGGGATGTGTATGTGATTTGATGAAAAATGAGGATCAATTATCAATGATGAAATGAAATCATATATTATGATGATGGCGGCAATGATCATTATTATTTTTTTTTGTTTATTCATTTCAATAAATTCATCATCATGAATTTACACTATCTGCCAATGTTGTAGCACTGCCATGATAAGAGAATTGTTGAAAATAAGGCTGTTCAATTTCTTCGGAAATCAAACTCAACGTATTCGTACGTTCAGGTGGTGTTAGCTGTACTGATTCGCCAGTAAATTCTTGGTCAAAATATTTTGTATCAGTTTCACTTGTCACTTGTGGTTTAAATGGTGGTTCAATCTATGTGTGAGTGTTGGTGTGGAAATCGAAATATTAGAAATGACATTTTTTTGACAAAACAAAAACATTTTTCAAACCTTTTTCTCAAGGACATCTTGCCAGTTAACACCACGAAAGAATGGATGAAACATTATTTGTTTAGCATCGTCTGGTCCACCACCTAAACGATGAGTAGGATCTTTTTTCAACAATCCAGATAGCATATCTTTTGCTTCCGGTGAAATTGTCGATGGAAATCTAACTTCTTCCACAAGTATTAATTCAAATAGTATATCATGATCATTATTGTAGAAGGGCAATCTTCCTATAATCATTTCATACATGGCCACACCTAATCCCCACCAATCGACCTGGTTTATGAAAATATTGAAATTAGAAAAAAAAACTACAGCCAATTTCAACTCACAGCTCGGCCATAATCAGTATCATCCAGAATTTCTGGTGCCAAATATTCAGGCGTACCACAGAATGTTTTTGTTGTTGAACCATATGTGATCTCTTCTTTACAAAGGCCAAAATCGGCAATTTTTATATTACCCTCATTGTCAAGCAGAAGATTTTCCAGCTAAAAATAATTTTTTTTTCAAAACAAAAAAATAATTGGAATGAGAAATGAAAAATCCATGGATTAGCAAAAAAAAAAAAAAAATCAAACCTTGAGATCACGATATATTATACCACGACTATGTAGATAATCTAGTGCCAAAATTATTTGACAGGCATAAAAACGAGTACGACTTTCAGAGAATTTTCTTTCATGTGTAAGATGGAAAAATAATTCGCCACCATTTACATATTCCATGACGAAACAAAGTAGATCTTCGGTTTGGAACGAGTATTTCAATGACTGTTTTGGATGATGAGAAGAAAAAAAAATTTTTTTGTTTGTCAAATTTTTTTTTAATTTCGAAACTGCAAAAAACAACTTACAATTAGAAATGGATGTTTCGTATATCGAAGGACACGATTTTCGGTCAACGTATGTGCCACTTCATCCTTTTCAATGATCACCTCTTTTTTCAACACTTTAATGGCGAATAATGAACCGCTTTTCTTTTCGCGGCATAATATCACTTTACCGAATGTTCCTTTGCCCAATACTTTTAAATATTCAAAATCATCAAGTTGTATACGTCGGCCACGTGATGATTCACGTGATGTTATCTGCAAACGATTCATACTGTCGGCCGTTACATTTGCATCGGACATTTCAACATCAGTCGATTGTGTTGGATCTAGTGGTGGCAATGATTGTGAAACATGTGCAATGGCCGTACACCATGCATCACGATCTTGTTCAGAATCAACATGAAATGTTCGTTCAATAATCGAAGTCCATTGTAGGCCACGGATAATGAATGTAAATTGTTTTGGTCGATCAGTTTTCATTATTTGACAACCACGTACAGTAAAATTATTCATTGGATCATCATAGTTGCCTGGATCGGGTCGTTTTTTAAAACCACGTAATGATCCATCAGTGAATAGAACAAAATATCTTGGACGCCAATTTTTTATATGTTCACCTATTAATGACAAATGGTTAAAAGTTGATTATCAAAATCAAAATGTGTAACACATACCTCTTTTATATATCCAACCTTCTTTTACAACTGTAGGTTTAATCATTGGTTGATGTGGTAAATGTTGTAATGGATATTGTGAATCATCCGATGTATATTCTTCAATAGCAACAGTAGGTGGAATTTCTAATGCCATTGATAATGTTAGATTATAGAATGCCCCTTGATTCGATATTGTTGTTGCTGATAATGATGATGATGTTGTTGGTTGTTGTTGTTGTTGTTGATGCTGTTGTTGTTGTTGTTGTTGTTGATGTAATGAAGTTGGCAATGTAATATTCGGCGGTGGTATACTAACTAATTGTACCGGTATACTTGAATCAACCATCATGCCTGTTGATCCGATTACTGATGATGATGATGATGATGGTGGTGGTGGTGATCCAAGTTGATGATGCAATGGAGATTGTTGTTGTTGGTGTTGTCCTTCACTCATTATTCTTAATGACAATTATTATTATTATCAATTCTCAAACTTCAGGATAATAAAGTAAAATATTTCGATTCAAGAATAAAAACTGATGATGATGAAAAAAAACAATTAAAAAAACAAGTTATTATCATCTGCTATAAAAGAAATGACAATGAATCAAGGAATTAGGATTTGAATGTTGTCGTCGTCGTTGTTGTTGTTGTTGTTTATTTTGCTGCTGCTGTTGTTATTTTTTGCCCATCCAGACACAAACACACACACACAAATAAATTGAAGTAACAATGTTACTACCACAAACTAGAGGGGAAAAAATATATTTGATCTGTTTGTGTTATTTAGAAGTTTGTCTGTCTATTTTTTTCCAGTCAATTTTCTATATAAAAGTGATGATGATGATGTTTATATCGATTAAATATATCGACAGCAAACCATATATCCATCATCATCATCATCATCATTCCATCAATTCGATTTAACCAAAATCAGCTACCACCATTCACCACACACACACACACACACAGAGAGACAGACACAGACACAAACAGACATGCCAATTGGATGCCAAAAGCGCCATTCTCAATAACCAAATTTATCATCATCATCATCATCATCATTCTAATATACACAAGAAAAGAAAACAAAAAAAAAAAAATTTTTTTTGTTTTGCTTGCATTTTTATATTTTCATCATAAAAAAAAAAAAAAAATGTTGTTGTTGTTGTTGTTTTGTTTTTCTATGGTGATGATAATGGTTTATGGTGATTATGTTGATGATGATTGTTGATGACAAAACAACGACAACAATAACAAAAACAACAACAACAGGCGACAATAGATCAGACGCTATATATATAAATAGAAGAAAAAGAAGAGAAGAAACTTTTGTTTTTGATTTTGCTCTATATTTATATATATATGGATTTGGAATAAATTTATTTTTGATAGTTTTAGTGTGTGTGTGTGTCTGTTCAACAATAACAACAACATACATCCGTCGGTAGATGGATTACCGTTATTACTATATGGTTAACATAAATACAAAGGGAAAGAATAAACACAGGCGTCAATATATATATATGGAATTTGAACAAGAATATAAAAGGTGACACTCACTCACACAAGATCATCAGTATGTTACCTATGACATCAATCAATCATCAATCGTTTACAAACTTTTACTTTCCTACCAATTTCAACAATTAAACATTAAATGTAGGTCAACATTTACAAAAAAAAAATTTGTAAAAAAAATGTGTAAAATCTCATCATCATCATCATTATCACTATTAAACACTAAACACATACACAAACAAAATTAATTGATAAAATTTTTATCAATCAATCAATCAACAATTCTTTGAATATAAAAAAAACAAAACAAAACAAAATAAAAAAAATCGAACGTCAATGGAGACAAACACACGGAAACGATAATTTACGATTATCATCTAGGAAGAAAAAAACAAAATACAAATGATGTGAATCTTGATTCTTTTTTTGATGGCTTTTATTGTTTTTTGTTCAATCAATCAACCCAATTGGCTCATCGGGGATGGTGGTGGTGGAAATATGAGAAAGAAGGTTATCGATCAACCACGTGGTTTTTTTTTGTCTTTTTGCTTTGGAACGTTAATGATCGTGATCATCATCATCATCATCATCATTCTCATGATCATCAGTATTGATGACAAGACAATATCAGAAAGAAAGAGAAAGAGAAAGCAAACAAACAAGCAAGTAAACGAGAAGGAAAAAAAATCAAGATCCTTCGATCTTGTTTTTTTGTTGTTGTTGTTGTTTTGTTTTTATTTTCTTTCGCTTGTAGGAGAAAAAAAAAATTTCCAACATTATCTCATGTGTGTGTGTATGTGTTTGTTTGTTTGTTTGTCCTTCAACAACAACAACACACACACACACACACATATAAATATGTATATATACGAAGAGATATATCTATCTATCTAAAAAGAAAAAAAAAACTAAAACCCAACATGTAGAGAATGAATGAAAGCATTTTTTTTCATTTGTTTATGATGATGATGATGATGATGCTAATATCAAACACAAAATGGTCACATCATTTAAATGGAGAGTGAATGAGAGAGAGAGAGAGAACATCTCTTTTTTTTGCGAAATTTGACCAATCAAAAACAAAAATGGATGAATAATTTTTTTTTCGTGGAAAGAAAATTGAAAAATCATTGGAAAAAGAAAAACCTTACCTATATATAGGATTTATATTAGAAATTGAGTTTGATGAATTTTTTTTTCTTCTTTAAAATAAAATCAAATTGTCAAATTGTTGAATAATAAATTCTGATTGCCAGCAATCAGTAAAACACAAACATAGAAAAACAGTGAATTTTGTGAGTGTCGATGATGGAATTTTAAAATCATTAAATCATTTTAAAAAAAAATTTAATTCATAAAATCATAAATAACAAGAATAGCCATCATCATAAACAAAACCAACATAATCATCGTCATCGTCATCATGGAAGGAGATGATGAGAAAAAAAAACTTTCAATATCGAATCATAAAATGATGCTTTTGGTTATTTAGTTTGGTTGTTGTTAATGTTACCATCACATATTCAGTGATGATGATGATGATGACAAAAAAAAACAACAACCAACTATCAACATTACCACTACCTATGACCGACAAAATTTGCCCATATTGATGAGCTATTTTAGTTTTTTGCCTCTACTTTTAGTTGTAGTAGTTGATAAATATGAAAATTAATGATTAGGATAAAAAAGTGAAAACAAAAACAGATTTATATGCTACTACTAAAATTTTTTTTCCAATTTCTATTGATTATTATTGCCGGTTCTGTTATTGTGACCACTACCATAAAGAATTTTTTTTTTTAAATATTCATATACAGAATTACAAAAATCGAATGTATTTCTTCCCAAATTTTAAATTCCAAGAATTTAGAATTCGGCAGCAACAATTTTTTTTAAAATTTCTTGAACATGCGCTCATCATCAACAACAACGACGAAAAAAAAATTATGGATCGAATAAAAATGTTCAATCACAATCAAACTTGACAAATTTTAAACTCACTAAAAATTTTGAAATGAATTATTATCATCATATGACATTTTATTCACTCTCTCTTTTTTTCTGCATTCTCTCAAATGAAAACAAACTTCAGGTATGTATCATGTTTGTGGATTTGATTATTTTTTTTTCAAAGAAAAAAACCAGTGCATCAAGTGTTTTACAGTATATGTTCCATTGATTAACTTCAAAAAAAAAATTCTATTTCCATCGATTCTATTTGGCAATTGACTATGAAATGAATTCTATACAAATGTATGGTGTGTGTGTGTGTGTTGATGGAGTTTTTGTTTTTATTTTGGCTGTTTTCAGTGTGTGTGTGTGTGTTTGTAAAATATTATGTGGCGCTTTAAATGAAACAAAACAAAAAAAAAAAATTTGTACAAGTTTTTTTTTCGTTGATTATCATATTATATGAATGATCAAAGTTGATTGGCCAGCCAAGATCATTGATGATTGAGTGCAATATAGTGTGAAATATTGAACGAAGAAGAAGAAGAAGAAAAAGAAAAAATGAGAAATGAATCAAAGAAAACATTTCTTCAATATTGTTGAACAATTCATTCCAGATTTTTGTTCACATTCAAAATTTATATGTTTCAATTGTTGTCCCCATTGTAGATGGTCACGATCATCGGATTTATAGAATTTTATCTGCAACGGTATCTCTAATTTCATGTTATCTTGGAATAAAATGTTGATTTGTAGCTAATCACAAGAATAAAAGTGTGTGAAAAAAAAATTTAAAAAAAATTTTTATTGAAAAATAACCATATACCTTTGAGCGTTTACGTTTTTTATCCGGATTACAATCATTTGTATGCCATTGAAATGAATACATGGCACCATCTTCCGATGTGCTTTGATCGACAATTTTTACGCCAATTTCATCACCTTCTATAGAACGTATTGTTACCGATCGTACTGGCATTGGTGGCCGAATTTGTATTAAAAATTCATAATTTGTTTCTATTGGCAATTTTAATGTAAATTCTTCATCAAAACGTTGTCCATCTCTCTATACAAAACGAATCGAAAATTTTTTGTCCATCAATAATCAAATGACATAAAAAAATGACTTACTTTGAAACAAATTTTCGGTGCATTATCATCGATTTGGGAACCATCCGGTTTCATACGATGAATTTCAACACAAGCAAAATATGTTCGTGTAGCCATTATGATGATTATTTGATAATCAACATTATTGTGTTGAATTAAATTGAAAAAGTGGACAAAAATAAAAATCAATGTGGATGGATCAATTTCAATTGTAGCTGGATCGATGATGATGGTGATGATTTATTTTGTTTTGGATGGTGTTTGTTTATTTATTTATATTCATTTTAATTCCATGGGAGTTTCACCCAAGTTTCACCCAAAATCAAAAAAAAATTATGTCTGAAATAACGACAAACAAACAAACAAACAAAAATCTGCTTGCGTTTTTTGTTTTGTTATGTTTGCCAGATTTAAGATTGTGTATGCGTGTGTGTGTGTGTGTGTGTGTGACAGAAGATTTTCTCTGTTTCAAGATTTTACAACAACAGAATTTTCTTTCTTTTTTTTTATCCAGGATTGTTGTTGATGGATTTTGCGCATGATGGAAACAAAATAAAAAATCTCGAATTATATAATGATGTGATGTGATGTAAATGAAACCAGTGTGAGACAAGAGCAGAAATTCTGTTGTTGTTGTTGTTTTTTTTTAAAACTCCGTTATTATTCGACGAGATTCATACATCAGATTTTGTTGTAAATTTTTTTTTCTTCTATCTCTGGTAAAATACCCTTGTCGTAATGTTTTTGACCGCCGCCACCGCCGCCTGCCGTCATACTAAACTTGATCTAATGAAGATGATATCGGCCACTTTTGTTAATGCTTCAACAACAGCATTTTTTCTCTCTCTGTGTGTGTGTGGTGGGTGTGTGTCCGTTTCTGGATCAAAAAATTGAAAATGTAAAGTAAGAAACCGAGAATAAAATGAATCAACGAACCCTAAACGAAAATGATATAGAGAGAGAAACTTTGACACATGAAAACAGCGCCCGAATCTTTTTTTTTTCGTTGTGTTGAGCACAACATAATAATTCTTGAATCACTACCCGAACAACCCTAGCTACTTATTAGGAATATACACTTTTTTTGAAAAATATTCAAAATGAAAAAAGTAGAAGAATATATTGTTCTTCCTTTCTATATACATACTAGATCCGGAAATGTATGATTAGTGTGTGTGTGTGTATGTCTAATGCTACTACTATCATCACATTATATCTATCATATCATTATTGTTGGCTTCTACTACTACTACTACCACTATCTATCTTTTGAATACAACTGTATTATTCTGTATTCTGAAGAATCGACCATATATAGACCATATTCTGGAGTAATTTTTTCTTTCTTTCTTTTTTTTTCTGTTTGCAAACAAAAAAAAAAAACAAATTTACATGATAATTGAATTTTTTTTCTCGTTAATTCATTCATTCATTCATTCATTCATTGAAAAATGTACCAATCGGTAAAGAAAAACATTTTTAGGTAAATACAAAAAAAAATTGTCATTGACGCGCATGTTTGCCGTACGGAAGGAAGTTGGTTAAAACACATACACACACACACACACACACCTGGCATAATTTATACCATTGAAAATCTATTGATTGGGTGTGTGCTAATTTATTCATTCTTTATTATTATAATTATCTTCACACTACAGCAACAACAACAACAACAACAACAACAGCCACCAAAAGATTGATGAAAATTTTTGGAAAATTGAAATCGATCCATTAAATTGAATCGTTAACGACCAAAAAGCTGCTTTGTATAGAATCTTAATTTCTTTTTGTTGCTGCTATTGCTGTAATTTTATGATGATGTTCGTTGATATAGTTATATTATATGTTGAGTGGCGGGTGGATGGAAAGAAAATGCTTTTCAAGTGTGTTTTATGTTGTGTATTCTCAAGTCCACCGAATTGAATATCAACCCGATGAAATATAATGAGATGGTGATTATCACAGGCAAGAAGAAGACGATGAAAATAAAAAATCCATATAAATTATTAGTGGCAAATAGTAGACACTGACTTGAAACTTGTTATAACAAAGTAAATTACATCACACACACACAGATAAGTAGACACCTTGTTTTTTTTTATCCATTTACAAACACAAGCAGCAATCGTGTGTGTGTGTGTGTGAGTGAGCGTTTGCAATTATAATTGTGTAAATATAATAAAAAAAATGAATGAATGAAATGAAATGAATAAAAAACAAAATCACATCTCCATTCATCCATCAAATTAATGCTGATAATTTTCTTTTTTTTCATTCAATCGGTAATAATCATTATCATCATCATTGTAATATAGTTTGACAAGAAAACTTGGTATTAACGAGGGAGAGAGAGAAATTATTGCAACTATCCCGTTGCAACTTTGTTTTTTTTCTGGTGATAGACAAGAATTTGGATATAATATGTCGATGGTGATGAGAAAATGAAATGGATCGGTAATGACACACACACACACACACACACACACACACACGAATGTTACCTGGGAAACTTAATAACAAATTTATTGGATGAATTTTAAAGAAATGATGATGATGATTGCTGCTGCTGCTGCTGTTGTTGTTGGGTTGGTTTTCTAAAGTGCAATCGAATGAAAAATTTGTGATTTTTTTTTGCCTCTCATTTTTTTTCTGTTTATTTTTTTTTATCATTATTATCATGTGTGATGATTATTTTAAGAAACCGAGAGCAACAACAACAACAACAACAAAAATTATAATATCCAATGACGATTATTATCAATGGTAGAAGAAAAAAAATGAAATTTCGCTTGTTTATTTTTTTTTTTTAGAGATAAATTCATATTTCTCTTTTCATCATCATCATCATCTATATAATGGAGTAATTTATTTATGAAGCAAAAAAAAAAAAAAATATTGGCCTTCAATGTCCGTTATATTGTATTTAAAAAAAATTGTGTGCGTGTGTGTGAAGAAGATGATGCTAAAATACAAATCGATGATTTTGGTATGGTTGATCGATCGATCGATTGATCGATTGACCATTTTTTTGTTTGTTTGTTTGTCCCAGAGGGAGAATTGAAAATTTTAACTTGATCCATGGGGATATACCTTCTTGTTACGAATTTCTTTAAAAATTTTTCAATCGAAACAAAAATCAGAAATTCTTTGATCTTCAAACCTTAACCTTGAACAGTCACATGTTCATAGAAACAGGTAAATAAAAATACAAACGCAGCTGTCAGGAGTAAAAAAAAAAAAATTACGAAATTGACAAAACAAAACACATTTCGATCTACTTCAGATCTCAAAACAAATTAAGCTAATTGACCCTGACAATCAAAGGACAGTCAAAGCATATACCAAATCAACAGACATCTACGGAGAGTATCAACAATCAATCAAGATATTGACCCACGAGTGAGAGAGAATTATTGTCTAAATTCCCTCGATCACTACATGAACCAAATTAACCCGAAGTCAAAACACACAATGTCAAACACAGCATCCGTCTAACAGATGAGAATGAAAACAGTGTTCGCTCATCCTACACGTCTAGATCCAATCAAGCTAAAAGCTGTAAAAGGATGAACTCCAACAAGATGCTAGAATCGGGAATCATACAAACGTCATCGTCAATATTCGCTAGTCGAATAGTTGTCGTTCCTAAAGCTAACGGTCAACCTACGATTATGCGGTGATTATCGCATGCTAAATAGAATCACCATTCCTGATCGCTATCCAATCAAGCACATAGAAGATTTCTCATAAAAGTCTTCGTAATACAAAAGATCTTCCTCAACCATCGATCTATTATCAGCATTCCATCAGATCCCCGTATGTGAGGAAGATCGTTTCCAAAACAGCAATAACAACACCAAGTTAGCGGTTTATACGATATTCGACTACCATTCGGATTACTGAAATGCTCCATCAATATTCCAACGGTTCATCGATCGGAGTCTTTTCGTGAACTTCTGACTTCATCTATTGCTAATATCAGGACGATTTATTAATTGCATCCGAAAATGATCAACAACACATCAATCATTTGGAAAAGGTTTTCAATAAGTTGAACGAATATGGACTCACCATCAACATTGAAAAAATCAAAGTTTTCCAAACCGAAGTGAAATTTCTGGCCTCACATTGTAGACAAAATGGTATCCGCATATCACCCGCCATACAAGTTGAAAGCCATCGATGAATTTCCTCAACCTGATTCATTGAAATCTCTCTCAAACGATTTATCGGCATGGCCAACTATTATCGTCGATTCATGTACCACATGCAGCCAAAAATGGATAAACTGGTTTATTATATATGAAAATTAAGAGAAATGGCCTTGAATAAAATGTGCAAACACTGAAAGAAATCAATTAATAATCAATGACCACCCATGTGATGATGATGATGATGAACAACAGAACAAAACTACAGCAACAGGCAGTGTAAATGGTAGTTTTTGACGAAAAATAAAAAAATAAACGATCGACATCGAATCGAAAAGGGAAAAACGAAATTGTTGACATTTTATCATCGCACTGTGAGCAGCCATAATCGTAACCATTTTCGTCATTTCGTTTCATTTTGTGTACATCATCATCATCATCAACAAGTGCATAGTGTACGTGGTTATATCATTAGTTTTCAATTTGTTTTCAAATTAAATTAATCAATTTTTTTTGTAAAAAAAAAATTTTCCTTTTTTTATCTATTTTTTTCGGATTTTCAACCAGTATATATATAAATCTTTTCTTTTTCTTACTTCGAAAAGACTACAATATTTTGACAAAAAAAAATCTGAAATAAAATAACAATATGCCCGAAATACGGCCAATATTTTATTGGATGCCTGAAAGTCCACCATGTCGTACTGTGTATGTTGTTGCAAAAATGATTGGCCTAAAAGATTGGGATATTAAATCGATTGATTTGACCAAATTGGAACAAATGTCTGATGATTATCTAAAGGTTTGTATATTTTGTAAATTAATCAAATTTTTTTTTTTTGTTTTTTTTTTCACCACTTGTTTTGTTTATCATAGATAAATCCATTTCATACGATTCCCGGTTATTTTGAACCACCAGATTTTAATCTTTATGAATCACGTACTATTGCCCGATATATTATTGAAACATATCGGCCAGAATCATCATTATATCCAATGAATGATGTACGAAAACGAGCAATGATTAATCGTTGTATGGATTATGAATTGGGTACATTATTTCGTGCCATGAGTGATGTTGTTGTGAGTGGTTGATGATGATTTTGTTTGGTTTTTTTTAATTTTTCTGTTAATTTGTTAATAATCTATTTTTGGTTATTTGATTATTGATTTAGCTTCCAATATTCAAACCAGGACAAGGTTTACCAAATAAAGAAAAACTTTCACGTTTCATTCAAGTATTGGAAGAATTTGAAAAAAATCTTAAACAAAATCAATTAAAATATTTGGCCGGTGGTAACGATATAACATTGGCCGATTTGGCCACCTATTTTACATTGATCATGTGTGAAGCTGTTCCAGAATTGATTGATTTAAGCCATTATCCAAATCTTTATTCATGGTTGAATCGTATTGATAATTTTATTAAAGAATTGGATTCCAATAAAAACAATGTTGATGCTGGTGTACTTGTTAAAGCACAGGAAAATTTCTGTACATACGCTAAATATTGTCAACAACAAGCACAAGAACAAAAACGTTCTGAATGATGATGATGAATGGATATAAATTTTTAAAAAAATGAAGAAAAAAAATCAATCAAAATATGATTCTGCGCTCAAATCATATGATATATATGTATTAGATGCAGCAAACATACACACACAAACACACATGATTTTTCAATAATGATGATAAAATAAATATATACCACACTCATTTATGATTAAAAATTTTTTTCAAATTATCATGTTTCGAATATATTATCATCCAAATAGCTAAATAATAAAATGATGATATCAATGATTAATGATAATTAACCATTCGTTGTTTTCTGAATATTATTAAAAATTTTTATAGTTCATCAACGAAAAAATAATGTTGTCAACATTTAATTATCTATTTGCATCTAGTTTGATTCATTATGATAAATTTTTTATTGAATTGAATCGATTCTTTCAATTACGATTAGCATATTCATATGTCAATACTGAATCATTGGCAAATTATTTCGATGTTGTCGTTGTTGGTGGCGGTATTGTTGGTTCGGCAACTGCACGTCAATTATTATTAAAGTAAGTGTAATCATTCAGAGTACAAACAAAACAAAAAATTCATTCGTTTCATTTGATTTTTTTTTTAGCCGACCTGGATTACGTATGGCCATTTTGGAGAAAGAAAATGAATTAGGTATACATCAAACTGGCCATAATTCCGGTGTCATACATGCTGGTATCTATTATAAACCAGGATCATTGAAAGCTAAATTATGTGTTGAAGGCAGTCGATTAGCGTATGAATATTGTGATGAGAAAAAAATTCCATATAAACGTGTTGGAAAACTTATCGTTGCCTGTGATCCATTAGAAGTGGAACGTTTAAATGAACTTTATGATAGATCAATCAAAAATCAAGTTCAAGGTGTTGAATTATTACAATCCATTGAACAAATTCAAGCTATTGAACCAAAATGTGTTGGTTTAGCTGCCATTTGGAGTCCAAATACTGGTATCGTAGATTGGGGCCAAGTGAATCGTTCGTATGGTAAAGATTTCAAAGATAATGGTGGAACAATTTTCACCAAATTTCAAGTGACAAAATTTGAATTGAAAACAAAATCATCTGATGTTGAATCTGGTGATTATCCCATTATGATTACTTCAAAAAATGGACAACAAATTCATTCGAAATATGTGATTACTGCGGCCGGATTATATGCCGATAAAATTGCTCAGTTAACTAATGGAAAAAAAATTCCGAAAATTGTTCCATTTCGTGGTGAATATCTCGTACTGCGTAAAGAATCATCAGATATGGTTAAAACAAACATTTACCCTGTTCCTGATCCACGATTTCCATTTTTAGGCGTCCATTTTACACCGCGAATGGATGGAAGCATTTGGGTTGGACCAAATGCTGTTCTAGCTTTCAAACGAGAAGGCTACCGTTATCGTGATTTCAATCTAATGGAATTTATGGAAACGGCAACGTTTTCTGGTTTCTTACGGCTATCATTTAGATATTTTTTCGCCGGTATCGATGAAATGTATCGAAGTTTATCAGTGAATGCTCAGCTAAAAAAACTTCAACGTTTTGTGCCTACCATAACTAAAGATGATTTGGATCTTTCGAAACATGTGGCCGGTGTTCGTGCACAAGCACTAGATGCTGATGGTAATCTTGTCGATGATTTTGTATTCGAATTCGATAAAAATAGTGGCCGTGTAATGCATGTACGTAATGCACCATCACCAGCTGCCACTTCATCATTGGCTATTGCACGTGTTATTGCTGAACGTGCTCAACAGGAATTTAAATTGTGATTGAAAACTTTAAAATTGGACAAACAAACAAACAAAAAAACTTTTATTTTAATTTGTACAAATTTTATGGAAAAAAAGGATTTTAAATTGTTATATATAATGATGATCATCAAGATAATGAATGAAATGAAATGAAACAAAACAAAAATCGACCAATGATGAAAAAAATTGTCTGATTTTTCATTAGTCTGAAAAGAGAAAAAAAATGTTTTAAAATATTTTCAAATGAAAAAAAAAAATAAAATTGATTTTCTTATTAATTAACCTTTTATTATGTTATATCCTTTTTTTCTATATAAGCTAATGTAACTCTTCTTTTGTACGTGTTGCTGGCATAAGGTTTCTGCATCAATATCTATGTTTTTATTTATTCAGCATTCACTATATCTTGACCATTAAATGAAACTTTACAGTCTTTCAATGACTTAGACACACGTTGTGCATGACATTTAAACATATAGACAATATCCTCATCCAAATGTGTCATATTAAATTTTGCCAAATCCGGTTTAAATGTAACACGGGTGAAATCTTCATCATTCGCTGGTCGTATAATTATTTCTTCCACCGTTTTCATGTTATTTTTCCATACTTGTGAAAAAAAACTATTATATTTCTTTGATGATGTTTCAATCTTGAACAATGTGCTGAAGATATTACACAATTTAGCACCCAAACCAGCACGATCACGATTAGAATTGGATGTGAAAAGATGACCAAAAAGCAATGTTGGAAGATAAAGATTTTCATCTTTATGTATATAAACCGGTATGCCACAGCCATTATTGTAGACACTGATTTCATTATTTGCACTATCGATATCGATACGAATGAGGTTCATTTTTGGATCACGAATTTTATTATGAGCAGCGTTGGCAAGAATTTCTTTGAAAATTTTGTACAAACCAGGCACATATTCAATATGACGCAGTAACCGTGGACGGTCATTTACGTGAATCCACTAATGATAATAAGATATATATCAATTAAATGATCGAATTCTTAATGGTCAAAAGAATCTTACCGTGCATCGGTAATCAACTGATCCAATATATAATTTTGGAAATAACAAGATATGTTCCAGTGAACTTTTTTTCTGATATATTTCTTCAATATCAGGTTTTTTTTCATTTTGGTTACTAAATGCCTGTGTGAATGAATGAAAAATTGAAAAAAAAAATTATCAGAATATTGAAGGATTCAATTCAATTACAATATTTCTGCAGACAAATTGATAAAAATATTTGGATTGCAAAAACAATCACCATCGCTGTTGTTGTAGAGAAAATAAACAATTCAATGACATCCTGAGATTTTATTAATCGATGTGGATTCATTCGATCATAACTGTTCTATATTAATTACAACAACCATGAAAAATTTATCGATAATAATAATAATTTATTTGCAAAAATAAAGTACCAAGTCCGGAGACTTTTGTACCAATAAAATACATGATTTAAAAGAAAGAAAGATTAGAAAAAAGACCTAAATGATAATGAATCAAGAATGGATTTACAAAGCTGTGTAAAATGAATATAATTCTGTTTAGTTTTTATGTATTCAAACGGAGAACATTTGGAAAAAAAATTGATCGATGATGAAATCACTAATTTTCATCATCATCATCATCATCATCACAAGTCATGAGTACAAACCTCTGAATTTGTTCGTTTATTAGCCATCCTAAAAAGGGAAAAATTTATATCGTTGGACAGGATATTGATGATGAAAATGTATTCGAGATGAATTTGAAATTAGAAAATAGAAAATGAATTTTATTATTTATTATTGATCACCACAACTGATAAACTATCTTTAACCGATCGGATTAACCTCTCGTAAAATCCACCATACCATGGTGCAGCCGGTGGATTGAAATCCCAATTGACATTATAATTATGTTGCACTTTCTTTTTGGCAAAAAACAATTTAGATAGAATTTTCTTGCTAGTTGAGAAACTTTTCTCATTATCGGACCAAATTTTCTCCGGTAAACCATAAAGACTTATAAATCTCGTCAAACATTGGAAAACAGATTCTATTCCTCTATTTTGTACAATATCAAGATGAATGGCTCTTGAATTTGCACAAACGAAAATCATGGAGAAGATTTTCATTTTTTCCATTTCCTTATTAATGAATAAGTCGATACCAATGTTACAAAATGCTCTTTTTGGTATTAATGTTCTCCCTCTAGGTAATGGTGGTGACTCAAAACTGTAAGCTTTACCCCTAAGTCTTTGACATTTTTTACAATGTGCGATTAAATTTTTCACCAAAAAATATAATTTCGGAACATAGAAATTTTTTCTGACTTCTTCCACCGTTCGAAATATTCCACCGTGGAAAGTATTAATATGAATTTCCTTTAACATATCTCTAACAATTGCTTTGTCGATTAAAATTATCGGAAATTTTTCATTGAATGATAATTGGCAATTTTCTATTCTTCTTTTTAACCGTATTAAACCATTATCATCCACAAAAACTGGCCATTTATATAAAACTGATGTTTTTGGTAACGTTTGTTGTTTGCTGAGACAGTGAAATTCCATCTTGAAAGATTGTCTTTGAACCAATTTAATTAAATGATGTAAAGGCTGAAGATTTAATTTTTTGCTATCTTTCGTTCTAAATGACATCCAAGCCAAAAGTCTTTCAATTATTAATAATGCTTTTCTGAAGTTGATATCGCAAATGTTTTCCACAAATGTATCTTGGTTGATTTTCGTTGAACTTTTTTTCACTAATGCAACTTGTGAATGTTTTTCAAAAGATGATAATTTTGGACCGGTCCACCAAAGTGAATGATTGATTAGCTTATTTAATGGTAGACCTCGGGATAAACAATCAGCTGGATTTTCTTTCGTAGAAATAAATTTCCAAAATTGCGGTTCTATTAATGACTGAATTTCGCGAACACGATTTGACTCAAACAATGGCAAATTATTTGGGCTTCCAGAGATACGTGCCAAAGTGACCATTGAGTCGGAGAAAAGATTTCCTAAACGTATTTGTGGTAATTCTTTCTTGATCTTAACAAAAAGCTTAACTCCTTCTAATGCTGCGGTTAATTCCAATTGCGGTATTGTCCGTTTTGTCTCTGACACTAAACGAACTTTTGACATTAATAATTGACCAATTTCTTCGTTGTAAATATATGCACACGCCCCATATGCTATTCTACTTGCGTCAACAAAAACGTGTAAGCATAAATTTTGTCGTTGTCCATTGTTCTGAAATATAACTCGTGGAACATGAACACGTTTTAAATCGTCCATTTGTTTTGCCAATTTTTCGGCTCGTAATATGAAAGATTGATTCAATGGTTCATCCCAATTGATTTTTGATAAATGCAAATCTCGTATGAATTGTCTGAAGCTCAATTGAAATGGTGTTAAAAGACCTAAAGGATCAAATAAAGAAGAAAAAAAAGATGAGACTGTTCGAAGCGACCAACCTTCTGGTTTTTTAGGTGGTCCAAAAATAATCTCGTCCTGTTCAAGATTCCAGACAAGACCCAAAATTTTGGTTGAATCTTTCTCTTCGATTTCTATTTTTCGTAAACCAAAAAATTCAATGACAGTTTTTCTGGCTGTGAATTTATGGATTTTCATCGATCCTAATGATAAAGCTTCTTCAGCGTTAATGTAGCGGTTGTAAAGTTGACCCAAATTATCGGCAACGAAAAGAATATCGTCCATATAAATTGTTTTTGTTAGTTCCGGATCTTTCTTTTCTAATAATTTGTTTATAGCTGACTCGAGAATAAACGGACTACTTGTTGCACCAAAGATGACACTGGAAAATTGGATTGTTAACAATTTGCCGTCTTTTTCCCATAGATATCTCAAATATTTTCGGTCCTCATTTTCCACTTTCACTTGCAAGAATGCCTTTTGTATATCGCCCAATAAAACGTGTTGATAGAATCTCCAGAATAATAACATTTTTATGAGATTCAGGCCCATAAGATTTCCTTTATATAGGAAATCGTTTAATGATTTGTTTTTCCACGTTTGAATGATGCATTAAAAACTGGTCTCACATCATAAGTTGTTCCTCTTCGTATGACAGGAAAATGGTTTAAAAAGAAACCATCTGTTTTGTTTCCATCTAAAACTTCCGCAAAGCTGTTGTTAACGAATAGGTCCAATTGTTCAGTATATTTTTCTAACATGTCGTTTTTCTTTAGACGATAAATTAAACTTGGTAATAATTTGACAATTTGTTTATAATTATTTTCTGGTCTATTTTCGTTTAGCCAAGGCAACGGAGCATATATTCTTCTTTCTTTCTCGTTTAATCTTATTTTCTTACGATAATCTTCGAACCATTTTTTATCATCTTCGTTATTTTCAATATCCGGAGCTGTTGGATCGTAAAGAATATTTTTTATGTCTTCGACCGGACATCTAGCTTGAATACAAAATGATGTTTCAATTTTCTTAGGTTTGTTTAGTTGTGAAACACCATGGATAACTGTTCCAATTTTTGTTTCATAAGCTTCGAAAGGTTGTAGGTCAAAATCCCGAAAACAAAAACCCCGAAAACCGAAACGCCGAAACCAAATGACCGAAAAAAAATTATCCCGAAAACAAAAACCCCGAAAACAAAAACCCCGAAAAAAAATTATCCCGAAAAAAAATTATCCCGAAAACAAAAACCCCGAAAAAAAATTACCCCGAAAACAAAAACCCCGAAAACAAAAACGTAGAAAATGGCTTGTTCCCTTAAACTTTAAATGAACGGAGATTAACACTATTACTGTGAGAAATTTCATGTACCGGTATGTATTCTACGAAAAGAAGTCATTAGATCTAGTTTATTCATCATACAATCACCACAAGTTTTAAATTTTAAATTAATATCTAGATATTCATGATGATATTTTTTAATTTGTTGTCAATAATCCATAGATTAAATGAAATTTCATTTTTTGTTATTTGGGCCAAATTTTCTTCAAAATTTATCTTAAAACCGCCTTCAATCAATTTTCGAACTGAAACCTCCATAGGCCACATCTTTCAATTTGGTTTTGGTTCAATAACAACATTACCAATTTTTCTCTGATGTAATTGTATTACCATTAGCCAATTCAAATTCAATCTGTTTATCTTCTTGATCCATAAGTAAATTTTTATCAATCGTTGTATGAGAAGTACATCCAGAATCAAGTATCCAGATATCTGATAATTGTGAAGTGTATGTTCTTGATTCATGATTACCATGGCATTTTGAGCAGACTAGAGCATTTTTACATTTTCCAGATTTATGGCCAAAACGTAGGCATTTGTGACATTGTCCTACAGAAATATTGTTCTTTGACGTGCAATATTTAATTGGGTACCATTTTTCGGTCAGTAAAATGAGGGTTGGTCAGTAATTTTTTAAAAGTTTTGGTCAGTTGAAAACGATCGGTAAATATATCAATTTTGGTCAGTTTTTCATGTGAATGATCAGTTAATTTAATAAATTGTCCGTTTTCAAACTTGAGGTGAAACATCCAAAATTACAAATTTCGCTCCAACACGATCTTTTTTGAGAAGGCAAATTGATGTCAATTTATCGTCAATACGATTCATTGACCGAATCAATTAGGATTCGAATTATATAATTTATATTACATTATATTATTATATTATTCATTTATATTATATTATTATCACCATTTGTTCGTTTAAAATTGGAAATTTAAATCCAAATTTCACTTATTTATCTTTGATTCTATTCAGTTTGGTCGAATAATTCTTTAAGCTTTAAAGTTTAAGGGAACAAGCCATTTTCTACGTTTTTGTTTTCGGGGTTTTTGTTTTCGGGATAATTTTTTTTCGGGATAATTTTTTTTCGGGGTTTTTGTTTTCGGGATTTTTGTTTTCGGGATAATTTTTTTTCGGGATAATTTTTTTTCGGGGTTTTTGTTTTCGGTCATTTGGTTTCGGTGTTTCGGTTTTCGGGGTTTTTGTTTTCGGGATTTTGACCTACAACCGCTTCGAAACCGTCTCCCAAATCAACAAATTTTCTTTCACTAACTGGTGAAAGTATATGTTGGAAAAGCCAGTCTAAGCCAAATAATGCGTCAATTCTTATTGGAGATGATTCAGATGATGGTGAAATTGGAAATAAGCCTAATGTTTTTGCTTTTTCCAAAATATAGTTTGGTACGGCATCTACATCATCCAAAATTTTTTCTGGACCAATTAGAATTTTATCTGGACCAAATTTTACTCCATTTAATGATTCGAAATACATTTGAGTGGCACGTTGTAAACCAGTTGAAATGCTTCCGTATCCTTGAACTTCGGTTTCGTTTTCGATTATCGATTCTATTCGTAATTTCTTGGCCAAATTCGATGAAATTGAACTAATTGTTGCACACCCATCCAATAATGCAAAAACTTTTTGTTTTCTTTTGTTGTTAACTGCAAATAATTCAACAATCGATAAAAATGATTTTGTTTCTTTTCCTGCAGAGACCGCCGCATGTTCTTTTCCTGTTGTTGACTCTTGACTTATCGAACTTTGACGCTCCAAAATTTGACTTTTTTCTTTATTTTCTTTTTCTTTATTTACAACTACTTTTTCTTTGTTATCTTCTTGGCATGGACAAATTGTGATGTTCATTTTCTTCTCACAATTACATCGTCTGCCTTTCTTACAATTTGTATGAAAATGATTGAATTTCCCGAGACATTTGAAACATAACTTTTTTTCTTTTGCTTTCTCAAATTTTTCTTTTCTTGGAAGATTACATAGAAAGCTGGGATGTTTCCCATTACATAAAAAACAACTTTTTTCAATCGTCACTAAAGCTGAATTTTTCGTTTTTGATTGTGTTTGCGGCTCAAACATCTCTTTATTAGATGCACTTTCAAAAGATTTTTTAATTTTCTCTAATAATTTCTTTGTAAAATCTTTTTCATGTAGATCAGCAAATAAATTATCATTCTTCTTGATTTTAAACAACATATTCTTTGACAATTCTTTTGCTGCAAATTCTTTTCCTTGTTTATTCAAGATGTTTATCGCTTCTGCGATTGACAAAGCTTGATTCCAATCTTCTGCTTTGGATCTTTCATCTAAAATATTTAAATTATTTATTTTCTTTCTTATCGAATTTGCCACAAGCAGCTCTGAATCATATCTCTTGTTGATTTGTTCTAAAACATCTTTCACGCTTGGTCTTTCATAATCAAAAATTAAAACGAAATCGTTTGGCAACATCGATTTAATTTTGATAATTTTTTCTAATTCTGTGAAATTATCGTTTTGAACTATTTCTTTTTCTATGTATTTTGACCATAATGGAAAATCCATCGGATCTCCAGACTTCATATTTAATTCACTTGTTGTCAAAATTTTGGTTTCAAAACATTTCTTATTTGAACTTTCTTTCTCTCGTATGGCTTTGTTCTTGGCCACTATGAATTTTTTGTTCCATTGTGAATATAATTTGATTGCTTGTGTCATTTTTTCTTTTATTTGTCCGTCTTCAATAAAACTATTCAAAATACACTTGCTTTGAATATTCATTAAATTGTCAAAAACCTTGTTCAAACTTTCATATTGTTTCAATATTGTGTCTTTATCGATCGTTTCTTTTTCTATCTCTTCTTGATCCCCATGGATCATTTTAAACGTTTCACATAAATACAAAACATTATTAATATGAGCAAGTTTTTGATTATTTAATTCTCTCACATCCATTTCTGGCTCGCCAAATATTACAAATAAAAGGATAAACACAAAATAAACAAATTTTAATAAGAATAAAATAAAAGAAAATCTGAGCAATGACTCAACAAGAATTGTACTTAAATACATAAACAATAATTCAATAAATATAATAATTCAATTCACAACATTTATCAAAGTAAAAAACGTTGCGTGTACAGTGGTTTTCTCGTAAGTGTCTTGGTCTCGTGTGTGTGTGTGTGTGTGTGCGTGTTCGTGTATTATTTTGCGCACTGTTTTGTAAAAAGCGCGGTTTGAGTAACTGTATTCATAACTATATTCATAAAGGACGTAACATTTAGGCTGTAATCGTACTCTTTCTCTTTCAATACCAGTAATTCGTTGATTATTATGATTTTTGTGTATTATGTGTCTTAAAATAATGATAACTGATGAAAGATGATAATGAAATTATTAATGGAAATTAATCAGATAATAACTAATTTTTATAGCCGAAATAAGTTACAAATATCAACTACGTAAAATTTATGTAGGTTCCCTTTACCGCAATATCGATATGATTACCTTTCTATAGGGTTAAAATTAGACAAGCAAACAAAAAAAATCGTTTATTTTAATTTGTAAAATTTTTGGAAAAAATGATTTTCAATTATTAATGATGAAAATTAATGAAATGAAATGAAACAAAAAAAAATATTGAAATTATAATATATAATAATGGATCATTATTATTGTTTGATTGTTTGTTTATATATATTCAAATTAAATCCGCTACATTCATTGGCATTTCATCGATTTGTGTGGAATAATATTGTTCAATATCACGTAAAATACGGATATCATCTGATTTGACAAAATTGATGGCCACACCTTTTCGTCCGAAACGACCAGATCGACCAATACGATGAATGTATAATTCACGATTATTTGGCAAATCATAATTGATTACTAATGATACTTGTTGTACATCGATACCACGTGCCCATACATCTGTGGTTATCAATACACGACTTTTGCCTTGACGAAATTCTTTCATAATTGAATCACGTTCTTTTTGTGGCATATCACCATGCATAGATGATACGGTAAAATTTGCTTCCTTCATCTTTTCGGTCAACCAATCGACCTTACGTTTAGTGTTACAAAAAATGACTGCCTGTGTTATGGTCAACGTATCATATAGATCGCATAATGTATCGAATTTCCATTCTTCATGTTCGACTGCAACGAAAAATTGTTTTATACCTTCCAACGTTAATTCATCACGTTTGACCAGGATACGAATCGGATCGGTCATAAATTTCGATGTAATTTCAAGGATTTCATGTGGCAATGTAGCCGATAGTAATACAACCTGTGTGTATGGCGGAAGAAAACGATATACATCATAGATTTGTTCTTTGAATCCTTTGTTGAGCATTTCGTCAGCTTCGTCCAATACCAATAATTTGATTGATCTAGTTCGAAGATTACGTCGTCGAATCATATCAAACACTCGACCAGGTGTTCCCGCAACAACATGTTGGCCGTAATCCAATTTTCGAATATCTTCGCCCAAAGTTCGTCCACCGATACAAGCATGACATTGTACATTCATGAATTCACCCAACGCCAGAATAACTTTCTGAATTTGCAATGCAAGCTCTCGTGTTGGACTGAGAATTAATGCTTGCGTTTCACGTGTTTGTATGTCAATCGATTGCAGTACACCAATACTGAATGTAGCCGTTTTACCAGTACCAGACTGTGCCTGTGCAATCACATCACGGCCTTTGATTATCGGTCGAATAGCACGTTGTTGGATGGCTGATGGTTTCTCAAAACCGTATGCATAAATTCCACGCAATAAATCTTCATTCAGATTCATTGAATCAAAACTCGAAATCACTTCGATATCTTCACTGGTTTCAAATTCTACATTGGAAAGATCATCCGGCATTGTTGGATTCGCCTTTTTCGTTGTCGACATTTTTTCTCTTTGTTTATTATTATCAAAAAAAATTGGATCGAAATTTGAAAATTGGTAAAAATTTCCACAAAAACACTGTTCGACACAAAACAGCGTGAGCGAACTTTTACAGAAACATTTCTGCAACACAAATATTTCCAGGAAATTTCCATTTTTCAATAAATTTGAATTTTTCATTTCAAAAAAGTGGTGAAAAAACAAAAAAATTAATTGTTTTAAAAAAGTATCAAGATTTGAAAAAATTATTTGGAAATAGTTTGACAATATTCATAGACAAATGCATAGATTAATTTAGACAGTTCGAAAATTCGCATGTCCGAACATGGTGATCGGTTAGTAATAGTGACTGGTGATTCTGGATCCAAAATGAAAAATTCGAAATGAACATTAGCATCTTTATCGAATAGAAATAATGGATAAAAATTATCATTCAATGGAAATAACCAATCTTCAAGTACGCGTTTAACTTCTTGAGTCAAGCGATGAAGAGTTAGCTTTGATGCTTTCTTATCCATAAGTGTTTTGACTATAAGGTCGAGGCGTCGATATTGATAATCATAATCTTTCAAAATTTTACGATTCTCTTCTTGTTGTAACAGTGACCGGCTGAGATCGACTGAAGAATTGTCATCATTTGAATCGGCCAATGCTTGAGATGATTTATTCATTGATTCAATTGAAGATGATTGTTGCTGTGGCGAACAGTTTACGTTATGATCAAAAATTTTTGTTCCATCTATTTTTTCGCCATTAGATGATCGTTGGTTGGATAAGTTTGTTTCGTCATTATCAACGCCAATCGTTGAACACATTGGTGATGATTTTTTCTCCATACATTCAGTGGATTCGGCTCTTTTATTTGATTGATACGCTAAACGTGATGGTGTTGATCGTAATGTTCTTAGATTTTTTTCGGATGATTCATCCTGACTAATACTGTCGTCGACATAGAAATTCGGATGAACAGCAGAGATCTCGCCTCTTCGGATTGCATGCATTGATTTAACAATGGCATTATTCTTGTCCAATGTTCTTTTCGGTATTAACTAAGTAAGAAAAATTATAAAGAGGGACAAATAATTAAAACTTGAAGCATTTACCTCTGAAAAACCAGCAGCAAGTTCATTTGCACGATCAAATTTGGGTCTCAATGATTCTTTGATCAATGACGAAATTTCTGGTGAGTTGATCAAAGCTTCCACCTTTTTTTGCACGGCGTCGAACATGTCGAGTTTCGTTGCGTAAGATCTATACACCTTCATGAATTTGACGAGTTTGTCAACATATTTTTCGTAGTTCTGGATGAATTTCAAATCATTTCCGGAGTCGATCAATACGAACAAATTCTGTAAATGGTGTCGCAACGACGCGATTTGATCGCTCTTGGTCATATCTAAAAAATTGTGTTGCAAAATAATAAAATGTTGATGATAATGATGATGGTGAATAATAACGACCAGCCAGCAAAAAATGATATCGAGTGCTTGTTTGGCATGGCTTTTTATATGACTTGAATATGACACTTGTTGATAAACAGCTATCTGCCAGAAAATCCATGCGTATATCCAGGGTCAGGTTAATGTAGTAAAAAGATTAAATAGAATGTTGACGTGTATTAACACAGTCCGGTTCATGTGGTCATATCGTTACTCGTATGATAATCCCTACAGGTTCATGGTAGCAAAAGTCACCTTATCATCGTCCTTGATCGAAAGTGGTGATCGAGCGAAAAATTTTGTTTGTTATCCTAGGCCATAAAATAAGTCCATGACACATGGCCATGTTTTTTTTTGGCAGAAACTTAACAACAATCAAATTGATCAACAAAAGATTGACCAACTAGGGAGGTGGCATTTTCCCAATTCTTACGGTGGTTGATTTTTCAATAAATTTGAATTTTTTATTTCAAAAAAGTGGTGAAAAAACAAAAAAATTAGTTGTTTTAAAAAAGCATCAAGATTTGAAAAAATTATTTGGAAATAGTTTGACAATATTCATAGACAAATGCATAGATTAATTTGGAATGTCGAAGAATTCGCCAGTCCGAACATGATAATCGTTCATTAATATCGAATAATGATTTCGGATCATTGATGGTAAATTCGAAATATACATTAACATCCTTATCGAATAAAAATAATGGATGAAATTTATCATTTAACGGAAGTAAACAATCTTTAAATACGCTTTTAACTTTCTTCGTTAAAAGAACAAGAGCTCTTGTTGAACTTTCCTTATCCTTCAGTGTTTTAACTAAAGAATCAATGCAATTATATTGAAAATCATAATTTTTATATATTTGACCAATTTCATGATTTCGTAACATGGACCGGATGTGATCGATTGAAGAATTGGCATTATTTGAATTGACTAATGCTTGAGATGATCCATTCATTAGTTCAATTGAAGATGATTGTATATGGGGAGAGCAGTTCACGTGCTGATAAAAAATTTTTTTGCCATTAGATGATTGTTGGTTGGATAAGTTTGTATCATGATTATCAATCGGTAATGAAACCGTTTTGGTATTAGTTTTTTGAGCATCATGTTGAGCCATTATCAGTTCATCATTATTATTTTCCAATGAATGTCTCTGCTGATTAGTATCGATTTGTTGTAGATTGGACTGATTCATTCCTGTTCGTTTATTCGAATGTTGAATTGTCGCATTTTTGCTATTTCCTACCAGTGATATAGTGTTATTATTCAGCGAATGAGTTTTCTCCATGATTGTCTTCATAACAAATTTATCCTTTACAATTATTCGATTAGAGTTTCATATCTGCATATTTTTCAATATGACTTACCTTCGGTTTGTTGCCAATCAGCGTTGAACACATTGGTGATGATTTTTTCTCCATACATGCAGTTGATTTGGCTCTTTGATTTGATAGATACGCTAAACGCGATGGTGTTGATCGTGATGTTTTTAGATTTTTTTCGGGTGATTCATCCTGAGGAATACTGTTGTCGACAAAGAAATTCGGATGAACAGCAACGATATGTTGATATAATGTTCGGTAATTACGAAATTCCAGGCTGCAGCAATTTGTCGAAGAGATCTCGCCTCTTCGCATGGCATGCATTGATTTCACAATGTCATTATTTTTGTCCAATTTTCTTTTCGGTGTTTTATTTTTCATCTGTTCAACAATCGGCGTTGAACACATTGTTGATTTGGCTCTTTGATACGCTAAACGTGATGGTGTTGATCGTAATTTTTTTCGATAATTTTCCATTATTTAAATATCTAAAAATACACTACAAATAGATATTTATAAGAAATGAAACGATGAAAAATTTTGAAATGAAAAAAAAATTTATGACACACACATGTGCACACACCGAAAGAAATGGAAAAAACGCGCCGTTTTTGTCTCTTGTCAACAGTATTTACATATATATCTTACATACATACATATCGCAATACAATCGATAGTTTCAAATAAATACTTTTTAAAAATTTTTATTCATTTTATTGCTCATTAACAAAACAAAAGTTTAAAAAAAAAAAAAATTTATCATTCAGAAATAGTTTGACAATATTCATAGACAAATGCATAGATTAATTTAGACAGTTCAAAAATTCGCAAGTCCGAACATGGTGATCGGTTAGTAATATTGACTGGTGATTCTGGATCCAAAATGAAAAATTCGAACTGAACATTAGCATCTTTATCGAATAGAAATAATGGATAAAAATTATCATTCAATGGAAATAAGCAATCTTCAAGTACGCGTTTAACTTCTTGAGTCAAGCGATGAAGAGTTAGCTTTGATGCTTCCTTGTCCATAAGTGTTTTGACTATAAGATCAAGGCACCGATATTGATAATCATAATCTTTTAAAAATTTACGATTCTCTTCTTGTTGTAACAGTGATTGGCTGAGATCATTTGAATAATTTGGTGATGAAATCGATACCGTTTTGGTATCAAATTGCTGATGTGTTTCAATCATCATCGTCTGTGAACAGCGATCTGTGATATCCATATTTTTGTTGGCCTCATCTTTCGTTGTCGACATTTTTTCTCTTTGTTTATTATTATCAAAAAAAAAATCGGATCGAAATTTGAAAATTGGTAAAAATTTCAACAAAAACACTGTTCGACACAAAACAGCGTGAGCGAACTTTTACAGAAACATTTCTGCAACACAAATATTTCCAGGAAATTTCCATTTTTCAATAAATTTGAATTTTTCATTTCAAAAAAGTGGTGAAAAAACAAAAAAATTAATTGTTTTAAAAAAGCATCAAGATTTGAAAAAATTATTTGGAAATAGTTTGACAATATTCATAGACAAATGCATAGATTAATTTAGACAGTTCGAAAATTCGCATGTCCGAACATGGTGATCGGTTAGTAATAGTGACTGGTGATTCTGGATCCAAAATGAAAAATTCGAAATGAACATTAGCATCTTTATCGAATAGAAATAATGGATAAAAATTATCATTCAATGGAAATAAGCAATCTTCAAGTACGCGTTTAACTTCTTGAGTCAAGCGATGAAGAGTTAGCTTTGATGCTTCCTTGTCCATAAGTGTTTTGACTATAAGATCAAGGCACCGATATTGATAATCATAATCTTTTAAAAGTTTACGATTCTCTTCTTGTTGTAACAGTGATTGGCTGAGATCATTTGAATAATTTGGTGATGAAATCGATACCGTTTTGGTATCAAATTGCTGATGTGTTTCAATCATCATCGTCTGTGAACAGCGATCTGTGATATCCATATTTTTGTTGGCCTCATCTTTACCATCAGTGATTTGTTTTTGATTAAAACGAGATGGATTTTGTGAATACATATTCTTCAGTATGATTCAAACAGAATGGACTTGAATTTGCTCAATAAAACCGTTTGTTTGTTGAGACACGAATAAACACATAAAAAACGCGCAACTTTATTGAGTGTATAATGCAGTCATTCTCAACCACTGTGCCGCGGCACTTTTGTGTGCCGCGAAATTCTAAGATTGTGCCGCCAAATTTTAGATTTAATAAAATGAAAATATTTTTTGTTTTGATACATTTGAATATTATGGTAATCCTGAATCATAAACATGTACTTCGATTAGTCAAATATCTATTAATAGTTGTGCGAATTGTTTGTAGTGGAACCAACATAGGAAAAATAAGTATAATTAAACAAACAAATAAAAGCAATTCTTCTTTAAACAATTTTTTATTAATCAATGTTTTACAAAAAGTGCTAGATTCTAGAAATGGCAAGTCCAAACTAACACGATCAGTTCAGAATTCAAAATTCACAATCGAGAAAAAGGCAAATCCGACCTAACACGATCAGTACAAAATCAAGAAAATAACAAATCCAACCTAACACGACCAGTTCAGAATCGAGAAAATAACAAATCCAACCTAAATCCAGTTCAGAATCGAGAAAATAAAAATCCAACCTACCAGTTCAGAATCGAGAAAATAACAAATCCAAACTCAGTTCAGAATTCAAAATTCACAATCGAGAAAATGGCAAATCCAAACTAACACAACCAGTTCAGAATTCAAAATTCAAAATGGAAAAAATGGTAAGTCCAAACTAACACGACCAGTTCAGAATTCAAAATTCACAATCGAGAAAAAGGCAAATCCGACCTAACACGATCAGTACAAAATCAAGAAAATAACAAATCCAACCTAACACGACCAGTTCAGAATCGAGAAAATTACAAATCCAAACTAACACGATCAGTTCAGAATTCAAAATTCACAATCGAGAAAATGGCAAATCCAAACTAACACAACCAGTTCAGAATTCAAAATTCAAAATGGAAAAAATGGTAAGTCCAAACTAACACAACCAGTTCAGAATTCAAAATTCACAATCGAGAAAAAGGCAAATCCGACCTAACACAACCAGTTCAGAATCGAAAAAATAACAAGTCCAAACTAAAACGACCAGTTCATCTTCAATGGCAGAACATCCGATATACATATCGAATTAATTAAATGTAACAAACATTATTTAACTCTGAATCTTGGAAAACACAATTCATCATTGAAAATAATTTTTAATGAATCTAAAAAACGGTATAGAAACCAACCAATTCTGGTAACTAATTCCAATAACTAACCATCTGAACTGCTCGTGTTAGGTTGGATTTGTTATTTTCTCGATTCTGAACTAGTCGTGTTAGTTTGGATTTGCCATTTTTTTGATTTTGAATTCTGAACTGGTCGTGTTAAGTTTGACTTGTTATTTTTTTTATTTTGAATTTTGAATTCTGAACTGGTCGTCTTAGGTTGGATTTGTTATTTTCTCGATTCTGAACTGATCGTGTTAGGTTGGATTTGTTATTTTCTTGATTCTGAACTGATCGTGTTAGGTTGGATTTGTTATTTTCTCGATTCTGAACTAGTCGTGTTAGTTTGGATTTGCCATTTTTTTGATTTTGAATTCTGAACTGATCGTGTTAAGTTTGACTTGTCATTTTCTCGATTGTGAACTGGTTGTGTTAGGTCGGATTTGCCTTTTTCTCGATTGTGAATTTTGAATTCTGAACTGGTCGTGTTAGTTTGGACTTGTCATTTTCACGATTGTGAATTTTGAATTCTGAACTGATCGTGTTAGGTTGGATTTGTCATTTTCTCGATTCTGAACTGGAATAAACGAATTAACAACAAATACACTACATACTGTTATTTTTGTAGTACATATTATATATTATTTTATTTAGCACATTTAAAATCATTATCATAATCTATTTTACGCAGTGCTTTTTCTTTGTGTGCCGCCAAATTTTGAAATCGTAAAATGTGTGCCGCAGCAAAAAAAAGGTTGAGAATCACTGGTATAATGTAAAGTGTTTGATGTGTATATTTATCGCGATACAATCGATAGTTTTTAAAATAATAAACAATACTGTCCATAGAGGGCAGTATCCGACTATACTGATTTTATTCGAATGCTAATCACAATCAATATTTTTTTAAGATTTGATAAAATAAAAAAAAATCACCAATATATTTTCAAAGTGGATGAAAAAAAATGTGCCGGAATCGGGTACATCTCGTTTCACCTTTTCATTAATCAATCACTCACAATTATCATGGCTCGATAATAATATTGATAATCGAAACAAAGATGTCTATCTATCCATTATTAGAAAGCATGAAAAACGAATTTTAATTCAAAATCATTCCGCCATTATAATGTTTCTGGTTTCAGTGGAAAAAGAAAACAATGAAATTTTCAACAACATTTGCGTTTTTGTTTCTCATTTCAAATATTATGGCCGAAATGACTGCTATACAAAAACGTCGTTGTGAACAATATACATCGATATTTGAAAATGATACAACCGAATTACAATATAATTATTGTGAAAATATTTATGATGGTCGTGGTTTTACATCTGGCCGTTCGGGTTTTTGCACCGGTTGTGGTGATGCATTAGATGTGATCACCAGATATACAGCATATAAACCAAATAATCCATTGGCAAGATTTATACCGATATTAATGAAAAATCGCCACTCACATGATGATGATACTAATTCATTACAAGGTTATTGTGAAGCATGGAAACAAACATCCGATGATGAATTATTTCGACAATTTCAAGATTATGTTAATGATCAATTGTATTACATGTATGTATGTGTAAAGTGGAATCAAAAAAATTTTTTTTTTCTGTTTTGAAATTAATTTTTTTCTTTGTTTTCGTTCTTTTTAGACCAGCAATGGTGGGAGCCATAAAAATGAATATAACAACCACGTTAGGAAAATGTTCATTTTATGATACAATCATACAACATGGTGGTGGAAATGATCGTGATTCATTCGGCGCTATTATGAATCGTACCAAATTGGCCATGAATGGTACAGTTACAAATCCAATTGATGAATCTAAATGGATTAGAAAATTTTTGGAAATAAGAAAAAATGTTCTTTTAAAGCCAACAAATATTGCTTATGGTCCCAGTTGGAGTCAAACAACTGATCGTGTCGATTTTTTATTGAAATTAGTTCGACAAAACAATTGGAATATGAATACACCAATACGTGTGAAAACACGTCACCATGATCAAATCATTTATTCCTGATACATGAGATATATGTGTCGTCCAGTTTAAAACAATTTAGAAACCCATGAATGACCCAATTCTAATCGTCTTTATCAATTATTTATGATACTTTTCCACATTTCATGTCCATTTTTCAAGAAACAAAACAGAAAAATAATCCACAGAAATTTTCTTCAATGAAAGATTTTCATTTTTACTTCATAACATTTTTGAAAAAAAAACATTTGCCTTTTGGCAATGTGTGTGTGTGTGTGTGTGGTTTGTAGTTGGATTGATTGATTGACAGATAAAACAATAACCATTACAGCTGTGCATATGTTGTATATTTTCAAAGCATCGATATATTCCAGCTAATTGTGATGTAAATGCATGATAAACCAGATATAATAATCTTCCATATATTGATTCTCGATTATCGTCTAGTTTTTTTTTACTGATGATGATCTATGCTGTACAAATAGATTTTGCTATTTTATTATGTTCTGATGAATACATACGTCTACGTATATTTAGAAAAGCGAGAGAAAAAAAAACCCAAAAAATTCCCATAAACAAAAAAAAAAAAAAAACATTCGGACCATAGTTTTGGCGGTATGTACTTGCACACAACACACATGTATTTATGTAGACAAAACCGACAATATTTTTTTTTTATCCATTACAATCAAGACCTAGTTTCAATTTTTTTTCACCCCCATTCGTTTGTTTTCTATGTCACGCATTCTTTTAGATTCTTTATCTTTTATGGTTATATGTGTGTTTATAATGTTTGTCTTGGGTGTTATTTATTACAATGGATAGAAACCTTGGTCAATGTCAAATGTCTATTTCTCTTTTTTTTTATACGATGTGCTTCCTACTACAAAAAAAAATTTTTGTGTGTGTTAGTTGTGGGCGATGCTCACAAATAATAATAATAAAAGCATGGAGCATGCGAAAAGATCCTGGAACGACGACTCCCAAGCAAACAAACAAAAAAAAAGTGGAAGAAGCAAACTGTGTAGGATACGCCTACTAAAAAATTTTTTTTTTTACTGTTGAACAAACATATATATAGAAGATTGAATCCAATCGCGTTGCTCGTAATTGTTTGTTGGTGATCATTTTCTTTCCTTTTTTTTGCTATGAAAACCAAAGTGAAAGTTGTTTTCTCCCAACAAAAAAAAAATAGACCAACCGATGTGTATTGTTATAGCATAAAATTAGCAGTGTTTTTTTTTGCCAGCAACAACAACAACAACAACAACCAAAAAATGATAATGATCAGATGTATTTAGTGCTGGCTGATGTTTTGTTGTAGTGGTATTTTCATTCTTTTTTTTCACCAAAAAGAATGATGATGATCATCATCATCATTATTCCACGATACAGAATCAGTGTCTTGTGTGTGTGTATGAGAATAAAATTATACATTCATTGTTATATTTAGAATCGAAATGGTACCACCACCAAAGGTACAGAGAATTTGATATTCAAGTTTTCAACCATCTGATATTTTAGTTCAGTTTTTTTTCCTCCTTCGTTTCCTCAGTGATGGTCAATTCAATTGTTACTATTCCAGAATTGAATATCTTCCAACGACAAACAATCATCATTATCATTTTCAATAATAATCAGTGTTTGTGATATCTTTATTATCATCAATCTTGAAATATCTTGAATTTTTCAATCAACAACCATAATAAATAAATGATGATCATTCACCCACAAACAGACAAACAAACAAAAAAGAAAACAAAAAATTGAAATCACAAACAAAACAAAATCCATCAGATCATCCATCAGTTCACATCATTTTTTTTCATTTCAAGTGCCCATCACTATTATTATAAAATTTAATATATTATTATCAAACCAAAACCAAATTCAAAATGCCTGCTGAAATAGAAGATCCACAAGTTCCGGCTAAGCCGAAAACTGAATTGGAAGCAATTCAGATGCAAGCTAATCAAGCAACGGATGAATCACTTGAATCAACACGACGAATGTTGGCTCTTTGTGAAGAGGTAATTTTTATTTTTGTTTGTTTGTTTGTTTGTTTATTTTAATCATTTGTATCTTTTTCTTTATCTTTCTTTCGTTCTTGTGGTCAATGTGGATAATTTTCAAAGAGCAAAGAAGCCGGTATCCGTACATTGGTGGCATTGGATGAACAAGGTGAACAATTGGATCATATCGAAGAAGATATGGATAAAATAAATACAGATATGCGTGAAGCGGAAAAAAATTTAACCGGCATGGAAAAATGTTGCGGTATCTGTGTATGTCCTTGCAATAAGTAAGTTTTGTCTATTTAAAAAAAAACAAGAAACCATTTTTTTAATTATGAAAATGGAATTTTTTTCTTGTTTTTATATTTTATATATATAGATCAAAAGAATTTAAAGAAGATGCAAGCACATGGAAAGCATCAGAAGATGGTAAAATTGTTAGTGGCCAGCCTACACGTGTGGTTGATGAACGTAATGGTGGCGGACCGATGACCACATCATATATAGCAAGGATAACTAAAGATGCACGTGAAGATGAAATGGAAGAAAATATGGGCCAAGTAACAACAATGATCGGTAATCTAAGAAATATGGCCATCGATATGGGTAGTGAAATTTCATCACAAAATGCCCAATTAGATCGTATTAATCAGAAAGCGGATTCAAATAAAATGCGTATACAAGGAGCAAATGAAAGGGCACAAAAATTGCTTAAATAGAAAATTTACCCATCATCATCATCGCCAGATTATCATTATCATCAAAGAAAATTTGTTGTTGTTATTGTTTTGAAAAAAATTGTCGTTTGAATCATCAATCGTTCGAGATAAAACGACAATCTGGTTGTGTGTCGCGCCATTCATTCATTCATTCATTATCATCCATCATCATCATCCATCATCATCATCATCATCATCATCATCATCATCAACATTCCTTGATATTCATTGATTCATTCATTGTTTGTTTGTTGAAAAAAAAGAAATCTCAATCCAATCACAAAACACACGTTATTTAATTTGATAATAAATTTTCAATACTTTTGCTGCTGGTTAATGATGATGATGATGATATTCACTCGACGATTGTATTGGCTGCCTTTTTCCTGTTTTTGTGTGTGTACGTTTGTGCGTGTGTGTATTTGTTTTCTTCTTCTTATTAAAAAACCACCTACCAACCAAAAAAAAAAAAAAAAAAATTACCACCGTTTCATCAGATAATTTAAAGCATCATTTTTTCGTGTGTGTATGTGTGTGTGTTCGTGCTTTTGTTTTTGTTTTTGTTTTTATTTAGCATACATAAAACATGACACACATCATCCAAAAACACATTTCAGTCATCATTGACGTCATTATTATCAATTATAAACAAACACATTAGATGATTTTCGAAATGCAAAAAAAAATCCAAATGTTTTTTTGTACAAATAACAGGCTCGTACAACTCGTACACAAACACACACACTTACACACAAGACTGTGCAATTATTATTGATTATTATAGATGAAAATATATTCGAACATCAAAACATTAGAATTTCATTGGAAAAAAAAACTTTGAGTATTAGGAGAAAGAGAGTGAAATATTCTACGAAACACCTACATTCAAACTTGCAAGAAATTTATGTTCCACAAATAAATTCCAATGAGATTTTTCTCGTTGGAATTTGTTTGTGTATATCCAAAAAAACGACTGAAATTCTGGCATTCTTGATTGATCAACATCAACATCATCATCATTATTTATTCCATCATTATTATTGGGCAACCAAGAATAAATTTCAAAGTGATAGTGATTTTTTTTCTCGCTCTCTCTCTCTCATCAGCATCATTTTTTTTTTCTCTCAGAATTTATACGGAATTATTCTGTTGTTACTTGTGTCTTAAATTGAAACAAAAAAAAATAATAATTATATCACCACCATCATCATTATTAATAATTTTCATTCATAAAAAGCAAATATTTTTTAGCCAATAACCTGATAATAATAATAATCAGTAATAATAAACACAAAATCTCAAAATACAAAAATTTTATCTTTTCAAACAAAAAAAAAAAAAAACAAAACAAAAATTGTTTTTTGTGTGTGTGTGTTTGCGTGTGTTTCTTGTTCCTTATCATTATTCTGGATTCTATCTATCTATCTCATTCTCATTGTTGTTGATATTTGTTTGAATTCATGAAACAAAATAATAATAAAACAAATTTTGATCTCAAAATTATTATTCTGATCTTCCATTTAATGGTGGTGGTTTTTTTCCAGTTGTTGTAATTGATGAATTTGTAATTTTTTTTTCTAATTAGTTTGTAATAGACCATAATCATTGAATAACATACACACACACTGAACACACTGAACACACAGATACATCCAAAATGTCTATGATCGGATGTTGATTGGATGCGTCACATTTTCTTTTTTGTTGTTGTTGTTGTTCATTATCATCATCAATTGTCAATGATCGATCAAGCAAATTTTTTTTTTCGTGTTTTGTTTTCACAACATTCAAATTCATTGTGGTTTGTTTGCAAAAAATTTCTTTCTGTATTTTTTTTTCATTTTCATTTCATTTCAAACAAACATTCTATACAAAGAAAAATACATAAAAATTTATTGTCGTTGTTCGTTGCTGGTGTCAATGAAATGATGAATTAAAAAAAATAAAAATAAAATGAATCGAAATTGAATGAAAATTAATTGATTGATTGAAAAATTGATTGATTTTTTTTGATTGTCATTAATTTATTATTCATGATTTCCTTAAATAGTTTTTTTTTAACAAAAAATTACATCCTTATCATCATCATCATCATCATGTTCGATTTTTGTATGACGCATACTATTTCGTTTTGTTTTGTTTTGTTTTGTTTGTTTGTTTGTTTCTTTCACCTCATTCAAACTTGATGTTGTGGCCGAAAGGTAAATACAAATCATCGGACAATCTATCAAAAATAATTTTCCCTAGAAATTTCGCTTTCCTTTCACGATTTTTTTGTTTGTTTGTTTGTTTGTTTTATCATATATATGCAAGACGATAATGTTGTGTTCATGTGATTTGAAGGTCAATAACAGGCGAAACGAATTTTAATTTACCCATCCATCCATTCATTTGTGCATTTTTGTTTTTCTCAATAATTGTCGGTAGTTAAATGGAAAAAAAGTTTTTTTTTTGATTCACCAGAGCGCATTGATAAAAAAATGATGCGAATCATCAATATTGATGATGATCGATGATGATAATAATTTTTTTTCCCATTACAACATCACCATATGATTGCAAGTAGAATTTACTTTTCTGTTTTTTTAAAAATTTTTGCACTTTCTTACGTTTTTCAGATTCAAATTTAAAATGTTTGATTCGTTTTGCTTTGAAGATAAGACAACAACAACAACAACAACAAAATGGGGAAAGCAACAACAACAAAATTACATTTTTCTTTCCCATTTGATAGATAACAACATTGACCACCACCACCACCACCAGTGATTGGTATATAAATGGATAGTCATTCAAACTGAATTTATATATTGATTTTTTTTTTAATTTTGATTCAAGAATAAATAACCTGATGAATCGATTGAAAATGTTTGCCAAATTTTTCTTAATTATAGTGATTCTTTTATTTCTAAGTACAACAACTATTGAATCGATCAATGGTGCTTCCAATGGTGATCATCATCAATGTAATGAAAAACGTAAAATCAATATCGATCGTACTGTATCGAAAATATTGGCATTCGGTGAAAATGGCCGTACATTTCCAGAGAATGATAAACAATTACGATCATTTTGTCGTGATACCAATGATATGACAGCAAAAGTTGAAACATATTTCAAAGAATGTAGCGTTAAAAGTCAACAAGATTTTGCCAATGTTTTTATTTATTCACTTAAACATGTTGTACGTACATTATGTCGTAAACGTAGATCGAAAAAAGTGACACAATTCCTAAAAGTTGCACCATGTCTTAATCAATTTATTTTTGATGATCGTTGTATAGCCGGTTTCTCCAATCAATCTAAACCATTGATTGTGGCTAAAATTGGTAATAAAAAATTGGAACATGTTTGTTGGTAAGCTTTTTGTTTTGTATTCATTGATCGCTAAAGATTTAACGCTTGTTTGTGGTTTTCAAATATTTCTCATTTTTTTTCCATACAATATAGTAATTATGCAGCAGCAATGACCTGTGTTGATGATTGGATTATGGAACGACCATGTTCACGTGATTATCGTGAATTGCTAAATGATTATGTACGTGGTGTATTCGATAATATGATTACAGTTATTTGTGGTGATAATAATGGTGATTCAGATAAATGTGATCATATTATGAATAAGAAATTACCGAAAATGACCGCAATACAAGCTGAACGTTTAAATGTTAATCCATTCAATTCATTCATGTTCATTATGATGGACATATTTGATTCATTAGAGAATGTTTAAAAACAACAACAACAACATCAGTAAACATGAACAAATACGAGAAAAAAAAATAATTTCACCACCATTCACCACACACACACACATTTGATTTGATATTTGAAACACACAGTATTCATGAAAAAAAAATGAAAATTTTTTTTTTAAAAATTCAGTAAAATGATAAAATGAAGAAATAAAAAAAAAAATAACAACAAAATGGAATGATTCACACAACACACACACACACACATTTGATGTCCATTGTTTGTGTGTTTTTGGATTTTAAAATAAAAATTTAAAAAAAATTGTGAAACATGTGTGTGTGTGTCAATCAATTTTTACCATCTTTTTCATCATCTACATTATTATTATTATTATCATCAGAATTTTCATTCAATGATGAACATGACGATGACGACGACGATGATGATGATGATGATGATGAATGATGAGAAAGCATACGAAATAATTCCAATTCTTTTTTCTCTTTTTTCAGATTCCTTAATGTATATTGCATTGCATTCTTAATGATACGATCAACAATTGTTGATGTGGACATTTTATTTCCACTATCTATACGTTTATATTTATTCAATTGTTTCGGTATACGATATGGATCAGTACCATCATCATCTTTCATTATTGATGTTTTACCATGTAAAACAAGATCAACTTTAAAATGATCTAATAATTCTTTGGTGATTATATATGGAGCACCAATTACAACTTCGTTTACGTACTAAAGAAATTTCATATTAAATTAGAATTATTATTACAATTTATTTATTCACTTCACCTTTACTTACCTTACAAGCTAAAACGGATAAAACACGTTCATGAAGATTCATTATTGGATAATTACTGCCCTGTGTTCGATTAACAACAGAATCAGAATGTAATCCAACGATAAGAAAATCTCCATGAGATCGAGCTTTTTCAAGGAAATCCAAATGACCAACATCTGTTTTTTGTTTTGGTTTGGTGATAAAATATGAGAAAGAAGAAACACACACACACACACAAAAAAAACTTACGAAACAAATCAAACGAACCATCCACATAGATAATTTTATCGCCAGGATTTGGATCTTTTCCATCGGCAAATTGAATAATTTTTTTCGTAGTGGGTAAAAAATGTGAAATGCCCGTATATGGACTATGTGTCGTTGAATCACGACGAATATGTTCAACATGTTCTGATGTTTGTTTTGATTGTTTAACGAGATCATTATCATCCATTGAATCAATTTGATGATGTGTTTTAGTCATCAATAACATTCTGCCAACAATATCGGTAGTGGACACACCTTCAGTACGTTGACATTCACGATAACGGCCAGCCGTTTTTACATAACGATATGTATCGAGACCATTTTCATCCACGGTGATGTCATTACCGTGAACACAAAAATCACATTTATATTTATCTAATGTTTCCAACGATGTAATGTATGGCGCATTTTCGACAACTTCATCCACCCATTTAATTGCAAGTATCATTTTATAACGTTCTTGTTCATTGAAAACCGGTGGACCTTTATGTCTGGTGATTTCAGCATCCGAATGAATACCAACGACCAGACGATCGCCCATCGCTTTAGCTTGTCGTAATTGATTTGCATGGCCAAAATGTACCATATCATAGCTAAATGTTTAAGAAAAAATTAGATTTCAAAAATTCATCGAAACAAACAAATCTCACTTACCATCCATCACACCAAACACGTGTGATTTTTTTCTTGTCATTCGAACTATTAAAATCGGAATCCATTTTTATTCTTTTTCTGCTCAGCACTGTTAGATGTTTTTTGTTGTTGTTGTTAGAATACCACTAAATTGCGATTGTTTTTTTTTGTTTGGTCGTTTCGTGTCGTCGTTCGAATGATGATTGAAATTAAAGTTTGAAAAAAAAATCTAATCACAACAAGAACAACAACAAACTAAAATCTCTTGTTGAACAAATACTAAATCAACAAAAAAAAATTATCGGCTATTTCAAATCAATGTTGACATTTATGATATTTTTATCATCATCATCGTCATCATCATTTGTCAAAGATTTAAAAGTTTTTTTTTGTCACCCAAAGTTGATTTATTGCGTATTTGGTATATTGTCGTCCACAATATCGATTTTGGGCGTTGTTTTTATTTTTAAATAAAATTATTATTATTGAAAATTCGATTCGATTCGTTTTCAAATTAAACAACGTCAATCAATATGAATGAATGAGTGAATGAATGATGAAAATTTTACAATATGAATACACTAAACATGTCACAGAAAATAAAATAGCCGGAAATTCGTGTATTATCAATACAGGATGATAACTTGAAAAATGTTCATTTATCGGTTGTGATGGGCAATAATGATGATGATGATAACAATGATGATGAAACCTGCTGAATCAGTTTTGTTTGTGAATCATCAATCAATTAAATTCATATCTCGTTTAAATGATTGGATAAAGTAAATCGTATGATTTCGTTTTCGGTTCAATATTACACACAAAGAAGTGTGCCTTTTATGATTGGAAAAAATCGATAAAAATTTTGTTCACCATTTAGATTCAATCTAAATGAATGATGATAATTTGGAGATTAACTAAAAACGTTTGATGATGATTGTGTTTCGATTTGATGTAAACGTATACGTTTAGATTTATTTATTGATTTCATTTGATGATTGCAACGTATTTCAAGGTCTTTTTTTTTGTTTTTTCTTCTTCTCTAAACACATCAATATAAATGTCATATCATCAATTAAACACTGTAGATGATGTTTGTGTTTGGTTTCCGAACCGCCAAATGTTAAATATCAAAGATTCAATTCAGTCTGAAAAAAGAGACGAAAAGTATCAAAAAAAAAACAAACAGCTGGTTGCATTAGATTTGGGATTTTTAATTTTTTTTTAAATTTCCAATGATCCAGCTACCGCCATCTATTGTCGCTCATTGCAGTTAAAATTGAAAACAAAATTCAACCTTATCATATTCCATTTTTGGATATTGGAAATCACCTTTGATCCGAACAAAAAACATTGTTTTCATGAATAAAACAATGTGATTAGTGAATGAGAAAGAGAAATCTCAACCGGATTTCCTTGACTTTTTTTCCGTTTCTTTGTTCAATTTATTTCAAACCCTGCCAACGAAAAACAAACACCAGAAAAAAAGCTAAAAATAGAATTTATTTTTATCATCGAATTTCATTATTTTTTTTTTATCATCGAAATGATGATAATGATGTGTGTTGTTTCGACTATCCTCTTTTTTTTATATCGAAAAAGTCATTGTCCAGTTTTCAGCTATTTTGTTCATTTTTGATATCCATTCCACACACACACACACATTTTTGGGACCACATACGGTCGATACAGACGACGATTAGCTTGTTTCTCTCATATGTGAACAAATTATGTAGTGAGTGTGTGTGTTTGATTGTTGCATAAAAAAACGCGAAATGCATTGATGCATATATTGTGTCGTGTTGTGGTTTGGTTTGGCAATAGGTTCCAATGTTTTATTAAATCGTTTTTTGTATGTTTGGATCTTTTCTCATCATTTCTGAATTTCAAACATTTTTCATACCTCATCTCATTTCTCTTTCGAAATTCGAATCATTTAGTTATAATAGTATAGGGCTCATCCACAACATTCGTCGTCATCAAAAATATTGATCGTTTTGTTTTGTTTTGATTTGAAGATTTCTTGCACGCCAAGAATTGTACAAACTTTTCTTCTTTTTTCACATAAAACACACACACACACACACAGAACTATTCAATCAATCTATTCATATCTAAACAAACAAACAAAAAAACAAATCATGGCACGTGGACAACAAAAACTTCAATCACAACAACGAAATCAGAAAAAAGCAGCCGAATTAAAACGACAACAAGGACATGATCAAAAAGCTGCTGCACAAGCTGCTTTGATTCATAAATGTTCTGTTTGTATGGTAAAGTGATGATTATTTCCAATTTTTGTCTTGTTAATCAATTCCATTTTTTGTTTAGTCTCAAATGCCCGATTTAAAGACATATAAACAACATTTTGAAAATAAACATCCAAAAGCAACACTTCCGGATAATTTAAAAGATTTTCAAGCCTGAAAGCTGAAATGATGGCATCGAAAACTGAATTAAGAAATCTAATTCTTTACAGAATATCTTATCGTCACACACACACAAACAACAAACATAAACAATCTTAAACACCCCATATATATATATTATATACAAACTAACTGCCCCACACACATAAACAACAAAAACAGTAAAAGAGAAAAAAAAAAAAATGATTACATGATTGTGAAACAAAATTTATTGTATAATTATCATTTATCAATCAATCAATAAATCAATTTTTCTCCCAGTAAAAAAAAAATTCAATAAAAATTTAAACATTTTTTTCAATGTTTTCAATAAAAAAAACAAAGTTTTCGAATTCATAGAAAAAAAAACAACCCCTTGTGTTCGATTTCTATTCAGAGTTTTGACTTTGACCCATTAAAGTAGTAATCGAATGATTGAAATGAAAAAAAACGCAAATCATTTGGCAACGATGAAAACTTTGAAATTTGTCCATGTTGATCAGGATACATGATGTGTTGATTAATTAATTTGCGATATGTTGTGCGAATAACGCACGATCTTTGGAATTTGTTCTGTTCGATATTTTTTTTTTTTTGCCAACATTTATTTTCGAAATCAAAATACCAAGTTCAATCGAAAAAAAAACAATCAGATAAAAAAATTATTCGAAAAACCAACGATGAGAAACAATGTAGCCAAAACAAAACAAAACAAAAAAAATGAATTTGTAATGTGGATTATAGTCATATCATTGTGTGGGTGGATTCTGTGTTTACTTTCTTTTTTGAATTGGAACAATTCGATAGCTAGAAGAACTATATTGTTCTCTTGTCGTAATTGGGCTAGTATAATAAGTGTTAATTGTTGATGGTTGTGCTTGATATGATCCAGTAGTAAGTATTGTTGATGGTTGTGCTTGTAATGTTGTGGTGGTTGTAGCACCACCACCACCGATCGGTACGATTGGAATGGTTGGTATATTTCCGGTTGGAATTGGCACAACGCCCGTTGAATAGCTAGTAGTATAGCCAGTGTTAATTGCTTGACCACTTAAACCAGCACTTCGGGCAGCCGATGCTGGAACCAAGACGAAACCTTCTTGATTGACTAATTGAGCCCCACCACCTGCACCGCCACCGATAAGACCAGTAGTCAATGCTGTGGAACCAGATCGATATGAAGTTGTGGAAGCACCACTAGAACCACCGGCACCTCCGCCAATAAGACCGCCACCACCAATCAATGCACCGGCAGTACGGCCACCGGCTCCACCACCGATAAGACCAGTAGTCAATGTAGCTGAACCGGATCGATATGAAGTTGCGGAAGCACTACCAGAACCACCTGTTCCCCACCAATCAATGCACCAGCAGCACGGCCACCGGCTCCACCACCGATAAGACCAGTAGTCAATGTAGCGGAACCGGATCGATATGAGGTTGCAGAAGCACCGCCGCTACCTCCCCCAATAAGACCCCCAGCACCACCTGCCCCACCACCAATCAATGCACCAGCAGCACGGCCACCGGCTCCACCACCGATAAGACCAGTAGTTAAGGTAGCAGAACCAGATCGGAATGAGCTTGCAGAAGCGCCACCAGCACTTCCAGAACCACCACCACCAATCAATGCTCCACCAGAACCACCTGCACCGCCACCAATAAGACCGGTAGTCAATGTAGCGGAACCAGATCGGAATGAGCTTGCAGAAGCACTACCTGCACCACCGGTACCCCCACCACCAATCAATGCGCCAGCAGCACGGCCACCGGAAGCACCACCAATAAGGCCAGTAGTCAATGCAGCGGAACCAGATCGATATGAAGTTGCGGAAGCACTACCAACACCAGAGGCTCCTCTGCCACGCCCAGTACCGGCAAGCCCGGCAGCATCACCTGTACCAGTACCGATACTATTCGGTAAGCTAGCTAAAGTGAAATATTGCTCACGATTTCCACCGGCTTGTGCCCACAATGATTGTAAATTTTCAATACTTGGAGCATTCGAATTATAGACAGCTGAATCTGGTTCATGTGAAACGGTACCAACTTCACTGGTAGTAACTTGAGCACGGAAACCATTTTCATCGGCAACATAATCAACACGTCGATCTTGTCCATCAAGACCTTTGATTATATAGAAACCAGTAATTTGACCATTAGCATCACCAGTTTCAGATCGAGTAGTGCCACTTCCATCATCATTTGCAGAACTGTAAAAAAATAATAAAACAAAATAAATATCACATGGATCGATATTAACAAATCACATACTCAAATGAAAATGTATATGGTTCTGGCGCTGGATGTGGTTCTTCTTGAGCACTGGTTTCATGCAAAGCTATCAACGCCAAAGCCAATATGATCTATTGAATGAATCAAAAGAACCAAAAAAAAAATTAACAATACAAATTTTATGGAATTTTTTTTTACCTTGAATTTCATTTTGGATCGATAGAATATTATTTTATCACACGATGATCAATCAATTAATTTGTATCAAACAATCACACACACACACACACTGCACGAGAACACTAACTAAAAGATGAGATAAACAAAAAATCGAACACACACACAGAATAGATTCGATTCAAGAATATGACCTGTTATCGTTCGTTTGTGGATGGAATGAGTGTGAACAATTTTCGATTATCAATTTTCATATTTATATAGACAATCACCGAAAACAAATCTTTGGCTCTTCTTTATCCATTTGAAATCATTTCATCTTCGTTTTTAAATTTTATCACTTGTTGTAATAAATAATTTAAATGCACGCAATCACATACAGCAAAAATGAAGAACGAATAAACATTGAATGTGAATTGGGCGGAGAATTGAAATCAATTTAAATGATGATGATGGTGATGGAACATGGAACATATAAGTATTGAATCGATGATAATTCATGAATGGATGTTTCGTTTCCACCCATTTCTTGTTGTTGTTTCGATATTCTCTAGGTTAAAGTTCTTAGATCTTTATAACATACACACACACGCTTTTAATGTTCACTTTTCGTTGTTTAAAAAACTGATTTACATTTAAATAAAATAATAAAAAAAATACGAAATAAAATAATCCATTGATGGTTGTTGTTGTTGGTGGTGGTGGTGGTGGTATTATTTTTCCGGAAAAAAAAGAAGCACGTTTTTCCCTTCTCTCTCTCTCTATCTCTTTCGATAGCAACAAGTGGCAATTGATGATAATATGATGATGATCGTGGTGATATGGTGGTAGTTATTGATAATTTGGTTATAAATTGGATCTATTTACCTTGATTTTGTCATTTTTTTGTCAATGACAATTTATGTTTAATTAATCGAAAGAATTGAAATTCCCTCATCGACAATAAAAATTCGACTGATGATGATGATGATAATGGGTGATGGGTGAAAGAAAAAAAAAAAATTTGAATTTTTATAGTTTTGATTCCTGGAAAATGTGATGATTAAAAAAAAAATTTCAAAATCAAGACGAATTTTCGGATCATTACGACAATGATGTGAATAGAATTTTGACTGCGTGTGACCTTCAAACGTAAAAAAATGCTGAAAATTCAAATAAAATAAAAATTAAAAAAAGAGAGTTAAAGTCATAAAATCTCACTATGTGTTTTACTATTCTGTTGATCCATTTTGAAACATTTTTTTTTTTTTTTCACGCCATGGCTTTTGATTTTTTTTTTTTTTTTGACTGATTGAAAATTTTTGTCTGATGGATCCACATAAACAAAACGAACAAAACAAAAAATTTCAACAATCGAACAACAACAAAAAAAAAAAAAATCGAACCATAATAAACACAAAATATCGATATTATCGATTGTGCACATAATAAATATATGTGCATATAATTAAAAAATGTGAGATAATGAACATGATGATCAAAATCAAAATCAAAGATTTATTCAATTCCAATTTATTTACAAAAATGAAAAGAAATGATTTAGTTTCAAAATTTAAAAAAAAAAACATTAAACATCCTATATAGGGGGGTGGTGGTTAATGATGATTCAAAGTTTTTTGTTTGTTTGTTTTTTTTCTGCTCATTGCAATATTCGTGTAAATCCCCATAATGAAATGAGATTATAATTAAAAAAAAATGATGATGATGACGATGATTTCATCACACACCTGATCTGGCCTTGAATGATGATGATGATATAATTATGGTTGTGGTGAAATGTTGTTGATTTTTTTTTTTTGAATTATTCTTGATTCATTTGTTTTCAGTACAAAACTTGATTCTTACCACCACCAACAACACCACCAAAACCAGGTCCACTTGGTAATGGAACCTCTTCATTCTGCACCAGAATTGATGTAGGCGCCGTTGGTATTGATCGATTGCCATTATTATTAGATGATGATGATCCAGCCTGTGATGATTTAGCCATCATTTCTTCACGATTCGCTCTAAAAAAAAAAAAAAATGTACACAAGTTTACCGGAAGTTAAATGCAAAAAAAAAATTATCGTGAAATTGCGTGATTAACATGATGATTTTAAAATATGAAAAACTTGAACTTACTTTTTACCCAATGCCATTAAAAGATATAGTGCACTGGTTGCCATAATCAGACCGGATGAAAAAAATGTACTAACACCTGTACACCAGAAAAAAGGTATGGCTGCAAAGCTAAAAGAGAAAAAATTTTTTTTTTTTAAGTTTCAAATTGTCAATATTTGATTGTTCATGGTGAAACATGGTGGTTTTTCTGCTCATCCAACACATACACACACACACACTAGCATACAGATTATCGTAATAACAACAACAACAAAAAAACTAATTCAAAATGACTAGATGGCCAAATAGCACGAAACACATACACACATACAGAGAGACAACCAACATGGGTCATAAAAATCAAAAAAAAAAATTGAATTTGCTAATGATTATGACACATTCAAAATGACTAAGGGGGGACAGCAAAGTTGTACAAAATTATTCATTCATTTTTTTTTTATTATCTAACAAAATCATTATCATCGTCATCGATAAACACACACACACACACAGACACGGTCAATGTTGATGTTGTCGATGATGATGATGATGAACGGAAAAATATGCAAAAGAAAATTCCGAGAAGAAAAAGCATAATTTTCCATATAATTAATAAATGAAAAATGATTTTGTGAATTTGATTTTTTCATTCGCTACTTCTTCTTTTTTTTTGTTATCACGAATTTTTACAGAATTTTTTTTTTACTTTGAATAGAACCAACAGGAGCACAAAAAAAATACAGCCATAATGTAAAGATTTATGGCTTTTTATTGAATTGAATTCGATTGGATTGGATTGCTAAGACGATTATGAATGTGAAAAATCATCATCATGTTGATGATGACGATGGTGACTAATAAATTTTTTTTTTTTTTGTGTTACACTGTTGTATAAAAGCAAAAAAAAAAAAAAATTGCGTAAAATCTCACCTTATTTTTTTCTGGAATTTGTTTGGAAAAGTTTTTTGTTTCTGTTGTTGTTGTTGTTGTCATTGTTTAACCTTGAATTCATTTTGGGCAACAACAACAACAACAACAACAACAAAAGGGACAACAGAAGGTATCCAAAATGATAATCTTGTTGTCCAAAAAAAAAAAAATGAAAATAAATAAACGGATGATCATCATTCATCAAACACACACACACACCCATGGATTTTTTTTTCAATAATGAAAAACAACAATAGATTGTGTGTGTGTGTGTGTTAATTCACAACATGCATATATGCATCAATTGGCCAAAGGTGTGAATTTATATTATGATTTAGAGCTGTGAGCTATTTTTTTGTGATCATCACCATCATCATCATTATCATTAAAATTGAATTTCAATGATAATGATGATGATGATACATTTGATTTGTTTTCATTTGTTTCATTGCAAAAAAAACAGACAAAAAAAAACTTACAATAAATAAATGGTAGCCTTGATCCATGGTGGACGTTTATTCATCAATGTCGATGGCATATAGGCAAATTCAAAAAATACACAACAACATGGTGCTTCGGTCAATATCATTAGAAAGCCTTCGATGCTGCGAATTTTTATTTTTATTGATTTAAGAAAAAAAAAAAAAAAGAAAAGAAAACAATAATTAATAACAGGTAAACAACAACAAACAACAACAAAAATGATGATGATACTTACATCAATAGTGCGCCGCTAAATATGCAATGTACATTTAAAATGTCCAATATCAAAAATGAACCACATAATATGCTTACTAAATATATGAACAGAAAAAAAGTGATTAAAAAATCAATTAATTAATTAATTAATGTGAATGAAATTGGAAAAAGTGGTGACAATTTTTTTTTTTCAGATAGAAATCTTAAGTGTCTCTCTCTCTGTGTGTGTGTGTATCACACGGGAAATAAATTCACAACATTTGTGAAAAGAATAAAAAAAACAAGGACACAACGAATATATATGGATGATGATGATCATCATCATCATTGGTAACTAAAGATCCAACCATGTGGTAAAGTGATCAATCTTTTTGTTGTTGGAACAAAGAAAATCCAAATCATCATCATCGAATTTCAATTTGAAGAAAAAAAAATTTTGTCAAATTTTAAATTCAGTGATTCAATCGATTGCAATCATTTTGAATAAAAAAAATGCTAATTTCAATGATAAAGATGATTATCAGAACATAAACAAAATCAAAACAAACCAAAACAAATCCAAGATGAAAATGTGACATTTTCCATTGGATAGCAAAACAAAAAAAAACCATTACTATTCAAATGTTAAAATGAATGAGACATTTCAATGTCAAGTCAATGGTAATCATCGTCATCATCATCATCATCATAATACAAGAAAAAAAAGGACTAAAAAGATATTGATCTGAAAACAAACAAAAACAAAAACACACGGATGTGAAAATTATTTCTTCTTTGGAAAGCAAGAAAAAAAAATTTTTTTTACAAATCCTAGCGATATCGAACGTGATCTGCATCTAGAAAAAAAAACGAAAATTTTTCGTTTTTCGTTTTCTAGCTTTGATGATTGAACACAATGATGATGCCAATAATTTTCTTCATCGTTTGACAATGATAAAATGATGAATTGTAATTTAAATATACAGGGTGTGTGTGTGTGTGTTCATCGTTCGATTAATCTCGTCATTTTCGTTTACCGAAATAACCGAAATGGCACTGTACTTTTTCAACTAGAAAAAGTGTCATCAACATTTCAAATTCATTGACGGCAAAAAAAAAATTGCATCAAAAACCTTGTAATCAATTCAAGTGATGATGATGATGATGCATATATGATAATTATGTCTGTGTCGTTGTGTTAATGTTAATGATTATGGAAGTTGAGTTTTTCCATTTTTTCTGGAAATGAAACAAGAGACAAAGAAAAAATATCGTTAAAACAAATTACCAACACCGGCGATTGATCCAACAGCACGTGCTGCGCTTGTTATAAGCCATGGTGTATCTTGATTACTACCATTTTGTTCTTGTTGCTGTTGTGGTTCTGGTTTTAATGTTCCAACAATTGTTTGAAATACGTTCATTTTTGATGCTTTATTGATGCTACAAAGGTCGATGGATTTGTCGATTGTTCAAAATTTCAATCGAGAAAAAAATGAAAATTTGAATGAATGAATGAATCACACACTAAATGGCGTTGTTGTTGTCATCTATATTTTGACGTATATCGGTTGATTTAAAACACACTAAAAAAAATGGTTCAAAGTTTCTGTTTCTGCGTTTTTTTTGTTCTCACAGAAAAAGTGACAACGATGGAATAACAGCATGAAAATAGAATCTGTAGAAATAAACAAACGAAAAAAATTATTCCAAAAAAAAAAACAAATGAATCAACTAAAAAACATACGATTAATTGTTGTATACACAAAGAAAAAAAACGACCATCGATGATGATGATAATGATGATGATGATGACGCCGCTGTTTATCAATGTTACATTATCATATGGGCGATATTCATTACAAATGATAACAAGTGAATAGAAAAAAATGGTAACATGGAAACCAGAGAAAAGAGAGAGAGAGAAAAAAATTCACCAGATAAAATTGATTGATTGATTGATATTTAATGAGTTTTTTTTCATTAAACTTTAACTTACGTATTCACGAATTATGATGGTTGATGATGAAATCAGGAATTTCAAAAACAAAAAATGACAAGAAAATTTCTTTTTTTTTATCGGACAAGAAATTTCGAGAACAGACAGCCGACAAAATTTCATTGATGATGATGATGACGATGATGATGCCAACGTCAACAAGCTCGAAAATGATTTTCAGAATTTGTCCGTTAGTCGTCGCTAGTGTGACCATCATTTGATCGTTTTATTTGAATGAGAATATTCTTCAAACACACACACACGTGTTGAAATTTAATTTTGTTTTGATTCAAAAAATTTGATTTTTAATTAAAAAAAACACAAAATGCTCAACTTGCCTGGATCACGTAAATATGATGACCGGAAAAAATTAAAATCATTGATTACAAAAACCAAACGTCTAACATTGATTTATAATGAAAATTTCAAACAGATTTTATCAAGTTTTCAATCATTTTTCAATAATAAATCATCAATGAAAAATGTGGAAAATACAGATTTAAATCAATGTATACGACAATTATTATCGTCTTTGAGATCTATACCTCCTCCTCTATTACTAGAAATTGATGATGAAATTGAAAAATATGTGATAAAAAGTTTGAATCGACTGCAGAAAATCTATTGTGATGATTCCGTTTTTCCTGAAACGGCCATTCTTTCAGCATTCTGTACACCATTCATATTGATGTCATTTTTATCGTTAAAATATCGTTCAAATATTGATCATGACAAGATATGTAGAATTTCATTTGTTCTTTACACTCAAATGTTTGCCCAATCCATTGAGGATGATGAATTTGTGGACAAAATTCAACAAATTATCGGACAAACAAATCCGATTGTCATTGTTGAACATGTTCGCCAACAGATTGATCGTATCGAATCAACGACCACATCGTTTTGTCAAGCAACATTTTATTATGGAATTTTAAATTGTGTACCATTTTTCAATGTTCTCATTGAAGATTCAATTGAAATTTTTGCAGAAATTTTCATGAAATTAATACGATTATGTCGTATAGAAACAAAACAAACATTTCAAATTTATCGTTTATTGAATCAATATCTTAAACTGTTAAACGATCATCAGCATGTTATTGAAAATCAAATTTTAAATAATAAAAATTTAAAAAATTTCCTCTCAAATATTGTACAAAAAACATTATCGATTGTCGATAGTGAATGGGAAAGTCCAATAAACGGCGCCATCACGTTGATGAAAGAAAATTATCAATTTTTAATCAGATTTATCATTCAAACCCGATTGGAAGATGAAAAATTTATTGAAAAAATATTGATCGAACAAATCCAATCAGCATCACAATTACCATTCACAAGTAAAGCTAAATATAAAAAATTGGCCGTTTTAACCGAATTTTTATCCGTACAAACGAAAAATGATCAATTTAAGCTATTACCTGGATCGCCTTTCGAAATGGACAGCAATTTCTCCGACAAAATGATTAAACATTTATCAATAACAGCCATAACCACCAGTATTGCTGATTATTATAAATGTACAATTTCTTGGATTCTTTCATCCACTCGAATTGATAATAACCAGCGAAATATCCAAGAAAAATGGTCACAACTATGGCTACGGCCTATTACACAGATATTCCGAAATGATCAAATACAATTTATGATTGTTCATAACATCATGATGGCATCGATTCTTCCGGCAACACTGCAACATATTCCACAATCAATGTCTTTAATGATGGAAAAACTTTCTGATTGTCCGTATGGACAAGTATGTCTGATACGAATTTATTTGGAAAAATACAGTCAAATCACCGAATCATCATCAGCATATAAATTGCCATCAATAAATTGGCTAATAACTATTCTTACCAATCAAGATGATATGATCCGTGTGGAAGGTTTAGCATTATTGGCTGATGAAAAATTGATCAAAAAAAATCGACCAATTGTCTGCGATTTGATATTACGATTTTTACGTAACAACCTGAATGTTGATAATTCATCATTTAGACAACGAATGATTCGTGTATTGGAACGATTTTTTTTCAAAATCATCACCTGTCTTTGTGATCGATATGGTGGTGGTGTTGGTGGCCATTCACAATCGATTAATCAAGAACATAAACCATTAGTATCGTTTATATCGAATACTTTACGATTATTGGCTATATCACTTTCACCTGGTTCATCGTTTCAACGAAAATCAACGGCATTAAATCTTATAGCAGCAATTATAACGTTGATTAAAAGTGGTGATTATCATTTAACAATACGAAGACTATTGACAAATGATGACCATGATCAACAGGAACTAATTGAACCGATTCCAATTCGATTTATGTTACTATATGGAATTATTGATAAAGATGATAAAATTCGACGGTCAACAAATGAAATTTTGATTCAATATTCTAAAACTTCATTAGTGATTGGTCAAGATGATCGATATCAATTTTTTTCCACGAAATCTGTGGAAAATTTATCCATACATTATGGTCGATCGTTTCGTCATCAAGAATGTCATATTGGTGGATTATTGTGTCGATATTTGATTCAAATTAATCCAGTGGAAAATATTCATCATATTTTTACATTGGTTAGAAATGCGAACAAATTATTCTATTCAGATTCATTTCGTAAACAATTGTTGCAATCATCACAAACGAATCCATTACATGGTTGGTTATTAACATTGAATCAATGTTTAGATTTTGATAATCTTGCCCATCATCTATTGGACATGAATCCTTCATGCCAAAACGGTCCAATAAATATACGATACAAAATAGTTGAACCGACCATTGAATTGTGTTTTGATGTATTGGAATATTTCCTTGCATTGTTGACGCCAAAAAACGGCGATGAAGATGTTGATTTTGAATATCCAGCTGATGATGGTGATGGTGATGGAAATTATTCTTCACCATCATTTTTAGAGATGAGTGAATCAATTCGGCAAATTGTCCAAAAAGAAACTGAATTTGATAATGAGAAAGATTTCACAATGACCAATGAATTTCAATTGATTCTATCAATGTGTTGGCTTAATATGAAAGAAAGTTGTTTTTTAATCGCCAATTTATCCAAATTATCGGCTGATTTACTTTATTGTATGATTAATCGAACCGATTACAAGGATATTCGTGATTTTCTTCTGTTATCAGCTGAAAAACTATGTCAAAGTATCATTCGTATGGTGAATCTAATGCAACGTTGCCGTCATCGTGGTGTCATCGAAGCTTGCAGTGTTTCATTGACGAAATTCACACGATCATTATTGCGTATTTATTACTATCTTCATCAGATGGTAGCATCGAATTCATCCGTACTACAGGCATATCGTTCAGCAATGGAAATATTTGTACAAGAAATTTTTGCCGTAATCGCACGAAATGATAAATCACGATCCAAAATTAGTATAACACGACGATCAGCTGGATTGGCATTAATCATCCAATCCGTATTGATTGGTGAAGCAGAATCATTTCAAAAGGATAAAATTAAATTATCCAACAATAATAGCTGTCCACGAACATTGTATGAACAATTTATTGATTTATTGATACAAATTGCTCAATCACCAATCACTAATGATGATGATGATGATGTTACAATGCAAGAGAAAATTGATTTGCCGCAAGCAAATGCAATGCACGTTCTTCGTTCAATATTGGGCACATCAGTTTTATCACAAATGAATTATAAAACCGCTGAAATATTGTTTCCAATTTGTTTGAATGGTTTCACCAGCACTCATTGGCAGATACGTAATGCATCATTACAGTTATTTGGTTCATGCATAACACGATTATTGGGACAGAAAAAACGAACAAAATCAAAACCAATGGACAACGATGATGATGACAATGATGTGGTGGTGGTGGAAGAAGAATCGACCATAACATTGAATGAATTTTATAGTCGTTATCCTAATTTATTGAAATTAATTTGTCAACATTTTGAACAATCATCATCATATGAAAATCATCGTCCAGAAATAGTTCCTGTACTAGCATTGATAGCATCATTCACTTCATTTGCTCAATTTCATTCATTTCATGATGATGATGATCAACATGCGAGATTGATTGAAATGAAAAATTGTTTGAAAAAATCATTCATTCAATATGTTGAAAAAAATCGCTGCTGGAAAATACGAATGTTGGCAGCCAGATCATTGGCAAATCTATCAACATTCGAAGAAATGAATGAATTTCTACACAATTCATTTGAATCGACCCCGATCATCAAATCGAATCATTATCATGGACTTTTATATTGTGCCAAATATATGATTGAACAACACGGTAGCCAAGATGAAATTGAATTTTATCGTCAAAAACTTTATAATCGTTTCAAACAGCATTCTCAATCCATACCGGCTTTTCATATTCTAAGACCATTGTTTTTGTCAATTTTCAATGAAAAACAAGATAAACAAAATAATAATCTGGCAACAAAAATCGATGAATCAAATAATGATGATGATGATGATCAATTGGAAATTGTTTCACAAGATTTACATTGGATACTGGAACGTACATCATTTAAAAATCCGGATAACATTCGTTTCATTGCTGCAAAACAAATGAATCAATGGTTACGACAAAATAACAACGCTGATCACGACATTAAAACATTGATTCTTATTGCCGAAATTGTGTTGACATTGTTGGAAGATGAAGATCGTCATGTTCGGTTTGAAGCACTGAAAATTGGTGAAATTATTTTCCATGATGATCAAAAATTTTATCCACAAATATAACCATCAACATGTTTATCGATTGGTTAATCAAATCCAACCATAATGGATATCGAGCCCTATTTGAATTGATACTAAAACGTTTCGCACAATCATTATCATATGTAGAACAACAATCTGATGGCCAGATGCAAAATGATGTTTTATTCGAAAAAGAAGAAAAAAATGTTTTTGCCGAACCATATTTGATGAACATTCGATTGTTGAACGCTTTTCTTCATCACCAACAATCATCGAATGAAATTATCCATCATGATTTTGATCGTGATAAATTTGAAAAAATTTATCAAAGATTTCGTAAACAATTTGACCAGCATGATCAATATGAATCATATCGAAATGATATAATGTTTAAAGGTATTTGGCGATTACCGAAATATTTCCTATTCCTTGTCGATCATCTATTATTCATGCGTCTGGCATTATCATTGGAACCAGAAAATGGTGATTATCAAAAACAAGAATCATCCATTCATAAACATAATCCATTCTATTTGCAAGAATTACTTACGGAATTTCATCCAAATAAAATGGATTTAATTCATTTTTCACTATAATTAACATATCGATTTATTGTTTTTGTTTGAAAATTAAAAATTCTTTTACAATTTACAATCAAATTATATAATAATAATTGATTAAAGATGAATTTCCAAGTTTAATTTTTTCAACTCTTCTTCCGATGGTAATGTTATTTTTTCTGGATCAACAAGATTTGGATCAATAAATGGTAGGCCTAATTGTTCTCGTCGATTAACTTCAATGAATGCCTCTCTTTGGGCCCAATCATAGCCACTGTGTGACAAGGGGAATGAATTAGATTTAATCGAAAAAAACAAAACAAAACAAAACTCACTCAATGTATGGATAATAATAGATGATCCAGCTAAATACTAGACAACCAAGTGTAAAATATGAGAAAAAATAAGCATTGGCCAAATGACGATCCTCTTTTTGATCAACTTCATCGTATCCAAATGAAATCCAATTCTACGTGAATAATGACAAATGATCAAATGGAATGCTTTTCGAATATGAATATCATACCTTTTGTGAGCTAACATCGGCAAATTCTTCTGCCGTTTCAGGACCTTTTGGTTTCTTTTCGTTAATATATTCGGGATCAAAAACTTCGACATATGTTTCATCTTTTTTACTCGTTGTTTTAATTCCACGTGTAATCATCATTAACGATGATGATGATGATGATGAAGACCATTTAAAATCACCCAAACGTTTGACTAATGTGTTCATCACATGATTTTGATGTACATTTCGTTTCAAAGCCAAATTAGCGTGTCTTTGATTCACAAGAACAAATCTGCTAATCGAACGAAGCATCATTATCATTTGAGAATGATACAGATGTACCGGAAAAAAAAGAAATTTGGAATCGAAAACAATACGAACTTCAAACACCGTGATGTTTTTTTTTTCGTTGTGAAAACAAAATAAAATACATACTACTTGTCCTTGTCCGGTCATAGACAACGTGCGAAGGAAAAAAACAGTTTCACATCGATTGTTTTCGTTGAAAAATTAAGGAATCTTCTTTTGAAACACGTGTGTGTTGCGTCAAGAAAAATTATGTCCAATTAGAATAATCATTGAATGGTGTTTTCTCTTTTTCTCTCTAAACAAACAACAAAAATGTCCATAGTCGGTGCAAAATCTTTATTCATACCTTGTCATCAGCAAACATTAATGATGCGTTCGATATTCATGACAATGGCCAAAAAGCCATTGAATCAAATGAAACCTTTATGTAATACATCATCATCAACATCATCATCATCATTACATCCATGGCGATATTATCATCATCAACAACAAATAAATGGTCAAAGAAATAAAAATAGTGATTTTCAATCAATTTCAAACAATGTATTAATAATGAATGGTGATGAAAAGCAAACAATTTTATCGACAAAATCGCCTAATGATGATTCGAATTCATCATCCAAAAATGATTCGAATATTGATCCAACAAAAGCAACAGAAGAACAATTGTTGCTGCTAAGTGGACGTCTGTCAGATCATGTAAGTTTTTGTTGTTGTTGTTGTTCAATTCGATGTGATTTTGATTTTTATGGATTTTCATTTTCAAATTTTTTTTGTCAGTTGCCACAATTTTTTCAAAAACCACATGAATTTCGTCTCTATAATCGTAACATTATATTCGAAGATAATATTCGTAATGTTCGTACCGAAGGTATGAATGGATATGCATGGCAAATAGCAAAGATTAAAATGGGTGCACATTTAAAATATGGTAAAGTTGCATTCAATGTATTAAAATTAACAAAACACGTTGAAGATTCTACCATAAAAATACGTTGGCGTATCGTTTCGTATCCTGGTAATCGAATCGTGTTAGCTTTCTGGAAATTTAAACTATGGAATGCAAAAGAATCATTGGAAAAATATAAAGATGAATGGATCGATGGATTTTCCATACTTTATGTCGGTGGTGATGGATTGATTTATCGTCATGTTTGTGATAAAGTTATGCCCGATACGGATGAAATTGAATCGAATAAAACGACAAAAGGATTGGCAGCCAAATTAGGTGTAGTATGATGATAGAATATATGGAAAACATTTATTATTATTAAAAATAATTTTGTTAATAAATTACAATCAATAATTAAATTTGAATTAAGTTAGATTTACAAATTTATACAAAACAAACTATTATTCATTTACAATTTTTCAAATACTTTTTTCAATCCACATGTTTTACATGTTTGTTGATAATATTCACCATCTGAATCTGCAGCGGTAGTAGTAGTAGATGGTGGTGGCTCAATCAATTGTTCATCACCAAAATCATGTTCATGTGATTGGCTTTGTAATCGTTTATGATATAATGAACTTCTTGCCTGCATACGTAATTCTTTCATTTGTTTATCAAATTGTTTACGTTTTCTACCTTCACGTTTTGCATCACGATTTTCTCGTTCCTCTTCCAGCTGTTGTTCACTGCCCCATACTTCCAATGCACGTTCTTCCACTTGTAAACGAAGATAAAGACGCATATGACCACGAGCATAAACACGTGGATTACGTTTCATTATACAACGAAGTGGTGGATCACGTTTATCCAGATCCACATCGGTCAATAGATATTCTTGTTTAGCTTCAGTACGTGTGATTAATTTATGTTTTTGTTTCAAATCTTTACACGAATCGCAGATTTTTTCACCAAAATTTGATAACAAATATGAATTACTGAAATTATCATCACATTCATCGCAAACATTTTCTCTTGTATCCGGTTTGATTGTTATTTTCGTCGATGATGCCGTTAATGATGAATTATTTATTGAATTTATTTTCCGATCTGAATCATGATGATCAACGAAAAATCCGCCACCAAAATCCTGGCTAGATTGAACATTAAGTTCATTGTATCGTTCCAAACGATATACTTCATCGGTGGTCAGATCACGTTGTTTTTTCTGTTGCCGTAGTAATGCTTTTTGTCGATTACGTTCAATATGAGCAAGTTGTTCGGCTGTCAATTCATTATCATGGTTTTTATCGGTCGACATTTTTTTCCAATAAATGAATGAATGGTCAGATCACGCGCCACCTGTTTTTGAGATTTTTTTCTGTTGCCGTAATAATGAAGAACATTTTGCTACAAGTTTTTTATTTAATCTTTTTTTTTCTCACAATTAATAATCACCAATCACCCGTCGATTACGTTCAATATGGTATTGAATACGGGATAGAAAAGTTGTTCGGCTGTCAATTCATTATCATGGTTTTTATCGGTCGACATTTTTTTCCAATAAATGAATGAATTGAATTGAATTTTGATTTGATTGAAAAAAACAAAACAAAAAACAAAAAAACTTTTTGCATGCTGCTGTGGCACACACATACATACACACAGCGCCACCTATCCACACAAATGGTTACTAATTTGATTGAGATTTTTTTTTCTGATTAAAAAATTTTATTTTTCATTTCACAATGGATAATAATGAAGAACATTTTGCTACAAGTTTTTTTTATTTAATCTCATCAGTTCTTTTTTTCTCACAATTAATAATCACCAATCACCCGGTCCTAGCCATCATAGTGTTTTTTTTAGATTCCTTTGTTACGGGCCAAACGACGTCGCCAAACCAAATATGGTATTGAATACGGGATAGAAAAGAATATGATCATTTTGATGGCCAATGAACGGCTATTGTATGTGTCGAATGGAAAATTCTGTGAAGAGTGAAAAAAAGTTAGAAGGGATTTTTTTTTTTGGTGGGGGTGAAGGATATGAAAAACACTTACAGCTCCTTTGTAGACAATTTCTTTATGATCATGTGATCGTGCCAATGATTGACGCATCACACTTTTTGGAATCAGATTCAATACACGTGATGAAATCATTGTTTTGTTTGTTTCCAGAAACAATTTTATCGGACAAAAGAAAAATTCAAATTCAATAACACAACAATCGAATAACAAAGTCTGTCTTTGAGAAATGAGCTCAATGTGAAAAACGACATTTGGCTATATAAACCCAAGTGGACGATGTGTGTGTGTGTGACAACATGCAGACAAAAACACAAATCATCGTGCAAATCAAATCCAAAAATTAATCATCACAAAAACCAATCAATTCAATCATCAAGATAAGAGGCCATCTCTTTTTTTTTGGTTTTCAATTATGCCAAAAATTATTTTCCAATCACTAATGGATTCATTTCAATTTTGATCCAATTTTTTGATCTCTACAACCGATGAGCTATATTTATATTATTAAAAAAAAATTTGATCTCTCCCTTTATTCAAAACAAACAACCATTATGTCCTATTTATCATAGATAAAAAAAACCAACCATATGCAAGTCACACATTTATTCACATCGTTTTGATCTACATTTATTATTATTATAATTGGCACATTATTTTGCAAAAAACAAATCAGTGTCATTTGTCATCAGCAGCAGAAACATTCGAAAAATTGGATTACAAATCAATGATTATATTGGTAACGACGGCGACGACCAATAAACAGACAGCAAATTCAACTAGACAACAGCAACAACAACAACAACTAATCAGTTTTCATCAAATCAATTTCAATTATCATCATTGATCAATTGCTTACATTGTGGTTGTTAATCATAAATCATAAATCATAGGTAAATTTATTGATTGCTTATTTTATATGTATGTATTACATTAATCATTGTTCTTTCTTTGAAAAACTTTTGTTTTAACCAACTTTTAGTGTTAACCATGAAAAGAAAAAAAAGAAGAGGAAGAACTCGGGCTGAAACGCCTCACTTTTCATCACCATCATCATCATCATTATCTATTATCGAACAAAATTCATTTTCATAAACAAATCCGGTTGTCTTGGATCTTCATCATGTTCATTATTCAATGTAAGTAATTCGTCAATTAAGATTTTGTTTGATTAATCAAGTGAAAAAAAAATTTTGTTTTATAGTCATAGTCAATATATTAGCCATTGAAGATTATTCTCAATCATCATCGTCCAACATTATAAATGAAACAATCGATGATCATCAACAAATGCCTTTATTTCAAATCGATTGTTATAGCCTTAAAATTGGTCAATTCTATTGTGATCCAATCACGATCGATGATGATACACAACAGCCATTTGGTTGTTCAGTAAATAATCTAGCACCAATTAATTGTACATTACTTAATGGTTTAATCTGTGATGAACAATCGAAAAATTTGTCCATACCGTCGACAAAATCGAATAACAATAATCAACAACAACAACCACAACGTATACAATTAGCAATACCATGTCAATATACAAATGGCTATTCATATGAGATAACATTATTATTATCAATATTTTTGGGCATGTTTGGTATTGATCGTTTCTATCTTGGTTATCCTGCAATTGGTTTGCTCAAATTTTGTACATTAGGTTTTCTATTTTTGGGCCAATTTATTGATATCATATTGATTGCTATGCAAGTAGTTGGACCAGCTGATGGTTCAAATTATATTATCAAATTTTTTGGACCTCGATTAACCATTATCAATTCATTTCGGCAACAACGTTTCGGATTATTGGATAACATTCCATTCATTTATGATAATGATGATGATAATTATACCAATTATCGAATGGTTATACATTCAGGTTTTGATTTGTATTTCTATCCACCATCAGCAACAATAACGACAACGATCAATAATTTGGCCATCACTAGTTCATCATCAATTGTTAGCAATGAAACTTTAATCGCTGCTACTACTCATCATAATAATTTGTGATCAAAAAATTTTTATATTTAGTGAATTTGGAATGGAATTAATCTTTGTTTGAAAATTTGTTGTTGTTCATTCTGTGTGTGTTTACCACAATACATTACACCATTGATTATTATTATCATCATCATCAACAAGTCTTTATTTGTTTGTCATTTATCAAATTTTAAATGTATAAAACCAATTTTTTTTTCAATTTTAAAATAAAAATTTAGCCTGTTGATCTTTTTTCTTCCACATTCTCATTGACAAATGGTTCAAAATCTGTGTTGTCGTAATATAAAGAAAAAAGAAATGTTAGTATTTATAACTCGTCATTAAGAATCATTTATGAAAAAAAAATTCACATTTGATTCAATGGAGATGGTAAAAATACTGATCAAGATTAATTTTGCATAATAACGGGGTTACAAGTGTATGAATGGTAATCAAAGACACATGAACACGTTAATTATGCTTTGATTTTATAATGTAAAATTCTTATGGAAAAAAAAAAATGCTCACCTTGATTTTGTTATAGGGAAACCGTCGTCATCTATTGGAACAATGATCAAATGTGATAATCTAAAAAAATAAAAATAAAAAAGATGTTAGATAAACCGACTGATTGCCATGACAATTGAATAATTTATCATTCAATGTTACTATTCATCCTGGATTATTATAATTTAGCATAAATAGAAAATTTTCTTGCATATACATAATTAAACCGGTGCAAGAAAAACTGCTGTTTTATGCACACAGTATACAGTTATAAAATTTCAATTCAATAATAAAAAAAACTTACAAATTATTTTTTATGAAATTACAAAAAAAAAAATTGAAATCGAAATTGAATTTGAAACAGGAAAATGTGGTTTTATAGTGCGTTCAAATGAAATGCTGCGTGCATGCACACACAGTGTTACGTTCTTTATGAATAAATCATCAGTTTTTTTTTTTTTTTTTTGCAAGAGTTTTCACATCAATTATAATGCTGCTATCACAAAAAATAAAAAAAAAATTTTCCATCAAAACCTAAGGGTAGTAGTATTGGTTTATGGTGATCATCATCATCATCATTATGATCCTCCTCTTCTTACAATTTTTCTCACTTCGAATATTTGTCTCTCTCTCTGTGTGTACTCTGATTCGATTTTGTTTTTTTCCATTCTCAAAAAAAAAAAAAAGAAAATGTTCCATGGAGTGATGTAAAACACCACCACCACCACCACCACCACGATAACAACCACTGGATTCATATTTCCAGATGTTGTGATGTGTATAAAACTACTGCTGCTGCTTATGATGATGTTGATGATGCTGATGGATCATTGGATCATCTTAATTCTTTTTTTGTGTTTGTTTTGATGAATATTTTTCTACATTTCAATTTTTTCATATTGAATGAAGAATTTCAATTTATGAAAATATAAAAAATTATTATTGCATTCAATCATTGCAAGATTACGTAAGAATCTAATAACAAAATCTGTCCACAATCATCGCATCGTAACATAACGACTAACGAACGAACGAACGAAAAACGTAACGAATTTTTTTTTCTCTTTGATTTACAAATTACGTGTGTCTGTGTGCATTTGATGGTCATTTCGTTCCAAATTCGTTTTTCTGTTTGTTTTGTTTACAATCTGCAACGGCTTTTTGGAAATCATTAGCAAACCCTGGAAAACGTTCGAAAAGAAACCAAGAAAATTGTCAATTTGTTTTTTACATTAAACAAAATGTGGTAAGTTTTTGTTGTTTTTCAATATTTTTTTTCGCTTAAAATTTTTAATTTTTTTTTAACGAAAATTATACGTTAAAAAAAATCAATACGTTGCTTGTTGAAAAGATCGCTATCTAAACGATCTTTGTCGTTGTTCGGAATTTGCCCGAAGGTTTTTTGTTTTTGTTCACTGTTGCTATGAAGTTCAAGTTTTTTCCCATCGTCATCATCATCATTTTGTTATAATCGTTTGATGTGTGTGTGTTTTTTTTTTTATTTAAATTTGTGTGTGATTCATTCATTTTCATTTTTTTTTCATTCGATGATATTCCATGATTAGATGAGTTGCAATTTTTTTCCATTTGTTTCTTGATTCAAACCAGAATTATTTGAAACAAAAATTATTCATCAAATTCAAATAAAGTAAAAATATGTAAATCCAAAAAAAAAAAGTATGACCTTTCGGTAAGTCTGTTTTTTTTGTTTTGTTTGCATGTTCAATGTGTTAACTATTGCAATCTTTACTGTTCTAAATCTTTAAACAAGTCCACTTAAACCACATTGATCAGGAAGAAAAAAAACAATAGCAAAAAAAGTTGTTTGATCCATATGTTTCATGCACACTTATGATTAAGATCTTAGTGGATGTTTCTTGTGTAAAATTATGTTCCAAAATTTTTTTTTTTATCAATCTCATTTAAGGTCGAATCAAATGGTCATTTTTGTTGTCCGCTGTCGTCATAATTCGAGGGCATCCAATAATATTGTTCATTACGATGATTACGATGATGATTATCTTCAATCATCATCTAATCGCCCTGAATTCATTTCAATTCAATTTTTTGTTGTTGTTGTTGTTTTGGTGAATGAATGTGGATGTAAATGAGAAAGAGAGATGATCATGATGATCGAATTTATTTGTTTGTTTGTTTGTTTGTGATGATGGTGGTGGCCCTATTTCAATCAATTTGAAATTTAATTCACTGATTGACCACTAATTCACCATAGATAAATTTTTTGTTGTTGTTGTTGTTATCAGTGAAAAAAAATTTGCACACAATTTTCAAATACAATCACCATCATCGTCAATGGAACAATTGTTGTTCCAACAACAACAACAACAATCACCATATTTGTTGAATTGAAAAAACATCTGCTTTTCTGAATAGAAAAATAAAATTACGACGACGACGACGATATACAAAATTATTTTTGCCATTGTAAAAGTGTATCTCTGTGTGTCTGTGTGTGTTTTTTAACATCCTGTTGTTGTCATTTCTCAATCTGTTTTTCATATATATATAAAAAATTATCATTTCAATGATGATCGGCAATCCCATTACCATCATCATCATATGAAAAACGGCTAAAATTAATGAATGAATTTTCTTCTTCTTCTTTTCGACTTTTGTCATGAAGACACCTGCATTTTCTCTCCCCCACCACTATCACACACACACAATTTTTTCCACCTGACATCATGATGATGGTGATTAGGTTTTGCAGAGGGGTTTATTTCACTGGTGATGATGATATTTTTTTTCCTTGTGGGTGTGTGTGGAATTTTCCCACCCCCATTACTTGTGTGAACTTGTTTCTTTTGTATTTGTTAATCATTATCTCATCAACATCATTGTGAATTTGAATATGTACAAATTTTTTTTTTCAATTACATTTGATCCTTTTCATCAGTATTTTTTTCAATTTCCACATTGCACACACACACACACACACATTCAATTCAATAAGATGATGATGATTTCTCATTATCATAATCATTGAGTGTTGTATTTCAATTGATAATCAGGATGTGATTTGATATCAAATTTTTTTTTTGCCATTTGTAATTTGAATTAAGAATCAGATTGTAAAACTTTTTTTAAAATATAAATCTGTAATCTGTTTAATAATAATTGTTTAGTTCATATAAATCCATCGACATTTTTAATGATTCAAGGATTCGTAGTTGTGACGAACGCGATCGATCGATTGATCGATCGTTGTCATTCAGTAATGTTTTTTTTTCTTGTTTTCTTTTAGTTGCCAAATATAAATTTTCTCTCGTTTCGCTCTTTTTCGTTTTGATGATGACTATCTATGGATTTTTTTTCCGTTTTGGTTTGATGGTGATATAATGTGAACAATGATAATGATGATGATGACGATGATGATGATTAAATGGGGATGCTGCGTAGGTTATGTTTGTTCATTGTTGAAGTCAATATTCATTTTGTTTTTTGCTCTTTCATTCTTTTCTTTTGATTTTTTTTTGCAGTTTGACAATGATCAATACATTTTATCATTCATGGTGGGTCTAATTGTGTGTGTGTTTTTTTGTTTTGTTTGTTTGTAAATGTCAATTTTGTGATAGAATCCATCCATTGTCAAATGATGATGATGATGATGATGAAACGAATCAAACAATTGACACATTTTGTGTGTGTGTGAGTGCGTTTGTTTATATATCGATTATCGATCATTGAACGGAACAGAAAAAAATTTTTTTTATTTGAAAAACTTGGAGAAAAAAATCTGTATTTGGACATTTGATGTTTTTTTTGTATTTCTTTGAATTTATGGAATTTTTATTTTTCACTGTTGATGTATTTTTTTTGTCATTTGAATATTGAAAATTTGCGATTGATTTGAATTTTTTTAGTGTATCGCTCTGGAAAACAAACTTTTGTATATATTTTGTTTGGTCTAGTTTTTTTTATCGATTTTTTTTTCTTTTCTTGATTGACGAAGAAAATTGTTTATTTATTTATTTATTTATTGATTTTTTCATGTTTATCGTTTTTTTATATCCTCATTGAACTTTGTAGTTTTTTTTTGTCAAATTCCCAGAACCACGCAGAACATCGATCGTAGAAACAATTAATGATTAATACGGTGATTTGTGCTTGTGTGTGTGTGTGGAGTGGCGTGGCAGCAAAAAAAAATAATACAACAACGCCCATAACGACAACAACAACAACAACAAAAAAACGAATAAATGTTGTCATTCATATATTTATTAGTATTTATAGTCATTTTCATATTGTTGATTGTAGCATTTTATTATACAATCAAACGATGTTGTCTCATCTATTAAATGTTGTTGTTGATTGCTGCCGATGTTTTGTTTTTTTGTCTTGAACAACAACAACAACAACAATTGAAAGATTAAACTATAAAAATGATGATGATGATCAAAAGATGCAAAAAAAACTTCAACTTCAACTTTAATGTTCGATAATAAAAAGGAAAAAAATGAAATGAAAAAAATCCCGGTCAGATTATTTCACCAGAAATAGATACACACACACACACACACACACACACCAGTGAAAGTGTTGAAGGTTTTTCTTTTTGTTTTGTTTGTTTGAGTGGAAAAATGATGTAACCGAATTTTAAATTTTTTTTTTGTTGGCCGCATCCATTCTTTTCTTTTGTTTTATGCATCATCATCTTTATGATTCAATATAAACATCGACATTTAAAAATGATTGAAACCAACAATGAATGAATGAATATCAACGATATATAAATCCATTTTTTAACGGTGTTTTCTTGCTGTGTGTTTGTGTTTTTTTCTTCTGAAAACTCTCGATTTTTTTTTTGGTCTTCAATTGATTGGTTTCTGCTGCTGCTGCTGGTAATTTGAAAAAAAGACATAAAAAAAACTCAATCAACCTGAACCGAAATTGAAAAATTCAAATGTAAATGAAAATGAATGAACCAGCAATGAATTTAGCTAACTCACTCATTTTTTTTTCTTTCTATCTGTCTGCTTAACGAACCTTGTAAATGAATGAACATGCGAACAATTTAATTTCCTATTTGGCGTTTCTCTTCAAAAAACAACGAACGAAAAAAAAACGAAATCATTTGTTTTTTTATGTTTGTGAATAGAAATTGAAAAAAAAGTTTTTTTTTATTACTAAAAATAGTGATGACAATCATTGATGGTAGTGATGACATAGGTGAAAAACTAGAAGAAGACTCATATATAAATAAATGAAACTCATAAAAATCGTTTTTTTTGTGGACAAAAAAAAAAAAATAAATTTCCACATCTCATCATCATCATCAAGCATCATCGAACGTTTGAACAAATGATGAACGAATGAATTTTATCGATAGTATCGAGACATTGAATTTTTTTTTTTTCGTTGCTCTCATTTCTCAAAAACAATCGAAAATCAATTTTGGTTCATAATTGTCATCATCATCATCAATATGATTCTTTGATTCATCATCACAATCGACTGTTGCAAAAATCATGACGGTATTTCGGTAATAGTTTTTTGTTTGTTTGTTTGTGTTATACATAACTTGAAGACATTTTTTTTCTTTTCTATCTATCTATCCATGTGTGTGCGCTTTATTGTGTGTTTTGTGTATTGTTTTTCAATTAAAACGGAAATATCAAATGTCCGTTAGTTATCTGTGTGTATGATGGTAGTTGAACAACAAATTTTATGTTTTGTATGCATGCATGCATGTGTTTGCAGTTTACAATATAACAAAAAAGAAATTGTTCATTTTGTTTCATATACACAAAAAGTAAATATCATCACCTTTTTTTCAATTTTTTTCATTTTGTATTTCCTATTATTATTGTCATATGGTAAATCATATTATGATCCAATAAGATGTTATATAGCCGCCTACGGTAAAATTATGATGATGATGATTATGACAATAGCAGAAATGACGATGTTTCATATTGATGCTTACCTGATGTGTGCACTTCATAAATTATGTGTATGATGATGATGGTCGAATTAAATTTTGTTTTGTTTTAAAATTTTAATTCATGTGAGCATGTGTTGCAAATTTCAAACAGATGATGATAGTGTGATCTAGTTTTTTTTTCATTTGTTTGTTTTGTTTTGAATTTAAAATGAAAATTTTATGTGTGCATGTTGGAATTAATTTCGTTTTTTTTTGTTCTTGTTTCTCATTGCTGAATTTTTAGAAATGAACAACATCGTTTGAATGGCTCGGCATACACATTCGGCAAACCAAATGAAATGAAAAAAAAAGAATTATCGACATTGAAATCAACGACAACAAAAATTCAAGATGATTACCACTTGTATGCCTAATTCGGATGCTAAATACACCGATTATTGTGACCGATATTGGTAGTTTTTTTTTGGTCAAATCTTTCAATTTTCATGTTTTCTGGTGTCATTTGAATCTGTGATCATTTTTATTTTTCATCATTATTGCTGCTGCTTCACAACAACTACAACGACAACATCAAGTGTAGGTTAATCATCATCATCAAGTTATATACTGAATAATTCATTTCAAATAAAAAAAAATCTTTATTGCCACTTGGTGTGGAGAATATATATATACACACACACAGATTAAACACCTACACACAAAACAAAGCTGCCTCTACGATTTGGAAAAAGAAAAAGAAAGAAAGAATTGAAAGCAGAGAAAACAACAAAAATGACATTTATAATGAAAAAGAAAAAGAATAAATTCCTGGTAACCATTACAGTTGAACAATTAAATTCTGTACCATTCATGAATTCTGTATTGTTTGTAAAATGTCGCCTATTGGATGGTGGTTCATTTGTTGATTATACTGATCGGTAAGTCAGAAATTTTTTTGTTTTGTTTTCCACATTGACATCACCCTATCGTTCTAGATTTTTGTTTTCAATTATTATGACCAAAAAAATGACCATTTCGTGACAATCATTTTTAATCGTGTGTCTCTTTGTGAAAAAAAATGACCACTATTTGCATGCATTGAATTGAAATTTTGTTACATTCATTTCTTATTATAATGGCCAACTGAAACAATAACCAGAAAAAAAAGAAATGAAAATGATGCCAGTTTATTTTCATTCATATTTCAATAGGTCATTTTAAAATTTTTTTTTCTTTTCATATAAAAAAACAATATAGTATAGTCGTTGTTTATTCTCTCAATGTGAATTGGGTTTTTGTAATTTTGTTTTGTTTTGTTTGCCTAAAATTGGAACATTTTAATCTGATTATTATGTTTTTTTGTTTGTTTTCTTTTCAAATTCTTTTTAGCCGTGAAGTAGATGATCATTGTGTTAAATGGAATAAAACGTTTAATTTTCAAGTGAAAATGTCCGCCAATGCTTCTACTGGTCTTTTGGATACATGTACATTACGTTTATCTATACGTAAGGTAAGTACGAAACAAAAAAAAATATGAAATTTTTCCATACAAATGATGATGATGATGATGATGGAATTGTTTTCGTTTTGGATTTGCAATAACAACAACGAAGAAAAAACAAAAAAATTCACGGTTACTATGGCAACTAGGAATGTATGCCTGTGTGTGTGTGTTGCCAGAATGAAAATGCAAGAAAAAAAATCCATTTTAGATGAATTAAAAAGTGTTTCCAGGTGTTTTCATACTCATTAGTAGTTTTTTCTTTATCTTTTCACAATGAGAATAAAATATTCCAATTAAATCGATAGCAAACTATTTAGATACATTCATTGATGAATAATAATGTTGTTTTTTTTTTTTTTTTACAATTTCCTGAATTTTCTAGATTCTAGAATAAAAACCAATGTGGTAGTACACAGGAATCTTCTGGTGTTATTGTTGTTTTTTTTGTTGCATGTGTGTATGTGTGTTATGATAATAATAATAATCATCATCATTATTATGATAATGATGATTCCATGTTTTTCCTGTATACTACTATTCGGTTGAATGATTTTTTTTTCATTGTGAAGAAATATCTCACATAAAATATATATATATCAAGTGACCCATATTTTCTATTATCCAGTATATATGAGTTGGTGGTTAAAATTACATTTTTTTCAGCACAATCACATTTTTTTCATTTTACTAATTATCATCATCATAATATCCGATCATCTCAATGATGACCAAATGTACTAAAACTTTATAATAATAATGATGATGATAATAACAATTAGTACGACGATTGATCGATCATTAATCGATCTATTCGGCCATAACTAATTATGTGTATCATCATCATCATCATCATCATCATTTCTTGAATTTTATTGATGATGATTTTTTATTTTGCTGATATCTTTATTTATATATATCACCCTCATTTGATTCGCATTGGCCAAAAAAAATCTCATATTTCAACATCATTATTTGGCTTTATATATATTTATTTTCATTGACAGCTATACCTCTATATAGATATTATATTTTATAATTTTATTATTCAGCAGCTTATTTTTAGTTTTTTATGATGATGATGATGATGATTATGCAGTTTTTTCCTTTATGATTGCGGAAAGAGAAAGAAAAAATAAATCATTTTCAAAAGAAAAACTCTGTCATTTTGGTTGGAAAAAAATTTTTGACATTATAATACCACCATCATCATGATCATTATATAAGGTGCCACCATTTCAAGGTTGTTGTTGGCTGTTCTAATTCCTTTAACGATGATGATGATGATAAAGTTTCAAATTCCTGGTCAAATACAACAGTAGAAAAAAAATATTTAGCCAATACTAATGAACGTGAATATTCTTTGCTATTTTTTTTTCTTGATGATCCCAAAGTTTTGGTTTTTGTTTAGTTTGAAATCATGCCAAAAGTATGGCTGATTTCATTTTTGTGAAATCCATTTGAATTCCGAATGATTTATTTATATTATGATTAGAAGAAGAAATTCTTACCATTCGAATCGTGTGTATAGTTTAGTTTAGTTTTTTTTTGGTTCATGTAAACATACGAAAAAAATGGCACACCAAGAATGTGATTTTCGAATGAATTTGACTAGATGATGACTTGTTGATGAAAATTTTTCTTTCCTGGTTACGATGACCGAATTTTGATTCTTAGTGGATTTTTGTGAAATGAAAAAAAATATGTTTAGTTGTCAGGCAGTCAGTTCATTTCGTTTTGATTCCGGATTTCCTTTTCATTTTTTTTTCTGTCTCTGAATTAACTTGTCATTTATATTACCGTGGTTAACAGGAATTCAATTAATCAAATTTCAATCAAACGAATGACTTGTCATCATCATGAAATTGTCCTTATCATATGTGGTGGTGATAGCTCTTCATTCATTTCAGGCGTTGTTCATGAAGAAGAATATGGATAAGAATTCAAATTAGTCTGATAATTTCATATCACGGTGACATTTTCCAAATGAATCCCATGTTTGATCCCGTTTTTGATATTTACATTTACAAAATTTCAATTTTTTTCGCCCATCATTATCACATTATTATAATTTAGAGTTTTATTTGTCTGTTTGTTTTTTAATCTCATTGGTTTTTGTTGTTTTTTTTTTCATCACCACAATATACAGGAAACAAAAGGAGGCAAAGCATATGTAAAATTAGGCTATGCTGATCTCAATTTGGCCAGTTTTCCTGGCCATGGACCTACCGATTGCCGTTGTTTATTAGAAGGTTATGAATCCAGACATCAACATCGACAAGATAATTCAATGTTACATCTTAATGTTGATATGAAATTATTAGCCGGTGATCCATGTTTTAAGACGTAAGCTGTTTTGATGTTTTTTTTTGATTTTTATTAATTTCTCTTTTATTTTATTTTATAATTTAGGCCAAGATTTACTTGTCTCACACAGCATTCAAAACAAGGTTCCAGTGATATATTAGCAGCAACCGATCTATTACAGCCACCAAAACAAGATGGTCATTTTCTTTGTCCATTAACATTGTTAAAATATAAAACTAACAATAATTTTGTTTTTTCTATAACAGATTTTTTCGATGAAAATGAAACAGGTGTTTCATCAGCTACCGCTACTGTTACTGTTAATGATTCGCCAACAAATTCAGCCAATCATATCATTACCGGTCTAGTATCGCCAGATGATTCATTGAACACAAATCCATCAACGATAATACAACCACAATCACATCATCATCTTCATCATCATACATCACAAACATTAAGCTATCATCATTCCAATCGAAATACGCCCACATTGGAACATAAAAAATGTCAAACATTAGCATATGCCAATAATAATCATATAACTAACCTAAATAGTGAGAATGGTGTTGTTGTTAGTGGTGGTGGTTGTCAAAATGGTGATCGTAATAGTCATATTTTCACTAGCCATGATCTTACATCATCAATTACATCAAATAATACAACTAATTCTTGTTCAGCTTCCAGTTCCAACAACAACAACAATAACAACAACAATAGTTTTGATCCATTTGAACCACAACATTCACGTTCGAATTCAAGTCAAACAAGTTCATCACGTATATCGGCAACTACTGGTTTTAATTCATTACCCACGCATTCACGGCAAGGTTCAGCCGATTCTGAACAGAATACGAATACAAACAGGTTCGATTATTATTATTGTCCAATCAAATTTGATTTAAATAATCATTATTACAGGTATACGAATGAAATAAAATTCAATAGTGTCGATCGTGTAGTCAATAATAAACGTAGTCATCATCATCATTATGAACGTATGAAACCAACCGCAATGATGAATGGATTAGGAATGACGTTGGATTCAACATCAATTTCAACAACTGAATCTTCTAGTTATCGATCTGGACCGAAAAAAGCAATAGATTCTACACGAGTACCGGCCGATCAATTTGTTACAGAATTATTGAAAAATAATATTGATGAAACAATATTAATGAATAATGAACCAATGGAAATGTTTCCCGATGATGGTAATGGTGGTGGCCTAGATATTCAAGTTGGACCAGACGGTTCAGCAACCATTATTAGTAAAACAACAAGAAATAGGTCTACTAACAATAATGATAATCACCACCATCATCATCATCATCATCATAATCGTGATAAATCAAAATTATTATCATCATCAAATGGTCGAACAAAAAATACAAATGGCAATGCAAGTAATAGTAATAGCAGCAGTAATAGTAGTAATAATAGTAGCCCTAAGCATCTTTTGGCTGCAACATCGGTAGCGCCTGGTACAATGGCTCAAACATAATCATCTCGTTGATTTGTGGTGGATCCATGGCTGCTTATCATTGTAAAACACACACACACAAACACTCACATCTTCACTTGTTCTTCATCATCAACATCATCATCATCGTTATCATTATCGATCTCAACTATCTATTGGACCTCTATCGATTAAAACAACAACAGAAAAGTAATAAAAAATTTAATTTAATTACCAACAATTGGTATGATAGTCACACACCGCCGCCTACTACTACAATGACAAGATTTTACCATACACAAAAATTTGTTTTATCTCTTGGCCCTCAAATCCATCTTTTTATCATCTTTATGCTTATAATAATTATCATCCAAATCATTTTTTTTTTGGACTGCTCATCTCTAATGATTCGATTGTTGAATTAATAGAATCATTGATCATGAATACTCTATATATTTTCTTAAATATGACAGTGAAACAAAACAAAACAAAAAATGTTTATGGAAATAATAATTTAAATGGATATCTATAAAATCTGTATCTTTTTTAAAAAAGAAAGAAAAGTCATGTTGTATGTTTTATGTTTTTTCTCCTTGATATGTATGTATTCTTTCATCTCTATTCTGTTCTTATTGTTTTTTTTTCTCATGGTGAAATCATAAATGATGTTCACTGTATTCTCGCTCATACACTGGTCTGATTTCTGATTGATTGATGATATTATTATTGTAAAATAAAAATTCTTGACAATTTCATTTTTTTTTTTTTTGTTGTTTGTTTGTTTGTCTGATTTGAAAAATCGAATCATTTTATTCATCAAATAATAATAAAAATTCTCGCCATCTGACGATATAAATTAGAAACAAATTACAATCAATTTCATTACATAACAGAAAGATGGCGCCACACAGAATCCATTTATTATTATATTTTTTTTTTTTAATTTTTAATTGTAATTTTGAAAACGGTGATATTGTTTTAATACTTTTGACCAATTCAATAATATGATCTAAGGTCAAATCTTTTACATCTGGAAATAATCTTGAATGACGATGATAATGTTGTGAATAGATATATGCCATATCCAGATCGGTGATTGCATTATCCACCCATTTAGCCCATTCTTCTGGTGATAAATTTTTCATCTGATAAGAATCGATAGCATCAAATTCATGTAACCATTTAGGTTGATAATCTTTTGGTTTACTATGATTATTATGTGCAACGATTCGATTTTCATGGTCTAGATCCATAAAAAATACATCAAAATTTAATGGTTTACCTTGTGGATTCATTTCAAAAATCTTATACGATGGATTCAGAAACGAGAATGTTGTTAAACTGCCAGAAATATAATTGATAGCAATTGGACGTCCTTGCATATTGTACATGACAGCCAATTCATCATTATGTGTATGACCATTGTATGCACCGGTAATTATATGTGAATATCGATCAAAAATCATGATATAATTATGTAGCCAACCTTCATACATATCACTAGGTGGTATATGGCCAAGAATCGAAACAAAAGCACCAGTACGTTCAGCATGATCCAGTTCTTGCATTAACCATCGTAGTTGATTATCCGGATCAATGGGATTGTATGCACGCCAAAAATTCGCTCTATATCCAGCATTACTATTCAATACAATCACTTTCCAATCATTATTGATCATACGTGAATAATAGCCACCTTTTTTAAATGTCATTCGATTTTCTTCAGTTAACCATTCGGACCAAATTTCATCGGCCATAATATTGTAAAGCCAATCCATTGAATGATTATTATCATTTTTTTCCGACACTTCTATCGGTACATACATATTGATTGGATGTGCTTCATGATTGCCTAAAGCAGGCAAAACTGGAACACCGGCGAATGTTTCTTTGATCAAATTGGCCACAATTTTATTATGTTCAATTACCATTGTTTTGGATGTATTCCATACATCATGTGGAACATTATCACCAGTCCAGAATATCATATCAATGTCTGGATGTTGTTCACGAATTTGTCTAATCGAATCACTAACTAGTTCTAATGGTATATCACAATCACCATTCATTTCACCCCAATAACCAGCTGGATAACTTTTGATTATTGACCACTTTCACATGTGTTGGGTTAGAAAAAAATGAAATTTTTTGATTAAAATTCATGTCGATATTGATGAAATACATACCATATGATGTTGATCGACAACATAATGGTTCATTACATTTGGAATTTGAACCTTTTGTATAGAAAAGATCTAGATGAATATCGGTTAGATGGAGAATTTTTCGATTTTTCTCTCCACCATTATCATCAATTTGAGCAAGTTTAAATTGTTGTTGTTGTTGTTGTCGTTGCCGAGGCATTGGTAATTCCCAAAAGGTCCATTCACTATAAGAACGATTTAGAAATTTCGAACATTCATATCCAATCAACACTGAACATCCTTCATCCATTGGTACTTTTGTATTGTGCAATATATAAAGTATTGCCGGTCCAAGTCGATCGATAATACCAATACATTCACGTCCAGTAATTGACGGAGTAGTTTCATTGAAATCTTTACAAGCAAATGATTTAAGAAATTCTAAACTCTGTTCATTATCCGGTAATGCTTGGCCCAATTTTAGAACCGAATCACAAGCTTCACATGTTTCTAATGTTGGTTTATTACCATTTATGATGGCAAAAATCTGAAATCAACCAAAAAAAAAAATTAATTAAAAATTTAAAAATTTTTCATCTCATTCTTATTTACCGAATTAATATCTAATCCAGCAAGAATATCATAGTTTTCTTCATAAATCTCCAGGAATTGTTGACCATTATCCGGTGGTAGCATTGTTTGAATTAATTCTCTATCTTTCTGGCTGATTCGATGACATGGTGATGATGAACAGGTCAAAATAGTGGCCAAAATTGCCACACAAAATAATAATAATATTGAATTCGATTTCATTGTCATCGTCATCATTTTTTTTTCAAATAATAAATCGAAAAACAATTATTTCATGACAGCATTTGGTATAATTATGGCATTTTTATATGAAATGAAAAATCTGATAAATTGTACACAATTCCTCCCCACGACCTTCTCCCATCATCATCATCATCATCATATCTCAAACCCAGATGTTTCTATCGACAATCAATTGTCTGGCACAAATATTTAATTGCCAGAAAAATTGCTACAAAAAAAGTGCATTTGAGTTCTTTCCGTATCGTGGTTCAAGTGATTTCCACTTGAAATTTTTAAATTCAATTCAATCTCTGAGATAATAGTGTGTTATCTATTAATTATTTCAAAGTGAAAATGAAAAATTTTATAACGATCATTTGACCTTCTCATAGCTGAAAATGAATGGGAAGAAAAAACGACAATGACAATGAATCGTCGTTTTGTTTTTGTTTGTGGGTGGGGGAGAGGAGTGGCAATAATTTAATTCAATATTTTTTTCAGTAATTTAATTTAATATAATTTATACATTTTAAAAGCTTTGCATCTTAGTATGGTTCAAAATTTGTTTTTTTTTTTGAAATTGAAAAATTTTTTAAAAACAAAAAAAATTATGGTATGGCAAACAATAGCATCATGGACAAAAACTGCTTGGAATTGGCTCGTACAAGGTGGAAGATTGCTTAATGATGCAGTAAATGTTTATCAAGCAGTTGAAGATATCTATTTTAAAGGACAGCCACCACCGACACCGATATTACCGGAATATGATCGTGATAAATTGGATCAATTATATAATGGCCGTCAACCGATAACTGAATCAGAATGTATGAGCATATTTGGTAAACAATTTCAAACAATGTCTGATCAACAACCACCAGAATGGCTTGGTAAATGTTGTCTGGATGAGCCAAGAATTTATTGTAAATGTTTTAATCAAATTAAAACAACGCATACATTATTGTTATCATGTCCATATTTAATGGAAAAAAAATTTGATGCAACTTGTCATCATTTAAATAATGGTAAATATATATTCTGATAACATGATTGATTGGATTGATTGATTGATTTGTTTTTTTTTGTCAATAACGACAACAGCAACACAAAATACCAACATTGGATTCCATGATCAATTGTATTCATCATCAATCGCCAATAGATATATTTTATTCATTTTTATCACTTTATTTTTGGTAATATTTGACATAGTACTTTTAATCTTTATAATACGTATGATGCGATCATTACGAACCATTGTTGATGCCAATGATGATGATGATGATGATGGTAATCTTGATGATCAAGATGAGAAAACGAAAACGATAACGAACAAAACTACTGATAATAGCAACGATAAATCGATTGTTAAGAATAATAATAATAACAACAACAACAACAACAAAAAACGTGGAAAAAATGTCGATAATTTCGGTTTAATTTGATTTATATTTTGATCAACAATTACAGCTCTGGTGTGTGTGTGTAATGTATAAAAAAACATTGAATTAAAATTTAAACATTTGCTGAATATTTTCTTCTTGTTTGTTTATTTTTCCCGTGTGAACACTATTCACACACACAAACAGATTGAGTGTGAATAAATCAATCAACAATGGATTGTATAGTTAAACTTGGATTAAAATTTCTTGGTCTTGATGCTGTGGTAAAATTTCCACGTAAAAATCCATATACATTTTTGGCCGGTATGGCTGTACTTGGTGTTGGTTTATTATTCTGGTTAGCCACATATTTATTGAATGAATTTTATTTTCTTGAATCATCAATACCTACTATTGTGATGCTTCCAGCAACAACAACAACAACAACAATATCGACAATAACAGCAACGATAACGAATAATAATAATAATATTACAGCGACAATAAAACCAATGATGATTGATCAATATAAAGTTGAATATGAAACGTGTATGAAATTAATCGATGAGTCATCATCATCATCATCATCATCGATTGGAAAAAAATTGATAGGAAAATGTTGCCCGGAGCCTGAAGATTGTAAATGTTTTCAAAATGAAAATACAAGACAAATGTTGAAAAAATCCTGTCCAGAAATATTAATGAAAAATACGGGAAATATTTGTCATACAATTAATAGACAAAAAAAACGACGACGACGAAGACGACGACGTGAAATTGTAAATAATTCATCATCATCATCATCATCATTGAAATTACCGATAAAAAAACAATCGATATATCGATTGTTAACAATCAAATCATCACCGATAATTACATACAATGTAAATAGACTCTATACATTTTCATCATCATCATTGGCAAACATTATAACGATCATTTTATTCATCATCGATATGGTTTTATTTATCATCATGATCCATACAATTCATGTATGGCATAATTATTCAAATGATTGATTGATGGATTGATTCCACAAATAAGAACAACGTAAACAAACAAACAAAATCAATCAATCAATCAACCAAATCAACAATTTCATTTGTAAATAAAATTATCGAATTTGAATAATTTTGTATTTCACATCAATAAAAAAAAAATAACTCCATCAGTAATGGAGCTAATGTTGATTGTTGTCATCATCAAATTCTATATACTTGACACACATCTTTCTCTCCATAGGATGTCTTTAGATTTTTCCGAAATAAAAACAACTATATTAGTTATTTTGATAGTAGTATTTCTATTATGTCTAAGAACATTCATCAAATCAAATGTTAAACCATTATTTTGGATAGGTATAATGGCAGCAACCGGTGTTACAATTTATTATGGTATTGAAGAATTAAAAGAATTTGCTGAAAAGAAACATATTCAAGAATCATTACAAACGTTGTCAAATGAACCACCACCATCGACCACCGCCACCACTACTGTTGAACCACAAATTAATCAAAAAGAATGTGAAGAAATTTTCATTAGACGTACATCAAAAATGATTGGCAAATGTTGTCTTGATTTAAATGATTGCCATTGTTTAAACAATGATCATAATGCACAATTGTTATTACGATCATGTCCAAAATTGCAAGAAAAAAATATCGACATTGTATGCCGTTTTATGGGACAACAACGGACAATAAGAAATGACCAACAATTATTAACAAGAAAAATTCACGTTTTAAATTCATCATCATCATCATCACCATCATCACAATGGCAACAATCAATAATGAAAAACAAAATCAATGTAATCACAATATTTTTATTGGTCATCGATTTCATTCTATTCATCATAACAATTGAAACTTTTTTCGAATGGCAAAAAATGGACAATGATAATGGTTATAATAATTTGAAGCAAATATCCAGCAACAATAATCTGGATGAATTCAATGGAAACGAAATGGAAAAATTTACTACAAAAATCAATATAAATCAACAACAACAACAACAAATTACTACAAATAATAAGGTGGATTTGATGAATCCCAAAACATCGACAACAACAAAAATAATTTCCGATCATGATTCGTGATCAATCACAGATGACTTTTTGATACAATTTTAATAAAAAAAATAAAATCAAATCAAATTGAAAATAAAAAATCGAAATCGATTGATTTTTGAAGATTGAATTCTATCCAATGGAATCATCATCATCATTTTGTCGTTCGTTTGACCTTCGAATTCGTATCTATCTATATTGATCGATCGATACGTGAAAGAAAAAATAGCTGGTGGAATGAGAAAAAAAAAATTTCAAAGAATAAATGATCGATACATCAACGATGATGATCAGCATATGATATCTGTGTGTCGAGTATCGATTTTGAAGAAAAATATGCAGAAAAAAAAATTTCCACTTCATAATTGATGAGAGCTCGCTCATATAGCTCGATTCGATTTGATTATAAAACACACATTTATTTCTCTTCTCTTTCACCATCTTTATCGTTCATCGTTCATCGTCATCGTCATCATCATAATTCAGAATAAAATGATGATGATGATGATTTCGATGAATGGTTTTTTCTCTCTCTATTTGGAAAAAAGTTGATTTTTTTCAACTTTCGATAATGATCGTCATTTTAAATCATTTTTTTTTCTCGAATTCTAATTTTTTTGCATAAAGAATTTTTCATTTTTTGTTGTTGTTGTTGTTGTTGGGGGGGGGACTATTTCAACCAATGAATATGAACCAGTGGTGGTGGAAATCAAGAAATTAAACTTTTCTCTCTCTCTCTCTTTTGTGTTTGGGGAATGAATAAAGTTGAAAAAAATAATGAAAATGAAAATCGAAAAATTTTCATTTCATCGCCACCACTACTCTACCCGACTAAAAGAGATCATCATCATAGTTGTAATGATCATGATGATCATGATCATTATTTTTTTTCTGTTTGTTTCTATAGAAAACTGATCCATTTGGGAACTAATCAAAATATCAAAAAACAAAAGATTCGAAATGTGTTTGTGTAATTTTAAACTAAACACATTAAATGACGTCATCATTTATTATTATTGAAAATCATACGTGTGTGTGTGTGTGGTGTTTATTTAATTTTTTGGAACACAAATCCATCATCATCATCACCATCACCATCAACACCATCATTGGTCAACAATATTTTTTTTTCGATACAAACGAAAAAAAAACTGTTTATTCTTGCTTATAGAAAAAAGAGAGAGAGAGAAAATGGTTTATTAATGAAACATCATTTCATCATCATCATCATCACAATCGATTGAAATACAATGAATGAATGAAAAATGTGGTTCATATTTCGATATATATTTATATTATAAAAAAAAATGGATGGATGGATGTTTCAATATTGAGGTCAAAGTTAAAAATAGAAACATTCGCACACACACACAAAAAATACATGTGTGTGTGTGTTCGAATGTAGAATCTATATATTCTACAAAAATAGCTGATTCTTCTATATAGAATACGACGACGACGACGTCATACGTCATTTAGCCTGAATATACAAACAAAACAAAAAAAAGTCGATTGAATTTTTTTTTTTCGTTTTCGTTTTCGAGGTTTCATTGTCGTCATCATTATCATCATCATCAATTCATTCATTTATTCACCTAGTAAATACGTGTGTGCGTACATGTTTTATAAGACATGTAACACAATAACTACATATGATGATGGTGATGAATATGAAAACTATTTTGGAAAACCCTATTTTGGATAGACAACAACAGGTCGTTGTCAATTTTTTTTTATTTTATTTTATTTTTAGATTGTATGATTCATTCAAATGTTTGTTGACGTAATCAAGTGTCAAAATTATTAGATATCTAGCTGTCAAATTCATCGAACTTTTTTTTGTTTGTTTGTTTTGTTTGTTTTTCACTGATAAACACACAAGAATGATGAATAATGAACGAAAAAACAACAACAACAACAAGTTTGACAAGTAATAGAATCATCATCATCATCATCATCAACATCAGTTATGTAATGTAAAAATAGAAATAAGAATTGAAAAAGAGAAATAATTATATGCACAAATGATAAACAACACTGTGGTATATATCTAAAAAAAAAAAAAAATGGAAATATTTTTAGATATACTTGCCCCTTGCCACAATTAGATGATGATTTGATTCTTCGATTCTTGAATTCTTCTTTTTTTTCGTACGTCTTGAATTCACTTGTCTAATAATAATATGTCAATATTTGACAGCAGCAGCAGCAACAGCAACAGCGACAATTACTTAATGGGAAAAAAAACTCTGCAGATATTCACACCATTACAGAATAGTCAATCGAATAAAACCAAGAGAGAAAAAACAACTGAAGAAGAAAACAACCTGACAATCAAAACGGTGAATGAGTAAAAAAAAACTAAAAAAAGCAAAAAAAAAACACAAACGAAATGCACATAAAAAAAACAACATTGACACATATGACAAATTCTAAGCAACAACAACAAAGTTCTTGATATTCATGATTCTTGATATTCTGGGAAAGCTTGTTTTTTTCCATTTGATTTATTTTGGATTATTCTTGAAACAAAAATGATGATGAACTTATTTACATTGAAATTGGGCAGAATTTTTTTTTTTTTGATTCTGATTTTGATTTTCCAGTTCCACAATAAATTTCATTTCATCAAATATTGGGTGGATGGATAAAATGAAAAGAGAAAATAATTTTAAACTTTTTTTTTCATTCCATTCAATCTTTATCGAATCGAATCAAATCGATTTTTTTCATTTTTTTGATATTTTCAATTGTTCTGTTGTGCTGCTGGCAGAATTTTCGGGAAATTTTTTCTTTTTTTTTTCTGCTTGCAAAGCTTTTTTTTTTTTCTTACATTCACTATGAATGTGTATTCAGGTCCATTAAATTTTTGATTTTTCTGAATTTTTTTCTTCTCATCATTCAATTTGAATAGAAAATTTATTTATTCAGACAGACGAAGAGAGAAAGAAAAATCAAGCGAAAACAATTTGTGCGCGTGTGCGTCTGTAAAGTAAAATTGCAAATGGAACAAACAAACAAACAAACAAACAAACGAAAAAAAAAACGCAATTCAAATCGATCTTAATACGTTTGTTTTGTGTATTTGTTGAAAAGAAAAAAAAAGCAAAACTTTGATTTTAATTTCTTTGGGTGTTTGCTTTGTGTGTGTGTGTGTGTGTTGTCTGATTGCGAGTGAATGGCTGAAAAATGGTAATTTTTTTCCGTACACACACACACATTTCCCATAAAATACGTAATCATCAACAACACTGAAAAAAATGGAATAATAAATGCGGTGGTAAAATGAAAAATCCGATTTATTTTAATTAAACCAATACACACACTCGGAAAAATATGACGCAGTTGAATTGATTATGATTTGATTCGGATTTTTTTTTCCATGGAGAAATACTGATTCAACTCCTAGAAACAAACGAACAAAAAAAAAAATTCCATCAGTTTTTTTTTTGCCCTGGCCATTTCAGCCATTTCACATGCATTCAGGCCCCTATTCTCCAATTTAATTGGATGGAAAGTGGCCATTATGAACCAGTAAAAAAACAACAACAAAACAAAACAACAAAACAAAACAAACTAGAAACCCGAATTTTTTTTTCTTCCAGACAAATTCTTTGAAACAAAACAAAAAAAAGAATCCTGTGAAAGAAATGAAATTGTTTTAGGGTTGTGAATCTCAAAAAAAAAATCTCAAAAACCAAAACGAAAGAGAGAGAGAGAGAGAAACAGGGACCTTGTATATTCAATAATAAAATAGTTAATTAAATCAAAATCAAAACTTGGAATTTGTGATTTTTTTTCATCGTTTTTCCATTTCGCCAAAAAAAAAAATTTGATTGAAACAAAATTGGGGCGTATGTTTTGATCATCATGTTGGCCATTGCCCAAACACACACAAACGAGATAATAAATCAAATTGAAAACATCAATATCCAAATGGCTAGATATTGCTAGCAAACAGCTATGTACGATGTTGAAAATTGTAAATGAAAATTCTTATTTTTCATTTTCACACTATCAATACAAATTCCAGAAATTCTGCTCTCTCTCTCTCTCTCCCTACATATACAGCCACTGGACAACCAGAAATATGTCATATATATGCAATGGTAAGTCAACAGTCACCACCGCATTATTATTATTATTATTATTAGTAAGTGACTACAAAAATTGTGTGTGAATTTGATGAAAAGAAATGAGATGAAGAAGAAGAAAAAAAAATGTTAAGGCATCCACCATCCACCACTACCAGCCATCATTAACATTTGGAATTTTGTATTCGTTTGGCCCCATTCTGAATGTGAACGATAATAATAAATGATGATGATGATGATGATGATGACAAAGTTATTATTACTATATTCACATTTACATAGAGAAAAGAAAAACAGGCAAAAAAAATCTGTCATCATTCATACAATTCAAATATACTGATTATGATTTTTTTGAAAGACTTTTCATCATCATCATCAAACAAAAAAACAATGTGAGAAACTTTCCAAGAAATGAAATGGCCAGTGTTTTTTTTCAGTTTAATTCAATGTGGAAAAAATTTTTTTTTTATGTTGATGATAATCAAATTTCATCTGATCATTATGATTCCGGCAGCATATAAAAAAAGGCAAATCACACACACCGACACACACACACTTGATCAAATTACATTTTATACGCCCATATAAATTTTGTTTTCTCTGGAACTTTTTTTTGTGTCCTCGTCGTTGTTGTTGTTGTTGTTCATGTATTGTTTTTTTACGTTATTTTTTTGATAACTTTATGGCCATCCAGGCTTGTGGATTGTTTATTATCCTTTTTTTCTCTCTCTCTATATTTCCAAAGAATAAAACTAAGAATTTGGAAGAAAAAAATTATGAAATTTGAGTATGCGCCTCCTGTGTGTGTGTGTGTGTGTGTGTGTGTGTGTGTGTGTGTGTGTCGGTGTGGTGGAATTTGAACCGGAATAATAATAGAGAATCTGGCGAAAAAAATACATTCAAAAATTTGAAATTATAAAAAAAAATTCTTTCGCATCGCGTGTTTTGACACAATGAAGGACAGAATATAGGGGAAAAAACAAAACAAAACAAAACGACAGGGCGTATTCATTCATTCATCTAATTTTGATGATTTTTTACTCCAGAATTTCTTTTTTTTTGGGGTAATAATCATAATTTGTCATTGACATTTAACGAGCAAAAAAAAAACTACCCACCGCTGACAGACCGACAGGCATAAATCAAAATTGTCAAACAATATATGAGTGTGCAGCAATGAAATATGAGAGCAAATCAAATCAAATCAAATCAAATCAAAAAAAAAAAAGAAAAAAATCTGAAAATGTCATTGAATAAACAAACAGAACAGACATGAAAATTGTAAATTCATTAATTTTAATTAAAATGATGATAAATTCACATACACATCAGCCACTCAGTCAGTCAGTCAGTCAGCCAACCAGTCAGTCAGTCAGTCAGTTGGCAACAGCAAGACATGATATAGCCAATTTGTTCATGACAGATCAAATGACAACAAAAAAAAAAACGAAATAACAAAAATGCAAATGACAAATACCGGGAAAAAACCATACACACACAGTAATTAAAGAGAATTTTTTTCATTCGTTTGAAACATTCAACAACCAAAAAAAAAAAAAAAAATGTTTCTGGATTCTTTTTTTTCCCCATATAAACGATGAATGATTGATTTAAGTTTGTTTTCTAGGAATTTTTCTCTTTCTTTCTTTTTGTTTTGGATTGATGATACTAGAGATAATAAAAAAACTTTCCACTTGATCATCATCATCCATCTATCTATGATATATAAATTATAAAGTTGAAATCGATACCTCTAACCATCATTGATAAATAAATGTGATCCGTTTGAAAATGAAATAAATATCATTGAAACAAGAAAAAAAAACAACAATCGTTCAACAATAACAAAAGGAATCGAAAAAAAACTTTTAAAGCACACAATTACTTGTGGATACTAATAAAATGATGATGAAAAAAAATGAAATGAAATGAAATGAAATGTGAAAATAAAACAAGAGAATTTCAGATTCTTGAAATTGAGAATTTTTTTTTTTGTTTCTACTTTCTCAACAATCTGAATTCAAACTAAAATAAAACTACATGGGAAAACTTGGCTTCACCGCCTTAATTCATTCGTCAACATTAAAATTTTCGTTTCGTTTCGTTTATTCATTTTCATTTACAGTCACTTTTTTTTTTGCTCCCGTTGGGACATTGTTTTTTCTTTTCATTTTTTTTATTATGATTAGACTAGTTTTTTTTTATTGTTTTTCAAACAAGCAAAATGGCACCATTGTCGTTTGATTATCATGAAAGCAAAACAAAAAAATTTCATCAGTCTTGATTGTCTTAACTCAATTTTACTGTCGCACATTGTTTTTTTTCCGTGTGTGTGTGTAGAAATGCAGCAGCGAAAAAAAAATCGACAGCCATTAAAAATAATTTGTTTTTTGCTTGCTTTTTATTTTGAAATTCTGTATTCTTTTTTTCCAGTGAAAACAACAACAACAACAAAGACGGAAAATAAACATAAAAAAAGCAAAATTCCGGAAAGCGAGTAAAATGTCGCCGTCGTTTTTTCATTTTTTTTACAATCACAGTTTAGTTAGATTGTATATACAACCAGAATGTTTTGAAAGATGATTCAAGCGATGGATGCAAAAAACAGAATAAACGAGTAAAATGAAACAAATTTTCATTAAAAAAAACAAAAAGACTCCCAGATCATAATTATCATGATGTTTTTTTTTGTGCTGAATAAAAATTATAATAATCAGAATTTGCCACAAACGCCCGCACACACACACACACCTTTGGTGGAATAATTGTGAACAAAATTAGCTAAAAATTGAAAATAAAATTCTTGAATTTTAAAAATGGAATGATTTTTTTTTTTTGGGTGGCACAATACGCTATTTATAGCATAAGGATCTAGTCTAGGCCATGATGAAGATTATCATTATCAAAAATCCATTTCACCAAAAAAAAAGAGAGAAAGAGAATGACTAGCTCTGTTAAGTTAATCAAAACTGTTAATGATGTTTATTTTCTACACTAGCTATTCAACTTTTCAATTCCAGAAAAAAGATTTCATCATCATCATCATTCATTCATCCATAACGGAAAAAATAAAAGAAATCTTAATGATACACAAGTAACGATTTGAGAAAATGATTTTTTTTTTCTCTTAAAATGACAGAAAAATAAAAGAAATCTTAATGATACACAAGTAACGATTTGAGAAAATGATTTTTTTTTTGCTCTCTTAAAATCTCTTGAGAACAGCCTCTTTTTTTCCGTTGCGGTTTTATATATATGGGCCATATATCAGCAACAGCACAGAAAAAAAATGGACATTGATCATGATGATGATGATGATGTGGCAAAAAGAATAATAAATTCTTATTGCGTATGTGAAACAAATTGATTGATCATTTATTTAATTGTCTTAAACACATCTGATGATGATTTAAAATTGCCCAATCAATCAATCAATCAATGATGAGTTGTATTTGTAATTTTATTTACACAGAATTGACCTTTACGAGTGTAATTGGAATGAATTGAAATTTTTCATTTGAATTTATTTCATCAGAATTCTGATTTCATTTTTTGAAAATCATTGGATGATCTATAGTTGCTCGGTTTAGTTGATTGGCTGTTGTTATGGTGTGTGTGTGTGTGTGTGTAGATGTTTACCTTACTGCTACACAGAGATAAATCAAATCAGAAAATTTTTTTTGTTTTGCTTTCTTTTATTAGATTTTCAATCTCTTTTTCTATGTTACTGATTCATTCACCATTGGAGTAGTAGCTATAATTGTAAATCAAATGAATGAATGAATGAATGATTGGATGGATGGATGGATGGATGGATGGTGAAAACTTTATTTTATTTTACGGTTGACAGAATAGGTTTTTCGTTGTCGAAAATGAAAGATTCGGTCATTTGGTTTTTTTCAAAATTCTTACGCACACACACAGAGAGAGAGAGAGAGAAACAGAGATACAGAATGTGACATTAATTTTTGAGATGTTTTTTTTTTCTTCCCCAGTTTTCTATTATTGGATACCAGCAACAATACAGCACCAGTATTGATACAAATTGCCTAGGAAACAAATGAAATGAATGGTACCCACACACACACACACACAAATTCTGATTGTTTGCCTAAATTTTAACGGGCAATAATGATAATAATGAAAAAAAAATTGCCAAATAATCAAAAAAAAAAAAAAATCTAGGTAAAATTGATTGATGCCAAAAATAAAAATTTTACGTTCATTCTCTTTCAATGGCTAGGCAGCAGCAATATTGACACACACACACACATGCATGCATGCATGTTATATATAATATGCACATTGATGTATGATGATGACTAGGTAAAAACTTTTGTGATGTGATGAAAAGAGTGAAAAAAAAATAAAAATCAGCCACTAAGTCATCATCCATTGCATATTTCATCATCATCATTATTTCCCATTGTTAGTTTTTCAGTTTTCCAGTGTTTCAGTGTTTCAATGTTCCATCAACATCATCATAATCAAGGTGTTTTTGTTGTCGTCGTCGTCATTCTTTTCTTGTTAGAAATGATGCTAGCCATTCATTCATGATACAAAAAAATGTCCAGAGACAACACACCATGTGTGTGTGTGTGTGTATGTTTATGAAACTTTTCTATTGATTCACATTGATTCCATTCTATTTGTTTGGACAAAAAAAATAAATGAAAAGAAAAAATAAAATAAAATCAACGAAATAGCACATGACCAGGCATAATGATAATAAAAAGGCCTGAAAAATTTTCTCTTCATCACTTTTTTTTTTTCTGAAAAAGAAAAACTATAGACAAGTTGATGGAAGAAGAAGAGAAGAAGAATCTGATAGCTTCAGTATAGCATATTAGTGTACTAGTAGTAGCAAATGCAGCGAATATTCTGTTTTTTTTTATAACTTTCTATCAATATATAAATTGTCATTCTGTGTAGAGTGAAATTTTTTCTCTCTTCTTCTCTTTGCTACGCATGATAATAGAGAAAGAGAGAGAGAGAGAGAAAAAAGAATTTATGGGATGGAACAGAATTTTTCCTTGCAGACAGAGAGAAATCCAGAAGCTAAAAAGAAAAAAAATTCTCTCTTTCACTCTCTTGTTTGGGTTCTTGCACAAGTGGTACATAATTTTTTTGTTGTTGTTGTTGTTGTTGTTATTGCTCTGCTAATGGTGTGGGCGCCATGCGTTCATCATAGCAGAAGAAGCAATGAAAATGTGTGTGTGTGGATTCCTGTTTTTTTTTCTTGATTTGGGACCAATTTTCTCTCTTTCAATTTCAAAAAAAAAAAAAAAAAAAAAAAGAGAAGACCCAGAAGGAACCTATTGCACCGATACAACACCAACACACACACACACACACACACTGACACTGTAGCATTCACCGTAATCAATGTGTGTGTGTGTGTGTGTGTGTGCAAGTTTCAGTCAAAAAAACATTTCATTTGAAATTCAATGATTCAGTAGTGAAGTAGTTGATGTTTGCCATTTCATTTCTGAATTTTTTTTTGTGTTCATTTGTTTCACTGATGTTGATGACAAACAACAACAACAACAACAAGAACAACGGTGAATCAAAAAGAAAACATCAACATCTAATCTACTTCAATGTGTGTGCGTTTGCCGGTGGATGCAAAAAAAAAAAAAAAATTTCAAAATTTACATCATAGATAATCCTCGGAAGATGATCTTTCTGTTTTTTTTCCAGAGCTATATATTACACACAACCGAACACCACTTGATGAATATATCAACCACCACCACCACAACCACAACCATCCATCCATTATCATCATCAGATTCAACAACAACAAAAAAAACAAGTGAATTTTTATTCAAAACCGAATAAAAATACCTTGGAATATTCTGAATGAGCTTTCCATCATTACTGTTTGTTTGTTTGTCGTCGTCTTCGTTGTCGTTGCCATTGACAATTAATTGTTTTTTTTTATTTTAATTTCATTCAAAATCAATCAATCAATCAATCCATCACTATCTGGTCGCAAAAAATACATCATGTAAATCAATAATTCTGCATAACCAACCACGAAATATCTTTGAATATCGAGCTTTTTTTTCTTCAATAAAAAAAATTAAAATTGCATGAAGGTAGGTTTTTTGTTTGGTTTTCTTTCATTCATTTAATATTCACATTCACATTCAATACCGCTGCGATGATGAATATTGATTTTTCAATTTTTTTTTTTTGTTTGTTCGGTGATTTTGCACTCGATTCAAATCGATTTTGGTTTCATTTCAAGAGATTCTGGGCACACAACAACAACAACAACGACAACAATATTTTGACATCAGTGAAAAATAAAATTGGAGCAAAAAAAAAATCAAAATTCACTCCCAAACAACAAATGGCGAAATGATTCCGTCATGTTTTTGTTGTCGTTGTTGTTGTTGTTGTTGTTGTTGTTGTTGTTGTTGCCATTATTAATATCTAGTATTCCACTATGAAACACGACAGAATAATTTTTATTCTGAAATTGGAATCGAAATTGACAAATAAAAAAAAAAAAATAAACGAACAAGAGAAAGAGAGAGAAACATCAACATAACATAATAATAACGAAACTGTTATATTTACCGATATGAAAAAAAAAAAAATGTTTGAACACACACACACAGAATGGTAGTACTTTCATTTTTTTTTTTTTTTATTTTGTCACATTGTGAAACATGAAAATTTTTTCGTCTTCTTCTTCTTCATCATCATCATCAGAGAAACAAAGATTGATCATTACATGAAATTTTTGTTTTATATGAAGAAAAAAAATTTGTTTTTTTCAAGTATGAAATTCTAGCTTGTCGTCGTCGTCGTCGTCGTCATCTGATTTATTATTTTTTCTACTGGCTAGATCGGAATAATTTTTTTTTGAAAACGGACAAATTACTGTCCAATTTATCTTCTCTTCCAACGTTGTTGGTATTGATCAACGACAAAGATTGATTTTTTTCTTTCACTTTCTATTTATTCTTGTTGTTGTTATTGTTGTTGTTATTATCATGTTTATCGACATTATTTGCATAGTATCGATACAATCTTTTGTCAGAAAAAAAAAATTTGATGCGGGAAAAAGAATATGAAAAAGGAGAGAGAGAGAGAGAGAGAAATTCTGATTGTTTTTTTTGTTGTTGTTGTCGTCAGGAATTTCATTCCATATATACTGAATTATTATTATTCTTGGAATTTATCTCGTCGATGTCGATGATGATGATGATGGTTGATATTCTGTTGTTGTTTTACTGAAAAAGAAGAAAAAAAATCTGGATCATTGAATTTTTTTCTTTTCGCTCAGAATATTAGTTGTACCACTTGACTGAAAGATTTATTATTCTGTTGTTGTTGTTGTTTCTCATAAATGAATATGTGTGTGTGTGTGTGTGTGTGTGTGTGTGTGGCAAACATTGTTCTCCATGAATCAAATAATTTTCGGTCACGAAACACACACACACACACACACACTGATGCGGATGATTATGATGATCAACCGGACATTAGAAAAAAAAATATGAACCACAACAACAACAACAACAACCATATAATGGACTATTCTCATCTATCGATCGATCGATTCGTTAGTTAGTTTTTCTACTTTATGAAACTTTATTCTGATTTATTTTTTTTGTTTGTTTTTCTTTTCTATTTGTTCCATTTCACTCTATAATCTCACTATAATTATTTTTTTTTTTTTCATTCTGATTCCGATTCATTCATAACATTTTTTTTCTCGGCTATTTACACACACACACACACACATACACATCAAATTGTTTTCATAAATTGAACGTGACACATTTTGATCATTCGATTTTTCTATCATCATCATCTAAAGATCATCATCATCATCATCATATTATTTCATTCATCTTAAATTACAGTGCAAGAGTGTGTGTGTGTGTTGTTGACACACACACACACACACCACAGAATATTCTGGCAAAATAATATGTATGTATGTTTGTTTGATGATCATGATGATATTTGAGATCGGATAACCAGTACTTGTCGTCTTTTATTTTATTTGTTCGTGTGTGTGTGTGTGTGTGTGTGTATGACGGATACAATAATTTCCCGAATAATAATGATTATTGTCGATCATCATTATTCAGTTTTTATATATCAATTTTGTTTGTGTTTTTTTTATTTATTTCACTCTCATTACAAATGTCAAAATGTGACTGACTAACTGACTGATCGATGAAAGAAAATTGGCTCCAATATTTATCTTGTCCAGTGGTCATCATTATCTCGATGACACATATGATGACAAATAAATTTGTTTTTTTTTTCATTGTTTAATATACAATGATAATGATATGTTTACATTTGATCAATTTAATAGCCTAGGATAATCAATTGAAATGATGATCATCATCGATTTTATGTTTCCACACTCGATTTATGGTTAAAACAAAACAAAACAAAAAAGTTTTTTTTCAACTTGCTCAAAATTGTGTAATTATCGATTGAATCGATATTGATTGAGTGATAACTACTAGATCAGGTGCGTGTGCGTGTGTGTGTGTGTGTGTGTGTGCGAAATTTAAGACGTAATTTCCTGTGATACCTGTCTTTATTTATTTATTTTTTTTTTTTTTTGAATTTCGGCTATAGTAACCGAACCAACAACAACAACCAATCAACCAACCAACCAATTGAGAGAAACAGAAACGGTATTGTTTTATTTTCAAGTCAACAAAACAAAACAAAACAAAAAAAAAATCCAGATTCACAAACCATTTATTTTCGGTTGTAATTCATTTTATTTTCTTTCGTTGATTTGGCCTATTCCATAGAAAAAACAAAACAAAACAAAAAATCTTAACTCATAACAATCCACATGAGAGAAAATTCTGGTTTTTCTGGTTTGTTTGTTTTTCGTTTTCGTTTTTGTTGCACACACGTACACCTACAAGTCATTTTTTAATCGATTTTTTTCGATTTTTCATCATCATCATGGAGACAGATGGTAGAAAAGAAAATGAAACAACGAAAAGAAAAAATTCAATGAAAAAAATTAAAAACAAACCACTGTGTGTGTGTGTGTATTCACCAATATTCATTATTGAAATGAATTATGAAATTTTTTTTTTTTACACACACACACACACAATTAGAATCTGAAGATTTTCTTGATTATCAAAACAAACACTGAAAAACTATCAATAATGATGATGATCATAATACACTTTTAACGACCTAGCAACAACAACAACAACAAAATTGGTTGAGATGATGATTGGTGTGTTTTCGTCAGAAAAAAAAAAAAAAAAATTCTATTAATAGAATCGAAGAATCCAGATAAATTCTGTTCTGGTGCTTCACCAAAAAAAAAAACCATTTCCAGCTTCTTAGTCCAGAAAACAAAAAAAAATTATTAATCGGTTATGGTGCGTATACACATCAACCAGCAAAACAAAACAAAACAAAAAATTCCATATTCTATTTCCGTTGCTGTATGGCATCTGGACATGTTTCAATATTCTATTTTCTGGTCATTATTAATTGTAGACAATGAAAAAAAAAAAACAAAACAAAAAAAAGAATCAAAAATGTGTGACCAGATCATTTAAGATCAAGTCAAATTGGTGGTCAAATTAATAAATAAAAAAAAAAAAAGATTACAACATCCGTCCATGGAAAAAAATTGAATGAATCGAATCGAATGATAATGGCGATGATGATGACGATGATGTAATGGTAACAATTCATTATTTGCGATAATGACCAAAAATCTCTCTCTCTCTCTCCATTCTCGTTTGATTATTATTCACATTGTACTGATTTATCAACGATGACGTTCATTAATTCAATTTAATTTTTTTTTCCTCTCCATTCATAAAATGAGATGAAAAATTTTTTTTTTTCAGAATTCCAGTGAAAAAAAATTTCATTTTAAAAATTTTAATTTCAATTCCTGTCAAAAAATCATCATCATCATCATCATCATCATCATCATCGGTCATTTTTTTGATTCCAGAAAATATTCTATTCACACCAGAAATAAACGACATGCATGAGAAAAAAAATGAAATGTTCTCCACTGACCGTTAATAATTATATATATTGAAAATCAAAATATCATGACCAACTCGTTTTAATTTCGTGCGGCAAAATTTTTTCGCATCAACACCACCGCCACCACCACCACCATCATCATCGTCATATAAAATTGTTTTTGACAAAATCATCATTTCAAATGAAAATTATCCGTTTACTTTTTGACTATATTACTCGGTATCAAATATTCTTGATGATGGTTGTCGGTTACCACGCCCAGCAATTGAAATACTATTTTCTATCGATCGATCACAACAAACGGGTCAACAACAACAACAACAAAAACGGGAAATGAAAAGTAATAACCGATCAAGACATTTTATCGATGATTTCATGTGCGATATTATAGTTATTATTGCCGCCCATTTTTTCACACACACACACACACACACACATGAGATTCAATGTTTGTTTTCGACTATCTAAAAAGTTTGGAATATTCCTTGTTTGTTCCAGGAATTGAATGAGTAATCCCCGTTCAAAAAAAAAATCAACAAGAGATTAAAGAAAGAGAAGGCAACCAAAAAAATTCATTTTTCTTCATTCAACCTGGACAAAATTCCTTTTCCAATTCTTATTCCATTTTATTGATTCTGTTCAAGGCAAACGGTTCATTTTTTTTAATATATAAAAAAAAGAAAATTCTCATCATCTGCTTCAGGGCATTTTTTCAAAATTTTGAAATTTTGAAATTTTTTTGATCGAAATCAATCAATCATTATTAATGATGATGATGATGAAAAAAGATCATCGTGCTAATTGATTTTTTTTCTCGTGAAAAAAAAATAAAACGCAAAACGAAATTTACTAATCTGCTAGAATCATTTGGCTAAATTTAGCTAAAAAAAAAAAAAAATTTCAGGCTCGTCATTATTGAAAACGAAATTGGGCGCCATCACTTCAGGCGATGAAATGTGTGTGTGTGTGTGTGTGTGAATGAAAAGACTGAAAACATTCCTAAACAGCAATCATAAACGACGATGGAATGGAAAATAAATAAGAAAATTTCATTGAAACTTTATATGTGAATGAACGAGAAATTGACAAAATTTATTGAATTCTATTTTTAAATAATCTTTTTCCACTGATCATCATCATCATCATCATCATCATTATGGTTTGACTGTGAAAAATGATGATGATCCTCAGCAGCAGCTTGAATCCTTGCTTTGGTTCCAAATTCTGGTTCCATATACACATTAATATAGGAAATTTATTTATTTTCAATTGAAAAATTTCCATCTGGCCTAGTAGACTGTGTACTTAGTGGGTTGTTTTTACACACTCATGTACACGACTTTGATAATAATAGAATTTATTAATTGGCTTCCACCCAATCATCATCATCAATATTAATAGTAGTCGTTAATGGTTTTTTCACTCTCTCTTCATTGTTTTACATAACGTCAGTGTATGAAAATGTATCATCATGTGATTGATTTGATATGTAAATATATCCGATCGGTATTGACAATTTCAAATTTCAATTTTTGTTTCGTTGTCTAATTTTTCTTTATTTTTTTTTTTCTCTAGTGCCCTGTGATTGTGATTCCTCTGAAAATCTGGAATAAAATTCTGTTTTTTAAACAAACAAACAGAAATAAAAGTTTGATGTTGGGTCCGCATTCGATTTTTTGCCCGTTTTCAAAAACCAAATGAATTTTTTTGATATAACCAGAAAATGTCATATCGATTATCATTATCAAAACCATCGAATAGATGGCCATCATCGTTGACATCGTCATCATTGACATCTTCGACGTCAACAGTGGCGATAAATTCATTTCTAATAAACATAATATCAACAATAGCTATGGCTATAGTAACAGCTGCCATTATTGTTTCGGCAACATCTAGATCATTACCATCATCATCATTATCAATGACATCAGAAACATCTGTTATGGATGTTGACAATTCCAACAACAACAACAACAACAACAACAATGATTCTACATCATCATCAATATTAATGATGGCCTTGATGAATGGTTTTGATGATCATAATGATGACGACGATGATAATGGTTGGCCACCATCATCAACAGAATTGACATCCATCCATCATTTACAACCATATCTTTCTCGTTTATCATCATCATCATCATCATCAGTGCATTATGGATCCCTGTTGGCGCAAACAACAGATCAACAACCACGAAAACAACAACAACAACATCACCCGATCATATCTCAACATTATCATCCATTACAACAACAACAGAAACAACAGGGCCCACCTTCGCAACTACAACCACAACCACAACCACCACCACCACCACAATATTCACAATACCCTTTTTCTTATAATCCGAACCAGATAATGTGGCCTCCTGAAGATAATTGGAATTCATGGAATCGTGTGTTCAAATTAATATTATTATCATTTGTATCTACCATTGGTTCAATGGGTGCAATATTTATTGTATCCGCTATAACGGTTATTGATACATTTCAAGTACGTGGAAATTGTTTTCTAGTATCATTGGCATTTGGTCATCTATTGGTCACCATATTGATATTACCAGCATCAGCAATAGCCATTATGGCCGATATAACCGAAGATCAGACCATATGTCATTTTCAATGGCTCATTACATTGGCCTGTTTTATTGTGTCCATATTATCATTTTTATTCATGTCGATTGATAATTATTTTGGAATGAAATCATTGATTACATATCAACTTTGTTGTACAAAATGTCGTATTTGTTTTCTGGTCATTTTAATCTGGCTAGCCGCTTTTATCATACCCTTTTTACAGCATTCAAATCATTTTGGTCCAGAATTTTGTAAAGATAAACGCCATTGGAAAATAATGACCGATTATCATCCATATGTATTGGGTATGTTGATCAAAAAAAAAAAACAAAATGAAAGAAAGATGACCATTTTAATGACCATGTTCATTTTTGTTTCAGGTTTTTTAATCATCTGTACAATAATTACATTGGCCTATTTTACATATTCATTATTTATGTATAAAAATTATAAAATTCAATTAGAATCAACACCTGAAGCGGCAAATTTTATTCTCACTGATGGTTGTCTATTACAATCAAATGTGATTGTTTATGTTTGTTCATTGGCAATGTGGCTACCATTGGTATGAATGAATGTTGTTCTTTCCACATTGAAAACTATTAATTAATTCGTTTCTTTTTTTCTGACCACCACAAAGATTGTTACAATGGTCGTGGATTCAATAAATCCAGTGCCACAAGATTATTTGGACACCGTATGGTATATAGCCATATCGAATTCATGTTCATTTTCCTATATGTATGCGGCAACAAATCGTGATTTTCGTGATGCATTCAATAAATTATTCTATTATTGTTGCTGTAAATCACATGTAACATTTTCAAGAAAAGGTGCTACAATTCGTCGTACCGTAGCTAATGAATCGATGGGTTTACGTGTTCACATTATACCTGGTTTAAATATTTATGCTCAACGTAAAGAAACAATGAGCAGTGGTGGTGGCGGCGGCGGCGGCGGTTTCGGCAGTAATACAACAGCATCAACATCATATCGTTCCGGCGGTGGAGGTGGTTATGGATCATCATCATTTGGTGGTGGTGGTGGTGGTTTTTTCGGTAGCCATCATGGTGGTGGTGGTGGTGGTTCACATTCAGCCGGACATTATTCCGGTTATTATCGTTCACATAAATCATGCGAGCTTTAAAAACAACACACTACAAACAAACAAACAAAAAAAACTAATCAATAATTTTCATTTATTTATTATTCTGATTCTGATGAAATTCTGTACAAAAAAAAATCATATCGAACTTATATTGAAATTAAATTAAATATACAAAAAAACATTCGAAATGATTTGAATTTGAATTCAAATTTTTTTTTTTTTTTTTTTCAAATTGTTATACATTCCACTACTACCACTATTACTACTACTACTACTTATACCCTATGCATATATATACATTATTACATATATATTGATGATAAACATTCAATCAAATTCATATCGTCAATCATCAATAATTGAAAATATATTTGTTGTTGTTGTTGTTGTTATTATATTTTTTTCGTTGTTTATATATTTGAAAATAAAATTTAAAAAGAAAAAAATTTCAAATTTTTTAAATTAAATTTCAAAATCGATTTTCTTTTCTTCTTTTTTTCCCGTACCAACAAAAAAGCAGATTTTCTCTCATTAATCTTTAAAATCAACATTCTAAAAAGGTAAACATCATCATCATGCATGGAATCAAAGAAAATCATTTGATTTATTTCAATGTTAGTACCGGTTTCAAACAACAATGGGCAATGTAGCTCAATCATCATCATACATATTTTTGATGTGTTTTTTCATACCTGGTCATGATGAAAACGATTTATATTACAACCAAGCTTGGTGCAATAAATCTTTTCATTATGATGGAAAAATTTTTAAATCCATGTCACTACTGCTGGTAGACGATGGTGTAGCCATGATAATCACACAATGATATAAGAAAATATTTTTCAATAATAAACAATTAAAAAATATAATGATGAGCCAGAGGGGGTGGTGATCATTAAACAATCAACCACGCTTTGCTACCAAATTTGCTATCAATTTAATATTGAAAATAAACTTCCCAATATTTAGTAACATATGAATTTTTCTTTTATATAAAAAATAAAACAAAACTTAGTATGAAATACTAATGTTCACAATAAATAGTCATCAGGTAAAGATTAAGACATACAGTATAATTTCAACAGTACGATATTGAATGCATGGATTATTGAGGTGATGTGTGATGATAATACGATGACCATGAGTTGTGATCATCACACCTCAAAGTTTGTTGTTTGTGTTTATCAATTATCCGATAACTAAATTATCGGTTATGTTTAAATGTTTGGAATTTATGGAAAATATTATCATCACAATCATTAGTTCCACATGAGGTGAAATTTTGGAGAACCAGGACTTCCACAGGATTGCCAAGATACCCATCAACGGTTTCAAAGATTATGTGAAACTTCTGATTCTTTTTCTGTTCGTTGTCGTCGTAATTGTCTTCGTAATTGTTGTTGATGTATAAGTTCATGTATATTATGTTTAAAAACTGTTGTTGTAGTTGTTGTTGTTAGTGAGTAAATGGTTTTCTCTCAGAATGTTTGACGTTGGTACGTCTTTTATGAATTGCCCAAGTGAGCAGATTTTGGGTCTCTTGTTCTCTAAAAATAAACACATGTAATTTTTTCAACGTTTTCTTTTTGTATCCATGTATTTCCATTGATTATAAGTTCTTCATTAAAATATAATTCAATAAAATAATCAAGTCATTTATATCACAAAACATCAACAGTTGTTGTATTAGTTGGAATATTAGTTGGAATGGATCCATTTTTGTAATTTGGATAATAATAAAAAATTTAAAAAAAATTAAATGTAAAAAAAAATGTTGAAAACAATGAAAATGATGACGACAATTCTAAAGACTAGTGATATATGATGATGAATGTGTCGTTGTCTTGGAAATTTATACGATTTATTGGACAGTCCAACTGCCGATCGATTGAAACCGAAAATCAAAAGTACATATTAAACCACATCAGTTACGTAATCATCTATCGGTTTTTGTGAATTGTCTCATCGAAAATCCAACATTTGATTCGCAAACCAAAGAAGCTATGACATTAGAAAGTAAAAATTTTGGATCCAAATGTGCGCCAAGTGAAAATTTTTTTCAATCAATCACGGAAATCGGTATTGTTGATTCTTTCGTTATATTCTCGTGTTCAATATATTTTCCCATTTTAGGGAATTTTTGCCGCATCTTGGCCAAGGACAATGAAATTTATTATCATTACCATATTCTGGAATTAATGATACAGATGATTCAGATTCAGATTTAGATGCTGATAAAGGTTGTGATGGTATTTGTTGTCAATTATTTGATGTTGTCTTTGTAAAAGGTTTCTTTGTATTTGGAATAATGGTTGCCTCACCATTTATAACGAAATGTTGATATTCATCTTTTATTCGTTCAATAGTCCCTGTATATTTTTTATAGTAAGGTTTCATCAATTGAACTTCTTCTTTTCCACGCAATAAACATCGTATATTGTTGACAATTTCACGTGGATTAAAATTAGGAATTTTTGAATAAAAACCAAAACTCATATTTATTGTTCCATTAACCAAAACGATAGGAATAATGTCAATTTGATGTTGTATTTGTAAAAGGTTTTTTTTGTATTTGGAATAGCTGATTTCGTTGGTTGTCATCCATGTTTCTAAATTGAATATAAAAATAAATATCACTTGAGTATAATTTATATGATTTCTTGGACATTCCAGGTGGTGGTAGTAGTAGTAGTAGTTGTTCTATAAATTGTTGTTGTTGTTGTTGTAATAGTGTTAGTATTAGTAGGTGTAATATTTTAATTATGTGTTGGTTGAGGTCCATAATTCTAAGATGAAAATGAAATAAAAAAATTAAATGTTAAAAAAAATGTTGCAAATAATGACAATGATGACGAACAAGCAAAAATAAACGACAATAATGATGATGATTGTGTCGTTGTCTTGGAAATTTATACGATTTCTTGGACAGTCCAACTGCCGATCGATTGAAACCACGCCTCACGTTGATAAACAGCTCATCAGCTTATTGACCATTGTTTCAGGTGCATGTTTCTTCGCTACTCGTATCAGTCCCAGCATGTGCAAGGTAATAAAATCACCTTGTTACATTAACTAGTTGTGAACTTTATTTCTGAAAAATGAATGATAAATTTTAGATTATAATGGTTAAAAAAAAGGATTACATACAATACGTTGGTATATCAATCACAATTTTACAAGGATCAAAAAACAAACGATAAAGAAAAACAAACACACACGTCATTCTACATTGAAAGTTCTAAAAACGTGCTCTCCACTATTCTGCCATGTTCACATACGACGTATCCGCTACATCACCTTATCACTGTCCTTGATCGAACATGGTGGAAAGATTTGAAAACAAGCCCATCGATTAATGCCAAGTTTTCTCCATGTTGGATTTTTGCTTGCTGTGGATTTTCTCTTCCCTGCCAGAAAGGAAGTCGATTAACCATAGAAAGGAAGCCTACGTAAAATTTATGCTTTTGCCTGTTAAAGTATTGTGTAAATAACGTCATATCTGAATATCAATTATAATTGTACTCGAACAACGTGTTGTTGTTTTTTTTCGTTTTTTTCGAATTTCTTTTCGAACAAAAAGCATAAATTTTACGTAGGTTACCTTTCTAAGGTTAAATATAATGGCTCAAATATTAAAATCTGGCTATCCACTGTTAAATCCGCATTTCGTTCATGTGGTTATTGTTGAATGTTGTTGAGTAATGAAACAACAATGTGAAATAATTAATATAATTAAGAACTTTATATTTGTATAATAATAATATATAAAGTTGACTGTAAATCTTATGAATAAATTACTTCTTCCGTGTTCTTGTTTACTTTATTTTATTCATCTTAGTCCCATTTGTGTGGCCAAATGTTCATCTCGTTTTCATCCATTTGACATCGTTCTGATACGATAACGATATTGCCAACATGTTCTTCGTACAGCCATTTGCCAATCAAGTGATAGGAGCAACACCGATTTCCTTTCGGTACAAAGATTCGTCGCTTTTCAAAGACTTTTAGTCTCGCTTCTATTGGAATGATAAAGTGGGGTACGGAGCACGAATCAATAAGATTCGAGTACCTTGTTTGTTAATTAACCGCCAAAAATGTCAGTGGAGAAAATGTCACGACAAATTTAAAAAAATGTGTAAATATATTCATCACGAATATTTCAAGCGTCAAAAAAAAAAGTTGATATGTGTCGTGGATGGTTGTGGAAAAAAGTTTACATCCAAATCTGGTTTATATAAACACAAAAAAAATCATGCAAAAATTAAAAAATAAAATTAAACCAAGAATTTAGCATGGTTATTTCATTACACATGCTTAAAAATGATTTTCTTTAATCATAATCCATATTTTTCAAAAAATTTAATAATACCATAATAAAATTCCATTTTTCGCACAATAAAGAAAGGATATGGATAAGTTCATCAATGAAATTGGTTTCCATGTTTTTCCTACAAATTGCCTGCTTTATTTTTGTCTATCAAAGATTCAGTAATTTTTTTTTTTAATTTCTACAAACGAACCACACATTCCCTTGATAATTCATTTTTTAAAAAATCTCATTTTTTTCTCATATAAATAAATGATACATTTGATTTTTATTATTTTTTTTTTCATTAAAAACTTTGACTTATATTTTTATTTTCCTGTGTGTGGACAGGAAATTTGAAGAAGAAAGAACTCGATTGAAAAATAACGAAAAGAAAATTATTGAAAATAAAAAAAAAAAATAATTAAAATGCAAATATTTTAAAAATTGAAATATAAAATACAAATATTTTTATAAATTGATTAGTTTTTAAAATTCAAAAAAAAAAAAAATACAAATTGTGTCTCGCGTGTGTGTGTGTTATTTGTTGTAATTGTTGTATTTGTAGTTACTGTAATTGTTGTATTTGTATAATTGTGTAATTGTTGTATTTGTATAATTGTGTAATTGTTGTATTTGTATAATTGTGTAATTGTTGTATTTGTATAATTGTTGTAATTGTTGTATTTGTAGTTACTGTAATTGTTGTATTTGTAGTTACTGTAATTGTTGTATTTGTAGTTACTGTAATTGTTGTATTTGTAGTTACTGTAATTGTTGTATTTGTAGTTACCGTAATTGTTGTATTTGTATAATTGTTGTAATTGTTGTATTTGTAATTGTTGTAATTGTTAAATAAAAGAGAAAATAAATTTAACTGATTAGTTTTTAAAATTCAAAAAAAAAAAAAAAAAAAATACAAATTGTGTCTCGTGTGTGTGTGTGTTATTTGTTGTAATTGTTGTAGTTGCATTTGTATCAATTGATGTCGTTGGTTGTCATCCATTTTTCTAAATTGAATATAAAAATAAATATCATTTGAGTATAAATAAAAGAGAAAATAAATTTAACTGATTAGTTTTTAAAATTCAATAAAAAAATACTTGTTATGCATAGCTTTCTTCAGCTACGGAAACGGATACGTACTTTGAAGTTAGTGGAATATAAAAATAAAATAAAATTAATAATTAAAAATTCAAACAAAAATGAAAAATGAAAAAAAATTGCAAAAAAAATGGTGAAAATGACGAACAAGTAAATATGATCGTGAATAATGTGGTTATGATCGTGTTTATTGGATAAAATTATGCTTTTTGTTCGAAAAGAAATTCGAAAAAAACGAAAAAAACAACAACAACACGTTGTTCGAGTACAATTCTAATTGATATTCAGATATGACGTTATTTACACAATACTTTAACAGGCAAAAGCATAAATTTTACGTAGGCTTCTTTTCTATGGTTAATCGACTTCCTTTCTGGCAGGGAAGAGAAAATCCACAGCAAGCAAAAATCCAGAATGGAGAAAACTTGGCATTAATCGATGGGCTTGTTTTCAAATCTTTCCACAGTGATAAGGTGATGTAGTGGTACGTCATATGTGAACATGGCAGAATAGTGGAGAGCACGTTTTTAGAACTTTCAATGTAGTATATGACGTGTGTGTTTGTTTTTCTTTATCGTTTGTTTTTTGATCCTTGTAAAATTGTGATTGATTGTGATATACCAACGTATTGTATGTAATCCTTTTTTTAACCATTATAATCTAAAATTTATCATTCATTTTTCAGAAATAAAGTTCACAACTAGTTAATGTAACAAGGTGATTTTATTACCTTGCACATGCTGGGACTGATACGAGTAGCGAAGAAACATGCACCTGAAACAATGGTCAACAAGTGGATGGTTGATAATAATGACACAATATCTTTATCAAGACGATCCATTTTAAATTCCGATAAATCCGGTTTGAATGTTATACGAGTGAAATCTTCCGTTGCATTTGTATTGATTTCAGGATCTTATTCTCATCATCTTCATCATTGTCATTCGATGGTTCTACTGGAATTATTATTTTTTTTTGTTGTGATTGGTCGTCATCGGTCAGTTGTAATTGATCCAATACTTGAGCCATTTTTTTGGTCATCAATTTTTTTAAAGCTTTGAACAGATTTTTGTTGTGGTTTTCGATATGAACGTTTTTCCCGTAATGGTGTATGACCATTTTGATATAAACATCATAATTTTAGGACCCTTTATCTTCTTCATATTATTTTTCCAAATTTGTAAAATGATTTATGATATTCTTTGCATGATGCTTCTACTTTAAATTTTTTACTGAAAATGTTACATAATTTGACGCATAATTTAATTATATCATGATTGATTTTCTGATTTACACACACGCGAGACACAATTTGTATTTTTTTGAATTTTAAAAACTAATCAATTTATAAAAATATTTGTATTTTATATTTAAATTTTTAAAATATTTGCATTTTAATTATCTTTTTTTTTTATTTTCAATAATTTTCTTTTCGTTATTTTTCAATCGAGTTCTTTCTTCTTCAAATTTCCTGTCCACACACACGATTCTATTTTTTTTTTTTTGAAGAAAAATAAAAATCAAATGTATCAATTAATTAAAAGAGAAAAAATGAATTATCAAGTGTGTGGTTCGTTTGTAGAAATTAAAATTAGAAAAAACTGATGAATCTTTGATATACAAAAATAAGACAGGCAATTTGTAGGAAAAACATGGAAACCAATTTCATTGATGAACTTATCCATATCCTTTGCTTATTGTGTATTTGAATAATAATAATGAGAATAAAGCATAATCTATCTATTTGCAACAGTATCCAAAACATTATCAACGCTCGGAATATCACATTTGGACACACAAGGCCAACGAGCGTAGATCAAACATTAGTTGTGTCACGTGCAATGGACAACATGCCACTTGCCTATGTGACAAAGCAACAATCAACATATCGGAGATGGCAGATGATGGTACAAACGACGAAGACCAATTCGATGATAACAACGACTTAGTGGCTTACCATTCTATATATATATGCGTATGTGTGTGTGTGTGTGTGTGTGTGTGTTTTTGCTGACAAGACACTAAAAACGTCAAAAAAAAACAAGCAGCTAATTGAATACCCTTCAAATCAGCAATAGCAGCAGCAATAATCGATAATCAAACACACACACAGAGACTTTATCATCAAATAAACTATAGTGATGGTGCTTGGTTGTTATGATTCTTGAATTTTATTATTACCATGATGGCAAATTTATAAAGCGGATTTAAAAATCGGATCTTATCGGATAGAGAAGTATTCTGGTCTATTGAATCGTGAAAAAAAATGAAAAAAAAGATTTTTTTTGGTTATGAAGAATAAATCTTATACATGTATATATATATAAGAAGAAAATCAAAGATGACAAAAAACAGAAACAACGACGATGATGATGAAATCTATCCATAGATATAAAGAATACACAGAATGCAAGAATTCATGGGCAAATAAATAAATAAACAAACGAACGAACTAACGAAAAGAAATTCGGTCTCCACTTAAATATTCTTATTATTATTTTTTCTCTCCATTTCTATACTGATTATGATTATGGATGCATTAATATTTCTTTTTCATTGTCTAAAAATAGCAAAAAAAAAAAAGAAAAGAAAGAAACGAAGCAAAATAATGATGAAACATTACCTCAGTAGTAAGAATAGTATAATAAAAGAATTTCAGAAATCATGGAACCAGAAAAATAACGAAAAAAAATGGTAGCAAAAAAATTCTATTCCAAACGGCGGCAACTGCTGCTGCTGCTGCAATTATTCTGCAGTATAGAATTTCTTTTTTTTGTTGTTGTTGTTTGTTTCGCCTTTGGTTAAATAAAAAAAAACAAAAAAAAAATGGAATATTTTCATAGACAATGTGTGTGTGTGTGTAGCAATGTTTTACAATCTTTTTTTTGATTTTTGTTGTTGTTGTTGTCGCTGATTATTGGTGGATTATGATAATAAATGGATTAATTAATCAATATATTAATTTTATCCGATTTAATATCATCGATTAGCGTTTGTCTATGTGAATGGTAGACAAAATGATGAATAAAGTACAAATTCAGTCAAACAATGGAAAAAAAATGTAAAAATTGCATCATTTGGTCGTAATTCGATATAATCAGTCACTGTGATAAGATGTGTGTGTGCTGAAAATTTAATTTACGGGATTTATGATTTTTTATATATCTCGCCAGAGATGTTTATTTTTAACAAAAATTTTTTTCCCGTCAATCAATCTGCATTTATTGACTGACGATTGGCTGTTTATTGTCATTCTGTTCTGATCATTGATTTTCAGTGTAGGAAAAAAAATAGCCATGCAAAAATTATCCACCAAAGTACGACGATTATCACGACAATTGTCCAATATTCCACAATTATTACAAAATGTTCAACGTAATAATCAAATGTCAACCGGAGCAGCATTTGTTGGTCTTGATAATTTAAATACATTGAATTTATGGCGTTTAAATCCAGCCACATCATCATCATCGTTTATTAATCGACGAACAATTCAATTCAATGATAATGACGATGATGATGATGAAACGAAAGAAAATTTACAAAAACAAGTAAATGAACGTACAATACAATTCATGTCAATTGTATATGCCATATTGTTGATAATCATTGGTGCAATGTGTACATTTTTCAATATATCAAAACCAAATAATCAAATACGTGATATATTTGTTATAATTATTTCAATTATCAGCGCAATTGTAATTTGTTTTTTCCATTATGATATAATAAAATTTCGCCATTGGGCATTACAACGTATTGAAAATGAACGAAGACAACAACGTAGAAGACAATCAACAAATCAAATATCGAATGCTGCTGCTGCTGCTGATATTGCAATCATTTCAAATGGCAATAATAATGTCCAAATCAATGAAGATGATGACGATGATAATGATGATGATCAGGTTCCTGCATATGATACACTATCATTAACAACAGCTGTTATTTTTGATTATTATGATAAAGCCAATTCAAATAATCATCTTGATGATGATGATGATGAACAATTCAATGAAAATGGTGTAAATTCCAATGATGAGATACGACCAGTAAATGATGACAACAAAAAATCAGATGATACAATGATTGCATATCGTTATTTTCGTGGTAGACATGCAAATGATTTTTATCTAAAAATTGGTATGATTGGTAAGTTTGAAAATATTGATTTTTTGGTTTTTTTTGTAAAAAAATAATAACAAAATGGGATCATACACATGTTCTGTATACATTCGAATTTTTTTTTCTGTTTTGTTTTGTTTAGTATTTTGTTTCGGTAGTATTACACATATCGGTATCGATCTGGTAAAACAAACATATTTTTTCATCAATCATGATATCGAATGTCAATGTATTTCATTATTATTAATGGAATCAATGAGATTAATATTTTCATTCTATCAACTTTATTTTGTATTCAAATATTCAAATGTAAATAAGTATGCATGTATTCATTTTCGATTAGAAAATCATGTCTAGTTTTGTTTTTTTTTTTCTTTCTTTCTAAATTCCATTATATATAGATCATTATAAATCGTAATAAAAATCTAGCCCGATTTGCATTGATGCATTTGATTGGCACAAGTATTTCATTCTGGTTTGATACAATCATCGATGATGCTATTGCTGATTATGTTGATAGAAAATTAAATCAAACAAATTATCAAAATCATTCCATTATAATTATTGATGATGATGCTGATGATTCAATAATTAATGGTGAATTTCATGGCCTTAAAAATCATATTTTATTCGAAGAAAATTGTTCAAGAAAAGCAATTATTAGTAATGAATCATTACGTGCATTACCATATCTTTATCCATTCACTATTGAATATAATATTATATTGGCTTCAATCTGGTATATGATATGGTCAAATATTGGTATGTTTTACACATGTATTGATTTTCATTTTTCATTTTTTTTTTTGTAAACATTCTTCTTTTTTTTTCGTTCTAATCAAAGGCAAAGTAAAAGATCGTTCATTGTTTACTGAATCATATGAAAAACATTTATTACATAAATATCGTATTTTTAAATCAAATGAAAATGAAGAAATTGAAGATGATAATAATACTAATAATGGTGATGATAATGATGGTAGACGATCAAGTTTATTATTAACTGTTGATTGTCATGCAAGCAATAAAGGTCTTTTTATTGGTTTAGCCATCCTATTGATCATATTGATTACGGTGATCATATTCTTTTCAACAATACATAAAGATGTGTCCAGACATTTTGGTGTTGTCATCTATACATTGCAGATTCTTTTATTAACATTATCATGTTTCGTTATTATACCAATAGCTTATTATCAAATGCATGGCCAATTGGATGTTGTCAATAGTGAACATCGAAATAATTCATTTATGATGATGGATGATATACTAATAATGATACCATTGCCATTCTATTTCATCCACTATACTTGTTCAGCTATTGCTAGTTTGATGATAAATAATTCATTGGAATGTAATAATCTAGCATTGATTGGTATCGATATGCTTACCATCATACAGGTTCTCATACAATCACCATTTATTGTGGATAAAATACGTCGTTGTTCCAATGATATACGTATACGTTTTCGTAAACCTGGTCGTGAATTAGTCACATTAATGTTAATATTAAATGTAACACTTTGGATATTGAATACATTGGAATTGAAAATCGTTGAAGAATATCATGCAACACATGAATATTTTGGTGAATTTTTCACCATGATTTTATCACATACAACATTACCAATGATGTTGTTCTATAGATTTCATTCGTCAGTCTGTTTAAGTCATATATGGAAATATGCATATGAAAAAGATGAATGAATATTGTCATATTGTCCTATTTATTTATTCATGTGAATTTTTTCTCCACATTTTCATTTGTTTTTAAACCATTTCGATTAAACCAATTTTTCCATTTTATTTGGCATATTATTTTTTTTTTGTCAAATTTCAAATTGTGTCAAAAATTATTTTCCATATAATATTTCTAAAAATAATTCTGAAAAGTTTTATAAAGTTGCAACAAATTGTTGAGAATCTGCAAAAAATTGAAATCCGGTAATTCACCTGGTGTTGATTGATCAGCAGCTGGTGATGTAGCTGTAGTTGATGGATCAACTGGTGATATATTTCCAGTCAATGATTCAATCAATGAACCAACCGCTGATAAAGCTTCTGGTAATAGAGTTGGATCAACCGGCAATGTTGTTGCTTCTGCTGCTGTTGTTGTTGTTAGTGGTAGCGGTGGTGGCAATGAAAAAACCGGTGCTGCTGCTGTTCCAGCTGTAATTAATGAAATTAATGGAAAATTTAATCCAAATAATCCATTTTTATAAAGTGAAAATAAAGATGTCGGAAATGATTGAGCAGAATTAATAGTCGGTGTAAATGCTGCCATTGCAGTGGCTGGATCAAGCAAAGATTGTCTTATTAAAAGTGGATTCGGTGCACTCAAAACAAATTCCATCAATGCTAATCATTAAAAATTTCAATTTAAAATAATTTCAATTGTCTATATTTAAATTGTAAACAAAACAAAACAAAAAAATTGTTGTTGAATAACTTACCAGAAACAATAATGAAAAGACAAAGTGAAAATTTCATTTTGTTTCGATGATTACAACAAACAACTAAAATGGTTTGATGGTTGTACAAAATGATGATTTGAAAATGAACCAAAATCCATCGTTTATATATAGTCGACAAATTGATGTGATGAAAAAAAAAATCTAGAAATTTGAAACACTAAACAACTCATGACATTTTGTATAACCAAACAAATTAAACGGTACAACATTATGCCATGAATGTTGAGAATTGATGATAATCTACGGTAAAACAAATCGAAGATAATTAAATTTGTCATCGATGAAATCGAAATTTGATGTGAAATTCTTTTTTTTTCGAAAAATAACATTTTTTTTCAATTTAATTTCAATATATATTTTTTTGTTTGTTTGCAATAATTATTTAAAAAAAAAATTTCAACAAAATCATCGATTGATTGATAAAATATGATGCAGAGAAAAAAATAGGTGGGTAAATAGCAAAAAAAAAAAAAAAATGGGGATTATATTGGGGAATGGTTTATTTTTTATGAAATCGAAATCCGGCCAAATGATCTTTATATGTTTGGTATTGAATGATTGATTAATTGATTGATGGATACAGGTGGGAAGAGTATCATATATGTGGTTGTTGATCGAAAGGATTTCAGATTTTTTTTGTGGTCCATTGTTTGTTTTTTTTGGTTTTAACGTTTACGTTTTTTTTTGGTTATAATTTGGATAATGATCATTCATCATGTTCTCATGATTATATATGAATCCTTTATTTAACCTTTAGTTTTCCCGTAGATTTTGGTGAATGAAGTTGTTTCGAAGAATTAGCGGATACGGCAGCATTAGCTGTGGTGGTGGTGGCGGTAACCGATGAAGCAATTTGATTTGTTTGAACTGTTGATTGTTGTTGATCAACTTCGGGCAGATCATTAATATCGGCATCAAGCATTTTTTGTGGACGATGAACATTTTTTTTTCGTCGTGCAATTTCAGCTGCACGTTCACGTAAACGTTGCAAATGGAATGTAATGAAATTCAACATCATCCATGCTTGAAGAAAACCAATGGTGGTCAAACAAAACAAACTACGAAATTCAAAGAAAAAAAAATTAAAAATTTTTCATAAAATCAAAATCAATGGTGTTACCGAATCAATGGTGTATTAAAATTTCCTGTTGCAAAATCAACAGATGGTGATGATGTGGCGGCAAAACCATACCAGAATGTTAACACTGAAACACTGATGGATAAGAAACGTACCAATACGAATATAACATTCCAAATGTTGAAACTGTAAATTAAAAATGGAAAGAAAAACAAAATTCAAATTAAAAAATCAATCAAAAATGACCACCCATGACCACATACATATAGCCAGAGATTTTAGTCTTGTTAGAAAAATATAAAAGCCGTGATAGATGAAAAAATGATTCGGATAGATAATGAATCAATGACAGGCATAATGCAATTCGTGTGAAACTAGTAGTAGAATGAAGAAAACAAAATCAATTTTAGATGAATGGTAAATCAATCAATCAATATATATGATACATTACTTCAAATAATAGGCTGCAATAAATAAAAACAGATACAACAATGAATAACTAGCACGATGAACTAGTTCATCACGTTTAACTTTTTGAAAATAAAGCTCAGGAAATGCATGTAACCAATAGGCAATTTGTACGATAAAATAATATTTATTAATATATGGCATTTCGACATGTCGTTCAGGATAATCTTGCCAAAGTCTTTGTAATGGTAATAGAAAACCTTCACGACGTAATATTTCACCGGCCCATACGATTGATAGTAAAAAGAATACAAGCAATTGACCACTTTCATTAAATTTTGAATGTTTTGTTTTAGAAAGATGAAGTTTTCGATTGATTTTCTATACAAAACGAAACAAAAAAAAATGAACAACAACTCGTTAGGACAAATCTTAATAAAATATCAAACACATACATCGATAATATATTCCTGTACAACGGCGTGTATAACGATACTGATTAAAAAATAAAAGAATATAACACATAAATCTTTTGGTCCACTCGAATATAATGCCATTGGATTGCCTAATGCTGACAAAAGAAAAATAAATGATGATTTGAAATGAAATTGGTAGATATTGGCAAAAAAAATTGATACCTTCGGTTGTATTATGTTGTAATGCAACAAAATAGGCAGCATATGGTGATGTGGCTTGAAATAATAATGAAACAACAATAATCATTGCCAGACAGGATATAATGTCAGCATGATTTTGTATGAAAAATTCATGTGATAATATTGGTGGTGATTTCACCGAACCGGTACGACGTTTAATTGCCATTTTTTTTGCTGTAAATTTCTTTGATTGTTTTTTTGTTTTGGTCTTTATGATTATTATGATTATTTGATCGTTAATACTATGTTTTTGCACTTGTTTTTCTGTATCGAATGATAATGGTGTGTGGTGGAATCAGAATCAGAATTCACACACTACAGCAGCAGTTGTGGAATTTTTTTTTGTTTGTTTGTTTTTGATTTGATTCTGCAATATTTAAAAAACAAAAATTTGAAATTAATAAAACAAAATTGATTCATACTGAGAAAACATACCGTTGATTTGATTTGCTGGAATTTTTGGCAGAGAAGAAAAAAAATTCGAAATTCTTAACATTCAAAAGAAAAACGAAAAAAAAAATTAATTAATTGAAAAAAAGCGGGGAAGAAATGTAATGAAATGATTATTTAAAAATCCAGAATTTGTTGACGTGTATCGTCGTCGTCGTCACGTCGTCGTTTCTTGTTTTTCCAATCCACACACACATACATACACAGACAAACAGGCAGACACAGTAGCTTTTTTTTATTTATTTGTTTGATGATTTGAGTATGATGATGATGATGATGGTGGTGTGGTGGTGGTGGTGGTGGTGGTGGCCGATGATGATGATGATGATGATGAGCAGACGCCACGAAGCACATTAAATGTACAAAAAAAAAAAACTGAAATGTGGCCACCATAAAGAGATACACAATTTTTTTTGTTGTTGGCTGTATTTGTGTACTATCCGGTGTTTATAGAGTTGTTGTTGGATTGGATCGGAATGTCCTGGAAATAATTTCACAAAAAAGCAAATTAAAAAAAAGCTATAATCAGCCAAATGATATATGTTCATCTTCCAAGTGTCCAAATATTTTTTTTTTTTTCTATTGATCGATTAGATTTACCTTTATTTCGCGATATGTGAGTTGTTTATTGTTTATTGTTGTTGATGGTGATGGTGATGGTGGTGATGGAACCGGATTTGTACATTTTACAATTCTAAAACAAAACAAAACAAAAACAAAATAAAAGCCAATTTTTTTCTGTTTGTTGCCACCAACTAACCTCATTCATTAGAGAGATAATTGTCTCAAAAAAAAAAATGCTGATGATGATGATGATGATGATTAAAATGGTAACAAGACATACCATGTGTTCACTATTTTTGATAATAATAATGGATAATGGATCATTGATCAGGAAATAGATTTCAAATTTTCATCAAGGAAATTTAGCAATAACGAAAAATTTTTTTGCCAAATAACTTTTCATTTCACACTAAAATAGATTATTATCGATCTTGGATTTTTTGTCCATACACAAAAAAAATAAATAAATAAATAACACCACTGTAAACAATGTGGATTTTTTTCGACGATCAACAAAACGATAACAAAACAAAAAAATAAAACCTAAATAAAAAATTCGAATCAAAATAAAATGAAAAAAAAATTCGATAGATGTCGACACATGCAACCAGTGTGTGTGTGTGTAACATAAACATCATCATAACTCGTTATGTATAAAAAAACATTGGCTACGTTTTATATATTTCATACATATATATTGCCAATGGCAAACACATTGTATTATCATCGGTTTTTCAGTTGTTTATCCAACAATAATTTTGGCGCTAGAATTTTTTTTTCTGTTTCACTATAGTGTTAACCGCTCAAAATCTAAATTATTGATTGAATTGAATGATGATGATGATGATCAACTATGAAATATATTTTACCGCCTAAAATTTTTTTTGGCGGTTAAAACCAATGTGTGTATACACAACGAGTATATATAAATCGTTCAACGTGAATCACTTTCATTTACTCATTTTCTTCTTTTTTTTTTTCACTCTCACTCTCCTTCAACTTTAAACGAATTTTTCAATTCGAATTGGCTTTGTTATTGAGAACAAAAAATAATTTTCCGAATAAATTCCAAAATGCCTCCAGTTTTAAATTGTGAAACTTCTTCTTCGACGGCCACCAATGCCAATACTGAAAATGGATTTAAATTGAATGATGATGATGAATTTTCAAAGAAACTAGTCATTTCTAATGCCGTTGATAACGAATCGAAATCTGATCAAAATTCGAATTTTGATGATGATGATGATGATGAACCATTATTGCGTGAAAATCCAAATCGTTTTGTTTTGTTTCCAATTCAATATCATGACATTTGGATCATGTATAAAAAAGCTGAAGCATCATTCTGGACAGTTGAAGAAGTGGATCTAAGTCGTGATATTGCCCATTGGAATCAATTGAATGCAAATGAAAAACATTTCATTACACATGTATTGGCATTTTTTGCTGCAAGCGATGGTATTGTCAATGAAAATCTGGCCGAACGTTTTATTCGTGATGTACAAATACCAGAAGCACGTTGTTTTTATGGCTTTCAAATTGCCATTGAAAATGTTCATTCAGAAATGTATTCATTATTGATCAATACATATGTATCGGATCGTAGTGAACAAGATTTTCTATTCAATGCCATACGTAATTTACCTTGTGTAGAAAAAAAAGCTAAATGGGCTATACGTTGGACCCAGGATGATTCAGTTACATTCGCTGAACGTTTGATTGCATTTGCAGCCGTTGAAGGAATCTTTTTTTCTGGTTCATTTGCCGCAATTTTTTGGCTTAAAAAACGTGGCCTTATGCCTGGTCTTACATTTTCGAATGAATTGATTTCACGTGATGAAGGATTACATTGTGATTTTGCATGCTTATTGTTTCACCATATTCGTAATCGTCCATCACCACAACGAATTGTTGATATTATTATCGATGCTGTATCGATTGAACAGGAATTCTTGACCGATGCATTACCAGTTTCATTGATTGGCATGAATTCAAAATTAATGTCCGATTATATTGAATATTGTGCCGATCGTTTATTGGTAGAATTGAATTGTGAAAAACATTATAAAACGGCCAATCCATTTGAATTTATGGAACAAATTTCATTGGAAGGTAAATCAAATTTTTTCGAAAAACGTGTTGCCGAATATCAAAAAAGTGGTGTCATGTCACGGCCTGAAGATCAGATATTTGTTACAGATGCTGATTTTTAATATGAAAAAATTCTTCATTCAATTTAATCGATTTGCTATCGACAAACAAACAAAAAATCAATTGGATCATTCATTTCTTTTTTCATTCATTTTTTCGATTAATTTATTCATTTATTGAAAATTTTTTTTCTAATTAATATCTACACAAATATGTTTTGTTTTCGAAATCAAAAAAAAACATGATAGCATTAATGAATTTGAATAAAAATTAAAATTCAAAAACTAATTGGAAATTTGAATACATTTGATGTTTTTAATGAATTTTGTTTACGTGCTGCTGCTGCCGCTGCCGATGTTGGTATCCATTCTGATTGTGGGCCAAAAATATTCGATGATGCATTATTTTTATCCATTATCGTCGTATATTGATGATGATTTGATAATGAGGAATCAATATTTATTATTGTTTTGGTTGTCGTCGATGTTATCAAAGGTTTTGGAGTTGTTGTTGTTGATATAATCGCTTTCCATGATGATGGTGATTCAGTTGATACTATTGTTGGATTTATTGTCGATTCTTTATGATGATTATAATTTGGTTTTATAGTAGTAGTTTTCAATGGATTTTTTCTCATTGAATTTTGATTAGATATTGAATTGTTTACAGTTTGATTTGATTTATTAATTGATTCGGTTGTTGTTATTGTTGATGTTGTTGTAGGAACAGGTGCTGATTGATAATGATGATGATGATGATGATTTTGATCAACAATCATGATAGGTTCATTTTCATCATGTTGTATTCCATAATAGTAAGGATTATCATCATCATGATCATCATTGACCATTACATTGTGATGAGCAGCATTCATCAAAAAATCACCCATAAATTCGTTAGTAGCCAGATTTTTTCCACTTCGATCCAGATGATTATTTGATGTTTCCATCGCTTTGAATAAGAAAATTTCGATTAAAACTTAATCTATAAAAATAAATTTTTCTATGTTCGCTTACCAAATTTAAGTTCAACATCGGGATCATGAATACCAAGAATAGGTGGTCCAACATAATATGGGCCGCCAATATGTTTCAATGGATAAGGATGATATGGTTGTATTTGTTCAGATCCATCGGCAATCATTGCTTTGGATGATCGTGTATTTTCCGATGATGATGGTGATAAATTGGATGTAAGTTTACCCAATGCTTTCCATAAATTATTTAAACCTTTTTTCGATGACGATTTGGAATTATTTTCCACATTCATCTGTTGCTGCTGTTGTTGTTGCATTAATGTTTGATCTAATTGTTGAAGAACAAAAGACATTGATGATGGATCATGACGATGATCCATTATATTTGTTTTTGATGTTGATGATGAGGCTGTATTGGGTAATGTAAATGTTTGTCCAACAAATGATTCAAAAGCAGCAGATGAATGCGATGTTGGATATATTGTTGGATTATTCATACTAAAATGTGGTTTCGATTGTGATGGCGATGATGATGATGATGATGGATAATGATATGAATGATATGAATTTGATGATGAATATTGCATCGGTATTGATCGAATTGCTTGTTGTTGTTGTTGTTGAATTGCTGATGGATGAACAATCCATGATTTTGGACTGGTAGGGAGTGAAAAAAAAATTATTTTCATTAATTGAAATTTAAAAATAAAAACTTACTAATAGATAGGAATATATAAATGACCATCAAAACCATTGGTCATTGGATGGCCCAATATAATTCCTAATGGTGATTGTTGTTGTTGTTGTTGTTGCTGCTGCTTCTGTTTTTGTTTTGATTGTTTTGAATATTGTTGAGAATGATATGATGATGACGATGATGATGTTGGTGATGATGGCACATAATGATTACCGGTTGTCATTCCTCATTGATGATGATGATGATACTTTTGATTTTTCATTTGTTCCTGACATTTGTAGTATGTCTTCATCATGATGAATAGCTGATGATGATGATGATGATGATGACATGATTGGTGTTGTTATATCTGGCATAAATAATGAATAAACATTTTGATTTGGAACAAAATTTATCGATCCAATTTGATCGCTAGTGATACCATCATCATGATTACTCCAACGGCTAGCAATTGGTTTATATAAATTCTGATTCGATTTATAATCATATTGAGTATCGATTTCTTGTTTATGATCCATTAACATTTTCATCAATCGATCAGGATCATTATTCGATTGTTGATGTTGTGGTTGATCAAATCGTTTTGTTATTGTTGATGATGGCAATAATAAATTTCTATATGGATGATAATCATGTAAAACAGAAATACTGGCATTTTGATTGAATAATTTTGAATTATTTTTCGATTTTATCGTCGACGTCGTCGTCGTCGCTGTTGTTGTTGTTGTTGTTGTTATGGTTGTTGCAGTAGATTCAACAGAATAATCATCATCAAAAATAATAAACAACAAAAATAATGATGTTATTAAAAATAGAAAAAATTCTGAAAAATTCAAATGATTCATTTTTGATGTTGTAAAAAACAAACAAACAAACGAAAAAAATCACATTTAAAACAATCTGTTGAATCAAATAATCGAATGTTTGTTTGTTTGTTGTGTGTTGAAAAGAAAATCAATTCATTCGACTATTGTGACCAAACAAAAACGACATTAACGGCTGGTTAGTCGTCTATATCGAGACAAAGTCAATTTTATCATCACCGTCATCATCATCATCATGATCATTAGTTAAACAAACGAACGAACGAATGAAAAAAAAAATTGAAAGTAACACAAAAAAAAGAGTCGTCGTTTTTTTGTCGAAATGAAAATTTAAATGAAAATTATAAAATCATCATCATCATCATCAATGGTGAATTGTCCAGAAGGTAAGAGAAAATCATAAAATTATCATCTGGATGTTTTTCAAATACAAAATCATCATCATCATCATCATCATCATCAGAAAAAAAAAAACAAATCATTCAAGAAAGAAAAAAAAACCAGAAAACCAACAACAAAAAAAAACAACCATTAACTGAAGAAAAAAATTATTATTATTTCCAGTGGATTAATTTTGCAGCTAAAATTGGAATTAAAATACGGAGAGAATGATTTTTTTTTCGTTGATAATAATAATTATCATTATGCCCAATCTACACCGGTCAATATAATAAAAATGATTGTCGATGTCGATTTTTCGCAACAACAACCTGATGATGATCAGCTAGATCCGACGATAATGATGATCGTCGTCGTCGTCGTTATTATTGTCGCTGTTGTTTATTTGTAGACATTTTTGTTGTTGTTGTTGTCGTCGTATATTTCATTAATTCATCAGAATTTCAATTATTTAGATCAATTTCCATTAATGATGATCGATAATAAACACGATGACGATTAATCAGTTTTGGAGAGGATACAAAAAAAAAAAAATGTTCGATAATAGTCGATTTCGATTGTTGGCTAGTTATTTAATGATTCGAAAGTGAATTTCAAACGTTTTCACGTTGAACATTCGAATTTTTGTCGTCTCTCTCTCTCTCTCTTCTCTAGGTAACAAAAATCTTTTTCTCTCTTTTCATCTCTTCAGATCACAATCAATTTGAATTTGAATCATTGAAATGAATGGATCATCATTTCATTGTTGAAACAACAAAAAAATGAATTTCAACAAACACTCATCTGTGTGTGTGTGTGTATTATAATAAATCATGAATGAATACATGTGTGTGATTTATCATTATTCGGTCAGCCAGTCAGTCAGTCAGTCAGTCAGTGTTATTGAGCTACTTGACCAGAAAAATAAAATCGACTTTACTCAAATCAGAAATCAAAAAAAAAAAAAAAAAAAATTGTGAGAAAGAATTTCGATTTTCTTTTTCTCATTTCATTTCGTTTGTTTTTCTCGGAAAAAAAAAATAACATTTGATCCATATAAATAAAAATAAATAGACGAAAAATAGTGTGTGTCTTCTTCTTGTTTTTTTTGCTTTACAATCAATGAAATGGACCATTCACCATCGGCAAGAAAACAAAAAATAAAAAAAGCTACCGAACGAATGTCAATTTTTCACACAAAAACCGACCGACCGACCGACCGACCAACGAAAACAAAGAAAATGGATTATGAGCCAAAAAAGAAGAAAAAAAGCCGAAAATTGACATGAAACATGAACGATGATGATGATGATGATATTTATAACGAAGAAAACAAAACAAAAAAAAAAATGGTCATTCAAAACAAGGCCAAAACAAAACGAAAAAAATGATTTTCGAACCATATTTTGAGTAGTAAATTTCGGCAAAAAAAAATTAAATGAATTTTTTTTTCTTTCTGTTTGTCTTTGTTGTTGTTGTTGTTGTCATGGATTTCAATTTCAATTGTTTTTTTTAGCTTTTCATCATCATCATCATCATAAATCGATTATTCGATTCGGGGCCATTCGGTATTATGAACATCGTCATCATCATCATCATTATAAGATTGTACCAGTCAGTTGATCTTTGGTGGACCAAAAAAAAAACAACAACAACAACAACATTTTTATAATTGCCAAGTTTATAAATCAGTCAATCACACACACACACACACACAGATTCATTTCGTTTTTGATCTTGATGATGATCGGTAATAATAATAACCGTTTTTTTTCGTTTGTTCGTTCGTTCAGGATTTTTTTTCCCGCAACGCATCGCTTTTCACACACACACACACACACACACACGAATCATCAATGGGTAAAGAAGAAGAAAAAAAAATTTGGCCATCCAGAAAAAATCCACTTTTAACCGTAATAATAATTCATTAATAATATTTGGAATGTTTTTTTTTTCTTTTTCGTTAAATTGAAATGGTGGTAGACAGACAAAGACGAAAAACAACGACAAATGTCTGTATTCTGTGATCTAAAACGAAATGACCAAATGAACAAAATTTTGAGTGAAAAAAAATATATATATTTTATTCGTGGGAAAAAAAATTACCATTTCAATGATGATGAAAATGGCTGTGGAAATCATTTCTCAATTCGAACCAGAGTAATTTTATGCTTAAAATCTTTGATTCTCTTGTCGTTCTTTACGATTGGAATGATGCTGGAATTCAATCACAAAATTGATAAGGATGAACAACCAACAACAACAACCAGATGATTGATCTTTTGTGATCATTTACAGGATTGTTAGTCATATGTATTAGACTATATATTGACATTTAATTGATTAATAATGTCGAAATGGATGAGAGAGAAAAAAATCAAATCTTTTTTTTTCAATGAAAAACAATCAACGATGATGAAAATAATGAAAGTTTTTTAGGGTTTTCAGGTTTAACCTTTTTTTTCATTTTATATCTAAATGAATGATACAAAAACAAAATTGAAATTGAAATTTTTTTTAACTCAACAATAATCTAGATTTTTTTTCCAAATATCCATCTGTTCCATGTTCTTTATCTTTTTTTGTTTTGGCTCCATTCTCGTCTATTTTCCGACGACGACAACAACAACAACAACAGACAGACAAAAAAACAAACAAACAAACAAAAACAACAATAACCATTATGTATATTTTTGTCATTTTCGATCCTATCATTAAGTCATCATCATCATCAATGGATCCTTGTATTTGTATCGGTTAAGATGAATTTTTCCGATTGATCAATCAATGATTATCAAGTACATTCGGTTGTCGTTTTTGTCGATTCCAAACAACAACAACGATGATGATGATGATGATGATATTTTTTCAGAGAAAAGAAATTCATAAATATTCATGAATTTTTTTCTCTCATTCTCCCATGTATATTATTTCATTCGATTCGATTCGATTTATATTGTCAATATGATGATGATATGGTTGATTGAATTGAGATTGTACTCTATTCGTTGGTTCGTGATTGTGCTAATTCTAGCTATGGAAAAAAAATGAAACGATTTTTTTTTTTTTTCTTCACAACCAAAAAAAAAAAAAAATGGTATAAATGAACATTGGTTTGGTGTGGTCCAAGAAAAAAAAACGACGATCATCTTTCATAATCATTCATCAATCCAAAAGAGAATGAATGAATGAATGAATGAATGTTATGATCAATGAAATGGAACCATCACATTTTCGAAAAACGTTCGATTATCAATTGACCATCATTACGGCCATCCAGCTGTGTGTGTTTGTGCGAATATTGCAAGGTGGAGTAGCGAAAAATTGTATATAGATATAGACAAATTAATTATCTCAACGGAAGCTTGAAATGTGAGGAAAAAAAAATGAAATTTAAAATTATTAAAAGAATTCAATTTTCTAAAAATAAAAAAAAATTACCAGAAAAAAATGTAAAATCTCTCTAAATGAATTCGTGACCTTGTTTCGTTGTTGTTGTTGTTGTTGATTTAATCTTAATTTCGTATATATAATGCACATGGTTTTTCTCAACAAACAAACAAAAAAAAACTTGATGTCTTGATCTTTACCATTATTTTTGTTTTCACATTGGTATCGTTCTGGTCATTTTGGTTGTCGTTGTCGTTGTTGTTGTTGTTATACACATACAATGATAATAAAATTACTTGAATTTTTTTTTCTTTCGTAATTAAATTCACATTGCAAGCCATAAGTCACATATATAATCAAATGACAAAAAGAGAGAAGAAAATCAAACAATCACATGGATTACTCACATTCATCATTCGCGAATGATTATCATCATCAAAAACAAACACACACACACACACACAGAAAAAATTCAAGATTCACATATATCGTATTTGAGCCATTTTCACACCACTTGATGATAATGATGACCGATTTATTCAGACACATGGAACAATTATTGTATACAAATTAATTGGTCAATCGAAAGGATTTTTTTTTTTGTTTTGTTGTTGTTGTTGAATGCGAATTTTTCGTATTCATTCGTTTTTATATATTTTATTTTATTTAATAGAAAAAAAATTTGGAACGAAAAAAAAGCATTGAATTGAATAGAATGTGTTGAGAAAACAAACATCAAGTGTGTGTGTGTGTGTGTGTGTGTTGAAAATGAATCAAGAATAACAAACCAGATGATGATGATGATTAAATTAGAAATTGATTGATTGTTGGTTGACACTATTCTACTATAATAGATGTTTGTGTGTGTGTGTGTGTGTGTTCATTGTTTGTTTTGTTTTTTTTTTTTTTGATCATCGATAATTCACAATAGTGGACAATAGGAAAATTGAATAATGGCCATTCCATTTTTTGTTTTATTTTGGCAAGTATTTTCATTCATTCATACAAAATTCAATGACGACGATGATGTTGATGATCATTATCAATCTGTATCACAGTTATTTCCTGTGGCTTTCGTTGTTGTTGTTGATGTTGATGACCTATTGAACTATGACCAATGCCTGAATCGGATGATTCTTCATGATTACAAATTCTTTTATTATCATTAATAATGGTTATATCATTATCATTATCATCGTCATCATTTTGGACAACATTTTTATAATAACCATTTTTATTATTATTCAAACGTTTTGTTCGTAAACAATTTGATCGTATCGAATTTACAGTATCGCTGACTATATTATTGCCATCATCATCATCATCATCATCATCGTCATCGCTAGTATCATCATCATCATTATTATTATTATCGACAATAACAGCCGAATTTGGCATAAATTCAAATGAATATGGCCATTCTGATTGTATCACTAATGAAATAATCAATCCTATTGTCATCATTGATGTAATGATTGTTAAACTTATTGGCATTGTACGAGGCATTATTGACATCCATGTTATTATTGAAAATAGCCAAAATAATATGGTGAATAATAATAATAATTTAAAACCAAATTTAAGCCAATCAATCGACCAACACCAACAACAGCCAACGATTGAATGGAATGATTTGCTATTGTTTTCACCACCACCACCACCACTATGACCACCATTATTTGTAAGAAAAAATTGCATCGAACGTGATCGTATCGATGATGTTCGTGATGTTGACGATGTTGCCGTTGTTGTTTTCATCGATAACATTGTTGGTGATTGTAATGAATATGAATTTGGATAACTTAAACAACGGATTGTTTTGGAATCAATTTGGTGGCCATTATTATTATTATTATTATTTGCATTACAGCCAAAACTAATTTGACATGGTGATTTCGGTGATGATAATAATGATGTTGATGATAATTCTGTATGATGAGTTTGTTGTTGCAGTGGTGGTAGTGGTGGTTGATTGTTATTTTGATTTTGTGATGAAATCATTTCATCATTCAATGATTGTCGTTGATTTAAACTGACAACATGAAGTCTACATGTAGAACTTGGACTATTCAATATTGTATGGCTACACGTGGAACGTGTAAAAAACAAGGGCTGTTGTTGAATTGCACGACGAGGAGAATTTGCGATTGTTTGAAGATTTTCAACATTTATCGTTTGACATTGATCCACTGATCTGAAGTGGTTGGCCATAATTATCATCATTATTTTTCTGTTTTTGAGCATCGTCATCCATCATGATTTCATTGATCAAGAATCATCGTTCAACAACCGAATATCAATCACCGAATCAAGTATTTTGAAAGACTTTTGGTGATTGAAATTTGAATTTAGAATGAATAAGAAAAAAAAATTAAAATAGTACTTTCCCCCTAGAAAAAAATGCACTTTTTTCACAGCAAGGACAAATGATTAAACGAATGACAACAACAACCACAACAACAACAACGACGACGACAACAACAACAACAAGAATTCATCTCCTCCTCATCTATTTATGTTTCCTGTGTTCTCTATATTCTCTATATAACGGTATTGGTAACTGGAACGGAAATTCTGGACGCCAACGAAAAAAAGTAGATAATGCCCACCAATTCTATATACACATTCTATATATATAAAGAATATAGTTGACCAAATTCATTCATTTGAATTCTTGCAACTAGGTTACAAAACCGATTTCTCGATTAGATTTTATTTCAATCATTCTGTTTGTTTGTTATGATGAGAAAACAATAAATCAAATGTTTCAACGGCCAATTGATCCATTTGTTTATTCAATGAACCACGATTAGTGATCAATGCAAATGTAAAATTATATGATGGAAATATGGCCAATTTTGCATTTGCAGAACCAATTCCACCGGTATGTGATAAATAGATCAATTTATCCAATAATGATGAATGATGTTTCGATGTTTTATCAGGAAATTCTCGTCTTTCCCATCCCATTACATAACGAAATTTAACATTATCAATTGTTTCATTGAAGATTTTAATACTTTCTTCCATAATCGGTACATTTGGATTATGATAGGTCCACATTTCTTCGACGGTTGATTTTTTTAAAATTGTTTCTCGTCCATTCGATTGATGATAATATGATGCCAACATTTGTTGGCCATAAATGAGTAAATCTTCGACACGTGCTACCACACCACCGGCAGGCCAATATGGATATGGACGAAGAATATCAACAATTTCTGGTGGCACAATCTTTCCATTAACGATTCGATATTGTTGTCCATGATTCATAATAAGATGTTCACGTGATTCACATGTTGCTGTGGGCATGCCAATTGTTTGGCGCATAAAATCTTCCAATACCAGATGATATGCACGATTTTCCACCGATTCAACAATGGCACCAATCAATGACCAACCATTATTGGAATAATGATAACCATGTCCCGGTTCGAATAACAACTTATCATTGGCAAACCAATTCAATAATTGTGTTGAATTATGCATACGAAATTCCCAATTATGCATAAAATCTTGTTCTTTTGAATTTCTTATACCAGCTTGATGACTGATCAATTGTCTTAAAGTAATATTAACAAATTTATTCGAATATTTTTTTGCTGGAAATAAACTTTCCGCAATATAGTGATCGATATTCGAATCCCATGAAAGTTTTCCTTGTTCAATCCATTCGTGCTATTAATGCCGAACCAATGGCTTTACTGACCGATGCAACTTTAAGCATTGTTTGTGATGAACATTGGACATTATTTTCAATATCGGCACCAATACCATACGAACCTGTCCATTCAACCCATCCATTCCAATGGCCAACACGTATGCCAGCAATTAAACATGGTGTATTGGTTTCGTTGGTAAATTTTTCCAGCAAATCATTCACTTTTGGTAATGCATTCCAATCAAATGAATAACGATCATGATCATGACCATAACCATAACCTGATGTTGAAAACAAAATTAAAATCAATAACAGCATTATTTTTTTGTTGTTGTAAAATGAATTTTAATTTTTCACATTTACAAAATTTAGAGAGAAAAAAAATCAGTGAAAAAAATGATAATGTGATTATAATGAGTAGACAAAGAATAGAAAAAAAAAAAACCAAACCATCGTTTTCAAGTGGATCATCATATCGCATTGATAATAAATTAGATTGGATTATCAATTTGGATTTTTTTTAAATTCAATTATTATGTTTGTGTAGGTGGTGGTGGTTAAATACAGTCATCAATCGATCAGTTTAAATCATCATCATTTTCTAATTTGAAGTGGTGATGATTATTTATGTTCAGACGATATTTTACAATTGTACTTTTTTTCACACAATATATAAAAATTATTATGATGATTGCATTCTATTATTATTATTATTTGTAGAATTTGAATTTTTACTTGCTTCACGTTTTAGAAATATAAATATTTTCTCTTTAATCCAATCACGTGGAAATGGTGCATATAGATTGGCTGCACGTTGAAATCTATGAATGAAATAATTAGAGAAAATTTAAAACATTCAAATTCTAAACAATACCACACATACACCAAACAACTGAGATCGGTCAATGAATCAAGATAATCGAATAATTGTGAAATATCATAAGTGATCGATGTCATTCCAGGATTATCTTCTTTTAGATGTAATTCATAAAGATGACAAATATCTGAAAATGATTTATGAAACAAAGTCGACAAAATTGTTGTAATTTATGAAGATAAATCATCAATCATCAGTAATTATAAACTTACATTCAAGTGCATCATTCAATGATTCAAAATCCCAATATGTACGTGTTTCCACTTTTCCCGGTTGAAACAAAACAATTGTATGAGCCATAATTAATTGAAAATTAATTAATCGATGAAATTTGATTATAGAAATTAAATTGGCTATAAAAATGAGCAAACAAAAAAAAAATTCTGTGCAGAATATTTTTAGAGAATAAAAAAAAAAATTCAGGTGTGTGTGTGTGTGTATACAATCAATACAAAATCATAAATCGAGCTGATGAGAACAATCGATTGTGTTCGGCATACAATCGATTGTTTTAATAAAACCACTGCAGTATATATACAAAAATTTATTGGCGCTAAAAAATTTTTGTTTTTGAATTTAAAAATTTTTTTTTGTTTCTGTTTGTTTGTTTGAAATTTATTTTGATGATGACGATGATGAAAATAAGAAACCATGGTTACTATGTACAAATAAAAATAGCTGATGATCAACAACAACGACAACAAAATCGATTAAAAGTTGAATTATTTTTTCGAATGAAATTTTTTGATATGTGCCAAAATTATTTTTCATAAAATTAAAATGATGATAACCATAGCGACTGTGTGTTTATGAATGAATGAATTATTTTTTTTTGTAAATTTTTCTTTTTTCTTAAAAACTTCTTCAACTTGAAATGAAAATTCAAACGACAAGTTTTTTTTTGGTTGGCAAGCGACGAATGGAAAGAAAACGATCCATTTGAAACAAAAAATAAAAGCAGCCATGTTGGTTTTTTGGAATTTTTGATAATATTCAGACATTCCACAATTTAAATGAAACTAGCTAGTTTACACAATATTGATTATCGACAGTGATCATAGGATCCAGAGAATAAGAAAATGAAAAAGAATTAGATTCTTGTATGGCGGTTCCATAGAAGAATTAAAAGTAGAAAATTCATCCAAAAATCAACAACAACAACAACAACAACAAAAATCGATCATTGCCTGTGTGTGTGCATTATTCAAAATCATGCAAACGAACAATCAACTGCTATTTATCATTCGATTATTATAATAATGATGGTTATACAAATATATCGTGTTTGACTCTATTCTATTTTTCTTCTGATTCTCCAATTCAGTTGCCATCGTCGTCGTCGTCATCGTAGTTGTTATTCATAACGATTTAAAAATTAAAAAAAGAAAGAATCAAGAATATTTTTTCCATTTCTTGTTTTTTTTTTATTATTTGGCCCTCCACACAAATAAATTTGTGTTTTTGGCGAATTATATTCATCATCATCATCATCATCATCATCATCATCATCTTCTTTTCTTTAGAAAAAAACATTGGCAATTTTTGATCCAAAAAAGAAAGAATATTCATTCAATCATCCTGTACCATCATCGATCAATCAAAATGTAAGTGTAGTTGTGTGTGTGTGTGTGTTTATGTGTGTTTGTTTGTAGCAAATGTAGCTGAAAATAAAATATATTTCAATTTTATAACCGAGAAAAAAACTAGCCATAGTTGGCCGTGTCCATGTCATCATCATCATCATCATCATCCACACAATTCTCAGTGTGCTAGGTAGACGAACCAAAAAAAAAAAAAAAAATTTCTTTTGCCCAGGGTAAGTCATCATCATTCATTCATGAATATCTTGATGCATGAAACACTTTTAAATGCACCAAAAAAAAAAAACAAAAACAGAAAATGATTACTTTTCAATCATTTGAATATTTTTTTTGACTGATTAAATTTCATCAACATTCATTCACTTTTTCTTTATTGTTTGTGAAAGATCAAATTTGAAACCAGAAAACAAAACAAAACAAAATGGTTCTATCGGCCAATAATAAAGTGGATGTTTTGGGACGTTCAATACGTAATAGTACATTGAATCGTATCGAATCACCAACATCATCAATTAAATCCAATTCAAGTGATGAAACATCATCGGATAAAGTAAGATTGAATGATGAATTATTACATATGATCATTACAAATAATATGAACAATATCATCACTAAAACAACAACATCGTCAATTTTAAATAATAATAATAATAATAATGCACAAAAATCAATGATAACAACGAAAATTAATCCAATCATTGATGATCATCATATGAAAACGAAACAATTTAATGATGATGATGATGATTTGAAAAATTACAATACAACGTATCATAAAATAAAACAAACAAAAAAGACACCGACCGGATTCAATACTGATTCTATGATGATTAATTCTGATGTTTCAAACTATATGATGAAAAAAAATTCACAACGAATGAATACAAATGCCGGTGTTAATGATTTGATGGCCGATAGTGATCCGAAAAAAGCGATGGCCGCATCAGGAAATTTTAATATAAATAAAGAAATGTCCACAATGTTGGATTCAAATCGTGTACGGATGATGTCAATATATTTCAATTATTCATCCGTTGTTTCACATGCCATTAAAGATTGGTTCGATGTATGTATTGATTGATTGATTGATTGATTGATCATCTTTGTTTTATTTTATATTTCATTGATTCATTGATTCATTGTTTTCATTGTTGACAGGGTACTGTACGTGGCAAAATTGGATCCGAACAAATTCTTTATGACAATGTTTTACTATTCTTTGCCTATCTATATTGTGCTCGAAATATTATGTTGGCATTTATTGAAGATATTGAACTTCGTGGCTGGCTTGGTGAAGGTGAACGTATACGGCCATATCGTCAATTGGTTATGGTATTGACCATATGGTCAGTTTATATGGTGGCCATATTACGAAACTTTCGTCCGAATCCATTACGTAAACAACCATTATCATGGCTAGAACCTTTCCGTGTTCTACGTGGTGAATCGACACCAAAATCATTTGGTCTAAGTGAACCAATGCTACATTCCTGGTTTGAATATTCAATATCAATGTGGCGTTTCTATTTCGGTTTTGCTTTGGTAATATTCATGGTAATTTCATTGCAAACATTGGGCATGCTACGACATCGTTGGAATAATTATCATGATCCACAATCGAATAATTGGTATAATATAATGTTACTATTCTGGACAATGGTACAGATTGGTTGGGCAATTTTGATCTGTACCCATACATATATTTGTGTTGTTTTTTTCAATTCTTTATGTTATTATTTCCGTATACGTTATGAAAAGGTATGAATTTTTTGTTTCTCAATCCATTGATTGATTAATTGATTCAACATTTGAATTTTCCAAATAGGTGAATGAAGATATCGAGATTATCATTAATAAACGTTTGAAAGCCAATGAACGTGTTGCATTATTACATCATATTCTGGTTGAACATAATTCATTATGTTTGAAAGTTTCTGAATATAATAAATTCTGGTCATCACATTTGATGTCTACATATTTCTTCTTGGTGGCTGTTATTTGTTTCAGTTCATTTCAGGCATTTTTCACAGCCAATCTTGTCATTGTACGGCTTTATATGTTTGGCGTTGCATTATTGGCCGGTTATATTATTACACGAATATCTGTATCGGCTGCAATCATGTCCAATCGGGTATTGTTGTTGTTTATATTGTTGTCAAAACTTTGATTTGAAATTGCTTTAATTTTAGGCACATGAACCATATGGCCGATTAATTCGTGTAACATTTGAAAAATATCCCGTAGAATTACAGATTCAACTTCGAATGTTTATTCAACGAACATCTGGTCCGACTATTGGATTCTATTGTTTGGATGTATTCGAAATTACTTATACAACATATGCTAGCGTAAGTATCATATGAGAAAAATATCACTACTTGCTTTTTGTTGATTAATTATTATCATCATCATCATTAGATATTGGCAGCATTGGGACAGAATTTCTTGCTTATCGTCGATTTTGTACGATCATATGCTGAAGTTGGTAAAGAATTTGAAGAGATATCATTCTCTGATCTTAATATGCTAACCGGTAGCGTATTTAATTCAACACTCGATGTATTGGATGAAATGACCGGTACACATATTTCGGAAGCATTACATTCGAATGGTTCATTTGTACCATTCTAAAAATCACCATCACCACGGTTTATTATAAAACAAAAACAAACACTAAATATTTATCACTAATCGATTATTTAGATTATAAAATTAGGTTTATTTATTACTTCACCATTCATATAGAGAAGAGAGAACGAAATCAAAACTATTTCACGAATGATATACTAGATTAAGCATTGCAAAAAAAAATTTGTTTATTTTGATTCAGAAAAAAAACTTTATATTATTATCCTTATAAATGTGAGAAAATTACAAATTTCATTAATGATAATAAATGATGATGATCATATTGATTATGATGATGATGATGGATTTGGTTCAAATAATAATTCATCTTATCTATGTTATCGTTTCCGTGGTGGTGCACTACCACGACCAATACCACCTCGGCCACGACCACGACTACCACGACCTCGACCACCACGACTTGCACCGGCACCACCTCTACCCATATCACGTTTCTTTGCCTTAGCTTTAGGTGTATCATCAACCAATAATGTTTCCAATGGTAATGAATCCGGTAATATAAAATAACGTATATTATTACCACGTACGGTCAATGAATCCAGTGTTTGTTGAGCGCCATTTTTATTCACCAATTTGACCGTTTTAAGATGTGTATTCATGGCCACATCAACTCCTGCGATTGTTCCATGTGCCTTTTTATTAAAATTGATGACAAAAAAAAATTCAATTACGAAAGAAAAAACAAACAATTGAAAAAACTTACCACAGAACCATTTTTCAATTCAACAGTCACCGTTTCATGTGACAATTTCATCAAAAATCTTTTCACGAAAAAAAAATTAAAAATCAAAAAACAACAAATCTAATGATAAATCAGATAACATACCTTACTAATTTCATGATTGACAAATTTTTAAATTGATGAGAAATTTATTAAAATTTGACAAATTCAATATTCATTCATTCATTCATTCACTTGAATGGAACAATCACATGCTCAATCAATATATGAGAATAAAAGATTTTCGAAAACTTTTCCGGCAAAAAAAATTAAAAAATTCTGGAAACATTTTTATTGTAAAAATTTTCATTTAGCACTCTGTGAAAAAAAAATTCTCGGGTAATTCGCGCCATTCTTTTGACATTTATCCGGAATAATCGATCTTATTCAAGAAAAATCTCTTGATTTTTGTCAAATAAAATTGATTATTTAGAATAAATTGTCGTACCCAAGAGTATCGAATGTTATTAATAAAACTTGAAAGAAATTATGGATTATAAAATCAGAGAAATAGAATTTGAATAAAAAAAAAAATATTAAAACCAAGAAAAATCACCATTCATTCATCACATGTTCTCATCACTAGTTGTTGTTTGTTTTACGTTGATTTTTCGAAGATGTGTAAAGAATTTTTTTGCAGCCGATGTACGACATTGTCGACGATTACAGCCACGACCATCAAATGTTCCGTATGGTTCAACAGTCAATGTTACCATCATTTCTGATTGATTTAACAATTGCATTTTTGTTGATTGTACAATGGTTGTTACATCACTGAATGAATGGATAGGATATTCATTATACAAACGACTCAATGGCATTTTTGGTCGATTTTTTAAAAAGTGATCTATAAATAAATGATCATATGAATTCATTTAGTTCATATTAATGATAATCAGATACATACGAGTTTCACGGATAATCATTCGATAAACAACCTGCCAAACAATATCCAATTTAAATTCACAATCCAAATAGATTGCAGCCACTAATGCTTCGAATACATCGGACAGTACTTTTGGAACATCTATTTCATCAATATCTTGCGAATGAAATTCATTTTGTCCACCACTAATCAATTCCAATAATGTTCCAACAGAATTTTGTCGAAATTTATTGACAAATTTAGCAATCGAATCAGTGATAGCCACCGATGAATGACGAATGTATTTATAAAGCTGAAATTTGACCATTATATGTGCATAGAACATATTGTTCACCAATGCTGATCGTATGTCTGAAATTTCATGTGGACCTAATTGTTCATCACGTACAAACAGATACATTGTAACCAAATGATCAAGAATAGCATCACCACAAAATTCCAGCTGTTGATAGCTCGGGATCAGAATCGAATGAAGCATTTCAGATCGATCATGTGTTGCATGAGTGAATGCTACCACTATTTATTAGTATTGAGGTAAGAAAAAATTTAATTAAAATTTTTATCGATTATCGTGTATTATTTTTGCTTTCTACTTACATAAATAGTATTTGTTATTGAATTTATAATCGATAATTTCTTCCACATCATTCAACAAAGATTCCCGATAAAAACTTTCGAAAACATTATAATTCTGTGGTTTCGTTGGATTAAAATCGAACAGTTTTGCTCGAATTTCTGGTAATGGAATCTCTTCCACAGATTTTTATTATAGTCATGAACATCCGTAATAATTACCGTTTCATTTTGTCGAATTCGTTTTTCAAGATCAATTTTAGCTTTTCTTGGATCAAATGCTTTCAAATCAATGTATTCTAGAAATGCTAACGCTGTCGATGCTGATCCATGAATAAGAAACACACCGATCAATGCTTCAATACAATCAGCCAGATCTTTTGATTTTAATTCAATAAGATAATCATCATCATCATCTTTATGCATGAACGATATACGTTTGAAGAAAAGTTCATGAATTTGTTCATTTAATGAGCCAAAAATAAATTTTTGAATTCCTTTTTCCAATGCAATCAACGAAAGATTATGATTACTAATCAATGCCATTTTCAATGCGGTTAATCGATATTCATCATATTGTGGATATTGCCAATACAAATATAATGATGTGGTCATCTTAATGAATGCATCACCAACCGTTTCATAACGTTCAATATTCCATAAATCTTGAGCTTTGGCTAGCGTAAGTCCATACAAAATTTGCCATGGATTTGGACATTGTATTATGTCGAATGTATCGAAAAATATTGCCTCTTTAGCAATTGTTTCATGAATATTACCTTCAAATTTGAATATCGAAACTTCACCATAATCAATCGTTTCTTGATGTGGATTGAATTGAGCAATCACTCGTCCATGATGATCAGTGGATTTATGTTTGTTTTTTGTATGACTAAGAAAAGATTTAATCTTACTGAAAAGTTCTTCAAATAATTTTTTCAATGAATTTTCCGAACAAGAAGAAGAACTCGAATCTGTTGTGGACGATTCGTTTTCAGGTAAAAATCGTTGCAACATATTCGTGATTTGATTTTGATGGCCAATTGTTTTTGGTCTTGGTACATCTTTATCCATACTATCCGGATCAATCATTGCTAATTGTTCAAGTTTCAAGGTTTTCATATTTGATTCAAATTGTTTTTGTCCATGATAATTAACATGATAATCACAGTGATCAACATCGATTCCATATTGACAAAGTGGTTGAATAAATTCAACACTCAATGAAAATTGTTCCAATCGATACATTATCAATGGTATGGCCATTATGCGAAGACAAAGGATTGAACTTAGTGGATAGATGCACAATAATTCTCGTGGAAGGAAATTATAAAATGTTTTCTTCTTTTCGGTGGTCATTTTAATCGAACGGATTAATCGAAAACTATCATAAAATCGACGAAAAATTTTCGAATGTACCATTGATTGATCAATATGGCGTAGTATTCGTTTATGTTTATCACTGAAATATTGTTGAAATGTTGTGTCAGATTCGCCTGGATTCATAACATCCGTTGGTAAACGAATTTCATTTGTTTTCTTGAACAAAAGTTCAATTTTTTTATGACACAAATAACCATACAATTCAAATTCACCATCCAAAGTTGATGGATCATAAACAGTTATATTTCGTTGATAATCCGATGATATTGATTGATGATCTTTATGAGAATTTTTCATCATCATTATCCATTGACGACATTTTTCCATTTGATCAAAATCAATGATATATTGTTTACTATATGGTTTTCGTTTCACCAAAACAATCATAATGGCCGTATTCAAAGCACTGGTTTCGAAACGTCCACTACGAAATTTTCCAATATTAAATCGAATGCATGATATTGATGAAAATGTTTGATTAGTTCAAATTTTGTATCAATAATAGAAACTTTTCCACAAGGAATCAGACGAAATTTGATTGGAAATAAATTGAAAAAGAAATATGAACATAACTCTTTGAATGGTTTTTGTTGATTTTTAATCAATATTCCAACCGATGAATTATGTGTGCCAACAAATTTCGGTTTAAAATATTGTTCATTTTGACCAATGGAATCTGTCTCATCATCTATTTCAGTTAATAAATCAAATTCCAATGCATAAAGATGATAAAAATCTGCAGTTTCACCTGATGATGATGATGATGGTAATAATAGTTGATTGGAAAAATTGGAAAATTTTTTCTTATAATCAGTTGTTTGTAATTCTTGTACGGATAATCGAATATTGAGATCTTCATGATGTTTTTTGATCAAAAATTTATGATCAATGATGTTTAATCGGTCACCAATTTCATTTTGTTGTATCAAATGGATACAAGTACGATATGCACAATGAATTTTTGCAGCTCTTTGTGTGCAAAAATATCCACCCGGAATCAATTGACCCGATAATGAACTGTTTACTGGAAACACAAAAACATAGGCATATTTTTTCATTTGATCATTATTATTATTATCATCATTATCATCTTTTACGAATTGATACATTGGCAGAAAATGATCGCTAAATAAATCCCGTGGTAATTTCATTAGATATTCATTTACTAATTTCAATGAATTTAATGGATATAATGTTGATGGACCATTTTTAAAATTTCCCATATTCTTAATGATTGAGTCGGAAACATCCAAACAATCAGATTCAATTTCATCATCTTCTTCTTCTTCTTCAAGAGATTCTTGTACATTATTCTTCAATTTCCGTGTTTTATTGTCCATATCATGAAAATCAGCAAACGTTTTCATCATTTGTGTGCGCAAATCTTGTGGTATCAGAAGAAAATATGCAGAATTTTTATCACGTGCACGTCCTCTTGATTGTGAATAGGCACGATATGTTTGTGGTTCATCATAACGAATCACAACATTACAAATCGGAATATCGAAACCTTCTTCAATGGCAGATGTGGCAACAATAAGATTAATTAAATTTGATTTCATCAACGATAAATATTGACTATAATGAAATGGTTGATCAAATTTAATAAAATCTTTTGATGTTGCACCACAAATAAATCCTGGTTTAATAAACGAATAATTTTCATTCGATTTGGATAATTGTAGTAGCCAACGATACAGAACATTTGCAGTGGTACGTTCCTTAACGAATATGATTCCGTTAGTTTAGTTTTCGTTCGAAATTGATCGAATAAAATCAAAAGTGTCCGAATTCGATCCGATACTAATCGATGGTCGGTTAATAATTTTAGATCATCAGTATTTTCAATTGCAAATTTCTTTTCAATTCGTTTGATAATCAAAACACGAATATGATTCATTAATCTTCGTATTAGTTCAGTAAATTCAAACGACATTGATTGCAGTGATTGATCATATAATTTGATCACTTCAATGGCAAACCATGGTCCCATTGTTTTATATAAATATTCTTCAATCTTTCTAAATGCCAATCGAAATTGTTTTAGTGAATCTTTTTCTTGAATCATTGAATCATTGCTGCCATTACTTGAATCGTCATTATTTAAATCACCATTGATGGCCATCTGATCAGCATTTCGATAAAAACGATGATTCAAATATTTTTCACATATTTCATCAAAATCAAAATCAATTTCAATGTTGAAATTGTTTTCATTTTTATATACAATTACAATCTCTTGACAATGATTTATGTGACGTTCGAAATTTTTGGTCATCACACGTGAATGATATAGCTGTTCGATTTTCTTTAACGAATTATTGAATGTTTCAATTTCTTTCGGTTTATGTGGTATTAATGTGGCACTCATGCCTAGAATTTTTGGTTTTTTATCATCATCAACATTACTTTCTTCATATAATTTCATAATTAGATTATAAAAATGGCCAGAATCACGGCCCTTTTTTTTCGTTGCCCAATGCATTTCATCGAATACAATAAGATTAATATTATTGATTTTGATATATCCTTTAACCAATAAATCATATAATATTGCTGGTGTCAGAAAAAATATTTGATAATCTTTCAAACATTTTTCCCAATCATTTGAGCTAAAATTATCCGGATTATGATCACCAGTAATCAATGTAATTTTTCCTGGCAATAATGTTTCAGCTATTTTATGTTGCTGTGTAATAAGAACACGATTTGGTGCAAGAAAAAATGTTCGTTTAGCTTCCGATGGATATGGACCGATTGTTTGTTTGAACATATGACGAATCAAACATAATGCAATCAATGTTTTACCCGATCCTGTTGGTAAACATATTATAATGTTTCCTTTTTTAGCTTCAAGAAATAGATATTTCTATATACAGCGAAAAAAAATCGAACAAAATTAAAACCAGCAAAAAAAAAATCATTCAATTATACCTGATAATCACGAAGCTCATGTGGTCCCATTCGAAACACATCTTCATCACCATATTCTTCTTCTTTCACATTATTCATTGATTTGGCCATCATTTTTTGAGATATTTTTTTCTTCTTACATCAGATGATTCTTGAGTGTCGTCAGTTGATTTTAAAACTCCTTTTTTTTGTAAAATTAATTTATTGGCCAAGTTAAACATTGTCAGTTTAACAAAGTCTAGGCTAGACTATCAATTCCATTGCAATAATGATAATCGCCATCACGATAACGATTAATATTATGATGATGACGAGCAAATCATAACACAATCACAAATCAATGAATGAAAGGCGTATTTTGTTTGTTTGTTTGGCCATTATCTTTTTGAATGGACCCAGAAAAAAACACACATGCATGCATGCATGTGATTAAAAATTGGCGGCAAATTCGAAATTGAAATATTAATTAAATTTTGTTGATTTTGGATATAAATATAATTGATTGATTAATGTATTAGAAAATGGAATAGAAAAATTGTAAAACATGTATATTACAAAATTATTTTGTAATTCATTTTTTATTTTATTATCAACACTAATAACTATAGCTAACATACACAAGACAACAGCAACAACAACAACAACAATAGATAATGAACGATTTTCATCCATTACAAATAGTAATAATGATAATAATAATAATTATTATAATAAACACTGTGATTATCCATTTTTGGCTGCCATTATTCATAGAACTAAAAAATATATCATCTGTACAGGTGTTGTTGTCGGTAAGGATATTGAAATTCTTGTCGAAGCAAATTGTGTCACAAAGTAAGTGATAATATATTGAGTGAGTGAATGATGATTTTGAACATTTCTTTTTTTTCTTGAAATTATGAATATAATAAATAGAATCATTATGAATGAAGCAAATTATTTCATTTACATTGGCCACACAAACTGGAGTGAACATGGATCATTGGATAAAGAATCTGTATTTGATATAAATGAAATCATTCTACATCCAATGAATTACAATGAGAATGGAACACAACAATATTATGGACCAATGGATGATATAGCTATAGTGAAAATTATCAGTTCCAGTGGTAGAAAAAAATTCATTTCACGTGCATTATTATTATCGGTGGACACTATTGACGTGTTACATGATTGTAAATATATTGGCTGGATGGATAATGATACAAAATTCATAACAATCGATGCAACAATTATAAATAAATATGATGATTGTCAAAAATATTTCAAAGATTTTAATCCAAAAACAATGTATTGTCTACAAATAAATAATGATTGTAAGATTCGTAATGGTCATTTTTATGGCCCATTAATATGTTCAATAGAAAGCCATTCGTTTAAAATTAATATTACATTATCGATTACTTCATTTGTTATTGAAAAATGTTCAACATTAACTGGTATATCATTTGAAACTGAAAATCTGTTTATAAGTTCAAAGTTGTTAAATTTTCAAAAATGGATCAATGAAAAAGTTAAAAAACCACTTTATATTGAGCCAAATTCATTTATGGCTATAACAACACAGACTGAAGAAATTCCAATCTACACAACAACAACTGCAATAGCAACCGCAATAACAACAACAATGATTAATGGAAATCAAATCAAATCAATGACCAAACAACCTAGGATTAATCAATCGAAAAATATTGATAATGATGTTGGTGGATGGAAAATAAACAATACATTCCATTATCTGGCATTAGATCGTATTAATTGGGTACCTTGTATCATATTTTTCATATTAATGTTTATGACTGTATCGATATTTGCATTACTTGAATGTGCATTTGTTTAGTAAAAAAAAAAAATTGAATTGAAAATTCGTCAATGTCAAAAAATTTTTAAAAATGAGTGATAAAGATAGATTTGAATAAAAATATGATATATTGGAAAGGCCATATCGTCGTTGTTTTTGTTTTTGTTTTATTTATGAATAAAATGTCAATACATTGGTTTGATTACCACGCATCAACATTATTGGTGGCATATCACGGGTCAATGTATCCAACCATGCCATATACAATGATGGTGGACAGGTATCTTTTCGTGGCATCGGTAATGTCCTGAAATGTGGAAAAAATGACATCAGAATTTTTTTTTGTAAAAAAAGCAAACAAATTCGATTACGTACATTACAATCAATCGAGAATCTTTCGAATGTTGCAACAATAATTCCCGCAAACGTATATTTCGATTACTCTGTATTATGATTAAATTTGTGCTATTAGAAAAAAAAAAATTCATTATAACACTATCCTATTACCTTGTCTTTAAATTGTTCTAAATCATCTTGTGTGATTGGGAAATTTCCTTCATTTTCTTGTTGTTCATCATCTCGTTGCAAATATTTTGCAATTAAATTTTGAAATTCAGCTTTCGATTCTTCTTTCGGTGGTTTCAATATATCGGTGATTAATGTAACGGAAGAGAAATCGATACGAAATTTCGACAATAATGCAGCCATGTTTCGTTGTTCGATATCCAATTCTGATTGTTTGTTTGCTAAAGCAAAAACACGAAGTTTACAGCCATTCCATTGTGGATTCGAACGTATTAAATATGGTAATAGAAGAGTAAGGCCACCATCATCATATAGCCACCAAACATCGATACAAACACCTTTTGATTGTTTCGTCAGAAATAGTCTTTCAGTCTTTGGTTCCAAAATTTCCGATTCCAATTTAGGATTTTCCGAATCGACATTTGTTGATGAACTATTCATATCATCAGTTATAGGATCATCAGCATTTGTTTTATTATTGTCAGTTCCGTTTTGTTGTTGTATCTGTTGATTATGACGAAAAATTACTACCGATAAATGATGATCAAAAATAGTGCTAAATTGGATGATAGAAAAGATATTAAATTATTCGATCATGACCATATATGGATCACACATACTGAATAGTGTTGAAATAATCAAGCAAACATTTCGATTCACAATTGTTCCAATCGGTTTTAAATCCCAACATGATGATATTTGGCCGTAATTTTCCAATTCCAGTCAGCTGTATCAAGGCACGAGCACCTTTGTGAAAATCATCTTCTTGTATAATGTCGACAAAGGCTTTTATGTTCTGTTTTGTTAGCCATTGATTTGAATCATTTTGTAATTTGATTTGTGTTCGGGCCGATATTGGATCGGTTACAATATTTCCACAAATTAATAGACCACTATTTTTTATGATTAAATGGGCAAGATCAACGTGATCAGGACGATGTTTTGGATGACCGGATAGGAAAAGAATTTGTGGGCGATAATTTTTCACATGTTCAGGTACGGCATTCAAACGATGAACAGAAGTTAAAGCCGATCGATAAGTTTGAGCTTGAGTCGATGAACCCCAATTCACATCTATTGAATGAAAATGAGGATTACATAGTTAAGATTAGATCAAAATATTTTTTATAATAATAAATACCTGGTTTTCTATAAAGAATCCACATGTAGAGAACTAAAATTATCAAAAATGTAAGCAATGCCGTTGACCAACTAGTGATGAACATGACCAATGTCATTAAAATAGCAGTGGCCAACGATAACCATTGATTATAATAACGAAAACTTGGTCGAAAACCAGGTGATCGAGAGAAACTAGCATGAAAACAGGAAAAATTGATCAATGTATAGGCGGCAAGAAAAAAATTTGAAATAATCGGTGCAATAAGATTCAATTCGCCCAATAAACAACAGCATAGGGCAATGGCAAATGCAAGTAGATAGCCTGGTCTTGGTTCATTATTTGGACCATATCCTTTACCAAAGAAAGATATATACGGAAAAAGGCGATCATTACATAATGCTTGAAATACTTTTGGTGCTGAAACCAGACTGGCTAATGCGGATGACAAGGCGGCAGCAAATATGCCGGCATATATAATCGGACCAAACATGGACATCATTTCTACAATCTGATAAAAATTTAACAGACCATATTGGCAATTAGTTCGGGAACAATCTTGAATCGCTTCGAATACATTTGGTAGTAATTGACCGGTTTGATTGTCACTTATAATCAATTCCAACAAGCCATTTGCATCACGAACAACAGTTGCAGTCATAATAACATGAAATGCAATGTAAACAATGGTTGTAATTGCTATGGCTAAAAATGTTCCTTTCGGTATTGCTTTCGATGGATCTTTAAGATCACCGGAAATATTAGCACCGGCAAGTATTCCAGTTGCAGCTGGAAAATAAACAGCGAAAACGGAGAAAAAATTATGACCATCACGATAATCGGGCATCATATTTTGATGGAGAATTTCAGCTGAAAAAATCAGTTATTATAATAAACTAGTTAGTAAATAAATAATAAAAAAAAAATACATACTACTCCATCCAAAATAACCACGTGCAATCTGTTGATCATTGACTGGACCTAGAATGAATCCGGCAATAAAATCAAACATAGCTGTAACCAAAATTATCAACAAAAAAACTTGTGCCTAATGGGATGAAAAAAAATTAGATCATTAATAATTAGTTAATTTTAAAATATCATGATCATCATTAATTACTTTGGCTTCCCAAGCAGTACCGATGAAAACGATAGCCAACAACAAGATCACCGTGATACAGCTTATTATTCGAATCATATTAATTGAATCATTTTCAGGCCATAAAACATCTCTTAGGGTTTCAGCAAAACCAACCGTATACATAGCTACAGCTACTGCATTTGCCAATGAAAATATGATACCGATGGCACCACCAAATTCAGGACCCAATGATCTACTGATCATGTAATATGTTCCACCACCTTTAACCTCGCCATTCGTACAGATAGCCGACATAGACATAGCCGTTAATGTTGTACAAAGTGAAGCTAACAGGATGATCAATATGCCATAAATAAGACCAGTTTGTCCACCCACCCAGGATAACCGAAGAAATAGAATGACACCCCAAATGTTTAGCATATTTCTTACAAGTACACCTTTAATCCAGCCAAATTTAATCACCTTGGATGGGTCAATACTATCCATTGGTGATGTAGGAACATTCATTCCTTTTTCATTTGGATTATCCAATGAAATACTGGTTTGATTTCCATGTAATTCATCCAATGTTGGTCGATTACTATGACCATGACCATGAAATCGAACAATAGACATTAGATTACGATAGAATTCCATTCGTGGTAGTGCTTCACGTGTATAATTTTTAAAACTTTTCAAATTTTTTGTATCATAATGTATAGTACCGTGAGCTGAATTAGATCGAAGTGTACCATTACCATCATCTATTTGTTGATCGGGTGTTTGTGGCTGTTGTTCAATAGGATCTTTATTATTATCCTGATCAGTTTGATAATGAACAGATAGATGTTTGGCATTTTTTATCGGTTCATTTATTGATTCATTTTTAATGATTTTGACATTACCATCATTATTTTTAAATAAGGGTATCGATTCATTTTCATGATGATGATGATGATCCTCATCATCATTATTTACCGGTGATTCTTTATCACGATTCATGTTGGCAATCGTTGATTATTTTTTTTTAGTAAAAAAGTTTATCCTACATGTGATGACAACTAGGTGGTAGGGAGATGAACAAAACTGATGATTTCGAAAAAAACCCGTTTAACACAGAGAAAAAATATTCACAAACAAAACAATTGATCACGCAAAGCCATCGAAATAACTTTGTCAATTTTTTTCAATAGTGAACAATAATAGAAAAAACGTTTGATCCACACCAAAATAGTTCCAAAATAAAAATTCTATTCAAATCTGTCATTGGGTAGAAATGGGTGCCTTCTGTCTTTTACAAACTGTGGAGTGGAGCTGGGTTCTTTTTTTTTTATTTGCTGGCATGTGATCAGCATTTGAATAATAAAATCGAAAAAGACGATGAACACGACGACAACGAGACCAAACTCAAAAGAAAAAATTCTTGGGTAGCGGCATTGAATTTTCTATGGTTGTAACAAACAAAAAAAAAAAAAAAAAAATAGGAAATATACACACAACATGTACACAATAATTATTTTTGGGTGTTGTCATACAATTAAATTTTATCATTTATGTATGTAATTAATTCTTTGTTTTTTTAGTCGAATAATTTTTCTTAGTTGAAAATCTATGAAAGCTTTGTTCAAATATATTATAGACACACACACACATGTGGAATTGAAAACACTGACGGCGCATCACATAGAAAAATTGAAATTTAACGGTCAAAATATTAAAAACACATTGTGAGAAAAGAAAACGAATGAATGAAAAATTCATCCTTTTTAAAGCAATAAAATCGTTGTTGTTTCAGGTTGCTGTAATCATTATGATTACGTGTAGATAAATGGCAAAAGAGTGGTAATCCCACACTATATTGTCAATCAATGATATACAAGTTATAAATTCGAATGATGAGAATTTAGAGACATGATGATGATGATGATGATGACATATAATACAACAACAAGGTGAGGTATTAGACACAAACACAAAAAAAGTTGTTCTATTGATATTGATGATTGTTTTAAAATATAAAAAAAAATCCAATTGATTTTTTTTCTTTTGTTTCAAAAACCATGTTATATAATCATTATTTCAATCGAAAAAAATAAAAAGGTAGCTATATAGTTAATGATCATGATCATTGATGATGGTAGGTATAGTGACGAATGGTGTTTGGTTTTTTTTACAATTCGAAATTCATCATTTTTTTTTTTTGTTTTCAATCCACTATGATGATGATGATGGTGGTGACTATTTTCGTAGTATACAATTACCTATTATTACAATTTTATTTCCTCTTGATAGCCTAAAAAAAAGAAATGAAAAAAAACTGGTAACCAATCGACCGGCCCCGGTGATGGCGATGTCTGATTGTTAAAGTTTCGTGGTTACACACACACACACAAATGATTAGATGTTCGATAATGGTGGTTATAAATATATTTGATTTGGTTTTTCTTGTTTGGTTGTTATTTTGATCATTTTTATGATCAATATAATGATTATGTGATCATGATGATGATGATGATGGATATATAAAAACAATAGGGATGATGATGATGATGATTTTTCGAATTTTTCGAAAAAAATCACAAAAGAATTGATGATTGATGAATTTGAATCACAGTGAAAATGTCCGAAAAAAATGTTGCCGTTTTTTTCTATCGTCGTGGGAGTACAGGATATTTACAATGCTGTTTTGATGGTCGGTTTTTTTTCTTCTTCATATAAAAAAAATGGCAAGTTAAATCTTGATGATGGCGAGGTAGACAAGGAACAAAACAAAACAAAAAAAAAAATTATTATGACACCCAGTGTGTAAATGGAAGTTGTTTGATGAGTTTTTTTCTCTATACACACGTTCGTGTGTGTGTGTGTGAATGAATGAATGAATTCTTGAAAAATAAAGTTAATGACCAGCCAAGTATCGTTATAATGGTTGATTGAGATGGTTGAATCGGTGGACCAGTTCTTGATTTCATTCAAATCATCATCATGGTCATATATGGTTGTATGAAAAAAAATTGTTGGAAATTGACAACACAATGTGTGTGTGTGTGTCGATGTAAAATGTCATTTGAGCTGAAAAAAATATCAAAATTTTTCATAGAATCCATAGTTTAATGTTGATAATGATAATTACCGTAATTTTTGTACATTATTGTCAACGGGTTGAAAAAGAAAAAAAAATTTTCTTTTCTCAAATCAGTGGGTTGTTGGTTGGTTGGTTGGTTGTTGCGTGGGAAATTTGATTTTTTTTTCATCTTGACATTTTGAATTTTATTTGATAATCAACATAAAAAAATATACGAGTTAATTCGAGTTCATGGACCTAAAAAAAGAATTTTTTTAAAAAAACAAATACTGTTTTTATGGAAGGCAAAAAATCGAACACAAACGAAAAAAAAAATCCCGGAAACTTTTCAACGACTATTTCCACTCGAAATGGCTCAGAAACTATTTTTGTTTCATCACATTTTTATTATTATTATTATTGTAAGGAAATTTCGATTTCATCATTTCGAACTTTGGATTCATTTTTTCATTTTTAAAACAATAAAAAAAAATTCTAATATGGATCCAACAAATATTATTACAAATTTTAATTCATTATCAATATCAAAATCAAGTCAACTACGAATAGTTGGACAAAAATTTGTTGCTGAAAATGTTGTAAAATTGTTCCATGAAGAGCGTTTGCCATCACATCATTGTTTTTCGGTATGTTTTTTTTGCTGAATTCTGAGTTAATCTTAATGCAAACTTTATTTAGCGATCGAATAATCATAATGAAAATGATAATAAACATAATGAAACAAATGAACTATCATTATGGCCATGTTTACGGCATTTTACATGGAGTTCATTGTTACAACAACAATTTGGAAAATTCTTACCAGTAGATAAAGGTTATTCAATGTTCACAATTGACCAGCAAGAGAATCGTCTTCAGCTTTTTAACAATGGTTCAAATCAAGGCATATTTATTGGTTCCATAGCAAATAAAATTATCTACTCATATTCTGATTCATCAAACTATCTTTATATATTGGATGAAAAACATCGTCTATATTTCTATCCGGTGACTGAAAATAGCCAAAATTATCATTTAAAAGTTCTTATTGAAGATATTGTTAAATTTCGTTCGAATGGTAAACAATGTTTGGCTTTAGATTCTGATGGTGATCTGCTTGTATGGTGGATGATTTTTCATCACGATCAATCTGAACATTTCGACAACATTGAATTTCGACCATGGAAATTTCAACAAATAAAAAAAATTTTTGGTGAAAAATTCATTATTTTGGATTTTGATTGTGGCCAATCCAATGCTGTCATATTGGCTTGTTCGTCCGATTATGGTGCACAAGCTGTTCATATTTGGCGACAATCATTTAAAAATGAAAATGATGACTACCTGGAAACGATACACATTTCTTATAAACAAATTTTCTGGAATATTATTGCCGGTGTCGATTCATTTTTATTGATGCGTGATGGTATTCCTTATGTTTTTGATGGTCGATCTAATAAAATCGATAGTCAACCATTGATAATTACTAAAATGCCAAAAATCAACAATTGTTACAACATTCCATCTACTGATATTTATATATTCATTTCGAATAATTCATGGTACATTTACAACACACAAACTGGACAACAAATAAAAACATCATTACGATCATTGCCGGATCTATATTCATTTTATGGCCATTATCCATCATCACCGCCATCATTTTGTCATATTAATCAACAAAATTGTCTACAGGATCCACAACAAATTTCCATATTGGAAACATTTAATAATCCATTTTGTTATGATTTCAAGATACAAATACCAATGATGATAACAAACCAACAAACAATCATACGTACAATATATCTATGTAAAGCTATATTGCAACAATGGAAACCATATTTTAATCATTTGTTTCAACAAAATCCCACTTTGAATGAAACATCAGAATTATTATTGACCATTGGTTATATTGAACATTATTATTATTATAAATCAATGTACACAATACTATTGCCTACATCCATCATACATTGTGAACAAATCCGTCAAGGTATTCAAAAACTTGAAAAACAACATGAAAAACCATTCATTCCAATTTCAAATACTACTAATATGTCAGAGGATTTTGATTTAAATTCGATAGATTTATCTGATCTCATTTATAATTGATAATTAAAATTTTTTTGTTGTTGTTTCTTATTTTGTTTCATCATTTTTCTTTTCCATACATGATGATGATGATGATGATGATTGATTCTGTAAGGAAACTTCATCGAATGCTTTACGTGCTTGTTTCAATTCCATATTCATGGTCAATAAATTATAAACACGAGAAATTTTCTTTGGATCATTATGTACAGCGTACATAATATCATCGATGGTCAGCCGTTCACATGTTCGATTTTCCAAAGCTTTATCCACCAATTCGTAGATATATTTGATGACTAAATCTTCCATCAGATTTATTGTTTCAATATAAGGATTACGATCATCACCAAATCCATACATCATACAGGCTAATTCTTTGGTAAATAATCTTGTTGTTGCCGATGGTGATGGCGATGATGATGATGATGATGATGATGATGATTGTTTCGAGGAATTATCATCCATATCGTTTGAAAAATAAATCACGTTTTTATTCTATATATAGAATCAGAAAAAAAGCAAACGGAACTTTATTTGTTGTTCAATCAGTGTATAAACAAACCATTATAACTTGTTGTGTACAACTTGCAATGTATAAACCTTACGTGTACTTGAATGTGATAATATCCGAATTGATTTTTTTGTTTGTTTGATTGATTATTCAAAATTGACAAATGACATCTGTAATTGTTTTCGTTATATCACGAGAAGTATTGAAATATTTTGCCACAATTATAACACCCCTGCCTAGAAGAATCAAATGACTGGTTCTAAATTAATTTATCATTCAATCTGTCATGATGTGGTCAAAACTCCCTACCAAACGAAAAAAAAACGAATTGGAAAATGAAAAAACAAAATCGAAATGAAATTTATCCATTCATTCATTCATTATTCTTCGAAATTATCATGTCATTATTTTCGCTGTTAAAATGCTATTATCATCATTGATTTTAAGATTTTTCTACATTATCATTACATTGATCATTATTGTTTATGTGAAATCCGTCGAACAATTCGATGTCGAACATTATCTTGATCCATTTGATTCACAGTAAGTTTTTTTTGAATTGAATTTTAAATTTTAAAATTTAATTTAATTTAATGTAATGTAATGTAATTTTTTCTCCCAAAAAATAAAGTCCACGACTTTTAGTGAAAAATGGACATCTTGTCCTATTGACTGGCCGTAATAAAGATATCGTTTTTCGTTCATCCGGTTCTGGACAAATACGAATAAATGGAAATGATTTATTGGCAACAAAACTTCAATCCATTAATCAAGAATTGGATCCAATCAATTCGAATACAAATGATATTGTTGCACAGCAAAATTCTCCCATTGATCGTTTGGTGGATCGAAAACTTTCAATTGTTGAAACAAGAATCAGTTCACGTATTGATGAACTTACACAACGTTTAAATGATACGATTATTTTTCAAAAAAAAATATTTGGTCGAAAACAATTCCGTCGAATGCGTACATTATTACGACGTTTGGATCGTTTAGAAAAATTATTGATGAAAAATGAATGTGAAAATAATCCCTGTCAAAATGGTGCTACTTGTGAAGATGGTTACAATCAATATTTATGCCGTTGCCGTACAGGATTCAAAGGACAAAATTGTGAACAAGATATCGATGAATGTGTCCAATATCAAGGAACTGAATTAGGATGCCAAAATGGTGGCACTTGTTTGAATATTTTCGGCGGTTTCGTCTGTATTTGTCCACCAAATCATCAAGGCCTTCGTTGTAATATCGAATTCAATGATTGCCATAATGTCAGTGATCATGAAATCTGTGGCCAAGGATTATGTTTGAATAAGCCACGAACACAGAACAATGTGGCCTCATTTCGTTGCGTCTGTTTTCAAGGTTTTACGAAATCAAATCCAAATATTGATAGTGCTCCATGCGATGTGGATGTTGATGAATGTCGACTTGGTATCGATAGATGTTCGAAAGATCCACCCGTTGATTGTATCAATACACGTGATGGTTATCAATGTGGGGTTTGTCCACCTGGATATACTGGTGATGGTTTCCATTGTTTCCAATATGACCGTTGTCTGATCAATAATGGTGGCTGTTCTATGTCGCCACGTGTTTCATGTTTTCCTTCAAGTTCATCGGATCGTATTATTTGTGGACCTTGTCCAGCTGGTTATGTTGGTGATGGTATCACTTGTTCAACTGTAGATGGTGATATATGTTCAACGAATAATGGTGGTTGTTCACCAGATGCTACATGCATCGCTAACACCGCTATATCAGCGAGATTTCGTCAATGTCGTTGTAATGATGGTTTTACCGGCAACGGAGAAGGATCACGTGGTTGTCAACGAATTGTTTTATCAAATTGTGCTAATAATCCATGTCAACATGGTGCATCTTGTATTTCTTATAATCATCATGGTTCAACAGATTTTTATTGTTTATGTCCATCGGATTATACTGGTAGATATTGTGAAAATCAAGCCAATTTATGTCAAACAAATCCATGTCAAAATGGTGGCCGTTGTATTACGAATCATGGTGTTTATTAGTGAGTTTTATTTTCAATTTTAATTAATTGATTCATTGATCATTATTGATTTTTTTTTGTCATAGCTGTGAATGTTCCAATGAATATATGGGCATCAATTGTGAACAAAATCGTGCCAGTTGTGGTGGCCAGTTGGATGCGATGTCTGGTGTGCTTTCATTTCCCACTACAAATTCATCATCATCAAATACCTATGCAAATAATGTGACATGTATATGGGTGATACAAAATCGTCAATATTCGACAAAAGTATTGAATATAACATTCGATCGTTTTAAAATGGAACAATCACCAGGCTGTGCATTTGATTATCTGGAAATTTTCGATGGACCATCAAGAGAATATAGAAATTTAGGAAAATTTTGTAATGATAAACAATTACCGAAAGGTGGCAATATTATTACATCGTTTAATTCAATTTATTTGAAATTTCGTTCCGATCCAAGTGTATCACATGAAGGTTTCTCATTAACATGGAATACTATCGATCCTGTATGTGGTGGTTTAATCATTAATCGAACTACCGGTATAATTGAATCACCAGGATATCCACATCATTATCCAGCAAATCGTGATTGTCATTGGGAAATTATTGCGGATTTCGGTAAACGTATACAATTCATTTTCACCGATCTGGACATTGAACCAAGTCCAAATTGTACATTCGATTATCTAATAATAAGAGAAAGTTTATCACGACTACCACCATCATCATCAATTCGAAATTCAAAAGCCGATTCTATTAATATTGTTGCACGTTATTGTAATTGGACTGCATCGTCCGAACAATCAGTACCACCACCGATTACAACAAGTGGTTCATTTGCACGTATTCATTTTCATTCAGATCCCGGTATACATAGTCGTGGTTTTCATCTGGTTTTCAATCAAATACCCGGTGTTTGTGGCGGTATACTCACCGGATCCAGTGGCATATTTCAATCACCAAGTACAGCTTATACATCAACATTAACAGGTCGTACATTTCTTATCTATCAGAATAATATTGTTTGTGATTGGCTGATACGAGTGATGCCAAATGAACGTATTTCATTAAGATTTTTAAGTTTTGCATTAGAATCCGATTCAATGGTAATGAGACCACGTAATCAATCCAATGGTGGTGGTGGTGGTGGTGGTGGTGGTCTTTGTATGTTTGATTATGTTGAAATTTATGATGGTGAATCATATGAATCACCATTACGTGCACGTCTTTGTGGTCGTATTGTTCCGCCAGAAATAATTTCAACTGGAAGATTTTTGCGTGTAAAATTTCGTTCCGATATGAGTGTTGCTTTGAGAGGTTTCATTGCAAAATATCAAGCATTATGTGGTGGTGAATTCAATGAATTACAAGGACAAATTGAATCACCAAATTATCCGGCTCCATCATTGCTATCGAAAAATTGTACCTATCAAATCAATGTACCAATTGATCATATTATTGAATTTACCGTTGAACAAATGGATATTGAATTCGATCATCGTTGTATGTTTGATTATCTAATGATACAGCGACAACGTTATTGTGGCCAAACCGTTCCACCACCATTCTATTCAATGAACAATGAACTAAAAGTTTATTATGTCAATGATGAATCTAAACCATCTATTGGTTTTCGTGGCCGTTATCGATCAATTGAAATTGGTTGTGGCGGTGTATTGAAACAAGGTGAACCAATGATTGCAATTTCTGCCGAACGTCTAGCTACATCATCGATAGTAAATCAATGCTTCTGGGAAATTCGTGCTAATCAATCGCATTTGGTTATGATAAAATTTTTTCATACCGAAACATCATCATCATCGTCATCGATTGACAATTCCAATGTGATAATCAATCAAGATTTGCTACAACGTTCTAATGATCATTATATTATGGTCAATGATTCAGATGGAAGTTTGATTAAAAAATTTTCTATTGAACAATTACCACCACCAATTACATCGACTGGAAATGTATTGTTTGTCACTTATGTTCATAATGTTATACAACAAACGAATCAAGAATTTGATTCATCTGTCTATTCAGAAAATTCGAACAATACGACTAAATCTACAACAGCAATGACGACGACGACCACATCATCATCATCGATACATCGAATGGAACGACCATCATCATCATTCTATGCTACTTATCATTTTGTACCGGCAAGATCATTTTGTGATAAAAATATCTTCAAAAATGTTGGTTTTATTCGTTCTCCTAGATATCCACGACGATATCCTGGTAATCGTAATTGTACATGGATCATACATGTTGATAATGGCCTACAAATTCATTTGAATTTTACTGAATTTCGTTTAGAACCTGCTAGTGAAGTGAATAGTCGTTGTTATGATTATCTAGAGATTCGTAATGGTCGTCGTCCTGATTCACCATTGATCGGACAATTCTGTGGTTTTGGACCGATTCCAGATATCGTATCGCATAGTAATTATCTATTCCTACGTTTCATTTCGGATCCATCAATGCAAAATAAAGGTTTTGAAATTTATTATGAAGCAATGGCAACTGGTTGCGGGGGTACGATGACCGCCGAATCTGGTAGTATTGAATCGCCTGGTTTTCCTGATCATTATCCAAGTAATATGAATTGTGAATGGAAAATACGTGTGGCTGAAGGTTCGATTATTGTCGCTTATCTTATCACATTGGATATGGAACGTACAAATGCGGCAAGAAATTGTGAATTTGATTATCTAGAACTATTCGATAGTGACGATGGAAATGAAGCAAGAAAATCATTGGGAAAATACTGTAATTATATTGAAGGTTCTAGACCAGCGATAAAAACAACTGGTAATAAAATGTTCATACGTTTCGTAACGGATGCTACGATAAATCAAGGTGGTTTCAAATTAAATTATCGTACTGATTGTAATCAAACATTGATTGGTCGTTATGGTATTATTGAATCACCAAATTATCCTGATCCACATCCACATAATCTGAATTGTATGTGGCATATATTGGCACCATTGGGTAATAATATTACCATTGCCTTCACACAGCTTGTACTCGAATCAAATGTTGATTGTAAATTTGATTATCTGAATATTTCCGAAGTAATACGGCCAAATCAATATTCACTTTCACAATCACATTTATTAGTATTGAATGAACATTTCAATACGAATACAACGATGACACTTTGTGGAAATTATACCGGTTCATTACCATCGATAATACATACTGGAAAAAATGAAGCAATCATACAATTTATATCGGATGAAACACGTTCAATTGAAAGTGGTTTTCGTTTAGAATGGTCAGCCAAAGGTTGTGGTGGTGAAATTCGTAATCATCCTGTTGGTATAATTTCTTCACCAAATTATCCAGATCCATATCCATTAAATGTTGAATGTTTATGGCATATTTATGCTGAACCTGGTTATCGTGTTGATCTTTTTATTGAAGATTTAGATATTGAATTTTCACATGGTTGTATGTTTGATAATCTACAGATATTCAGTGGTGACAATGATCGTAATTCACCATTGTTATTGAAACAATGTAGCCGTGCTACGAACGTTCATCTATCATCATATGGTAATGTTATGACAATCAAATTAACATCCGATTTATCCACTGTTGCACATGGATTCAATGCTACATATAGTACAATGGAACGTGGTTGTGGTGGAACATATTTTTCCGAACAAGGTACAATAACTTCGCCTAATTATGGTGGTGGTAATCATTATGATCCAAAAACCGATTGTTCATATCGATTGGTTACTGATGAAAATTTCGAAATTGAATTAACTGTGAATGATTATGATATACCACGATCAGAAAATTGTTCGACTAGTTATTTGGCTATTTATGATGATGATTTTGATGAACCTAATTCTAAACTTTTGGCCAAATTTTGTGGCCAACTTTCATCACCATCACCATCACAACAACAACAACAACAACAACAACAACAGCAACAGCAACAACAATCATCGAATGAAGGATTAAAATTTCGTAGCAATAATTCCGTTTTATCTGTACGATTATTTTCAGATGGACTGAATTCTGGTCGTGGTTTCAATATAACCTATCGAAAAGTTTGTGGAAAAACAATCATTATTGATGATCATGAACAATATCGTGAAATATTCTCACCAAATTATCCAAATCCCAATCATTATGAAGGTGAATGCATTTTTATATTGAAAGCATCAAAACCAGAAAATCGATTGACCATACGTTTTACACATTTCGATACAATGAATGTTGCAATAATGACAGATTATAGTCAAAGTTCATGTGAATTTCTTATGGTGGAAATTTATGAAGGACGAGAAAAATTACCGAATAAACGTTTACAACAAGTTTGTAATCATATAATACCGCCACCTATTGTATCACAAGGTGATACACTTTTGTTGGTTGTTAAAACAGCAGTATTTCATGTTATTGTATCATCCATTCAATCATTTTGTGGTGGTGATTTTTATACAACTGAAGGCTATATTGCTACGCCTGGTTATCCAAATAGTTATCCATTGAATATTGAATGTATTTGGATATTGAAAGCAGCACCTGGTAATCGTTTTCAATTGGAATTTCAAGATTTTGATCTTGAAACATCGGATTATTGTAATAATGATTATCTGGAAATTCGTTTGGATAATTCCAGTGGTACGATTCTAGGACCGAATGGTCAACGTTTATGTAATCAAGCTAATCAAGATGGACAAAAACCAACATCAATAATAATGCCACAGATTCAAATTGATTTAACTGGAAATTTATGGATAAAATTTCGAACCGATGATGTTGGAGTGGCAAAAGGTTTTCTACTTCATTTTCGAATTGCAACTATTACTTATCTTTCTGCACCTAGTGGAATGATTGGATCACCTGGATGGCCTATTGGATTTTATTTTGAAAATATCACCTTCATCTGGTATGTTTCCGTTCCACATGATCATTATATTAAATTGGAATTTCAAGAATTTTCACTACAAGGCGATCAAACGATAAATTTTTGTCCAATTCAATTGTCCATTTATAATGGTCTAGTGGATTTTACACAAATGTCACCATCATCATCATCATCAATTAGTGACCAAGTATTGACAAGTTTACAAACATATATATTACCGGAACCAAAACAATCATATTGTGGCCAACAATTGCCTAAGAATTTTATTGCCGATTCAAATGCCATTACATTGATGTATGTGAATAAATATGTAGCTTATTTACCATTTCGTGATATCAAATTTTTATTACGATGGTCAATGCTCAATAGTAGTGAATATATGAATTCAATACAAAATATTGGTGGCGTACCAGAAAATGTTAATACAACATTCAACATATTCTTAGATCATGGACAATCATATAATCTGTTATCTGAAAATTTCAGTGAATATGGAAATGATATTAATTGGTATTTTCGTACAAAACAATCAATGCATATGAATATTACCGTCAGTTTAATGAAAATGAATCCATCATCATCATGTTGGTCAAATAAAATGATTGTTTATGTTTGGGAAACCGTCAAACAGAAATGGCAAACAATTAAATCAATTTGTAATAGTATGAAAGAACCAATCGAAGTTAGTGGTAGCAATGAATTTCGTTTACATCTTCAATATTTTAAAATGAATGAAGGTATTCCAACGAAAGCCCGTTATAATCTGACTATAACGCCTGTTTGTGGTGGTAATCTAACTGATCAACCGAATGGTGAAATTGATTCCACTGAAGATATTGATGAACATATTCGCGGCATAAAACAATGTGAATGGAAAATTCAGGTACGTCAAGGACGAACAATAAGATTTCATGTGGAATTTTATTCAATTGGATTCATTATTGATTCTTCTACATGTCAAAATCGTGGTGAATCTCTAGAGATTCATAATGGTCATTCCGTTGATTCACCACTGTTGACACGTCCATTATGTGGTCATGCAACCACTTGGTTCACTTTACAAGAAACAAGTACAAATTATGCATATGTTGTATATCGAAGTAAACGTGCAACAAATTCATTTCGAATACGTTATGAAGAAGTTGGCATCAAATGTGGTGGTGAATTGGTGATTCAAAATGTCGACGAAGATGTTATCATATCATCACCAGATTATCCAGAATATCCAAAACATGATGTCACTTGTGAATGGATTATACGTGGCCCATTAGATTATGGTTTACAAATTACATTTGAACAAGAAAAATGGTCATCATGTAATGCAAATAATTCTTATTTAGAAATCTATAATGGTGGTTCCGAATTATCTGGACTAATCGAACGAATTTGTGTGCCAACATTCAATCAAAATACGATTGTAATCAATTCACATATAACATTAATTCGTTATGTATTGAAAAAGGTTTTGTTTCAATCAAAATTTAAAGCTACCATCACCGTTGAAGGTTGTAATCGTCAATATTATGTTCCATTTGGTAGTTTATTATCGGATAAAACCGGTGCATATAATAAATTAGAAGATGAATATCAATTTCCGAAATTTCGATTGCGTAAAAAAACTCCAAAAAATCCATCGACATCATTTTCATCATCATCTAATCTATGTACAATTCGTCTGTTGACACAAGCTGATTTTTTCATTACAGTAAATATTACATCCATACGGTTACGTGGTAAAGATTGTAGCAATGGTGATTTGATTGAAATTAAAGAAAATTTAAATTCACCAACAAATCTAATGCGATTATGTTCACCAAAAAATCAAACCAATCAAATTGATCAATCAATAATTACATCACAATCGAATGAATTATTTCTGGTGTATAAACAAATGAATATTAAACCAAATGTTGATGGTGGTGATATTGGCATCAATCGATTCGCTGATAATGATCCTGATTCAGTTGGTATTAAATTTTATGCATCAGCTAAATATAAAAGATGTTATCATTTTATTGATCTACGACAAACACCAACTGGAATAGTATATTTACCCAGAGACATTCAATCCACAGCTACACGTCGTGTATCATGTCAATGGTTATTCTATAATGATCCTGGAAATAAGATTCAATTAACATTTTCATGGTTTAATTTTGGTCAATTTCCTGTGGAAATTTACGATAGTGATGATGAAAAGAAAAAGCAAGAGAAAAAAAAATCATTACGTTGTAATAAATTAATGATGATTCAACGAAATTATTTTGTACCACCAATATTGACCAATAAATATGGATGTACAAAAGCTCGGCCAAGAGTGATTCAATCATTAACACATATAATGACCATTAAAATGTATGCTAGAGAAATGGATTCAAATGAAGGTTTTAGTCTGGTTTATACTGGTATTCGTGGTGATGATGAAAATTCCTGTAGTGGCATTTGGGATTTATCACATGGTTCATTTCGATCATTGGATTTTGATTTCAGCCACAACTTGACTGGTTTAATAAGCTGTGCATGGGAAATGAAAATTGGATTCAATCAATCCGGTTCATTGGTCATCGATACATACGATGTTCCTGGTGATTGTTCAAATTCAACATTGAATATTGGACAATTAAATTCTGGTTGTAAGTTTTTTTGTGTTCATTATTACTTGAATTAATCATTTTATTTACCATTGATAAAATAGCAAAAATATTTGGAATTCGACATATGATTTGTATACCAGAAAGTCGACGGCCACACAAAAATGGCCTGAAATTTATTGTTCCAATTTTTCGTGATTTTGATGCATCATTGGCAATTAATCCTACGGTATTCTTGAATTTTAATCGCACCAAAACCAATCTATTCAAAGGAATAAGTGGTGATTATTTTGTACAAAAATGTGGTGGATCATTTGATCCTATTGTTGAACAAGAATTTCAATCACCATCATATCCAAATGCATATCCATCATCAACATTTTGTCATTGGATATTTAAACGGATGAATATTGATTATGAATCCAATAGTATACCTGGTTATAAATTAACATTCCTGGAATTTGATATTGGCCATAATTGTGATCAGGATTATTTTCTATTACAAATGAATCCACGTTATGAATGGCAAGGTTCTGAACGGATATGTGCAAATGCCAATAGTTTACCGGTACCTATTTATTTAACACATGGAATTATTTTATCATTTGTTTCAAGTCAAAATCTTTCCATTGTTCAAACAAATTCAAACACTTATGATAATAGTCAAAGAAAATTTCGTTTTCGTATCGAACCAATTTCACATGGATGTGGTGGCCTATTAGCTTCACATCAAGGCTATTTTCAATCACCAAATTATTTGAATGATAGTAATAATGGTGATAATAACATTGGTTTTGGTGGACAAACCAATCACCAGTATCCACCGTCCATGGAATGTGTTTGGACTATAAAAGCAATACCTGATTTTCATCTTGAATTTGAATTTAATTCTCGTTTTGATCTTGAACAAGCGGATGGTTGTCAAAATGATTATCTTTTGTTCGAAGAACGTCGTAGCCTTGCCAATATTGATGAATGGACACAAATATCGAAACTTTGTGGCCATCAAACACCGAAAACCATTGTTTCACAATCCGATTTGGTTCGTATTACTTTCCGTTCAAATGATAAAATTCAAGGCGATGGTTTCCGTGTACAGTATCGACAAAAATGTGGTGGTCAATTTGAAGACGAATCTGGCATAATTTATTCGCCCAATTATTTTACCCAAGGATCATATAGTAATGATTTGACTTGTGTTTATCGAATACGAAGAAATCCTGATGAATATGTTCAGATTGAATTTGAAGAATTTGATCTTGAACATCATATGAATTGTCTGTTCGATTCAGTCAACATTTATCTTGGTGATAATAGAAATTCTTCTACTAAATATTATGGTCCATATTGTGGTTCGCTTGCTCCACCACGTCTCGTATCGAATGAAATGCTTACCGTTGTTTTTCATACTGATCTTTTAGTGACAAAACGTGGTTTCAAGGCTCGTTACAATGTCACAAAATGTGGTGGAAACATAACTTATTCTGAAGGTGAAATTGTCAGTCCATCGGGTTTCCGACATGAATGTGTATGGAACATTATCATACCGGATGAACGAATGTCAATTTCATTACAGATAATTGAATTGAACATGCGTAATGAACATTGTCGATATGATTGTTGTAATAATTTGAAAATTATGGAAGATCCAAATGAAATTCACCACCAACAAACATTGGCATTCTTATGTACGAATCTCACCGAAGAGGTTACATTCAAATCAACTGGTAATCAAATGATTATACGGTTGATGCATGATATTTGGCCAGATGTTTCTATGCCACAGTTTCGTCTACGATATTGGTCATCACCTGGTCCTAAATCAAATTGTGGTGGTCATTTTGATGAAAAACAAATCGAAGGCGTTATTGTTACGCCAGATTTAAATGATGATTCTTTCTATGAAAAACAATTAGATTGTATATGGACAATTCATGGCCAAGATGAAAATCAAATAATAACTCTGGAATTTGAAAGATTTGATGTGGCTACTACTAATGATAATGGAACCGATCCTAATCGTTGTATTCATGGTGGTGATTATCTTGAAGTTTTTGATGGTATTAATTTACATGCACAACAATTGGCAATATTATGTGGTCGTACTATGATACCGGAAAAATTAACTAGTTCAACCAATTCAATGGTACTGCAATTCAAAACTAATCTAGATGATCAATTGGGTCATGGTTTTCGTGCACATTTTCGATTAGAAAATCGTACCTGTGGCGGTACAATTTTGTCGACGGATACGCCCACATCATTATCATCACCACAATATCCAAATGGTTATGAACGACCATTACATTGTAGCTGGGAAATATATTCACATTTCAGTTTTCGAACACCACTTATTCTGAAATTTCAAGATCTTGATCTTGATTGTTCACGTGGTGATTATGTTCAAATTCTACAATTTCGACAATCCGCATATGAATCATTCTTATATAGTCCAATAACATTATGTTCATCGCCAACACAAATAAAATTTATGACTGCTACAAATAATCGAATTCGTTTGATAATGAAAACATTCACTGATTCGGTGGTAACTGAATATGATAATATTGCCACTGTCGTGAATCGTACGGCCACTGTGAAATTGATTCCAAATCAACCAAAACAAACGTTTCGTGGATTTAATCTAACACATCATTTTTCAATTTGTAATGAATCATTGGATGGTCCGGATAATGGTTTTATTACCAATCGTAATTATCCATATATGACACAGATACATTCAAATATTTTCTGCTATATTAACATCACTGTGCCTGAAGATAGACAAATATCGTTGTTTTTCGAACAATTTCAATTTTACATTTGTTCACATTCAAATTTAACAATCTATGATGGTAATAGTGGTGGTAGTGATAAAAAATTACAACTATTTGGTACCTATTGTGATCAAGAAACAATTCCGAATCCATTATTCACTACAACGAATCGATTGTCAATAATTGTGCAGGCACGATTTCAAAATCGAATCCCCAGGTTACCATTTAATCCACATGATAATCGTAATAAAATTCTTTATTCAATTTCATATACATCACAACCAAAATCTAAACCACCTGGTTGTGGTGGAAATTTCACCAGTCTTCGTGGTTCATTCACATCACCGGATCATCCATTACCATTTTTAAAGGATCAATCATGTGTATGGATGATACACACGAATGGTTATCATACAATAACATTAACGTTTGATGAATTTATGTTAGCTGAACCATGTGATAAAAATTATGTCACCATATTTGATGGTCTTGAAGATTTGGATGAAAAACGTTTGGCTACATTTTGTTCAATGGTAAGAAATCATTGTCATAATATTTAACCCTTTTTTATTCTAATTTTTCGTTTTTTTCTCTCAGGACAAACCTGCACCCATACAAGGTTTATCGAATGCAATGTTGATTAAATTCCATTCATCTGAAGAAAATTATCTACCTGGATTTCGTGCTTCATATCGTGCCAATACACAAGGTTAGTAATTGATGATTGATTGGTAATCGCGATTTTTTCTCATTTTCATTTCATTTATTTACAGAACCTACTATTAAAGGAAGATTAATAACAAAAAATACATTCCGATTCTATAGAGATTTTCGTGTATTTACCGATATTTAAATCTTAATGAAAATGGAAAATTTTCTGAATCATCATAAAATCTATTTGAATAAAAAATCAATAGTAATGTCCGTGCAACGGTTGAAAAGAACTTTTGTTTTCCATGTTGGTCAATGGTTTGTTGTGTTGAAAGATTTTCAGACCAACTCGTTGTTCCAATAGGAAGTTTTCGATGGTGTCTGTTCCAACATAACACAAAGATTGTTATTTCATGGTTTTCTTCGCCAATCGACACCGATGTTTTAGCCCTCCCGAGGCATTGAACTACTGTTCCGTCAGCCATATATGCAGTTCCGGCTTTCTTCTGCAACTTGATTTTCAATCCTTCCGCTTTGCTTTTCGACATTCCAGTGAAATTTGCACCAGTATCGTATAAAGAAAACGTTTTAATTTTATTGATAAACAAAGAGAATTTTATTAAATGCCTGGGAGGGCTAGTTTAGTTTAAAGCCACTAAATCGTCATTATCATCGAATTGGTCTTCGTCGTTTGTACCATCATCTGCCATCTCCGATATGTTGATTGTTGACTCAACTAATGTTTGATTGGCCTTGTGTGGTTGGGTCGTAAACATTTGAGGCCTAAACCACAACGTTTAGCCAACTGCTTTCGTGTTTTTGCTGAGCCACACTGTTGCTGTGATTCGACCTTGAACATAACGCACATTTCTTGTTTCTGTTGTCCTGTTGTCCTGCTTTGTGGATACGATGAGCGTTGTTGTTGTTGGTTTACTCGTTTGGCCTCAAGAGTTTGAAGTTTGAAGTTAAGCCATTTCGTTGATTATTATCACGCATGATTTGCAGAATTTTGTTCTTGAATACTCGGTTTATACATTCTTTGTCCAATGTTTGGTTGTTGTGGATAGGTCCAAATGTGATATTTAGAGCGCTGATAATGTTTTGGATACTGTTGCAAATAGATAGATTATGCTTTATTCTCATTATTATTATTCAAATACACAATAAGGAATGGATATGGATAAGTTCATCAATGAAATTGGTTTCCATGTTTTTCCTACAAATTGCCTGTCTTATTTTTGTCTATCAAAGATTCAGTAATTTTTTCTAATTTTAATTTCTACAAACGAACCACCAGTTCAAAACACACATTCTCTTGATAATTCATTTTTTTCTCAAATAAATAAATGATACATTTTATTTTTATTTTTCTTCAAAAACTTTGACTTTGACTTTTATTTGACAGGAAATTTGAAGAAGAAAAAACTGGATTGAAAAATAACGAAGAAAATTTTAATGATAAGAAAAATATTGATTGAAAATACAAATAGTGTGTGTGTGTGTGTGTGTGTGTGCAACAAGTGTGTGTGGTATATTCACAATGTAAAATAAGGCAATGAAATGGATCAATAACATTCAGATTATTCTATGTGTGTCTCGGAATTCAATGACAATATGGCTTTTTTCCTAGATGATGATAATGACAATGCGGCAATTTTTTTTGTGTGTGTATCAAGTACGGAAACGGAATTTTTTGCTTTGTTTTGTCAACATTAACAACAACAACAAAAATAACTGGAGCAACAAAATACTGAAAAGATACTCGAAAGAATCGAGTCATTGAGACCAAAAAAAAAAAAAATTCCCACACACTACATGCATTGAGACAAATTTTTAATTTTCTTTTCTTAGATTTCGTGATTCAAGAAAATCTGAAAAACAACCAAATAAAAAAAACTACAACAAAACTATTATATGGTATGAGACATGTCTCTCTGCATGTGTTTTGATTCAATATTTTGGAACCAACAAAAAAAACCAAACGACCAGTGAAAACGACAACAGCAGCAGAGATTTTTTCATCGTTCATTTTTTTCACTTTTTTCTTCTGTTTGTTTTTTTATAAGATTAAGAAAAAACGAAAGCAATAAAAAAAATTCTTCTTTTTCCTTGGATTAATTACCCCTTTTTTTTATCTCGAAAATTGTGATTAGTGTGTTTTTCTTCACTTTCTTTCCGAAACAAAATAAAACGAAATGACTATGTTTACTGTTTTTTTCCCTCCCCAACCTTTTTGCGACGAAAAAACATGTATCTGAAAAACATGTTTCTTTTGTTTGAAAAAAAATTCTTGTTTTTCTATGGATTAATTACCCCTTTTTTTCTCTTATCTCGAAAACAGTGATTAGTGTGTGTGCGTGTGTGTTGGTTTTAATAACCTTTCACGAGAAAAAACAAACAAACAAACGAACGAGCAAAAAACACAAAAATGACTTTTTTTTCTTTTGTTTTTTGTTTACGACAATGAAGAAAAAATATTCGAAAAAATTGAAACAACAAAAAAAAATTTTCATTATCACACACACTTGTTGGACACACACACAATTTTTTGTATTTTCAATCAATATATTTTTCTTATCACTAAAACTTTTTTCGTTATTTTTCAATCGAGTTCTTTCTTATTAATTAGTTGACCAACAAAGTTTTTCTTCTCAACCGTTGCACGAACGTTACTATATTTCTATTTTTCTTATGTAAAAATAAAAATTGCAAACAATCATTTTATTCAAAAAATATACGATCATCGATCGATAATTGCATTTATTGAAATGACAAAATCTGATACAATTAGTAAAGACAATTTTCATTTATATATATAAAAATCTACGATGTCCATAACATCGTAATGATTATCACATCGATAATACGTTCGCAGTCATGATTGGGAATTGAACACTATTGAAATATTTGTGGATAAAATAAAGCTTTATTGATCAAGTATACGCAGATCATAGAGCAAAACACAAAGATGACTTTTTCTTTGTTTGTTGTTTACGACAATGAAGAAAAAAATATTCGAAAAATTGAAACAAAAAATTTTTCTGCATTATCACACACACTTGTTGCAATTACACACTCAATATATTTTTTTCTTTATCACTAAAATTTTCGTTATTTTTCAATCGAGTTTTTTCTTCTTCAAATTTCCCCTGTCAAATAAAAGTCAAAGTCAAAGTTTTCGAAGAAAAATAAAATCAAATGTATCATTTATTCATATGAGAAAATGAATTATCAAGGGAGTGTGTTTTGACTGGAAAAAAATTACTGAATCTTTGATAGACAAAAATAAGGCAGGCAATCTGTAGAAAACATGGAAACCAATTTCATTGATGAACTTATCCATATCCTTTTGCTATTGTGTATTTGAATAATAATAATGAGAATAAAGCATAACTCCATCTATTTGCAACAGTATCCAAAACATTATCAACGCTCGGAATATCACATTTGACCTATCGACACAACCAAACATTGGACATGGTTGAACGTTTAAATTGTGTGTGCCTTTTATCATCAAGCAGTTTGTCGTGATATCAACAAACAATGTATAAACCGAGTATTCAAGAAAACCATCAAGAATTCCTCTTCTTTCAATATACGAGAGCTTCTTGATGATCATTTTTGATAATTCGGCCATCACTTATTATCATCAAGCGATTTTCATAATCAAACAATTTTCTTTGCAGCTGGTGCAGTACGTACGATTGTTTTTGACAAAGAGCCACATCCAAATCGAGCTGGTAAAAACATCTTCAAATGATTTCAATACCGATTGAATATACACTGAAACTTGCGATTCTGATTTCGGAATGTTTGCAGCAATCACTCTTGCTACGGTACGTTGTTTGCGAACGATGTAACAAAGTAAAAATTGTATGTTCGGTGAACTAATAACACGTGTGTGAGTTCTTGTCGTGAAATGATTTGTGCTCTGTTTTTGTAAATCGGTATGAAATTGTATATATTTATTTTAATATTTCTCATTCTTAATTTATAAATTTCAGTAATAAAGATTACAAATTGTTGTTGTAACACACTCTATTTGAATCTCCGGTTCTCAATTTATTGAGAAATACGAACAACGCTTCGATTTTAGTTCGATTTCCTTTCAGTACAAAGATTCACGTTGCTGTAAGAGCCGATGTCGACGATGACAATGCTTGCATTGTCATTGAAGACATTAATGAAGATGAATCTTCAAATTCGCCAGCCACTGCAGCAACGTTGACACCATCTTTACCATCATCATCACCATCACCACCACAACCATCAACATCACAAATGCGAATGTTATTGCCGTCTCGGGATATCGATAGTGGCAAATGGAAATGTCCATGGGACAATTGCAATAGACAATTCGCAAAATAACACCGATACACCGAACACCAGACAACATATCATCATGGGAATAGATTGAAGTGCAATTATTGCGAAAGCACTTTCGTTTCAAAATGTTCTCTTGATAAACACAATAGAATATATCATTCAAATTAATAATTCATCTACACACACACATATATATATTGACATTTTTTTGTTATTTTTCATTGTTAATTACATTTTTAATTATAAAAAATAAAATAAATATGGCAATTTTTCCAAAATTTGTTTTGTTTCCCTGTCTTTATTTTGCTGTACGAATGAAATTGTGTCGTATGAAAAAGTTTATCTCAATGCTCAACGTATTCCTTTCTTTCTTTTTAGATAACATACAAGATTAGTAAATCAAGAACATCATCAAATGCTGATTTATTACCATCATTGATTAGTAAAGTAGTGATGGGACCAAAACAATCGAAACTTAGTGATCATGGTCAAATTATGGATGAAATAACCGCTAAATGTTGATAACATTGTGTGCGTTACATTTTTGAAATGTATGATGATGAATCTTTTCTAATTCTTGTTGTTTCCAAATTCAATTAGAATTATCGCTGATATGAATAGTGTTGAAAATAAAAGCATCATCTGTATAAATTGAACGATGATTATAAATTAGAAGTTCTAGAAGTTTAAAATCCAAAACATGATTGTTTTGGAATGTTAATGATCAAAGTTGTGATGTTTGAATATTTTAAATGGAATGTTCGACTTTGATTTAATGAATGTTATATACGTCAACTTAATTAATGTTTCAAATTGGATTGTAATCCAGTATATAAACCCATCCCAAATTATCATTATCCATCGAGTGTCTGGGATCTATGATCTGTCTAATGCCTGATCAATAAAGCTCTATTTGCATCCACACAAATACTTCAATAGTGTT